TTTTTGCAAGCTTGACTGGGGTCATGTACCACCTGTACACCATTTTCATTATATTCTCTTTTAAAGCATTACATGCTGTAAACTTCGTACCTGTGGTCCATAACCGTTCCCAGTCAGCAAACATGATGTTATGTCCAACATCCTGTGCCCATTTAATCATAGCAGATTTTACCGTTTCATCCTGAGTATTCCATTTTAGCAGCAAGTTATACATTCTTGAAAGTGTTTTAGTTTTGGGATCTAGCAGTTCTATTTCCAACTTTGATTTTTCCACCTGGAAGCCAATTTTCTATCCAAATTATAGACCTCTCTTATTTGGTAATAATGCAACCAGTCTCGCACTCTATCTTTTAGTTTCTCAAAACTCTGCAGTTTGAATTTATCTCCTTCTTGTTCCAAGATCTCCCAATATTTTGGCCACTTGGCCTCCATATTGGGCTTTTTCAGAGCCTTTGCCTCCATTGGTGATAGCCACCTTGGGGTTTTATTCTCCAATAAGTCTTTATATCTTATCCAGACTGGTCCAAGTCCAGTTTAAACCATGAATGGGAGAGAGGCAGGGAGGGGAGGTTTCCCAACAAGAATTAGCCCTTGGGCACCAGACTGAGCAGGGACACAATTCTCCTAGTGAGATGTGCTACATTTCTATTTAAATGACAGCAATTACTTCTAAATTTGCATTGATATGTATACATTAACACATACAGTTTTTATGCAAATGTGTCCCCCTTTGTTCTCTTTTTGGTGCTGCCTACATCTCCATTTTAATAGAATTGTGAGATGAAGGGCCTTGATCACTACCTTGTTGGTGTGGCTACTATATTGCCCTGTTCTGTGCTAGCCAAGATTTTTCTTATCAGATTTTTCAGTATTTTGCATCTTCTATATAAATCACATCTCAACTGAGCAGTGTTAAGCAATTCAATACAAGAGCTAAATAAACTCCAAAAAGACAACATACATAAACAACAGAAGACTGGTGTTCGTGTTCACATTTTCCTATAAAATATGACTCCTAGAAAAGTGGAGTTAAGGCAGATAAAACCATTCAAAAAACAAACACTATGCAGACAGGGGTACCCTGGGAAATGACTTTACCATCACAGTTATTAAGACTATTAAGAGATGTGAAGCTTATGGGGAGAGAAAGAGAGAGAGCGCACAGGAAAAATCAGCAGAAGAGTGTAGTGAGCAGGCATAAGTGGGAAATACATTCTGATGATGTGATTTAAAATCACATTTGTGCATCATACAGTTAAAAACTGTATTCTTCACAAATTGTACAGATCACTATGAAAATCTAGAAATTCCAGGAAAACGAGGCATATATATGCATTCCAATGAAAGCCTGCTACGTAATACAAACACCCTCTTAAACACACAACAACCCTTATCATGGTATACTAGATAAAGCAGGCAAGATGGTTACAATCAGTGAAATGGAGCTGATCAGACCTTGTGCTGAAGGAAAACAAACACAGTTAATTTATTGTATTTTTAAATGCTTATAACTAAAGCAACCAGCTCCTCTGCTCTAATGAGCAAAAGTTAGAGATCACAGGACACAGTATTAGGTTCTCTCTGTCTAGTCCAAGGAGACAAGTCGTCCTTTCACTCTGGTGCTGGGACCTGTCTGAGACTTGTACCGAGTTGAGCTTTCTTCTTGAAAAACAGCAAGTGAATAGGCCCACAGTTAAATGTAGTGCTTATAATGCTGGCACTCCAGTAGCTCACTGCCAAGAGCAAGTGCCTTGCCACCACAGAGATTAGGAGGAATTCAATTTACTGCATTTTGTAATTTTGCCAAGTGTAGTGATTTGTTTTCTATTACTCATGCAGAGGTCATTCTGCAGAGGGTGAAAATGGAATGCAAACTTTACGCCAGCTATGCTAGGCAACTGTGCTCAATACTTTCCAATAACTCATCTGAAAATTACTTCAGTACTACTGGGAATCCATTTTACCTGTGGGGCATTCCAAATTAAATTTTTAAAAGTACCCAGTTTGCGCAGCTCTGTATACTTTTTCTTACTCCCACATCCGTGGTCAGACAGTGTAAGGAACTGGTTAAGGGCTGCAGTTATGGAGACTGACCATAGGCAGGTATACTTGGAAGTAACTCCTCTTGAGTAACATGGGATTTACACCAAAACAATGTTATAAATCTCAGTCTCTCCAGGTTAAGGCCATTGGCATGCTACTATAGATTTCCAATTACTCCAATACAGTCCAGTAGTTACATGAAAAATGTAGATCTCTCTGGTAAGCGGAGATGGCATTTGTTCTGCTTGGTGATCATTGAAGACACTCTTTTCCTAGTCAGAAGTTAATTTACACTGTTTACAGTGCTGTTTTGGCATTTTCCAAACTTTTTTGCCAGAAGTAAATGAGGCTTTAGAGACATTGATCCAATTACAAAATAATCAGTTCTATAGAATGGAGAGAAAAAAGCAAATAAGATTAACAAGACAATGATTAAGGAAACAGTGAGTTAATCCACTGAATAATAACATTAGCTGCATCTATTGATTTCCTAAACAACCCTGGTTTGGAGATTATGAGCCACAAAGATCTCAAATTAGTGGCATTTAATGACACAGGTACAGAAAGGGGAGGATGAGCAAAATGAAGGTGTTTGCAAATCTTTTGTTCAGTATGTCTTTTGTCAGAGTAAGTAAAATAAACTTCAGAAATCCTTGTTAAGTGTAACATTTCCTTGTATTAGAGCAGCCCATTAAAAGTTTGTTAAGCCAATGGAAAAGTATTTTGCATTTGTTCCACATATACTGGATCCTGGATTTCATTTGGGAGAAAAACCAATCAAAGAGCCTTGTGGCCGCTTAAAGATTAACAAATTTATTATGGCATAAACATTTGTGGGCTCGAGCCCACCTTATCAGAGGCATAAAGTGAATTCTTAGCTGAAAGATATATAAAGGAGAATTTTGTAAAGTGAGAGTTGAATAGCAATGAGACGCAAAAATTACAATCAGCATATTTCTCCAACCCCAGAATGAGATCCTACTAGTTGCATTTGTTTAGAAAGATGTTTTACTTTATGAACCCCTCCCGTTACTTTAAAATCCCAACTATGTGATGCTAGACTATTTATTTATATCTGAACAATGATTAACAACCTTGAAAGAGAATTTTAAACAAGTAGACCTGTTCTGTAATCCTTTTCAGGAAAACACAGTAGGACTGCCACTTCACATGGCTAAAGAGAAAGCCACACAAGTATTCAATATGGCTTCTCCATCGTACACTTTGTAGTAGTTCCTGCATATGAAAAATCATGACTCAGTGGCTTGGATCAGAACTTCGCTTTTAGGAACAGAATAAAGGTTAATGGAATGGGGCTTTCCTATCTGCCCCTTCCCCCTGCAGCCCCCTGCCAATCTGATCCTGGACAGTTGGAGGGCCCTTGAGACTGGTGAGGGATTTGGTGCCTGTGAAAACTGCAGGAGGAAGTGGTTGAAATTCATCTCCTCCATTTTGCATGAACAGAGGAGCAGCTTAGAATCTAAGAACATAGAGTTGAGAGGAGCAGATTGCACATAATAACTTTTGAAGTACCGTACATTTGAAATACATCCGCTGCCCAATAATTCCCCGAGGAAAGTGTTTGTCAAGGGTGCCAGTAATTGTAGCTTTGTGATGGGCAGTAGCAGCCAGTGAGGCAGTATGGCTGGGACACTTGTGGCTCTCCTGGAGCCAATCCAATTCTGCTACCATGTGCTGCACTGCACCAAACTCCCCACACACCTTGCCCCTCCCCTTGCTAAGCAGCAGCAACCTGCTGTGTTAGGAAGCCAGGAAAGACACTACAGGTGAGGGGTAAACTACAGTTTCCTGTATTCTTGCAGGGGGGCAGGAGGTATATGCTTTAAAGGTATGGTGGCATCTGTGAACAGACTGCAGTTTTCATGTAAGGAAAGACCAGCTTTTCGTTAGTGCATGTCTACAGTGTAAACATAAAGCAGTTTTGAAATAGTTTATCTATTGTTACCATTATCATAACTACATTAAAAGAATTAACCAGCCTTCACCAGCAGGTCCCAAAACGGCTTACAACAAAGTAAAATTCAATATTAAAAATACTTAAAATTGCACTACAGTCACAGGAATAGGGTCATAGCTGTCAACTTTCCCCTTTTCTTGCAAGGAATCCTATTCGGAATAAGGGAATTTCCCTTAAAAAAGGGGGAAAGTTGACAGCTATGAATAGGGTGGGTCCTAAAAACACACATCTGGCAAAGATCAGGGCAAAGAGGTGTGTCTCCACCATTCACCAGCACCTCTGTGGGCAGTTCCACAATTTAGGAGCTGCCACAGAGAATGCCCTCTACTGGGCCACCCAATCCCCAACTTCTGAAATCTGCAGAGCTAGTATCAGGAGACCCTTTTTTGCTGCTCTTAAAGCCCGAGAGGGCCTGTAGGGAAAGAAGCAGTCTCTCAGATACAGTGGTGCCTCGCAAGACGAAAAGAATCCGTTCCGCGAGTCTCTTCGTCTTGCGGGTTTTTTCGTCTTGCGAAGCAAGCCCATTAGCGGTTTAGCGGATTAGCGCTACAGTATTAGCGGCTTAGCGGGCTTAGCGGATCAGCTGATAAGCGGCTTAGCGATCAGCTGTTAGCGGCTTAGCCGATCAGCTGATAAGCGGTTTAGCGGCTTGGGAAAAAGGGGGGGGAAGGAAAAACCCCGCAGGAACTCGCAAGACATTTTCGTCTTGCGAAGCAAGCACATAGGAAATTCGTTTTGCGAAGCACCTCCAAAACGGAAAACCCTTTCGTCTAGCGGGTTTTCTGTCTTGCGAGGCATTCGTCTTGCGGGGCACCACTGTATTTGGGACCTAAGTCATTTAAACTGAGTTCAGAAATGAACTAGCAACCAACGCAGCTGTTTCCGAATGGGAGTTGTATGACCTTTAAAGGCAATCGGGCTGCTGCATTTTGAAACAGTTGAAGCTTTCAAGTTGTTTTCATCTGGCTACAGATTTCTGGCAGATTTCTTTAGATGCCCCCTAGCAAAATAGCACTCTCAACATGTTGGGCATTATTTATTTATTTTCCAAAGTTATACGTCACCTTCAGGGTAAAGGCCTCCCAAGGTGGTCCACTTAAACATTTTAAACCATAAAATACAACTAAAACATCTCATTACAATTTCAAAAACTAAAAACAGCAGTTCTAGAATACAATATAACCCAGTACAGCAATCCAGATAAAACAGATTTTTAAACAACAACAACAATACAACAATTTAACAGTTAGGTACTCAGGTCCTCACCTTATTAAAAGCAAATTGAAATAAAGAAGGTTTTAAAGCTAACACAAACAGGGCCAGACATCAATTCCCTCAGGAGTGAATTCCACAAATATGGAGCTACCACTGAAAAGCCCATGCCCCTAGTGTTTGCCAGTCTAAGAAATCTTATTGACAGTGGCCATGTGAACAAAGCTTTTCTAATCTTTTTAAAAAAATTTATTAATTTCCTTTTCTTTAGTTACAAATATACTTATAACATACAGCTTACATAAACATCTCTCCCTCCCCCCTTTTGGACTTCCCTCAACTTCCATTTCTGATTTATTAACCTCATTAGTATATTCTGCTATTTTCTACAAATATCATATTTTTCCTTTTATTACATTATCTATTCTCTATCCATAAAGTTGTGAATGTTTATTTAAATCCTACCATCAGATCAATATTCTTTCTTTGTATCTGCAAATATAATATAAAAGGTTCCCACTTTTTCAAAATCCCTATTGTCCTTTTCCCAAAGTCTGTGTGTCAGCTTCGCCAATTCCACATAGCTCATCAGTTTTTCTTGCCATTGTTCTTTTGTTGGAATTTCTCCAGTCTTCCAATTCTGTGCTAGTAGTATTCTTGCCGCTGCCGCTGCATACATAAATAATGCCTTTTTCTCTTTTGGCAGGTCTTGTCCTAATATACTCAACAGGAAGGCTTCTAGTTGTTCAACAAATGTTATTTTAAACATTTTTTTTAAAATTCATTGTAGATCATTTCCCAACATACCTTAACACTTTTACAATCCCACCGCATATGATAAAAAGTCCCTTCAACCTCTTTGCACCTCCAACATTCCCTCTGTTCATTTTTATATATTTTGGCCAATTTCACCAGTGAGATGTACCATCTATACATCATCTTCATGCAATTTTCCTTTAACAATATACAGTCTGTAAATTTCAGATTTACTTTCCATTATCCAATCTTCAAATTTTATATTATGGCCTATGTCTTATGCCCATTTGATCATTACTGATTTCACTTCCTCATCTTTCGTTTCCCATTCCAAAAGGATGTTATGCATTTTCTTTTACAATTTTGAGTTCTCTCCTATTACTTCCTTTTGAAATTTAGAAACCCTGTATAAAAAACCTTTCTTATTGTCCTCTTAAAAAATATATTTTAGCTGCCTATGATGCAACCAACTTTGAAGATGTTCCTTTATTTCCTCATATTCTTTCAATTCTAGTTGCCCTTCCTATTCTACTAACAATTCTCTATCTGTCGGCCAGTCTCCCTTTCCCCCCAATGTTTTTAGTGATAATGCCTAATAGGTGATAACCACCAAGGTGTTTTGGGTTCTAATAGTTCTTTATATTTGTCCCATACTTTTAGCAACGCTCTTCTTATTATATGATTGTGGAATCCTTTATGGATTTTTGTTTTTCCGTACCATAGACAGGCATGCCATCCAAACCTATTTTCATGTCCTTCCAAGTCTGTCATCTCTTCTCTGTCAAGTTTGATCCAATCTTGGATCCATATTAGGGTTGCAGCTTTGTAATACAATTTTAAGTCTGGAAGTGAGAAACCACCTCTCTCTTTCATATCTGTATCTTATTTTTTATCCTCAGTTTTTTCCCATTCCAGGCAAATCTTGAAATTTATTTTTGCCATTCTTTGAAGCATGCAGTCCCTGCTATTATTGGTATTGTCTGAAAAAGAAATAACATTCTTGAAAGCACATTAATTTTTATTGCTGCGATCCTTCCTAAAAGGGATAGAGTCATCCTGTTCCATATTTCATGATTTCTTTTAACTTCTAGCCAAACTTTTACATAATTATCCTTATATATGGTAATATTTTTTGCTGTTAACCATATACCTAAATACTTTACTTTTTTGTGGGCTTCTATTCCTATCTTATCTGTTATTTCTTTCTTTTCATGTTCTTTAAGATTTTCTTAAATCTTTAAAAAATCTTACATTCTAATCTTAAGGGCCAGGCAACTTTTTGTGGGTACAGGTGGACAGAATCCTTCAAATAATATTGTCCTGAACTGTTTAAAGGTCATTATCAGCACTTTAAACTCCCCCGGAAACTAACAGGCAATGCATCTGCTACAGTATAAAATACAAACAACATGGTTTCTAAAAGATGTGGGGAGGGAAGCAGGTATTTATGATATAGCCAAAGTTTTCTTCATTCTGAGAATGACGGGACACGTACTGCCTTTGCACCCTATGAAAGATCAGCTGGGTTGTAGTTATTGCAGACTGGCAAATCTTGGCATATATACACACTGAGCTGAAATGGTTCCAAAGAACCAACAAAGGGATCATCGCAGGAGCAATCTGTTTCCTGAGGAAAGCGGGAAGGTACAAAATGCTCGCTCTCCCTCCCCAGGGATTGATCTTGCAAAGATTCCCATAATATTCTATATGTTGGTTTCATATGTGAATGTCATTTTCTTCTTTTCATGAAGGTCCCACCAAGCAGAGACACATAGACACAAAGTGGGATGCCGCTGCATAACATCCCGGCAAAAAGCCTTTTTTAAGTCAATAGCCACCATCGCCCAATAAACATTTGCACATCTCTGGATCATAGTAGGAAACATAGCAGAAAAGATTCAAATCTTACAGAGAGAAATGCTTCTGCCAGAACAGGATTCCCTGCAGCTGTCTGTACTTAGCTTCTCATGTGGATCCTTTGGATTTTATAGTGCAGGCCCCATACATACACAGCTTCCTGAGGGCCAGAGACACAGCTGCAGGGAAAACTGAGCTACACAATTTTATGCAAAGCCTCCTTGATGTATGTAGCCCTCCAGATGTTGGTCTCAATGTCCCATTATGCCTGACCATCGGTCATGCTGGCTGGGGATGATGGGAGTTGGAGTCCAACAATATCTGGGAAGTCACAGCTTCTCCGCCCCGTTGTATGTTTAGTCCTCACAATTTACAATGATGCATCACTACCTCCTTTGGTTAGTTATCTGCAAAAATAGCTTCCCCTCCCCTTTTCCCTGAAAATAAGCTATTAAGCCGTTAGAGAAAATGTCCCCCCCCCCTTAGTAATAGGAATATTACTACAATAGTATTTACAGGGATAGAGAACCTGTGGCCCTCCAGATGTTGTTAGGCTCTAAGTCCCATCATGCCTGATCACTAGCCATGCTAGCTGAGGCTGATGGGAGTTGGGGTCCCATAACATCTGGAGAACCGCAAGTTCCCCATCTTTGATCACCATTTATTTTCCTTCGCAAAATCATTCTTCTCTTTCAGAACTAGTTGACTAACATCCAAGCAAATTTGTAACGTTATAATTCCTCGATAAGAGTTTGCAGTTTATGAACGCTTCACATCACGCTTCAGCAATACACTAGTGTATTGGGTGGTTGATTCTATTATTTTATCATGTTTTGAGATAAATTGTTTTTCACCATTAGAAACTGAGATTCTCTGTGGGATCTCTTCAGCTTTGCCCGGCGATTCTGGAACCAGATCTGAAATTGTTCAAAAGGAAAAAAGGTACCCTTGTTACAGATCAACCATCTTCATAGCACCACTTAAAGGAAAGGGCTATGTTGGAAAATGAAGCCTCAGTGTACAACCACATACTAACATAAAATATTGCCACTGTGAGAATAGGATGGTGGAACAGATGGGCCTTTGACCTGATCCAGCAGGGCTCTCCTTATGTTCTTTGAGCTATGACATACCCAATCTGGGTGCTAGATTGAAATGAACACTTTGTAGATAAAGGAGAGAAGAAAACTTGTGGAATGGCTGCATTTGGTGATTGGTTTTAGGAAATCAGACTGTCACAGTCTCTGATGCGGATCTATCCAGACTTCTAAGCTACTAGAAAGTGCTGGCTGTGGATGCATGGTCATCCACTGCAGTCCAAAAAAGAGACCTGACTTTTAAAGCATTAAATGATGCAGTTAAAACCAAGATAAAAGTCCTCATCAGCACCTGAAGCAGAGTCAGAAAGTATTCTGAACAGCATCCAAAACAAGTTGCAACCAGGTTAGAAAATACAAATTGTGTCTACTTAGTAAGACCTAACTTCAGTCTGTTTGAAGGCAGATAAAAGAAAGTTGTTTAAAACTATGTGGAATTTTAAATTAAATGTTGGATAATAAGTCTCAGATTGCTAAATGCACTTTCATCATTTTGTAGTTATAACAAATCCTATTTTAAGTTTCTCATTCCACCTAAACAAAAGTTTGAAAAACGTACAGCACCCAATCCCATGCATGTTTACTCAGAAGTAAGCCCCACTGTGTTCAATGGAGCCTACTCCCTGGCAAGCATGCTTAGAATTGTAGCCTTAGTTTTTGCTGATATAAATTCCTAACATAATCATAATTTTACATTCTCTTGCAATCCTAAGTACACTTACTTGGGAGTAAAGATCATTGAATTCTGTATGAGTTACCTCTCACTATACAATCAAGACATCACACTTCCAAGTCTTAAATCCTGGCAACATACATGCTTTCGGGTTAAATAAAATGCATTTCTTTTATAGTAAGTTTATATTTAGGCAAATATATGTGGAGTTAGGGAGTGCAAATATATGCAGTGTCCTGTTTTCTCCCATAAAGTGCTCCAAAAGCAATCCCAAAACAGTAGGAGTCAGAATCTCTGCAGTTAATTATTATTTCCAACCACTGCGAGATCTGCTAAGCAGACAGACAGACATAATCACAGAAAGATTCAAATAATGCTATTCAAAAGTTACCTGGATCCTGTCTTCATCTAAATCTAATTTTTGAGCTAGTTCTTCTCTAACATCAATCCCAGGATAAGAGTTCACTCTGAAAACATTTTCCAGTATTTCAATCTAAGGAGAATAAAGAGGAACACTATTACTTATTTATTGTTCACTGCAGCAAAAAATCAAGTTGAATCGCCTGATAAAAACTGAGGTCAGATTCTAAACTTAAATACAAATCAACAGTAATCAACTAAGCTATTTTGAACAACAGTGATGATTACATGTTAACATCTATGCGTATTTTTATTCAGTAAATGAATGATTGTACAGACTTTTGTGAAACAGGCATTTCTGGATTCTTGCTAATAAATACCCTCTTACTAAACAATGCATCAAGCAAAACATCCATTCTTAGATTTATGAATAGGTTAAATGTACTCAATCCCTACCTGGCTTCGAGTGAATGCAGTTCTTGGCCTCCTACCTCTGTACCAACTCAATTCCCTTTTGTAAGAAAGCTTTTCATTGACTGCAAAATAGTTTTCACATTTCCGAACCCTTTCTTCTGCCTCTGGGTAGCTGATCGCATTAAACAATGGGATTGCATAGGAAATTGCAGGAAACCGTAGACAAGGGTTGCAATCCTCTCCTGCAAAGTCACAAATGCAGTATTTTAATACCATGAAATGTTGGGTTATACGTTTCAAACCTAAGAAAGACAAAACTGAAAGATAACAACCTGATTTTCTTTACAGCTTATTTAATGGATGCTTGTTAATTGTTCACTGCTTGTTAATTATCTTTTTTAAAGCCCTGAACTCAGGTTAAAAAGTTAAGAAAACAGAAATGAAGGTTTCCCTCTTACCCAAATCACTGCATTTATCCATCCATGGCCTGTGTGGCTTTGCAGCAGTCGTGCCATCTTTTTTCCGCTCTAACCCCAAAATGCTTTCAATGGAAAATGAACAAGATGCCTTTTTGCTTTCCCCAAGATTGGATTTGTCCTGATGGTTGTGAGAAGTTGCATTAAGAGGACAGAGTGATCTGCTTGCCATTCTTGTACTGTCAGCCTAGGTACCAAATGCACCATAGTTCAGGTTTTTCTTTCCCAGTTCCTGCTTATAGCTTTGTTGACAAGGGGGTTGGATTCGCCACGTCATTAATTAAAATCTTTTATTAGAAAGTTTTAGCATGTCAATGAAGATTCTCCCACCAAGAGGCACGAGGAGTTAATTGTTTATTTGTTTGCAAGTAATTAGCAACTAATGGTGACACCAGGGGGGGCACCAAGAGGGACAAAAAGTGTTATCTCGTCTAACCAGAGCATCAGACTTAACTTTCTCAAAAGAACCAGCGCACAAATATAGCACTTCTCTTTTATTTGAAATCATTAATGTATAAAATCAGGTTTCTTAAAAAAAATAACATTCTAATGGACTCCACTTACCTAAACATAACAGCATGATAGGAAACCAGTCAAGTAATAAGTAATCTCATTTAAGTGAATTTTCTTCCAATGAAATTTTAAAAATAATCTCTTAATGCTATTAGGGTAATCCTGATGAAAAAGCTTCTGTTTTTTCATATGCATATGTAATAGTGAACATGGTCAATAATATAACAATGGTGTTTGGCATAAGGCACACTGCAATGGGTTGGCAACGTTGTCAGAGCTCAGTGTAATTGTCTTCCAAGAGCATGGATTAGTTAACAGGAATTGTTGAACTAAGTAGTTTGAAAAGGTAGAAATTTGTTTGCTTCTCCCCAGCCCCCAGCACTTGTATTATGCTGATGTAATTTTATGCTGATATTCTAAGAGGAGCCCAACAAATACTTGTACAAAACTTTGGAGAACAATCCCAGTGAAAGCAATAGCAGAGGAACCTTTTGTTTTAAAAAAGCAGGATTGTACCCTGTATGCTACTGTTGCTTAGAGGGGAGGTGGTATTTAACATTAGTCAGTCTCATAGTATACCCGCTGGAATCAGTTAAGTAATTTCCCATCAATTTTAGTGGGTCTACTCCAAGTTGCAAAGTACACCTTTTTATATCAGAATCTGTTATGGGTGGTGTCTTGTATGACTCCTTCCGGCAACTCCTGCAGTCAAGCTGGTGCCAAACATATTGTTCTGCTTTCCTTTGGACCACATCCACTGGCGGAGCTTCATGCGCGTCCCGGGGGCGTGGCACGCCACCCACAGGGGCATGGCACCCAGCGGGGGCAGCCCTGATGGTAGCCCACCAGGATCCTGCTGCCGGGGGTGGTGTGCTCCCCCTGCACTCCTCTTCCTCTGCCAGTGACCACATCAGTGAGGCTGATTGGGGGTCTTGTCATCCATACACACTGCCCAACCTTGTGTCTGGGAGTTGCTTTTATGTGCTAAGTCAATTGGAATTTAGGTATCATAAATAATTAGTTTTTGCTATCCTAGTTTTTATAATGAACTAATGTAAAAAGTTGGTGGCACTGTGGTCTAAACCATTGAGCCTAGGGCTTGCTGATCGGAAGGTTGGTGGTTCGAATCCCGGCAACGGGGTGAGCTCCCGTTGCTTGGTCCTTCTCCTGCCAACCTAGCAGTTTGAAAGCATGTCCAAGTGCAAGTAGATAAATAGGTACCACTCCGGCGGGAAGGTAAACGGCGTTTCCGTGCGTTGTTCTGGTTTCGCCAGAAGCGGCTTAGTCATACTGGCCACATGAACTGGAAAAACTGTCTGCGGACAAAACGTCAGCTCCCTCGGCCAATAAAGCGAGATGAACACCGCAACCCGAGTCGTCTGCAACTGGACTTAACTGTCAGGGGTCCTTTACCTTTTTAAAGCATATAAAAGAAGTTTTGAAGTTAAATACATTTATTAAATGCATCAGTACTGTTTGTCTTTGGGATATTGTATTTTTTCCAATAAAGTATGAATGGGAAACTCAATTTCATCTCTGGACTCCACAACCTTACTGTCAGAAAGTTCCTCCTGATATTTTGCTGGAATCTCCTTTCTTGTAAGTTGAATCCATTAGCTTGGGTCCTACCTCCAGAGCAGGAGAAAACAAGCTTGCTCCATCTTCACTGTGACAGCTCTTTAGACATTTGAGATGGCTATCATATCTCCTCTCAGTCTCTTTTCCAAGCTAAACATACCCAACTCCTTAACCATTCTTCATAAGGCTTAGTTTCCAGACCATTGATTGTCTTGATTGCCCTCCTCTGAACACATTCCAGCTTGTCAATATCCATCTTAAATTGTGGCACCAAGAACTGGACACAGTATAAATAATAATAATAATAAAAATAATAATTGATCATTTATACCCCGCCCATCTGGCTGCGTTTCCCCAGCCACTCTGGGCGGCTTACAACAAAATATTAAAATACAATAGTCCTTCAGATATTAAAAGCTTCCCTAAACAGTATTCCAGGTGTGGTCTGACCAAGGCAGAATAGAGTGGTACTATTTCTTCCCTTGATCTGGACACTATACTTCTGTTCAAGCAGCCTAGAATAGTATTAGTTTTTTTGCTGCTGCATTACACTGTTGGCTCATGTTAAGCTTATAGTCTAAAACCTCTAAATCCTTTTAGTATTTACTGTTGGAAATCCAGGTGTCTCTCATCTTATATTTGTGCAGCTGGTTCTCCCTACCTAAATGTAGAGTTCTGTATTTGTCCCAATCTGTTAAAGACATTTTTAATTCCGATCCTGTCTTCTGTGGCATTAGCTACCCCTCCCAGTTTGATGTCATCTGCAAATTTGGTGTCATCTGCATCCTCTCAATTCCTTCATCCAAGTCATTTATAAAGACATTGAACAACAACAGACCCAGGACAGAACCCTGCGGCATCCCACTTGTCACTTTTTCCCAGGATGATAACCATTAGTGAGCGCTCTGGGTTTGGTCATTTAACCAGCTGTAAATCCACCTTACCCAGCACACATTTTGCCAGCTTCTCTGCAAGAATATAATGGAGAACTTTGTCAAAAGCCTCATTGAAATCAAGATACGCTATATCCACAGAATTCCCCTGAGTTGGGAATAACGGTTTAGCCGCATAGGTGAATTGTGCCATTTTGTGTCACTTTTTATTTTAAAATGAATGTTAAATTATTTCTTTTTGTTCTACAGTAGTTTGTACTGAAAAGAACATTAACATTAATAATAGCTCTATAATGCTGCCATCTAGTGTTGGCAATTTATTGGTGTAAGCTTTGGGGGTAAGGTAAATTATAGAGTTATTAAAAACATTAAAGTCTCTTTAATTCCTTATTCAAAAGAAATTTAAAAAATGAGAGCTTAATTAATCTATGAATAATAAGCTTACATTATTTTGCGTTAATAATCAGTTAATATTTGCATTTATCATAGTTTGTTTTCTGAGAATGGCTTCCATGGAAGGTAAAACCAGAGAAATAAATTACTTTATGTATGGCATACTACTGAAGCCTGCTTTGCTCCTTTCAAGTCCTTTTTTGCTGCCTTGGCTTAGTATGCTGACCAAACCCATGTTTGTGGTTAAGCTCTCTCCAGACTAACCTTAGGTTACCAGATGTACCCATTTCCCAGGGACAGTCCCTGGATTTACAAATCAATCCCCTGACAAAATCCTATCATTCCTATTGAAGTTGAAACGTGTCCCCAGATTCATTGAAAAAAAATCTGGTAACCTTAGACTAACCACGAGCTGTAACCAAAGTCTGTCTGGAGACAGGTTAAGCACAAGCCTGAATTCAGAGAACACATGAAGCCAATCTTTGGCTTATTTCAGCACAGGCTTGAAAAGGACCAGGGAAAAGCAAATTAGGTATGAGCTGCAACCAAGCCACACGTCTGTGCTCAGCCAAAGTTTAGTTCAGTGTGATGTGCACAACAACCTAGGGAAATAAGAGCACTCTGTTCCGCACCAGATGGAAACCCAGCAATGAAATGTGGGAAAAGATAGCAAGCAATCTGCAGCAGTGCAAAACATCCCATAAACATGTTCGACTTTAAAAATCCAGTATGTATACAAACTCTGCTCTTCTTTGGGAATACATTTACAAATAAAACAGTATTTGAAAGTTTATTGTGGAACCTTTGTTATCTGTTGGACTCTTGAAGTGAGCAGTGCTCTCAAGGTGTACGGTAACTATCTAGCTATACTTGTTCCAATTTTGCCAGTGAACTGTCTGTATTTATCTTCCGTCTAGGCAAGCAGGAGGGGTGGTGAGGGGTGCAGCCTAGGATAAGGAGCCTGGGTGTAGCTAGGGAGAAGGTATGGCCTGGAAAGAGTTCTGCAGGCAGATAGAGAAGGCTGGAGGGCTCCATTTGGCCTGCCTGACCTGAGGTTCCTCACCTCTATTGTGATTTATGTGAAGGAGGCCCCCCAGCCTGCTCACAGGTCCTTATATGATCAGTGAAAACAGTTGGTCCTGGCAAGTATTAACTGCTCTCAGTCTTAACATGATAACTGCCATTTGTCCAGATTTTAATTTGTCTGAATTAATTTGAAGATGTATTTTAATTAATTGATGCCTCTTTTTATGTATACTGTGTTATTTGTATGATGTTAGCCGCTCTGAGCCTGGCTTCGGCTAGGGAGGGCGGGATACAAATAAAATTTATTATTATCATTATCATTATCATTATTAAAATGTAAAGAGTGAATGGCAGATGTAGTATGGGTAACTAATGACAGTGTCCCTTATCTTCCTAAAGATGCAGTCACTACCGCAGAAAAGTATTTTACTCTGGAATGGGTTAAAAAACATGGTTGCACCTTGAGAGTAAGTGCAAATGCAGCCTTATTATGCTTTCTGGTGGTAATGTAACTTCAGTACATTGGAATTTTGATTTATGCTTTATTTCCTAAATTTTTTAAAAAGAAACATTGGACTATTTTGATGTACTATTTTGATGTATCTGGCAGCCCAGCCAGTGCCGTCTCAGTATACATAAAAAGAGAGGGGAAAAGGTCAAACCAGGAAAAAACCATAATGGCCTAGGCTGCAGTTCTATACACTTACCTGGGAGTAAGAACCACTGAATTCAATACTGTAGTGCTTATTTCTGAGTAGACATTAGATTACACTGCTAGTTAATCATTTCATTAAAGGTCTTACTTTTTCTAAGTCAGTTTGTATTACACATGGTAAATATTTGATAACGGAGTAATTCTTATCATAATGACTTGGGTTTATATATACTGTATTAATGTACTGCTGCATGTATCCCAGTCTCTGAGCAATGAGACTGCTGGGATTTCTGTGCTTACCTAGGGTTCTATTTTCTTGGAATGAAGGTCAATAGAAATTTTGGTGTCTTTAGGATATGTGGTTGCATTTACACATATATACAATTTAAGCATAAGATCAGCTCACAGCATTAACACACAAACATATCAATTCTCCATTGTTCCAGGGAACCTCCAAGCCACAGTGCTTGGGTCCAGCACAGAGCATGACATACCTGTCTCTTCAGCATCCAGTATCAGCCAAAACTTACCCACAAAAACCTGGCTACCATTCTTCTACCTTTCAAGGTGATCTTGATTCCAAGTAGGGGCAGAGTTAACCCCACTTGTCTATATGGCAGCATGGCTAATGTAAACAGCACTATTATACTGCCTGCCATTACCTTACCAAAGGAACAGGTTCAACTGGTTTCCTCAGAGATTCCACCCCCACATACACTGGATCACAGGTTTGAAGGGACCCATGGGTGTCATCCAGACTGACCCTGGCAAACTCACAACAGTATTCTTAAAGTGCTCAGTAGAACTTTATTTTAAAAACAGTACTAATATATGATCAATTCTTTTTGATTGGCCTCAGACACTTTGCTGTTGGCTAGGTAAGCATAATGTTGGATAAGCAGAGCATACTCCCTCCTCCTAATGAGTTAACCAGCTGGCAGTTATTAAGACTATGGACATCATTTTCAAATCCATCTGGAATTTGCAGATCCCAGGCTCTGCATGCCTCTTAATATATTTCGACCCATTCTCCTTTCGTATCCAAAGAATAAAATAATATTGTAAAGCAAAAAAAGCCAAAAAATCCCCACACAAATAAAACCGTGTTTAAAAGATCCACTTAACAACAGAGATGTGTGCTAGGCCGCAAAGCAGTAATTTTAAGAGTCGGGGCTGGGAGGGGGAAAAGGGCATCGGAAGCGGCGGCTGGGATGACACGCAACATGGCGTGCCTGTGCCATCCTTTGCCCTCGCTTCATGGAGAAGCCCCGCTGTGACTGGTGAGGACTTGCTCCCAGGTGAGCCTCGCGCAGAGGGCGACCAGCCGCAAACCCTCTGAGGGCCACACGGGGTGGGGGAGGCAGTGCAGGAAAGGCCGCCAGCCCCGGCGCAACAACCCCCGCAGGAGAGGCCAAGAGAAGAGCGAGCCTGTGGATCCGGATTAATAAATACGAGGCCGCGCGCCTCCTCCTGCTGCTGCTTCTTCGGTTCGGAGTGGCCGCCTTCTCAGCCAATGGGAAGCGGGCGGCGCGCGGTCCGCCGCGTCTGAGGGAGGAGGCGGCGGCAGCAGCGGCGGCCTTCGCAGCCGCGGCCCGCTGCGTGGAAGTGCCGGGGCGGGATTTCCTGAGCTTCCCTGTTGTGGCTGCTCGGGGAGGAGGGAAAGGGGAGGTGCCAAGCGGCGGGCGAGCGGCCGGGCGAGAGCGCGAGGGTGGAGACCCGTCAGCTGGGTGCGGCGTGAGGGGGCAGCTGGGCCGGTCCGGCCTGTGGAGATCCGTCCGCCGACATGCCTGGGATAGACAAGCTGCCCATCGAGGAGACGCTGGAGGACAGCCCCCAGGTGAGGAGGGGAAGCGGCGGGAGAGACAGCGAGCTGAGGGCCCTCGGCGCCGCGAGGCGGGCGGGCGGGCTGGTGGTGGGCTGCGAGCCCCATCCCTCGCTGCCACCATCCCGGAATAGTAACACTTCGCTCCCTCCCTCCTTCCTTCCTCTCTTATCTCCCCCCCGCGCCGTCGCCGACCGCCGCCTCACGAGCGACTCCATAGCTACAAGGAGCCTGTGCAAAAACTGTCCCGCCGCGGTCTGGTCTTTCCGCTTCGCCTTCTGTAGCATCTTCTCGAAGTGACACGGAGGGTTTGCTGCACCTCGCATGCAGAAGTGCTTCTGCTAAATCTGTGGGGAAATGGTCTTCTGCGTGGGCTCAGCGTTTAGACTTGTTTGGGGACGGCCCCCTGCCCTGTTCCAAGTCGCCACGGGGCGCTTAAATGGAGTCCCAGGAAGCATAATCACGCGACTGTCTTAGGCACAAAAATAATCAAACCCAAAAGGCCTTCCTCACTCCTTTTTTTTTTTTTTAAGTCCTTGGCTAGTGTAAAGGAAGCACTGTCTCCTTTCCCCATGTTTGGGCTGTTGGGGGTTAAATGGGGATGTTGCTTCTGTCGAGTATAAAATCTGGAGGGTATGTACAGGGTGGGACATAAGAGCTCTTTCAGCGTTATCGTGATTTTTATACAGTATTGTATTCCCCCACCCCACTGAAGGTCTTTTTCTCAGGTCCCACAGAGTCAAGGGAGACAGTCTAGTAAGGGCAGTAGAGCCCAGTGAAATCTGTTCCTGCCTTAAATTGCTGTGCAATTATTGAAATTGCTGCCTCAGTTTCCTCACTACACCCTTACTCCTACATTTGGTGGATTTGTTTATCAGTGACTTTAAAACTGCTGCCTTACATGTAGTGTTAGCTCAATTGCCTTGTAGGGACACCTGTTCAAAGATTACGTTTAATAATGTACCATTGCCTTATGCACATCTACTTTGAATTTTGTTTTCTTGTAAGTGTGATTGTTTTCAGGTACAGTTACCTTGCAGTCCACTCCTATGCACAATTAAACATTCATTTTTAAAAACTGAAATACAACAAAATTCTTGTGAACCACATACTGTCTCAAGAAAATTTGACAGATGCTTGCCTGTTGAGTCTCAAAAAAGCAAAGATATGTAACAATATACAGTAATGCTTTGAAAACGTTTCAACCACTGAGTCGGTATGTGACTAGATTGGAAAGAGATGATGGTGATTAGCATCTTCTGTTTCTTTTGAATAATTGGCTTCATTATCTCATATGTTGCTGTGTAAGAGATGTTTTACACTTCCTGTGATCTCATCTAAACAAGCTTTCAGAGTAGTGCTTTGCAGTCTCCTGTTTATGGTCTTGGCCACAGCAATAACATTAATGTGCAAATGTTGTACGATAGATGCAACTTTGTTAGATTGAGTTTTTATACTAAGTAAGAGATGGACTACATATAAAATATGGAATTGATCTAGACCTAGTCTAGATATTCATTAAATCTAGAAGATACTTCTACCTCATCTACCTTATCTTAAAATCCCTTCCAGAATTATAGAAATTTAAAAAGAGGGGTTATTTAGTTAAGGGTTAGTCAACAAAATGCACTCCAGATATTGTTGCACTATGTCTCCCACCATCGCTTGCTGGTGATGATGGGAGTTCTAACCCAACAATATCTGGAGGGCACAGTGTTTGCTACCCTGCTTTAGTTCATCATGCATCAATAAGATGGATGGTGATTTTCCCCTAAAGATGTAAATGGGCAAGAATTAAAGTATAAAATGTTTCAAAAAAGGATTCTCTAGAGACCAGAGGCATTCAAGTTGCTGCTAGCTTGATTAACAAACAACAATCAGACCTTGAAGCACAACAGATTTTAGGGGTACGATGCATAATTTCCTATATCTTAATGAAGTTGTTTTCAAACTGTGTTCTGGGGTTCCTCAAAAATTTAAGGATGCGTCATTCAGAAAATCAGCAATGTGGGCAAGTGTGCTCATTACTAGCAGTCTCCTTATAAAGCTACCCCCTGGGGCCCATTTGAGAACTAAAAATTACTGAGGTCCACCAATCACAAAATTGTGCTGCAGGGGTTGGATAGATGCAGAAATTAGCACCATCTGCTGACAATTACTAACATCCAAAAATCATTGTGCTTGTGGAATGACTTCATTGAGTGCAATGAACTTCTCCAAACTGGTCTGGAGGGTTGGAGGAAGCCCCAAAGCAAATTTAGGGGTCCTTCCTCCTCTGAATGAGGGAGCTGCTGCTGCTAGCATCTAGCCAACCAAAAGTCTACGGTACAATCAGGGGGTGGGTTGTAGCATTGAGGCAGGACCAGAAAGTGGGCTACCGGCCACTGTTGGTCCTTGAACCAGTTTGAGGAATGCTGCTTTACAACTCTCAGCTACAGTTTGACATATTCTAGGAATCTAGAATGTATTCTCAGTGTGGTGATATAGACCTGGACAGCGTTACTCTTGAATCAACTGTGCATGCTACTGATGCTTCAATACCCTCTGCAATGTACAAGAATTCCTTTACAGAAGTTCCTCATCAAACTAGCATAAACAGGTTTCCCTGAAAGTGGTAAGCTTTGGCATAACTCAAAGATCCGTCATGCAAGCAGACAAAAACATTCAGCAAAGTTCTCAAGCTTGAGCATTCAACTGATAAAGTGTAAGCATAGGATTGTACTGTTGGCATCACAGGAATTTGTACCCATACAGGGTCATTTATCACAACCTCATTTTCTTATTCTAAATTCTTGTATCTGCAAAGTGTGAAGTTTCCTTCCCTTGCTTTGCATAGCATAAGGACTCTTTCTTCAGAAAAATAATTTCTCTTCCAGAGTCCAAAGGGGCCTTTGAGAGCATATCCATTAGTACACACCCCTATATAAGATAACTGAAGTTTGTTACACGTACACTTTAACTTCACACTGTCTCATTTAACCAGCAATGGAAGCTTTGTTGAATTGCAGAACTGGATCAACTCTGATTTTGTCATGATGACAAATTGAAAGATTGGAGGCAACGCACACTGAACAAACTGTGGCTTACTTAAATTCACTGCTTAAGCAAAATTTGACTCATAGCGTTCCTGACTCTTATCCACAATGCTACACCAGTCTAGAACATTAATAAGTTTTTACACACATTATATTTTATCAGAAGCTACTATTTTAATAGGTTTACTTCCTTTTGGAGAAGAAAATATACATTCTATTAAAAATTCATTTTGACTCAACTTTTGAAGGCATGTGATTGCACATAAATTATAAAATGAATAGATAAGGCTATAATCCCAATATCTGTCAAAATTATTTTCCACTGAGCTCATTTCTTGATGAACATGCATAAGATAAGGATGGAGAGATCATTTAACATGACAGTACTACAACAATAATAATAATAATAATATAAATAAATAAATAAATTTATACCCCGCGCATCTGGCTGGGTTTCCCTAGCCACTATGGTTGGCTTCCAACAAAGATTACAAAATACAATAGTCCTTCAGATAGTAAAAGCTTCCCTAAGCAGGGCTGCCTTCAGATGTCTCCTATAAGTCTGGTGGTAGTTTTTTTCCTCTTTGACATCTGCTGGGAGGGCGTTCCACAGGGCAGGCACCAGTACCGAGAAGGCCCTCTGCCTGGTTCCCTGTAACTTTGCTTCTCCCAGTGAGGGAACCGCCAGAAGGCCCTTGGCGCTGGACCTCAGTGTCTGGGCAGAACAATGGGGGTGGAGACGCTCCTTCAGGTATAGTATTGTTACCATGTTAGGACAAAAACCACTGTACTGAGAGCCAGTGTGGTGTAGTGGTTAAGAGCGGTAGTCTCGCAATCTGGGGAACCGGGTTTACGTCTCCGCTCCTCCACATGCAGCCTCTGGGTGACCTTGGGCCAGTTACACTTCTTTGAAGTCTCTCAGCCCCACTCACCTCACAGAGTGTTTGTTGTGGGGGAGGAAGGGAAAGGAGAATGTTAGCTGCTTTGAGACTCCTTAAAGAGAGTGAAAGTCAGGATATCAAATCCAAACTCTTCTTCTTCTTCTTCTTCTTCTTCTTCTTCTTCTTCTTCTTCTTCTTCTCAAATAGCAGCATAAAGGCTGTTCTACTACTCCAGAGGTGCAGTATTTAAACAGTTCCACAAATAAAAACATATTCATATAGCTGAATAATAAAAGATGAGCTAAAAATGTAGTGTCCTTTCTGGCACCAAAAGAACAGCAAGTTTGATGTTAGGCAAGTGTCAATGGTAAGCTGATTAGTAGTTTACAAGCACACCTAGGTAGTGTTTGTCATTCCAATTTAAATCCCAAAGTAAATAGAGCTCGGGTGGTGGCTCCAGTTTTAATGTCTACACTTCTAAATAGCTCATAGTCAGCAATACAAAAAGTAGGGCATACATTATAGGTGTTGGCATTTGAAATAGATTTCATGCCTTCTTTGGAATCCATAATGATCTATGATAGGCATAAGAAAATAGCAGGCCAGTGGGGGAGAACTTGTGGCCCTCTAGATGTTGCTGGACTACAGCTATCATTCCTGACCATGGACATAGCCAAGGGGGAGCAGCGGGTCATCTACCCCCCCCCAGAGCAAGTAAATCAATACAAATACTTAACTAACTAAGGTTCTGCCCCCACTAATATGAAGCCTGCCCACCAAAATAAATCGTGGCTACATCCATGTCCCTGATCATTGTTCATGTTGGCTTGAGCTGATGAGTCCAACAACATGGAGGACTGTAGCTTCCCTATTCCTGCTCCATCCCTCCCTTTTTCAAACAGCTGCTCAATGATCTGTGGTCACTGAGTATGCACGGTTGTTAATAGGTCTGCACCATAGGGTTTAAAGTTTTTTTGTACTTCTGCAAACATAAAGGTTAAATAGCTGTTTTGGCTATTTAAGGGTCAGCGCTTGACTATGATCACATTCATGTACTTGAGGCACATGCCTTCCCCCAATGAATCTTGGGAACTGTAGTTTACCCTAACAGCTACAATTCCCCACACCCTCAACAAATTATAGTTCCCACAGTTGTTTGGGGGAAGAAGCTATGTGTTTTAAATGTAAAATGTGGATGTGACCTATGAGTTTGTTAATAGTATATAGGATATAGAATAAATGATTTTATTCCCCCTCCCCCCCAAAAAAGAAGTAAATACAGAAGTTTATGCTCTTTGAAACTTGAGATTTATGGGACATCTTAAATTGAACCAGAAGCTGTAAAGTTAGTCTTTCCCTCTCTCCCCCTCTGTGTTTGTTTGTGTGTGTATGTGTGTATTACATAGACCAGAAGCTATATATTCCAGTACAGTGGTACCTCTAGTTACGAACTTAATTCGTTCTGGAGGTCCATTCTTAACCTGAAACTGTTCTTAGAGGCGTGCTTTCGCTAATGGGGCCTCTTGCTGCCGCTGCGCCGCCAGCACACGATTTCCGTTCTCATCCCGGGGCAAAGTTCTCAACTTGAGGTAACTCTTACAGGTTAGCGGAGTTTGTAACCTGAAGCGTTTGTAACCTGAGGCGTTTGTACTTGGTCTTCATTAGCAGCTAGGTGGATGGAAAGCTCACAAGGAGGACATGCTGGAAATGGCTGTGTCCATTGTTTGTCATCAGGTTCCCCTAACTGGAAGCATAAGCTGTCTTCAAAGACACGAGTTCAAGTTCTTGTTATTACAGCATGTAGCCATCGATGAACCTATTATCCATAATTCTAGATTCAGGTAGGTAGCCGTGTTGGTCTGACACAGTCAAAATATTTATAAAAAGTTTGTCCAGTAGCACCTTAAAGGTAAAGGTAAAGGTACCCCTGCCCGTACGGGCCAGTCGTGTCCGACTCTAGCGTTGTGTGCTCATCTCACTTAAGAGGCCGGGAGCCAGCGCTGTCCGAAGACACTTCCGGGTCACGTGGGCAGCGTGACGAAGCTGCAGCTGGCGAGCCAGCACCAGCGCAGCACCCGGAAACGCCGTTTATACCTTCCTGCTATAAAGCGGTACCTATTTATCTACTTGCACTTAGGGGTGCTTTCGAACTGCTAGGTGGGCAGGAGCTGGGACCGAACGGCGGGAGCTCACCCCGCCGCGGGGATTCGAACCGCCGACCTTACGATCGGCAAGTCCTAGGTGCTGAGGTTTTACCCACAGCGCCACCCGCGTCCCTTAGTAGCACCTTAGAGACCAATGAAATTTGTTCTTGGTATAAGCTTTCGTGTTCATGCACACTTCTTCAGATAGTGTATCTGTATCTGAAGAAGTGTATCTGAAGAAGTGTGGTAGTGTCTTAGGAGGTGCTTTCTGCTTCATGACTGCTAGACGCATGTCAAATGCCTAGTAGCAATACATTTTATTCCAATATGTTTTGAGTCCCTGGAAACTAAAATCTAGCTACTACACTATAATTTTAATGTTATGAATGTACATTGTTATTTTTAGACACGTTCCTTGCTGGGTGTATTTGAAGAAGATGCTGCAGCCATTTCCAGATACATTAGCCAGCTGTATCAAGCCATGCACCGAATTTATGATGCACAGGTAGGGTGATTATTGCAGAATGCATATGTTAGCTACTCTTGAGTTAGCTCTCCAAAATAGTGTGTTTTATGTTTTCTATATTCTATATGTGTCTTTGGTTCTTTTTTTCTTTCTATTCTTTCCCTTTCTGTCCATTACTTCATACTCCAACTACTAACTGCCTTGTACCGACATTCCATGTGAATATGTGTCTTTTCCTTGGTTTTTATTTGCTTATTTTTTCAGCTGCTGTTCTCCTCCTGGTTAACTTGTTCACCTGCTCTGGAGCACTATCCAGCTGCTCCTTTCAGAGTTCTGAGGCTGCTCCCAAAGCTATGATAACTGCCTTCCTGAACTCCACTCTCCCTCTTCCCTCTCTCCCCACCACCACAGCACATATGAGCTCATGCACGCACACCTAATTATTACTATTTAACTGCCTCCTTTGTGAGTGTAGTTTTTAATATATGTATACTTCTACATACCTTGTCGTTCCCCCAGGGATGCAGAAAGCTTCCTTCTCATTTGTTGGGTTTTCTTCCAAACTGATTGGCAGGGGACTAATCTTGCTGTTAGAGAGAATGATACTGCCTTTTGTTTTGAATGATGGTCCCTTTTACATTGACTTAACAGCAATCTAAGTGTGATCATGTATTGTTGGTTTAACTTAGAAATGCCTGGTATCTGCAGCTTCTGGTTCAAAAGTGTGAAATTTATGATATGACAAAAAAGATATATATTTTTTTACTTAATAGCTAAGCACCACCTTACCATGGTCAAATAATCCATAATGTTGCACCCAGAGTGGCTCTTTGCAGTTGTGTGGTGTTTTTATGAAATCTACAGTATATTTTCATTATCAGTGCAAAGTAGGAAATATTTATTGTCTTTTTTTTCTTAACCAGAATGAATTAAGTGCAGCAACACATTTGACTTCAAAGCTTCTAAAGGAATATGAGAAACAGGTATGAATGAACATATTTGGGTTATGTTCTTAGAACTCTACAATTTTATGTTACAATCTGAAGATTGCTAGCCTCTTATACTGGGTCAGCTTATGTTCATTTAATGCAGGGCGGGGAATTGGTGTTCCTTGGTTGTTGTTGGACTCCCACCTTCCATCAGCCCCAGCCAGTCTGGCCAGTGAAAATCAGAACTGTAGTTCAGCAACACACATTCACTACCTCAGCTTTAAAAGTAGCCAGTCATGTGGGAATTAAGGAGGTGAAGTGTTTCCTGTTTCTTTATTTCTGTGCCAGGCAGGGAAAGCTCCATTTGCTTAATTTCTTCATGTCATGCTTACTGTCAAAAACACAGAACCTGACTAGTAAAGAAACAGCATCCAAGTTAAAACCACCACGAATAAGCAGATTTAACATTTCAGTTTTAGAACAACATAGGCATTCTACTAACATCAGCTAACTTGTCTTTTTGTCAGGTATGTTCATTCAAAAAAGTTCCATAAATACATTTTTTCTTGGCCTATAATCATCCAGGAATTTCCATTTTTGAGCATATCAGTGCTATTAGATACCAGCATATTTTACTAAAGCTTTGGAGTGTTGTTCTAAATCTTTATAAGAAAAGTAAACGGAGGTTAACTTCTGAGTAAAATATAAGTTTTTGTTTTGGTAGCGCTTTCCCTTGGGAGGTGATGATGAAGTTATGAATTCTACTTTGCAGCAATTTGCAAAAGTGATAGATGAGGTAAGTTTGTATGTGTGCTGCTGTTCTTTTTTAGACTCACATTTGTGTATTTACAAATCATAGTGATGGTTTGCAATAGTCCAATTAATACTGAGCCTTTTATGTAAAACTGGTGACTCTTCCCCTTTTCTGATTCTTTCAATGAAGAGTCTCAGTAGAATGCCTTAAATTAGGAAGGGCCTGTTGTGCTTCTAAAGCAACAGAGCATGTGTGTTTTCTGCATTTCTTTAAGTTCATTTAAGAGTAACGTCCTACTTGTTATTCATGGTTAGTGCTATAATTGTACCAGAGGGCCTTCTTTAGGATTGGTACCCCATTGTGCTAAAAGGCGTAGTTCCTGATAAATTGAAAGAAGTCAAGTTTAATAGTTATGTTCTTTTGGTGACAGCATTTCATGGCTGAAGAAATTGGTGTTTAACTGTTGAAGAGACAGGTGACTGTTAGAGAAAGCTTTTAGCCTATGTTAAATGTTACTTTAATCTCCAGAATGTAATTGTCAATGAGGTAAAGGTAAAGGGACCCCTGACCATTAGGTCCAGTTGCGGATGACTCTGGGGTTGTGGCGCTCATCTTGCTTTACTGGCAGAGGGAGCCAGCGTACAGCTTCCGGGTCATGTGGCTAGCATGACTAAGCCGCTTCTGGCGAACCAGAGCAGCGCACGGAAACGCCGTTTACCTTCCCGCCAGAGCAGTACCTATTTATCTACTTGCACTTTGACGTGCTTTCAAACTGCTAGGTTGACAGGAGCAGGGACCGAGCAACGGGAGCTCACCCCGTCGCAGGGATTCGAACCGCCGACCTTCAGATCGGCAAGCCTCCTTGTGCTTTTTATCTCCCTATACTATAGTTTTGTAGGTGTGATGATATAGTTTGCATGGCCACCCACAGGCGGCCATGCCAACTTCAGTGCAACAAGAGAGCAGCAGGCAAACAAATGAGCAAGTGTGGGCGGGGGGTGGAGAGCCAGCCTAGGTCAGCTGCTGAGGAAGAAGAGATGCTTAATGTGTTGGGGGGGAGGGAGCACTTCAGGGATAAATTTTCCAAACCACTATTTGAAGCACGTCTCACCGTTCTTTAAGTGCTGCTCCAGGAATGTGAGGATGCTTCATAGAGTGCTTCAGCAAATCACTCTTTCATGCACCCTATCTCCATTAAACACATAACAACCTGTGAGGGAAGAGCTGTTTGAGCAAGATGTGAAAGAAGCAGGCTGGGATTTGGTGTGGGATGAGTGGAGGAGGTGGGGAGTTTGGTCAGGTGTTGGGGAAGGGACATTGGCCAGGTGTGAGAGATTGGTGGGGTTGAGGAGGGGGAAATAATTAGATCCTTGATCTGTACAAAATTCATAAGGCAGTCCCTGTCCAAATGACCCTGCTACCTAACTTACACAAATACCATGAATAAACACTTTGACGTTTTTACAATCAATTTACAACCAAATTTTAGGAAACAAATAAATAAACTAAAACCTGTTGAAGGTCGAAAGACTAGGACAGACTTTATGAAGGAAATGAGTTGTAAGGACCACCCTGTGCATATCTGTTCAGAGAGTTCAGTGACACTTGCTTCCAGATAAGGATGTGCAAACTGGGGTGGCTGTACGTAACTTTAATTGGCATTACTAGAATGTCGAAGTGCTTAATTTTGGCTGGATTGTGCCCCCTTTGTCTGTTTTTAATGAAGACTTGTAAGTTACCTTTAGTTGAAACTTGATGTTTGCATTAGTTGACGTATTTGTGAAACAGGAGAAATCTCTATCTGCAGATAAAATTGTGTACCTTTGTGGTTTTCCCCTCTCCTTAGCTCAGTTCTTGTCATGCAGTACTATCAACTCAATTAGCTGATGCCATGATGTTTCCCATTACCCAGTTCAAGGAAAGAGATCTAAAAGGTACGGTAGTTACTGTCACAAATGATGTAGAGAAGTTGATCATGCTTCAGTTCACATAATTTGAATTTATAACATACTCTGGTTTCAGTAAACAGAACTCCAGTATTATATTTTAGATACTTTGAAAATTATTATTCATTGCAGTTTTTTGGTCTTCAGAGTCACTTTTGAGTGGAAAAGTAGGCTAATTGAAAAAAGAAAATAGGCAGTAGTCAATGCCTATTAGACATTTAGAAATATAAGGCTGAACCCTTATGCACATTTACTTGGATCTTTTTTCAGAAATAGAGTTGCAAAATTGGTTTTCTGTACTGAATGTTCAGTTGTCCAATTATAAAACCCTAAATCAAGTCTTTTTCTATATTTTATAGTACAATTAGCAAAACTGCTTTGATATTATGTGCTTCCTTAAATAAAATGCATTCATTTCAGAGATTCTGACTTTGAAAGAAGTTTTTCAGATCTCAAGCAATGGTAAGTATACCTTAAATGTTAATTCTCTGGCACTTCTTTAATGTTATGACGTATGGCTGAACTCTTGAAAATAGTGAGGCTTTACAGATGTTGTGCAGAGCTTTGAGAGAAGTGAAGCATTAACATAGACTCCATTTCTAGCTTCAGTGGGTTTTTTTTGCTAATTTGTTGGCTGAAGTAGGTATCCTTTAATTTGAAAGTTTGAAGACATAGTTATTTTAAACACAGTGGATGGGAGGAAACTCTTTACAGGTTGGTAAGCCCTTGGCATTCAATTTGCTAGCAAACTCTTACCATAATAATATCTCAAAAACTATTAAAATACTTCCAGAATAACTAAACGCATGGGGGAAATCTTAGTAGCTATTGTGTATTAAAATATCCTACTATGGCATTTCATAATTTAAACAATTCTGTTGTGGGTAGTGAACCATAGCTTCTATGAAGAGAAGCTTATTTTATCCTTAAATTAAGCACTTACAGTGTTATAGAATTGTAGAGTTGGAAGGGACCCTGAGGGTCCCTTAAACTTAAATTGTTTTGTAGCTGCTACTCAAATGCAGTGTAAACTTCATTTTGCAGATCATGATACTGCCATCACCAGATATAGTCGACTGTCAAAAAAGAGAGAAAATGAGAAGGTTTGAGAAATTTTCAATACAGCACTTAGATTTCATGTTATAGAATGGCTACAAAATCTGGTAATTCTTAAATGATGCACATGCTTAATTATATTAACTGTTACACACCTCCAGCAGTTCAGACAGTCTTGCATAGAAAATATATATTGTTCCATTGTAAATGTGTCATGTGGAATTTTTCTTTGAAAATACATATTTCAATACAGCAGAATGGGGAGAAGGCATTAGTTCTTTTTTAAAAACATGAGGTGTTTATATTTTAAATCTCCAGAGCTTAATGCCTGTTAACTACAACCTGGTCATGAATAAGGAGGCTGATTTGCTGTGGCAGAGATCTGGTTGGGTGGACCAACTCCAAATTACCCTCTCCTGGGTAATTTGGAGCAGCACCAGCATAGATTGAAAGGTAGAGGAAGGGGGTGTTGCATCTATCAAAATGTCATCTCTTTTACAGGAAGCTAGTGTGCTTGAGTGCTAAATTTGAGGGTTGGAATTTAGTGCTGGACCAAAGAGACAAAAAAGGCATCCTCTAAGTATACCACCCACCCTACTATCCAATTGTTTCCTGTCAAAGCTGGCTGAGGTGGTCTCAAAGGTGGTGTTGGAGAATCCACAGACGGTTGTACTGAGGACTTCAGCATCCACACTGAGGTTGTCTTCTTAGGTCCAGCTCAGGAATTCATGGCCTCCATGACAACCATGGGGCTATGTCATAAGAGCAGCCTGCTGGATCAGGCCAGTGGTCCATCTAGTCCAGCATCCTGTTCAGGGAAGCTTTTAATGTTTGATGGGTTACTGTATTTTAGTATTTTGTTGGAAGCCGCCCAGAGTGGCTGAGGAAGCCCAGCCAAATGGGCGGGGTATTATTATATTCATACAGTGGCCCAATTGCTAGTGATCGTTGATCTGGGCTTTGCCACACAGTGGACCTATCTGGTTCTGTGATTGGGGTGGTTGTCCTTAATACTTTCTCATGGATGGTCTGTTTCCTAGTATAGTTTTACTTGACACCCAATTCCCCTCCATAGGTATGAGGGGACTGATTACAGTGGTGCCAAGCAAAACGAAATTAATTCGTTCCATGAGTTTTTTCGTCTTGCGTTTTTTTTCGTCTTGCGAAGCACGGTGTCGGGAAAGTTTTGGAAAAGCTTCAAAAGTCTTCAAAAACTTCAAAAAAGGGGGGTGCTTGGGAGGGAGGGAGAGGCGGGCGCGGGGCGTGGGGGGAGGCAGGGCAGAGGGTGCTGCCTGAGCCCCGGGATCAGGTCGGCTCGCCTTGCTCCGACCCTTTGCACTACAGTCGGCGCCGTCTTGCTGCTGCTGCTGCTGTCGCCGCGGTAGTCAAAACTCCTACTGGCCTAAAAGTTGTCTCGTGCAAAATCCCTTCTGCAGCAGCAGCAGCCCGAAAGAAAGCGAGAGCGCCAGCCAGCCAGCCGCCCGCCACGGGCAGGAGGGAGGGAGGGAGCGTCGGCGACGGTGGATGCCTATTGCCCCTGTTGCTGCTGCAGCCGGCCAGCCAGCCAGAAGCGCGCGAGCGGAGAGGGGTGCATCCAGCCCGTTGGAGAGGAGCGTGGGGGCGCGTCCCCGGTGGCTCCCGAGCTGACCTTGCCTGGCCCGGCGCCTTCCACGCTGCCAAAGGGCGACTCACCTGCTGCCTGCGCTGCGCCGGGACTAACTCGAGCGGGGCGAGGAGAACACACACTCGCGCGCACACACACTGAGAGGCAAACTTGCCGCAGCCGTAGACGTCGCGGGGTTGGAAAGCGCGCGGGCAGGCGCTCTTGTCACCGCCGGGGCGCTGGGGGGGGGGGAGAAGGAAGGAGCCCCGTCCGAAGAGCGCCGGAGCCTGGCCTCCCTAACTGGGAGTTGTGGGGAGGGAAGTGTGCTCGCCTTGCTATTTTTCGCCGAAACAAAGCTCCCTCTCCCTCAGAACCCGCCTTCACGCGTTCTTGCCCCTACGGAGACGCACACCGCGTGCTTTGAGTTGCTCCTCGAAGTCAAGTCGCAACTGTATTAACGGTTTTAAGAAAAAGGAAACAAACTTGCAAGAGGTTTCCGTCTTGCGAAGCAAGCCCATAGGGAAAATCGTCTTGCGAAGCAACTCAGAAATGGAAAACCCTTTCGTCTTGCGAGTTTTCCGTCTTGCGAGGCATTCGTCTTGCGAGGCACCACTGTAGTATGATCTACCCCTAGAGGCTTATGAAATCTAATGAGTTCCTGAATTCACTGGGGGATTTTCTGTTTAACATGTCTGATGCTCCTGCTGAGGCCCTGGTCTTGCTGTGGAATGGTGAGGTGGAGAGGAGAGGCAGTTGGCAGGATTGCTCTTAAACACCTCACACTCCAGAGCCTAAATTGTGCCTTGGTTTTCTACTGAGCTTTTGATGTTGAAGTAGATCAGAAGAGAGCTGGTGCATATGTTCTGTAGTGCAGCCTATCTAACACTATACGCTGCCAGGCCTAGTTTAAGGTGCTGATGTTAACATACAAAGCTCTGCACAACTTGGCTCCTATGTACTTGATGCAACATCTTTACCCATATCAGTCAGCCTGGGCTCTGAGATTGGCTGAAGGAGCCCTTCTTGTCTCATTGGCGAGTGTTGCTTGCTGTATGTGGAGGTTACACTGGGCCTTCTTGGTGGTTGTTCCTGACTCTGGGGACTAGTTCTCCCTTGAGGCACAGGTGGCCACATCCTTGATGGGCTACTTAGAACGTTCTTGTTCTCCAAGGTTTTGGAAGGATTTGGTTAAGCTTGCTTTGGGATTGGCTTTATTGCTCTGATGATCTTAATTTATTATTTTAATTGTTTTATGGTTTGTGTAACTTTAGTTATATAGGACAGTGTTTGTGAACATAACATGTTAATAATAAAATAAAAAAGAGTTGTTACTTAATAAATGTCATGTAAAACGATTATTTCATTGGCACAATACACTGCCTTGAGTCAGAAATTCTGTTTCTCCTCAGGTCAAGTATGAGGTTACAGAAGATGTATATACTTCCCGGAAGAAGCAACATCAGACCATGATGCATTATTTCTGTGCATTAAATACTCTGCAGTATAAGAAGAAAATTGCTATGTTGGAACCCTTGTTAGGATACATGCAAGCTCAGGTGAATGTCTGTGAAATGAGATGTGTACATAAAATTATTTTGGTTAAATAATAAGTGTACTTGGGATTTACGTCTAGGCGTGCTAGTGTTATAGGAGTGTTTTTGATGCTTAAAACAATTTAAAAATATTAAAACCTCAAAAATAAATATGCCAGTTGCATGAAAATTCAGTACATGAGGAAATAGGACTGCCTTGTGCTACCATTTGCATTTAGTATCGACAGAACAAGTCCTTGAGTGTGACGGGTGAGGTGTGGGGAGACTCCCAACATGCAGATAAATTGTGGAGACTGAATCTGTCTAAGCTTTTTGAGGAGATAAAGGCATATATAAGCAGAAGTTAGAAAACTGTACAGTCTGTATAGTTCTTCCTCCTTGTAATTAGTGGGGATTATTCTTTTAGTTAGGAGAAATTGTGAATACAGTCTCTTATAGGGGTTGTGTTTTTCTCGGTTTTCTCTTTACTTAATCATATAGTGTGACTGATTATCCTGCTCTGCGTCTGTAGCTATATTTTTGTTTCTTTAAAAATAGAATCTTAATTTCCATTATACACACCTAAATATTAATTGTTAAATGATTTGATTCTCCTTTCTAAAAGATAAGCTTCTTTAAGATGGGCTCAGAAAATCTTTCTGAACAACTGGAAGAATTTTTAACAAATATTGGGACAAGTGTTCAGGAGTAAGTTAACTTTTTTCTTTTAAAATGAATGGTTTAACGTCTTTTTCTTTTTAAAAAAATACTTATTACAGTTAAGCTAAAGCATTTGCCCAATTTGTTTAGTGTTCGTAGGGAAATGGACCATGACGTAGAGACTATGCAGCAGACTATAGGAGACTTGGAGGCAGCCAGTGACCCATTGTACCTGCCAGATCCTGATCCTACAAAATTTCCTGTCCAGCGGCACCTTACTCGGAAAGCTGGTTATCTTAATGCAAGAAAGTAAGAATCAATTTCCTCTGTCTTTGTATGAATTGCAGCAGCCTAAGCTAGTTTGTAGGACCTGAATTATTGCTATGTGCATTTAAAAATAGGAGTATTTCGTATGTCTTCCAAATATTTGAAATGGTTTAAGTTTCTAATCTTTCCCCTAACACTGTGTTGAATAAACTATTTTGAAATGACATACTTACATTTCATGGCAAGTGATGTAGAAAATTTAATAGAAGAATTTGCAAAAAGAACTTTTGAAATCAAAGTATTTTTAAAGAACTATGCTAGAATGCCAGTAATGCTTAGATTACAAAGTTGAAATGCAATGCGTATGCTTTTGTCTTAATGTGGTAGAGACTTTTTATGTTCTTTATTTGCAGTTTTATAAGCAGCTTCACAGCCAAAAGGTATTAAAGCAGTGTACAATAAGATAAGATACAAAAGATTACAGAACTGGAAAACTGAACACCAATAAAATCATTTATTATACTTAATTCATTAATATTCCATAACATGACTGGGCCACAGTTCAGGGAAAGCATTCTTGAACAAAATATTTTAATAGTGCCCTAAATACCGAGATGCTAGTGCTTATCTAATTTCAGGTAGCTTATTGCAGAGGGCTGGAGCTGCAACACTAGAAGCCTGGTTTCTAGTACTTACTAAGTGCATCTCTGAAGCATGTGGCACACGCATCAGTGCCCCATTAAAGGAGTACAGTTGCTGGGCAGGGAAATATGGAGTCAGCCAGTCTCCTTGGGACCTGGTCCCAAGTTGAGAACTTTAAATGCTAAAAGCAAAACCTTGAATCAACAACCTACCTGCTTCTTACTGTATCAGCTGCAGCTTCCAGACTAAGCCCAAGGGAACCCCTACATAGAGTGTATTGCATTGTAATAATCCAGCACTGAGGCTACCAGTGCCAGAACCACAGTGGCACAGCTATATCAGTCCAGGAATGACCAAAACTGTCTTATCAACCAGAGCTGATAAAAGGCACTTGACTGACAAAATAGCTGCCATGCACACTCTTGTTAGATTGGGAAGTGATGATATGAACTTTACACCAGGCCTTGGATTTGTGAAAGCTCTTCTGTGTGGAGATGCCTGCCTATGCTCGCCTCCAGCTAGTAAAATATTAAGTTAACCTCTTTTCTTAATTTTCAGTAAAACGGGGCTGGTGTCTTCCAGCTGGGACAGACAATTTTACTTCACTCAGGGTGGAAACCTAATGAGTCAGGCAAGAGGTGATGTAGCTGGAGGACTTGTTATGGATATAGACAACTGTTCAGTAATGGCTGTGGATTGTGAAGACCGAAGATACTGCTTTCAGATAACCTCGTTTGATGGCAAAAAGTTTGTATTTTGTTTCTTTTGTTTTAACTAATGTAGCTGTTAGAGAGAAAATTGAAAGCACTTTGGGTTTTTTGGGGGGGGGAATTATTAAAGAGAGAATGTGTGGGTAGAAGGGAGGGAGGCTTCATATTTTGTCCATCAGATTGGAGAAAATGGCAGGCGTGTAAAACTTCTAGTAAAATCCAAATTGTTGATACTAAATCAGATCAGTTGATCAGGACTTGATATCATTCTGTGTGCTGAAATTTTAAGTAAATTTTGTAGTCCAAAAAAATGAGAGGATGTGCTGTATTCAAGCTTTACTTGGAGTAGGCTCATTAAAACAAATGTTTATATTGGGTATATTACCATTTTAGATTCTTAGTTAAAATTATTTTGGTTTATCTAGCCCTAGATTATTTTCTACTGAACTCTTCATTATCTGCTGCTTGCCTGCCTGCCACCTCTGTTCTTTTACTGAGAGGACAGTATTGCACAACCCCAGGCAGGGCCAAATTCTTGTTATAACAGACACCTCAAGATTGCTGACTTTTACCACTCTTGTATCAGTGAGTGGCTGTCTCAGTTGCTTAGCTCATGGACGCAGCTGGATATGTGCTTTTCACCCCTGGGACTTGGTAAGCCCCATGGCACATAGATAAACTTTCCAAATGTGAAAAATACACCTGGAGTGTATTTTATCTGGAGTGTTTTATCTATAGTTTAGAAAGCAGCAAAGTGTCAAGCCTATATTTAGTAAAGAAATACACTGCCTAAATAGTATCAAAATTCCTTATATTATATTATATTATATTATATTATATTATATTATAATTTCCCTTGAGAAATACATTTAAATCTGTTCATTTTTACTTACTTTTCTGCCAGGTCTTCAATTCTTCAGGCAGAGAGCAGAAAAGATTATGAAGAGGTAAGCTGCTGCACAAGAATGAGTGCTAAAATTACAGATTGTCTTGTGGCGCTTCAAAGACTTAAAAGATGAGCATCTGACAAAGTTGACTGTACACTGTGAAACACCACCACAGTAAAACCAATTCAGCGCACCTTATTAAAGCAGATAAAAAGATGGCATCATCAAAAGTACCCAGAGAGTCATAACTGGAATTCTCACTTCCAGAACCAACCAAATTCCAAGTAATTCAAGAAAAGCTTGCACAATGAGATTAATTCTTCACCTTATTATTAGACTTATTCTGTGTACCATTATGAACAACTGAAATGAGTATTGTCAGTAGGTCATTGTAAGGAATTCTTTGTACTTTTGACCAGGTATGAACAGCTTGCTCAATAATTTTTATTTTAAAAACAGCATTATCTGGAATCTCTATACTGTTGGTTTCCTGCGACTTTCCACTGTTGCCCCCATGTGATCAGATGAATCACATATTTAATCTCCCTGAAAAATTAGCTGCTTCAGAAGTTAAATATGAACATGTAGAGGAAACAAATTATATGGAGAAAATGGAGTGGAAAATGTGGAAGAAGATTTTGCACTATTTTAAACTTAGTTGCACCTATTGGCTTTCTTTTTCAGTGGATATGTACAATAAACAACATCTCCAAACAGATCTATCTAAGTGAAAACCCAGAGGTAATGTGATTTATTTCTTCTAATGTCAGAGTAAATTTTATTTATAAACATAAATGAAAAGTTAAATTTGTGTTTTAATGAAATTTCCTAATCTAGTCTGTGCCGGGAAATTAAGAGGAGTGTTTTATAAATTAGTTGTCGTATGGAGTATGAAACTTCAGGTTTAAACCTACATTTACGATTTAAAACAACTTACACTGCTCTCCTAAGCATACTATGATTTAGAGCTACTTGCTTGTTTTTGTTTTCCATTTGTTCAGCTTTTCTGTTTCAGTGTTGTAGCTGCCTCAGAGACACAACTATAGCTGTAACTTCAATTTGTCAGTTCATTCATTGTGCAAGCCTAGACGCTTCTTCACCATGATTTGGAATAAAGTCTGAAGCTATAAGTAAACGAATCCTTGACATACCAAAGGCTTGCATGGCAAAAATGAGTTACTAAAATTTACCTATAATTTTGCACTTGTGTCTTTAGAAAATGATACAAATTGTATTGTGCAGTAATTGGATGGAGAGGGGAAAGTTTCATGGAGTTTCTCCTTCTCAGCCATAATGAAGTCAAATGTAATGCTTTGAACTGGAGAGAATGAATGGAATTTGTTAGAGTACTGATAATGAGACAGCCTCAATTATTCAAGATTTTACTTGCTCCATTTTAAATATTTTATACTTTTCCAAGCCAATAAATTAATAAGATTGGAAGAAACGAAACGCTATACAGTCTCCCCACCACCACTTACACATAGTTGACTCGTGTGTGACCATGCAGCGCTGGCAAATAAATAAATAATTTAATTCAAACCTGGAAATGGTGGGAGAGAGCTGGAGAGTCTTTGTGCCTTGCAAGGAGACTCTCCCCGGAGCCCAAAGAGGATGCCAGTGAGGAAGCCCCAAAGAGACTGGAGGCACAGTGGGGGCTTTGTTTAAGCTGCTCAGCCTCCCCAACTAACAGCGGATGTGTGCAGTAGTGCAGCAGCAGCAGCAGCAGCCACTTTTTTGCGCATCCTCCAGGTTCCAGCCGGTCTCAGTGTTGGAAACAGTATTGTTGGTGTGGACTGGAGAAAAAGTGGCAGAGAGGGCATTTAGAGGGTGCTCCCCACTTAATGCAATTTTCGCTTATTCACACAGCAGCTTGGAACATAACACCTGTATAAGTAGGGAGGGGGGTGCCTGTATCTATCAGCTTCATCATCAGTATGTGATAAATACACCTCTGCTATCATTTAGATGTTTATAAATTGCATTTTCACTATAAAGATCACTCTGTATTTGGGAAAGAAATATGCAAAGCAGCTCTGAGATGTGAATTCTTTTCTTGTACAGTAAGGCTCTTTATTCTAGAAATATGCCATTTGCACCCTTATGTGTCTACTGCATTTGCCAAAATGCTTACAATGGAGCAGGGTAAAGATTTAAACATAATTATTTATAAAAATGATTTTTGAGAGGGTAAAATACAGTTGGCACACAGCTTCTATATGACTGTCAGTGAGAAGTGTATATTCAAATTTAACTGAAAGGAAACTCCTTTTTTTGTCGCCCTCCCTGCAAACATAGGAAATTGCTGCACGTGTAAATCAGTCGGCTTTAGAAGCTGTTACCCCCTCTCCTTCCTTCCAGCAGAGACATGAGAGCATGAGACCAGCTGTGTAAGTTGTAAAACAGCAGACTGTTTAAAGATTATGTTCAGTCAAACCTGGTTATTTCTCCAGGAGCCAGTGAAGTTTGGTTATTTGGGGTTGTTTTAAAATATCACTGAAGGTTACTTAAAGCTTGCAATGATTTGCCATGCATTTCCTCTCAAAGTTAGCTTTGTAAAAACATTTCATTGATGGTCTCTTATTGCAGAAGTGGCTCCCATTGGTTTAGGGAGAGCTTGTTGATAATCTAAATTCTTTGATTTGTCTGAGTATCAATTTGGATTTGTGAAGTTTGTTGGCTCTTTCTAAAACTGTCCTGTTTGGGATGTTCTTCTCCTTCTGCTTTGTATTTCTCTTTTAGCAAGTCTGGAAGTTAGGCTAAGACAGAGTGTCAAGTAATTTTCCATGCAAGCTGTATCTAACAATTTAGTCATTTCACTATTGCTTCTTTGCTCATAGGGTTTGATGCTTCCAATTGCCCTATTATGTGTTTCTGATGTATTAGTAGGTACTATTTGGGAGAATGGTATGTGGGATAACTCTCATAATATTGAGTTCCAGCTGCAGTTAATATTTAATTTCTTAAAAAAGCAAGCTTGGGCACTAATTCTTAAGTTACAGAGATATTGCAGAGAACAATAGGAATGGGAACATTTGGAGAGAAGTATAAAGTTCCTTGTCTTTAAGCAGAGCTAATGGAAGGGAGCTGCAGTCCTGTCTTTATACTTCTCTTACAGCTTGATGGAATGGATGCTGTAGGTATGTCACTTTAATAGCCTGTTTGACCTGGACATGATCTGAGGAATTATCACATTATCTTATTTAGGCCCTTGCTTATTATTCTTCATGACCATTCTGTTAAAGTTTCTGAATTGATGGTGAGGGTAACTGTTAGATAGGCTTTGAGCTGTCTTCAGACATCGTTGGACACCCAGTTCCCATCAGCCTTAGATCAGTCTTAGCCAGCATGGCCTATGGGCAGAGATGAAGGGAATTATAGTCCAGCATCTGGAGGGCACTGCATTGGCAATCCTGATTTAGGGTGTTTCCGTGATCCTGAGTTTCAGGTGGTTTATTTAAAACCATTATACTGACTTGAAGTGGGATGACTGGCAGGTAGTTTCAGATTGGTAAGTGGGAAGGAAGTAAGTGATTATTGATGATGACAATGATGATGACTAGGGATTTCCTCAGAATCCACTGAAACATAAAATATTGTATAGCTTGAGACAATTCCTTCTGTTCTTGTTTTTTTTAGACAGGCTCGTCCTCCCACGACTCGTACTAGCAGCACTGGGTCTTTGGGATCTGATTCAGCATCTCTATCAGCTCTTTCCTTGGACTCTCTTGTTGCACCTGATACTCCTATACAATTTGACATTATTTCTCCAGTAAGCGAAGATCAACCTGGCCAAGCAAAATCCTCAGGGCAGGCAGGCAGGTAAGATAAGAGCAACAAAAGATGTACAAGTGCCAAAACACAACTGAAGCACATGCTGCTGATTTAAAATATATAATGCCTTCCACTGATGTATCTGAGCCTATGTAGACTAATGCTCACAATTCTTTACAGTATTTGATAATTTATGTGCCACTCAAAAGTGATTTACAGAAGATAAAATACATATTACAGCAATTTAAAATGGGGAAACCAAATTGCAGACAATAAGGGAGACGTGTCCAGTGTGGGACAGCTTGCTGTCTCCCACCATGGCTGTATGCTTTCAGTCTACCATCAGCTACTTTCATCAGCTTTAACTTTGTTTAGTCCTGAATAGGGCTTGCTTTTAATTAAGTTTTAAGTTTAAGGGCTTGAAGCAAATATCAAATCTTTGGTTAAGAGTGAAACCAGAATAGCATGCAGCCACTATTAAGGTGTATGCTGACATGGCCATTACCTGTTTAGAACTCTGTGAGGAATGCATGCAGGTAAGGGCAGGGGGCTGGCTTCTGAAAGTGTCTGGTTCCACAGCCTCTGGCTCAGTCCTTTAAGGGCTAGGATTGCCAGATCTGCAAGGGGCCCCCCATGTAAGAGAAGAGCTGCAAAATCAAAATAATGCACAAATTGAAAAGCGTGTGCTTGAACCTCTATGTGCAATGTCTTAATTCTTGCAGCAGACTTCTTTCATCCTTCTGAGGAAACTTTAAGCTGTTTGGTTTTTTTTTAAAAAAAAAACCACACCCCAAAAATCATGTTTTCCTTTCCTACTGCTTGCTTGCCCCAGCACTTTGGGCATTTCCTCTTGGAAACTCAAGAGAAATGTGGTAGCCCTGCCTCCAGGTGGTGATGGCAGACTGATGACTGTCATTCTAAGCTTAAAAAGGTTAGTGAAAATTATCTAGGCTTCTAGGGTCACATCTCCTAGGAAGATAAATTTTGACAGTTTTTAAAGATACGTTTTTCTTACCTATCCCCAATAATTTTATTTTAAATATGAATATGTTAAGATTTGCTTTTTATCAGTTAAGTAACTTATGCTTTTACATATATGAAAAACGAAGCAGCAGTCAGTACCTACAGTAAATCTACAAGGCTCCAATAAATGCAGTTTTGTAACATGAAGACTAGTCTTAATGGAGAATGAGGAAAGTGATAGAGAAGCTTTAAAGCTAAAACAGGAACAGGCAGTATCTGACTCAATATACTGCATGTCTTTGTCTTATGGCTCTGCAAATGTGCTAGGACTCTTTTACTCTGTACAGAAATTACAGCATGAGGAGAACCACTGCTTTCTACTTTATGTGGTGCCTTAGGCACCCTCGTGATAGATAATGGGACAGCCAGGTGCTGACTGAGACAGTTATGACTTGGATTGATGCATGGGATTTTTGTGTAAAGGAATGAGTGAATTTCAGTTACCACTAAGAAAAGTTCAAAACAGGTAGAGAATTGACTCAAAGAGAACTGTTGGCAGAAGAAGTGTGAGTTCATATTTAATACTTGAAATAAAATGATACAAAGTTCCCAAGAACTCATTTGAACACCACTACCAAGGTGCAATGACAGTAATGAAGCTCAGTTTCTTGAGCTTTGGTCTGATGGAGACACAAGCTATTTTTGGTGAAAAGTCGAGAGCTGAGTGATCATTGCTAAACTGACTGAATTTCTTAAACTATGCTGAAAATGTCTCAGACTTCAATTAGTTCTGACCCCAAAGCTGAAGGTCAGTATTCCGATACATTTAGTTGTGTTGAGCAGATGCATTCTGGTTGTAATTCTGAATGGCACTTGGAAACTCCAGTCAGAAAATTCAGTCTAGTAGTTCCTATCCATGAAAAGACAGCAGTTTTAAAAGTTTCCTGAGAAACTGCTATAAATAAATTGGCATCACAATTTAACTGAGATAACCAATAATTTGCTGCTTATTTGTTTAAGGGGCTTCTGTTTAAAATTAACATAGCGAAAGTTGCTCTTTTTCTCTTTTTTTCTACTATTGTGAAAACATAAGCTCTGAATGTATTATGCAATTGGGTGGTATTCAGCTAAGTTTTACTTAGAATAGACCCACTGAAATTAATGAATATGACTAAGTTGGGCCTATTAATTTCAGTAAATTTAATCTGAGTAAAACTTAGTTCAATACCACCCACTATATTCAAAAGTATTATTAACAAAATAAGACCCAATTTTTAAGTTTTGTTAAAGTTTTCATATGCCTGTGATACACACTAGAAGCCTAGAGAATTTTCACAAGTATAATTCTACAATTAATGATACGTCTGCTGATAGTCATGTGTAGCCCATGTTTCTTTTAACACTAAATCCAATTAATGCTTTCAGAAAGCTGTATTTTAAATGGTAGTTGTTTATAACCGAATAGTATAACAAATAAATGGGATGGTATGCATTCTTGACTGGAGAAGATGGCTTTTTGCTCTGTTTGCAACTTGCAATCTTGCATTGTATTTTTCAAGTGAAAGAAAATTAGCTAACTTATCAGACTAGAATTGAGGTACATAAAAGTTTCTCATGGGTTGCTTTTGATCTTCTAGCTAAAACATTGGGATGGTACTCCAAGCTACTGATCTTTTCACTTGATTTTTACTGAAGTGCAGCAGTTCTTCAGTAGAATAGATCTTCAAAAATTTTGTGTTGTGAAACCCATTGCTGCATGTATCATCACATAATCTTAAAATCTTGATCTTTGCTTTGCTATAATACAGAATTAGATTATTGGGATTCAGTGTGCAAGAATCACTTTATTATTATTTATTATTAACAGACGAACAAATCCATTTGGAGAATCTGGAGGAACCAAATCAGAAACAGAAGGTAGAGCAAAACTGTACTTAAATTGAAGATGTATTTAATTATAATCTCTGTAGCCCCCTCCTCCTTCTTCTAAACGTGTTGATGAAAAGTGTTGGCAAACACTTTTGCAGTTGAGCCTGAACAGAATTAAACAGTTCCTAGTTGGAGTTTTAATAATTTTCATAGCTAATGCCTCCTAGTAGGGAAGTGGGGTAGGCTTTGAGACTAGAAATTCCTGTCTTTCTCCCAGTGTTCCTGTCCATTTCACACCTTGTTCATCCTGAGGAGAAAATAACTGAAAACTGGCCATCCTGTTTGCTTGACAAAAGGGTGAAAGACTTTTGATGGTGAGCGATTAACTGAACCATCTCTTTGTCTGCCTCCTGTACCATTAGCTTGAAGGCATCCATTCAGGAGTTTGGATAGACTTTGCTAGCAGCTTGATTTGCAAGGTATGAAGTATTTCCTGAGATGAGGCCAGCATCAGGCTTGTACCCAAGGTCAAGCAAGGTTCAAGATGGAGAATCTCATGTCGTGTTTAACCTATGTCAATCTTGTACTTATGCCATGATCTACAGAGATAAACAATATATTAAGTTCAGATTTGCATACTCCTGTCTTCATCTCCAAAGGCAAGGAAGCACAGCTTTCATTTGACAGCACCTTTTCTTGTCCTTAGATTGGGGAACGCTTAAATTTGCTATATCCTTTTAAAGTAATTGAAATTGAATTAAATGTATGAAAATTGGGGCAGTGTATTGTTATTCTGTTAGGCCAAGGCCACCGGTTTTCTAGAAAGCCCAGACGTTGTTCATATCATTTTGTTTAATATGTGCTTGCTCCAGATTCTATCCTACATCAGTTATTTATTGTAAGATTCCTTGGATCCATGGAGGTGAAGTCGGATGAAAGTCCTGATGTTGTTTATGAAACAATGCGCCAAATACTAGCAGCTCGAGCTATACACAACATTTTCAGAATGACAGAATCACATTTGTTGGTCACATGTGATTGTTTAAAGTAAGTATTCTCATTCCAAACCAGCACATTTGTCAGTGTTTAATTACAGTTCTCTTTTTCTTTGTATCATAACTTATAGTTTCTTAAATTAACACTTTTAGGTTAATTGACCCTCAGACGCAAGTTACAAGACTCAGGGTGAGTTGCTAAAATCAAAGCAGTTATAGAAACATGCTTCATGATACATCAGTACACTGTCTGTTTTCTGTCAATTATAAGTTGCACCCAAGCTTACTTTCCATTTACTATGTGTACTTTTACCACAACTTAACAGGTTCAGGTTCCACATATTTATCATATAACATCCATTCAGTAGTATCACATTTACACCAGCATTTGTAACTTGTAACACTTTTAAGTTATAACAGCAGCCTCCAGATGTTGCTGAACTACAACTGCCATCTGGCCCAGCAACTAACATTAAATATGTTTATCTGGTATTCAATGAGCTTTAAAGTTCTCTCATTTTTTTCTTAACAGTTTCCGTTGCCAAATGTAGTTCTGTATGCCACACACCAGGAAAACAAACGGCTTTTTGGATTTGTGCTTCGGACTTCAGCAGGGAGAGCAGACAGTAGACCAACTTCAGTCTGCTATATATTCGAATCAAATAATGAAGGGGAAAAGGTATTTATCATGCTCCAGCTAAAGTTCTCCAATATGCTGAACTATTCTTTACTTGCAGCAATGTGATTTAATTATATTTAAAGATGGTCACAGTTGATCATGTTTACTGACTGTGTGTTCCTTTTCCCCCTCCCATTTAGATTTGTGACTCTGTGGGTCTTGCAAAACAGATTGCATTTCATGCTGAATTGGTAAGACTTTCATTTGATGTAAAATATGTATGCATTCTGTTGGCACCGCAGAATTAATGAGCTGAAAGGAACTTGAAGGCAATCAGTTTAGGCATCTTCAATAACACAATATATTTTGCCTATTAACCATTTCTAGCATGTTCTGTTAACCAGTTTCTTCTTAAATGTACTATGACCAGTGCTATGGGCTTGCATTTCTTCCAGTGCTTTTTCCCCCTGGAGAAACATTTCTGTTTCATAAGTTCTTTATGGATGCCAATTGGAAATATATTAAGCAAGCTTGGCAGTTTGAAAGTTTTTTAGTTTTGTTTAGCCAGTGTGGTGTAGTGGTTAAGAGTGGTAGTCTCGTAATCTGGTGAACCGGGTTCGCGTCTCCTCTCCTCCATATGCAGCTGCTGGGTGACCTTGGGCTAGTCACATTTCTTTGAAGTCTCTCAGCCCCACTCACCTCACAGAGTGTTTGTTGTGGGGGAGGAAGGGAAAGGAGAATGTTAGCCGCTTTGAGACTCCTTAAAGGGAGTGAAAGGCGGGATATCAAATCCAAACTCTTCTTCTTCTTCTTCGTTGTTGTTTAGTCGTTTAGTCGTGTCCGACAAGTAAAATAAAGATGCTGAAGTAGATCACTCCTTAGGCCATCAGAAACTTTTCTGATGCAAGCTGCAAATTATTCTATGATTTCTTTTTTAATTCCAATTTTAACTTTTTTTGAACATCCATATACTGACTTTTACAGAGATACCTGTAAGCAAACACTTTAGTAAAGCAATTCAGATCTGCATTGCATTTGGCATGAGTTGCTAGCTATAAGGAGTTGGAGAAGAAAAACCGTATTAACTTCAAAGCAAAATTAGAAGTGTCCTTTGGGACTCCTCATTTAACCACCTTGAGCTAGAGAACAGGAATGTATTTACAGCAGGGGTGGCCAGCTCCCAAGAGACTGCAATCTACTTACAGAATTAAAAACTGGCAGTGATCTACCCCTGTTTTTGGGGGTTTCAGGTCAAAGTTGTTGACTTTTTTTTTAGAGAGTGGGAAAGCCACGATTTTTAGGGGTACAAGCCAAGGTTGTTGAGCTTTAGGGAGGAAGAAAGCCTCATTTTTATGGGTTTTGGGAGAAAAAGAGGAACAGCCACTCACCAGCAGATCTTGGGGGGGGGGGGGGAGAACAGCCTGCCTCACTGAGTAAACTCCGTCTTCCCTTCTGCAGATCGTGCAACAATGGAGGGCGGGGTGAGGGGCCGGAGCCAAATTCTATTTTACCAATGCTAAGAAAAGGGACCCAGCCATTGACCGCGATCTACCAAAACCTCCACAGTCGATCATGATTGACCTGTTGGACATCTCTGATTTACAGGAACAGAGTTCCTTAAGCCTTTAAAGGCCATTGTCTCAAATTAAGGACTAGACATGCTGCCTGAAACCACTTTTCCAGGTTTTTGGGCTTTATAAATCCCTACCCATTGCCCTTCTTTTGAGAACATGCTTCATGACTATCTGCCACTAAAGTATTATTAACTCATGGCATGTGGTCACTATGAAATCATGCTGAGTTTTAGTTTAAAAAAGCAACAAAAAACTTGCAGCATTGCAAAGTAGACAGGAAATTCCTTTTCAAACTAGTATTTGTTAGTGTTGCCAACAGTGTTCAGTCTAGAAATTATTTGGTCTGGTAGTTTATTGCCTTTCTGCTGTAATCTGATGGTGCAGAAGAATCATGCAGAATCATGCAGGCAGTTCCTCTATTTTGAAGAGCAGCAGCAGATATTTATTAAAAATATTTGCTACATACATCAATTCTCTGAAGTGAAACTTTCCATGGAACATACTATATAACATACTAATGCAATTTTTCATCAAGTATTTATGATGTAGTAAATTACTTTAACAATTATTAAGGTTCTGTGCCTTTTTTAATTTTTCAGGATCGCAGAACATCAGAAAAGCAGAAAGAAATGGATAGAGTGAAAGAGAAACAACAAAAAGAACTCAGTAAACAGAAACAAATAGAAAAGGTATCTTGTTTGCCAAAATTTTACCTGGAAAAGAACTTGTATGCAAGAAAACAGATTTGTTCTAATGACTAAATTACAATGCAAATTTAGCTTTAGAATTTGCAAGAGCCTGGGCTTTCAGAGGAGATGAAAGTGCTAAGAAAGTGGATAGATTTTTCTCCCTGTTCACACTGGAGTTTGTATTCACCTAATGAAGTTAATGGCAGTACTACTTCACATAACACATAATGAAGGTTTAGTGTTCACTGTCAGAAAATATGCTGATAACCACAGACTTGGATGGCTTTAAAAGTGAACTGGGTGAATTCATTGAGAAGCATTGAAAACTAGTTACTGGAGAATAGGCAAGCAGTGGGGGAGGCTGGTTGTCTTCATGCCCTGGAGTCTTCCAAGAATTGTCCAGTTTTATAACTTGTGGTTTGGTGGCCATAGTAAAATTCCTGCTAGTCTTTTATGGTTGAAAATCATTGCACTGTTCATATGCCTATTATATATAAGAACATTAAGAATAGCCCTAGACCAAAGGCCTATCCTATCCCACAGTGTCTGGCCAGATACCTCTGGGAAGCCCACAAACTAGACATGATGGCAATAGCCCTCTTCATTGTTTCCCTGCAGCTGGTATTCAGAGACATGGTGAGAAATTTGTCACACCCTTCTGATTTTGGCTTGCCAGACAGAACATTCCGCACTCTCCTCCCCCTATAAAGTTTCCTAGTAGTTCTCCTGACACTCCGGAGTGGATTTGAGGGAGGCACAGTGAAAGGAGGCAGGGAAAGCTCTTGAGGGAGCCCTGGCAGTGGCTTCTGCTAATGCTTAAGATCCCTTGAATCTGGGCCATGGTGTCACTGATCCTGGAGGTAGTATGCAGCCATCATGACTAGCAGCCACTGATAGCCTTATATTCCATAAATTTGACCAATCTCCTTTTAAAATAATCCAAGTTGGTGGCTACTGCATATCATGTGGTAGCAAATTCCATAGTTTTAGCTGTGCATTGTGTAAAGAAGTGCTTCCTGAATCTTTCACTATTCAGCTTCATTGGATAACAATTTTTGATTCTAATATAATCACTTTGCATAATTTTATAAAACCGTATTGTATCTTCCCTTACTTCCCTTGTTCACCTTTTTTCTAAAACAAAAATCTTACATTGTTGTAAACTTCCTTTGTAGGCTACCCTTTCTGCACCTTTTCCAGCTCTGTAATACCTTTTGGGGGATGTGGTGATCAAAATCTACACTGGTATTCCAAGTGTTTCAACAGCATAAATCTGTATAAATGCAATTACAATGGAAAGTCCCATTTAAAACTGAATGCTTTCTTTCAGGATTTGGAAGAGCAAAGCCGGCTAATAGCTGCTTCTAGTAGATCCAACCAGAGCTCTGGGGAGGGACAGTTTGTAGTCCTTAGCAGTAGTCAGTCGGAAGACAGTGATTTGGGAGAAGAAGGAAAGAAGAAACGAGAATCTGAAGCATGAAGTGACTCTGGTGCACAAGTCTTCGGACCTGTTGTCTGACATGGAAAGTCAGAGAAACAAAGGTGGTGGGTTTGCTTTATTAGATGAAACTCCATTGTGCTTTGATTTTTCTTAAACAGCCAGCTTAATGTGAATATGGACTTTCTTCCATATCATAAGGTACCAGGGTGAAACTTAGCAGAAGTATACATGGCTATATATGGATCTTTTTTTCTTCTTCACTTGCCTTGCTGTGCAGATAATTTCATGAGGAAAAAATTGGTATAAGGTAAGCAAATAGACAAAAGCTTTTGTCTTCACTTTCAACCTTCATTGGATAACCATTTAGTGTATTGTGGCGAAAACAGAGTCCTTTGACTCTTTTAAAGACTTAACAAATTTAATATTATGAAGTGGAGCGTAGTCCTGCGAAGGGCTCTGCTATAATAAATTTGTTAGTCCTTATTTTTTCAAAGTTCATTTTGATTCCCAAAGATTACTGAGAACAGAAACAGAGTGCTTGCTTGTAGTTTAAACATGTCTGAAAATGAATTGCCAGCAGAGAAAAGTTCAGGAAAACTGGTAATGCTGCAATGCTATTTTTACTTGAGAATGTACTTGGTGGTACTGCCCTTGGCTATTCTGCATTATACTTCAGAGCACTTTGGTGTGGAGGGTGTCAGAGACATTAAAGCACATATTAGAAGTTAGGCTGCAATTGCAGTATGTGTTTTGGTAATGTACGAATATGTTTTGTAACAAATACAAATAGATGAGAAGAACAATTTGTATGGAGACATTGCCAACTATTATTTCAGATAAAACTGATTCTGTGATCCATGCCCATATTTGCACAATTTCTCTAAATACCATTTAGCAAGACTTTAGCTGGCCACATGACCCAGAAGCTGTACGCCTGCTCCCTCGGCCAATAAAGCGAAATGAGCGCCGCAACCCCAGAGTCGGCCACGACTGGACCTAATGGTCAGGGGTACCTTTACCTTTACTGAAAACAGTTCCACATACAGCATAAGTGCATTTACAGTAAACCTGCTGAATCACTGAGGAAAATTATGCTGACCCTCTTCTTTTTGATCATTTTTAATTGCAAGTGCATGACAAGTTTAGTTATATCAAACATGCATTGGCCTTTTTCTCCAGTAAAGTAATACTATTAATACAAAACAGTGCATCTGTTTTTACAATAGTCAGATCCTTTAGTTTATGCAAAAAGAACAATTGGTCTTACCTGAAGAGCAGACTTGATAAGGTAATATTCAAGTCATCAGCAACCTATCATGTGATGGAGGCAGGAGGGCAAAGAACCCTGGGAGGCAGGTGCGCTCATTCCTCAGTTTTATGGGATTCGCCGAATTCCAACAGGCATTGAACTTACAGTAGGAATGAAAATTCTCTACATCTGCCTGCCTCTCTCCTGGCTCAATATGTAAACTTTAAATAAACATACGTTGAAAACAATGCAGCAACTAACCAAATTATCAGTATCACTACAGTCTATACCAGGGAGAGGTCCCATTCATGTCATCAGTAGCCTATCAAATCTACTCTTCAGATAAGACCAATTGTTCTGTTTGATTCAATTGCTGATGCCATGAATGGGATGAACGTATCACAGCTTTCCCAGTTAGGGCGGGTCCCAACTGCAGTTACAGTGACTAAGGCACCTGTTGGACTGCGTGCCCAAAGATAGCGTCAGACAGGTCCATTTTGTAATGCCTGGTGAATATACTTAGTGAGGACCAAGTAGCTGCTTTACAGATCTTTAATAAAGGAGCATTAACTATAAACGCAGCTGAAGTTGCTGCTGATCTAGTGCAGGGGTCAGCAAACTTTTTCAGCAGGGGGCCGGTCCACTGTCCCTCAGACCTTGTGCGGGGGCCGGACTATATTTTGGAAAAGAAGAAAAAAAAAAGAACAAACACCAGGCAGGCCCCACAAATAACCCAGAGATGCATCTTAAATAAAAGGACACATCTACTCATGTAAAAACACCCTGACTGCAGGCCAGATTTAGAAGGCGATTGGGCTGCATCCGGCCCCCAGGCCTAAGTTTGCCTACCCATGATCTAGTGGAATGAGCCAATATGTGCAACGGCAGAGGCAACTTGAGTGACTCGTACACTAGAGGTATGCAAGCCCTGCTCCGCCTTGCAAGGGTGGAAGGAGCAACCTTTATACCCATAGTTGAAAGGATATGAACAAGGAGTCAGTGATTCTAATGTCCTTTCAGTATACACCTTCAGTGTAAGGCAAACATCAAAGTTGTGCCACGCTTTCTCTCTCAGATGTTTTGGATCTGGACAAAAGATAGGTAGCACCAATTCTTGCTGGACATTAAAGTGGGAAAGGACCTTCTGTACAAAGGATCTGTTAGAACCCTTTTGTCTTTGTGAAAGATGCACAGATGTTTAGCTACCAGTAATACAGACAACTCAGACACTCAACATGCAGACATAATGGCCACAGGGAAGAGAACCTTAAAGGATGGATGCTTTACAGATACCTTGCACAAAGTTTCAAACGGTGGTTTCTGCAGTGCTGCCAGCACCATACGCAAACTCCAAGAAGGAAAACAGTGTGCTACTAATGGATTTTGCAGAAATGCCCCCCTCAAAAAGCGTTTAACTAATGAGTTTTGCAAATTTGTGAAATGGGGGCACGACCTGTAGTGCACAAAACTGAAGGTATTGCGGAAACTTGCCTTTTTAAAGCATTTGGTTTCAAACCATTTTGTAGCCCATGCATTGAAAGTGTAACATAGTTCACATAGAGCTTCAGTTCCGGAAATGTCCAGAACTGAAACTCTTATGTGGACACAGCTTCACTGTAGAAACACCAAGTTGATAAATTGGTCCAGGTTGCCTGATATATCCACACAGTGGAAGGTCTGCATGAGGCCAAAATGGTGAAGATGACAGCTGTATCCAACCCTTGATGTTTCAGACAGCTGCGTTCAAATGTCATGCAGTCAAACATAGCCACTATGGATTTGGATGGAACAAGGGTCCTTGCAGCAGTAGGTAGGACACCACCAGAAGATGGCAAGGTGTTGAGATGGCTAGCCCTTGGAGCTCCAACTTCCAAGGCCTGCAGGGCCAGAAAGGGGCCACCAGGATGATCTCTTTCTATCATGATCTTTTGGAGAACACGTTGCAAAATTGACTGCAGGGAAAAGGTATATAGGAGACGTTTTGGTCAAGGTACCATCAAGGCATCCCATGCTTCCGCTTGACGGTCTTTGAACCTGGAAAAATAACACGAAACTTTATTGCAAACAGATCCACTTGACATGGACCTAGATACTCCTGAATCAGGTGGAAGACTTGCCTGTTGAGCATCCACTCCCCCAGATCGAGAAGGGAGCGACTCAGCCAATCTGCCTGTAAAGTGCTGTCCCCTGCAAGACTAAGGGTGTTCCTCTCCCCCTCCCCCAGTTGAAGAGGAGCAATGATTCTTTTTGCAGAGAAATCGATCTTGTCCCACCCTGCCTGCAAATGTGTGATTTTGTGGTGGAATTGTCTGTGTGCAGCAGCACATGGTTGATGTGCAAAATGAAACATCACCAACCTGGTAGCTCTTAGCTCCAACCAATTTATCGAGTGCTTCTGATTTTGTGGTGACCAGCACTTCTGTGCAAAGTGACCTTGATAATGAGCTCCCCAACCCTGAAAACTGGCATCTGTGATGATCACAATTCTCCGGATCATGAATGGGAATTCCGTTCTGTATATTGGATTCTGCCGCCCACCATCTCATTGGCAGCCTGACCAGTGGAGGTAACTTGAGCACATTGATGAGGAAGCAGAAACCATTGTAGGCGATGGGCGTGATCTGAGAAGCTGATATACAGAGGCTCAGGATTATCGACAGATGCTTGATATCAATTTCCTTGGTAGATTTCAGCAGAGATGCTGCTGCTCTGATCTTGTTGGTGCACTCTGGAGACAGAGCCACCAAACCTTTGACTGTGTCCAGCTTGGCTTCCAGATGGATAAGCTGCTGTGATGGCTCAAGGCAGCTCTTCTCCTTGTTTATCAGGAAACCATGGGATTGAAGGGCCAACATCATCGCTTGCAGATGCTCCCTGAGCTCCTTGCAGGGTTGTCAAGACATTTCCAGAACCGATTTCCTTGACGTTTTCTACACGCCACACTCTCCAGTTCACACTGGCTGTCGATACAATGCACATAATCAAGGCAAAGATACCAGTCAGAAATGCACATAACTGGAGGCAAGAAACTAAGGACACCCATCTCACCACCAGAGATCCTTCTCTCGCCCGCAGGTGGGGTTTGGAGATGAGATGTCCCAGGTAGACAATGGCAGGCATTGGTCTTCATGCAGATACAGTTCCGTGCAGGGGTTTTGTCAACAAGATCTTCCAGAGTGTGGTGATGTTTTCAGGGGCTGTTTACTTTCCCTCCCTCCCCGTTTCACCCTCACCTGAGGAGATCTTGGCCATTCTCTTGACAGTGACCTCAGTTCTTAGGCCTGATTTCTGTTTTCCTTCATTCCTCCTCCTCCTGGTCTGGTTCAGATTGATATGGTCCATGTAATAAACACCAATCTGTTGATCATAAACAGTTTCCCATCCTAAAGGCAGTTCATCGCCAACACAGTCAGCAAATGTCAATTGCTTTGTAATCCACATCATCTGTCAGTGTCTTGATGTGCAAGTGAAACTTCGGCTTTTTAGTGCTGCTGCCTCCGCCTGCCTCCCAGCCGGGCCTGTTTCCGTCACCACGGAGCAGCTTGCTTCCTCCTTGGCCCTTCCCTCGAGGCCCGCCCCCAGCTCCCTGGCTGGCGCTTGGCTGCTCCTGAGGCGCTCGCCGCTGAGTGGGAAATGCTCTCCTGCCTCTGTCACATGACGAGATAATACCCAACCCATTCATGGCATCGGCAACCAACTCAAATTGTGAGTAGATAACATAAAGAAATCAATTTCAATCTGTTGATTCACCACTTTCTCATGTGGTCTGACTTTTATCTAAATCACTTCTTAAAAGAAATCAACAAAATATATTTAGTAACTTTTTAGAAACAAGGTGAGAGAAGAAACCAATGTTCTTCCCAAGCGTTGCAAAATCTATGCATCGCTTCTTTCAACCCCAGCAGGTTTTCAGATACTAAGAACACCTAACTTTGGGGAAAAGTAAACCCAAAGGAGAATTTCGTTCTTCTGTAGCACAAGAAAATGCAGCAGCCAATATTCAGGACCTTTCAGAATACGCCAGACCTTTTCCACCCTTCTCCAGAGAGCTGGGGAGGGGAAATTCATTTTGGCCTTTATAACACTTCATTGTAATGCGTGTTAAGATGCTTTTTCATACACATTGGGGGTGTTTCTGTTCTAAGCTATCTGAAGGAGAGGGATATCACTCCAGTAAACCGAATGGACTGCAGGAACCCATTGAGCAGTAGTGCCATCTTCTGTCTCCCTTAGAATAAGATTGAGGGAATGCCACCAAAATAGTTCGTAGTTGTCTTCATTGTAAGGTAGACTAATTTTAATTAAGTCTTCATATTTTTGGGCAGCTCAGTTGGCAAATCTATATTAAATTATACCACTTTTTTGAGCCCTTAAAGCCATATTTAACAGTGCTCCCAGAGAATATAAAATTTGATATAGCCAGTTCACTTCATCTGACAGATGAGTTGCTTTGTTCTCATGTTTCAAGCTAACCTCTAGCAGTTTTCACCTGCAATTTGGATATGTATATGTGTGTGTATACATGTATGTTAAATCACTGTATTATAATGTGTATAATACCAAATTTTCTCATTTATATAACCAGTTATTTTTTATCTTCCTGTTAAATATTGATCTCAAAGGGCTTAATGCTCTTTGTGGAACTGAGACCTGTCAATTGTTCCCATATATAATCTGTATGTTCGAATCATTAAGGGAGAGTATGTTTATACCTGCGTAATAGTGGAATTCCATTGTCAAAGTCTAGACATCTAACCATGAATTTGCAAGTATCTGGTTTATGTAGTGTGTACAGGTCCCACAACTTGCTAGAAAAGGGGCCACTGGTCTAACCTGAAAGGTTTTTCTCTTGGGTAATCATCCCTCAAGTGAGAAGGGCAGGAAATGCATCAAATTCAAGAAAGTAGGTTACTCTGCTCACTCTGTCCTAGGCAGCCTCTTTCACGACATGACCAGGACACAAAGATACATGAAAATAGAAATACAGTGGTACCTTGGTTTTCTAACATAATTCGAGTTCCAAAACATTCGAAAACTGAAAGCGGAAGCCTCAAAACGCAAGCCTCAATATGGAAAACTCAAAACGGAAGCAACGTTTCCTGTTCAAGTTCCAAGGTACGTTCGAAAACCGAGGCATTTACTTCTGGGTTTTTGGCATTTGAGTTCCAAAATGTTTGACTTCAAAGGCATTTGAGAACTGAGGTACCACTGTAACACAATCTGCATTGCTACCATACCGACTTCCCCATCACAGTTATATATCAAACAGAAATAAACATAAAATTTGAAGAACATGTTAAAAAGTAGAAATTGTAAAACAAATTACAAGTTACAGATAACAATACATTAAAAGAAAATTCATTTGAAGATAATACTGACTGAAAGCTGCCCTTACCCCAACATATAATCTGAGGCCTTGATGGACTATCATCAAGGAAGCATGTTTCAGGCGAGATCAACAGTGCCACGTTTTTGAATGATAGTCCAGCAAGTGGGATTCACAAAAGCAGGCGATATTAAGGTGGGGAAAGCATGCTGTCTAGGTCTTCAAGACATATCACATGCCTCCTAAGACATAAGTAACAATTTTATAATGCTTTGTGATTGCATTTGGTAAAGATCAACCCATCACTTAGGTCTCAAAATAGATTCATTTGTAGGGAAGGCTGCTGTGGTTGTCTTAAATTTACTTAAATGAACCATAATGTTTCTTGCTACAGGTAACTTTAATGCTTCATAGGGTGAAATAAATGCTGTTATAAGCCAACATGCTATGATAGCTGATGGCACCTTTTAACTAAAGGTTGTAGGATGAAAAGACACAAAAGAGGCTTTGTTTGTCTAAAGTCTATCATTCTGTTAATGTGAGGAGGGCATTAAAAGGGTACATTATCGCCTTTCTCACACCAAGGGAATGGACAAGATCAGGGCAAAAAGTTGACAGTGTTTGCCATGGAAGCTAATGTTAACCTTTGGCACAAAAGAAGGAACAACTCTATATCACACTGTCCTTATGAAAAAGCACAGATATCTTGCTAAAGAAAGAGCACTTAGCTCTGAATCCAGTGTGATTGCAACTAAGAACACTACCTGGAAGGACAGGAGCAGGAGAGGCATAGACTTCAGTGACTCAACAGAAGGATGCTGTAAGGCCAAAATAATTTTCTGAAAGTTCCACAATGGGTTCCACATTGAGAAGTCAATTAGACTTAAACATTGCTGCTCAAGCACCATGCTGTCTCAACCGCCCTGGTTCTTCTTGTAATACTGGGTCCTGTAACAGTAGATCTGGCTGAGGTGGCAAGGCCCAAGGGTCCAGGCCAAGAATCGGTTGTGCCTTTTCTTCCTGGAGCTTCCAGAGTGCAAGCAGTGAGGAATATTTGGGGAGAAGGGAAGCATGCATAAGATCCTTCAGCCATGGAACTGGGAGCATATCCACTGGTTCTGCTTCTAGAGATGGATAGTGGGCAAAAAACCAGCACATTACTGACCATTGTATTTTATTTTTCCAATTTTTGAGAAACAAATGGAGACTAAGAGCACAATTGGCTAGACACAATTGGCAGGAACTGGACTGGCCAGGAGAAAGAGCACAGAAATCTAGTTGCTTGAATTTTTATGCATTTCTTGCCTTTGGATGCTAGCTGGCATGAAAAAAAATCTGATCACTGTGCAAGTTCATTCTATTTCCTGCATTAGTTTTACTATTAGACATGATCGCTGTATCTAAAAATCTGGCAATTTTGTCAGTGTGGTCATGATGCATAACTCACCAGTGCCACACTTCAAATTGTATGTTAAAAATGAGGTTTCCTACCCAGAACATGTTCATATTGGAAGATTCTAGTGTGTACGGTAATGTCATGAAGCAAACTTTCCCTTTTATTTTTGAAATAAAGAGTGAAACAGTTCCACCCTCCATTGTCATATTAGGTCTTTGAGTAAGCTACCACATTTCAAGTGGGACTTAATTTTGAGTAAAAATGCATAGGATTGTGCTGTCAAGGAGCAGAACAGCTAAACTCCACAGTGAGCACAATTGCTTTATTATATCTTTTATACTTCAGTTTTGTAAACTAGAATGATCAATGTTTCAAGGCCAAAAATTGAAGAAAGGAAGATTATTAAATGTTTGTGAGAAGTGAGCTTCCTAAGATGTGCTTTTCTGTGTTACCCAGAAATATAGCAAAATGAAAAATATTTTTGCATGTCCTTCTCTTCCCTAACATGCTGTAATTGAAATGCATTCCTTTTAATTGTTTGCATGTGAATCTGAGGTTAAAAAAAAATAAATCAGATCAGCATTCTCACTTGTGTTCTCTGCCAAAAAAAAAAAAAAAGCACTAACACCCAAGTTTGGTGAAGATTAATTTTTTAATTACTATTCCTGGACATCTCTTTTTTAAAGATCCTTATGTGAGTACTCCTTGCTCTGCAAAATTGAATTTGCAACCAGTAGACTAAGATCATGTGCTGTAAGCGGGTAGAAAGAATAAACCAGCACACAACTGAAGGAACAATGATCTATAGTGAGGTTTATATGCAAGCAAAGCAGCTTGTATAATTATTATGGGTGACTTTTATAATGTAGTGGATGGTCAAATTCTTACAGTAATGTAATGGTTTGGTCCTGTTCTAGTGATTGTGATTTTTTGCAATGTTTTAAGAATCTAATACAGTTTGCCTGAATACTTGTTAATAATATCCAGTGATTGTCAAGTTGGTATTGTCAACTGCAGACTGAAATCTAGATACTAATAAACCTATCTGGGAAGGACCTTGGCAAAGTCCAGTCAATTTTAGAAGATGGTTTTCTGTAATGATTATGTAAAATATATTTTGTTTGCAATTGCTCCCTCAAAGGTCATCACCATCATCATGTTATCCAAAAAAATTAAAAAGATCCTGAAATTTTGTCAAATGTATTTTAAGTCTGTCAGTCATTCAGGAATCTTATTCATATATTTAATATAGTCAGAGATCATTTATTGTACTTAATAAAAAAAGTTAACAGCTGGAATAATGTCTTTATTTATTTCCAATAGAACAAGAAACATGCTCTTATTGTTTGTAAGAGCTTATATATATTTTTTAAAAAATTTTATTTTAGTGTGGTTAGATTGGAGAAACTGAAACCATGTCCCTCCTGATGTGACTGGGGTTTTATTAATCCATCTGCTTTATACGTAATTTGCAAAGAATGAGCGGATCAGTCTCTATACCTTGGGATGTTTGACATCCAGAGATGTAAAAGGGGAAGAAACTGCAGTACTTTGCATTACTTAAGCTTCGTTCTTTGTGGTCTCTGTGCTGCCACATACTTGGGCTAAATCAACTCTTTCACAAACAGAAGGACTCCAATAGCTACAACTTAAACATGCACAGAATTACGTATAGGACCCCCTCCCAATACAACTCTATATATACCTGCATTAGTAAATTCCTTTGAGGTTTCCTTGTCCATAGAGATCATATTCCTTATAGAGAATGTAGTCTTTCAAACGGTTTGGTAATCGCAGAAATGTAAGGAAGACAGGGCAGCGTAGACGCAAGCGTCCTAAGCACTTGCGGATCTTCAGACGACAAAGATGTTGCAGAGAACGGGTGTTTGCTGGAGGAGGCGAAAACATGCATTCATCATTAGGCCTGCTTTTGAAACTTCTTGATCTGGTGGGAGTGGGTACCCAGGATTAAATCACAGGACAGCCAATGATATCTATAAGCACGACCTTGCATAAATCACTGTCTTTCCTATTTTTAAAAAATATTTAATATTTTTAAAATATTTTTTAAAAATATGACTTATTTGCTTCCCAGAGTTGTGAACAACATCTGATGAGATAAATGGCTCTCAAGATAGGAAGAACTGTAATACTCTCAAGCTGCAAACCTATGCCTACTTACCAAGGAGTAAGGGCCATTGAACACAGTGCGAATTACACTTGAGTAAACAGATTGTTCTGCATGGATAGGAAAAAGCTCTCAGGCTGAATGGAGAAGTAATTGGAAACACTTTGAACACTGCAAAGTGTGATATAAAAAAGGCTAATACTTTTATTACATCAAACTTTTTTTTGGTCATGTGTAGCCTCTGTCCTATTGAAACCTTTGCAAATTGTGAGCTGTGGCAACTGGTCCAGGGCCTTGATCAATCAAAGCAGAAAAGCAGGTGTCAGCTCAGCCATCCCATTGTGGATTGACTCTTGCAAGTACACAGTGTGCTGAGTAGGATATAAATCATGTATTCAGCATTTGAATACACACCTTACTGTATCACTTATGCAGTGCATTAGTGATCCATTGGCAGCGTGCCTTGTTCCCCCACCATCCCCCTAGATAGGCCAAAAAAGTGTGCCAACCTGGGAACTTGCAAAGTTATTTTCCTTCTCAGTGGAAGGATCCCCGCCCCCCTTTAAAGCCAAATAGGCAAGATAGAAAACAGAAAATCATCCCATATCCACTCTTTTTGTCCTGGCAGACACAAAGGGGCTTAGAAATGATGCACCCTTAGGATTTTTCTGCTCTGCTCAGTCAGTTGGAGAGGTTGTTGGTCCACAATGTCGACATTTGCACATAATGCTAAGCCAAACCATGGCTTAACATGAACTTGGTGGCTGCTGAGAAAGAGATCACAACACTTTTGATCCTCCCTAGTCCTTTTAGCTTAGTGTGGTTCAGCAGCTAAGCAAAGGTTTGGATTAACGTGAATGAATGCAAGATTGTGGTTAAACGCTTTCCTCCTTAAGCACGATCTGTAGCCAAGGTTTGCTCCCGGCTTACCTTGACATGTGCACCATGCCGACAAGTCATCTTCTATCCAGAAGTCTGGATAACACAAGTGTACATGTCTCTCTCCTTACAATACAGTGAAGGGTTTATTATAGGCAGTCTAGGTGACTTCATAGAGACATGGGTGATGTCAGTATGACCCACAACAATTACATTGAGTATTGTGGCTTTGAGTCACATTTATCAAAACCAAACCTGGTGGATCTTTGTACCCATATCCAGCAATTGTTTTAATGATATTTTAAGCTTCTAAGGGTGGTGGTGAATGAAATACAAACGTTGCACTGCTACATCCCTACCCAACCTTGCCATTACATTTCCTCCCATTGGCTCCAACCACTGCCTGCCACATCCCTTTGGAGGCTGCTGACTTCAGAGCACTGACATTGGTTGGACCAAGGTTGCTGCAGAAAGGGAGGCTCCAGTGTTGGAGCTCCTATGCCTTGAATGTTGGAAGAATAGGTCTGATCTAGGGATTCTGGGAGGCCCTTGCAAGGACAAGTTTGCACCCTCAAATGTGATGCAACTGGTAATTTGAGGGCAACATGCTCTGTTCCTCGTATTTGAATATCACATTTCTCAAGATGCTAAAATGTATTTGACACTTACTCAAAATTTCATGGATTTCCGGCCAGAGTTTCTGTTCTTGAAGTACAACTTGAAGCTTAGAGCAGATCTTGACATGATCAACATAATCTAGCATCACGCGCACCACTTTCCCGGACAGGTGCTTTAACCACGCTACTGTTATCACCTCACAGAACTAAGAGAAAAAATAAGAGCATTTGAGACCAGTTCATTCAGCATTTTGCATTATTAAAGTCCCCCAGAGGACTCAACCCAGTAAAGCCCTGGCCAAAACTGCAGCAAAGCAAACCAGCCATACAGCAAATTCAGTTCAGAAAAAAATAACACCATTTGCACACAGGATAACCAAGTACTAGCCATTTACTCTAAGGAGTGCCATCTTAAGGGTAGCATTTGATTTTGCGGTCCCATTTATCAGGCTCCTTATTTGCCTTGAAATGCTAATACACAGAGTGCTTATTTCTTCCACTGTGACAATATCCAGTCATATGCAGACTCACAGTTCTGGAGCCCAGCTGGGGGGAAATAGCCTGATGGGTGTTGTAGGGGCAAATCAGAAGATGGTGCAAATGTAAGCAGTCCTCCCTCCCATCAGAAGCACTCACCATTGTGTCTTTGATAACAGTTGAGGTCCACCCTTCAAATATGTACTGGGAATGCACACTGGCTCCATGAGGACAATCGAAGCAGCGGTGAACATTGTACCCATAATTCAGCAACATCCTTAACATTACTTCATCTTTCAACGTGTACTGCAAAGCTGATGGGAAATGTGTTGTATTAACCCTACAGAAATAGTTCACATTGGCCCCATGGCGAAGCAGGATACCAATGAGCTCGTAGTTGCCCATTCTCAAGGCCAGCTGGAGACAGTTAACTGGGTCTTGGTTTGGTAGGGCTCCAGCATCCAGGAGCAACTGAACAGAGTCAATATCCCCATTAGAGACAGCAAAATACAAGGCTGACCTCCTCTCATCGTCATAGCCTTTGCGAATTCTCTGATGCAACATAAAATTGGCATCAAATCCAGATTTGAGAAGGAACTCAAGGCACTGAGGATGTCCGCCTGCAGCTGCAGAGTGAACTGGACTGATTCCACTCTCCTTGATGGCAGCACTGTCCGTCACTGGAACCAAGATCTGTACAACTCTAGGGAGCAAAACAAATCAAATCAAAATATTCTTTGAGAAAGCTCTAGCTTGATGAATTTTTGACAATGAGGACAACAGGTCATTTGTTGCTCCTCACTCAGGCAAAAGAGGAGAGGTTGTAGCTGCATGTGTTGGGAGTTTGTCCCTACGACTTCAGCACTTTTCAAAAGATGTAACGTAGTGCCATAGGCACATGGGCAGACAAAGATCCCAAGAGGAAAAAGAAAATGCATAAATATATCAAAAATAAAACTGCAAATTAAGGAAACATATGAGTGAGAGAGAGAGAGAGAGAGAGAGAGGAAGGAAGGAAGGAAGGAAGGAAGGAAGGAAGGAAGGAAGCTTTAGTTTGTAGCTACAAGGAAAGCTGGTGTGCTCTGGTCCATGGGGTCACAAAGAGTCGGACACGACTAAACAACTAAACAACAACAACACAAGGAAAGGAGAAAGGTCCAAATGTTGCTGTGGTATTGCTGGAAAGAAAAGAAATGAGTGGGATGTTGCTGATCTTGTCTGCTCAGGAATGCATTTCAGTTGAATTGGTAGACCTTTGCACCCAAAACATTTACTGAGTTAGCCCTAGAAGCTTCTGTACAAGGGTTCTGCGCAAGTGCAGAACCTGCATGGAGGACTGCACAGAGACACTACCTGCCCACGGACTATCTCACCAGAGCAGTGCATGCTCTGGTTATCTTCCGCTTGGACTACTGCAATGCGATCTACGTGGGGCTACCTTTGAAGGTGACCTGGAAACTACAACTAATCCAGAATGTGGCAGCTAGACTGGTGACTGGGAGTGGCTGCTGGGACCATTGAACACTGGTCCTAAAGTATCTTCACTGGCTCCCAGTACGTTTTCAAGCCCAAATCAAAGTGTTGGTGCTGACCTTTAAAGCCCTAAACGGCTTTGGCCCAGTATACCTGAAGGACAGTCTCCACCCCCATTGCTCAGCCCGGACACAGAGGTCCAGCTTCAAGGGCCCTCTGCTGGTTCCCTCACTGCAAGAAGAGAAGTTACAGGGAACCAGGCAGATGGCCTTCTCGGTAGTGGCACTCTCCCTTTGGAACGTTCTCCCTTCAGAACTACATAACTTTTAGAAGACATCTGAAGGCAGCCCTGTATCTGGCAGTTTTTAATGTTTGACATATTATTATGTATGCTGTAAGCTGCCAAGAGTGGCTGGGGAAACCCAGCCAGATGGGCGGGGTATAAATACTGGGAGTCATTTTGGACTCACAGCTGTCCATGGAGGCACAGGTTAATTCTGTATCCAGGGCAGCTGTCTACCAACTCCACCTGGTACTCAGGCTGAGACCCTACCTGCCCGTGGACTGTCTCGCCAGAGTGGTGCATGCTCTAGTTATCTCCCGCTTGGACTACTGCAATGCACTCTACGTGGGGCTACCTTTGAAGGTGACCCGGAAACTACAACTAATCCAGAATGTGGCAGCTAGACTGGTGACTGGGGGCGGCCGCCGAGACCACATAACACCGGTCTTGAAAGACCTACATTGGCTCCCAGCACGTTTCCGAGCACAATTCAAAGTGCTGGTGTTGACCTTTAAAGCCTTAAACGGCCTTAGCCCAGTATACCTGAAGGAGCGTATCCACCCCCATCATTCTGCCCGGACGCTGAGGTCCAGCGCCGAGGGCCTTCTGGCTGTTCCCTCATTGCGAGAAGCAAAGCTACAGGGAACCAGGCAGAGGGCCTCGGTAGTGGCGCCCGCCCTGTGGAACGCCCTCCCATCAGATGTCAAAGCGATAAACAACTACCTGACATTCAGAAGACATCTTAAGGCAGCCCTGTTCAGGGAAGTTTTTAATGTGTGATATTTTAGTGTATTTTTTGGTTTCTGTGGAAGCCGCCCAGAGTGGCTGGGGAAACCCAGCCAGATGGGCAGGGTACAAATTATTATTATTATTATTATTATTATTATTATTATTATTTTCATCATTATTATCACCATCATTTCAGGTTTGGATCAGGTTGTTTACATCAAACTTGCAGATGCGTATATGATAAATAATTGCCCTGCTCATCTCCCGCAAATAGTTATGTCACAAGGCAGATTTTGGGAGAGAGCCGACCTGTAAGGCAGTGTTGACATGCCCTGGGAATATGACTAACTCCACTAACCCCACCCACCCACCTCCATCCCAATTGTATAACCTGTTGGCTTTCATAACTCACAAGAGGTGTCCTCTATAAGCAGCTCTGTGAATGGGCAGGTGACCTGAATGCTTTGGTACATTAGCATCAGCTCCATACTCTAGAAGAAGAGAGACACAATCCGGATTTCCTCCTCCAGCAGCTTCAAATAATATGGATGCACAATCAGATGCCTGGGAAAGAACATTGGCACCTAAGGGAGGAAGAGCAACAGAGATTTAGTGCAATAGTACTTAGCACCCTCATTATAGCACCCCAGACTGCCTTAATGTGAATTCTAGTTCTTTCAGAAAGAGTTGTGCTGGAATAAGTTGGGGTTTTTTTGCAACAACTTTGAGAAATGGGATCAGTATTACACTGCAACAGGACCAGTCCTGAATAAAGGGCTCTTGTAGGCAAAAGTGGAGCAACACATTCACAAACTAGGAGGTCTCTTTCTTCACATCCACACACATAACATCAAATTGCTACTACAGTCTCAGTTCCCATTCTGCTTCCTGATGCCTCTAAAACCTTATCCATCCTTTCTTTGTCCTTTATGCCTTACATCCATGTTCTGAAGGTATGATGGAGCTAAAGAATCAACTTGCCACTAGTATCCCCAAACTAGAAACCTCTTCCTTCAATGCAAATGCAACCACACCCAGAATGGGCCATCTACAAAATTCCCACACTCAGGAGCCACAGTGACCTTTGAACTTTCAATCATGTCCTGAATATATACACTGAGTTTCATTCCAATGTTTCAATGCTCACTGTAATGTAATATCTACCTTATGTTTTATGTCTCTTGGCTCCTTTTTTGTAGTAGCTGAATTGGTATCCGTGAACACAAAACATAAATGTGTGTTGGAGATGCTTGCCAGATATACCAACTGAGAATGCTGAATGAGCACTTTTTAGCAAAGGTCTTTCTTACTTTGCTCACCCAGCAAAGTTTTGCAAAACTCCCAGTGTATACACCTCTCCATCAGCATTGGCTCCTTAAGATTTGCTATCAACAGATCATTATGGGTTGGCTGCTGTGAATGAGCATTCAAAGACCGAGAGAAAAAACATATATGTACTGTATATGCCTGGTCAAAAATCTCTGCCATCCACTCCGTACAGAGTATTTTAAATTCTATACCTGTGTTCCCTTAGTTAGAACAGTATTCTATCACAGGACTGCTCTGGCAGTTACCAAAAAAACTAGCCTTAGGTGCACCACTGAACTTCCAAGTAATTGCATGAAAGTCCTCACCTTTACGCAATAGAATTTCCAGAATTTCTGTATGCCCATTCTGCGCTGCCAGTGCTAGAGGGGTGAGTCCATATGCACTCCGTGGATCCGGATCTGCTTTAGACCAAAGCAAAAGCTCCACCATGTTTTTGAAGCCTAGCCTGGCCGCCTCATGTAAAGCTGTCCTCTTGTTGACACACTGGAGATTGACATCGGCACCAAATTGTATCAGCAAGGAGACAATTTCGTACGAATTGTGTTTAATTGCTGTAAAATGTTAAGAAAGAGCAGCATTTTACACGTTTAATGAAAAAGACATCAAATCCAAAAGCTTCCCTCTCTTGTGAAACCAAGACAGGAGAAACCATTGCTTGGCTGCCTCATGCTATTTATATGCAGCAATAAAGGTCATGTAGCACTGCAAGGGGCTAAACTTAGAATCAGGCTTTGTGTTCAGTCCCAAATTTAGCAAAATGCAACTAATATTGACAGTCTTGTGCTGGGTTTTTCAGAGATTGAAGAAACTCCTCCCGAACTCCTTCCGGTTCATGGTGGGCCTCCCTTTGAATGGGGTGCAACCAAAGAGGGAAGCAGAAAGCGTTGCTTGATCTTAGCTGATCAAGGTATGGGGAGAAGCACATGCTTTATTTGTAAAAGGTCTCAGGTTCAATTCCAGGGACCTCCCGGTGGGGCTGGGAAAGATTCCTTCCTGAAACCCAGGTGAGTGTTGACAATACTGTGTGGGCCAATGGCAGCTTCCTATCCAAAGCACACCCTTTCATAAAGGTACAGAGGGCCTCTGGGCAACTTAAAATGGTGTATGGCTGGGTCTCCATGGCACAGAGCTTTGCAGCACACCTAGATGCCCTGCAAACAAAAGGGGAAATAAGAAAGCGCAAGGTGATCTGAGTGCTGTCCCTCAGTCACAAACCTCAACCCTGCCACCGCTGTCTATAGCTTGGACTCCTCCCCTAGTCCCAGCACGGCTCAGAGAGGGGAAAAGGTAAGACAAGGCAGCGGAATGAGTCAAATTCAGGTCTGCCATTTGACCAGTACTGAAATAGACAATTGTCCCCCGAGTCTTTCTCAAAATGAGAAAAAGGTTTGATACACTCACATTATTTTAAAAACACAAAAAGCATCCAAAAAAATCACTACATGAAACTCTGCAATTTGATTTACCAATAATTAAAGCAGAATCTCCTTCTTCATTCTTCACATCAGGATTAAAACCATTGATGAGGAGAAATTTGACGTTTTTCTCAAGACATTTGTCCACTGCTACAAACAGAGGTGTTTCCCCTTTCAGGTTTGTCAGTTGCCACACCACGGGGTGTGAAGCTGAAAGATAATCAGGAGAGACACATGGCTTTGGCACCAAGTGAGCATACAAAGCTGACTTGAGAACAAAGCTGAAGGGAGATCCTTCTACCTTTCAGAGTTATTTCTAGAATATTCTTGTTGGGTTGTGCTGCAGCTTCATGTAAAGGAAGGCACCCTTGCTGGTCTGCTTCCCGAAAAGCAGAGCCACACCTCATTAACTTAAGCAAAGCCTCTTCTTCACCTGTTAAGGGTGAAAGAGGTCACAATAATGCACCCTTCATGCTTTTTATGTCCAAAGATATATATGAGCATTGTTAACCCTAATGAACTCTAATTAAAATGGTGAAGGGGGAAGTTTCACACATCAAGTGCTTTTTCTTCTGGGGGGATGCAGGGGTACGCAGACCCCTAAACATTTTGTGTATCTAATGGGAGAAGAAACTATTTAAAAAAAAGTTTCTTCTTTAGCACGGTGAATCGTCAGTTCCATTGAATAGCATGGTGAATCATCAGTTCCGTTGCTACCCCCGATGGTGGCCTCATTTCCTGTCACGGTGTTTCCTGAGTCTCAGACGGAAGCGAGTGTTTAATGTGTGAAGCAGGAGTTGGAATCTAGTGTGGTGAATGGTCAGTTTCATTGTATTTACTGTATTTATTTTTCCTGATTTGAACTATAAAATGGTGGTTTTCTTGAGTCAAAATGAGAGTACCCCTAAACATATTTTTTTTTAGAAAAAAAGCACTGCACACATCCATGTACATCACTTGATGGTTCATTATCAGTTAATGAATCCAGTTCTTTAAAAGTCTGTGCAAGATAAAGGAAATAAAGTACTCCTCCTTGTGTCGGAATCCCACTTAATTCCCCAAAGAAGTCAAAGCAGATACTTAACTGTCCGAATGGCAGTGATGATCTTCCTGTAATCTGTACTTGTAGCAAAATTAAAGCTGAAAGACAACCAAAAATAATAATTAAAATCAGCCAAAACTATTAATTTCTCCCTCTTGTTGCACAGCTTCCTAGCATTGCTCCTTCAGGATATTTCTCCCCCAAACATGAAAAGAAACAAGAGACAATGCTCACTTGTTATCACTCCAAATAGACATTTAATATGTTTGTTTTTTACCCTCATGGCGTTTGGATCTGGCTCAGTTTCTTCTGGTGTTTTTTGTTGAATCATCCCCCCTAATACCGTGCTTGGATGGTCAGTTATCAGTTTAGAAATAAAACAAGAGCACTAAAAATAAGGTAATGATATCTGCACATTTAGGGGGCTTATTTAGCCACACAGAAGTATATCTGCTTGCAAGTTAAGAGAAAAATTAAAGTGTAATTATTTGATCCCCTAAAGCTCAACAATGGCCTATGGGCAGTGCTTTCCAAGAGCTACTGAACGCTGCAGGCAGCTCCGCCAAAGTATGTTAAGACTCAAGCAGCCTTTGCCAATCTGGGGAAGAGAGAAGATTGTTCAATCTGGCAAGTGGCAATGTTTGTGCAGACAGAACATTCATAATAGTGTGACATTTAATTTCACTCATGGTTCCCTGTAGGTCTCCCATTCAGATATCTTAAAGCATGGGTAGGCAAACTAAGGCCCGTGGGCTGGATCAGGCCCAATTTCCTTCTGGATCCGGCCCGCGGACGGTCTGGAAATCGCTGCGTGGATCACCAGCACGCGTGTGCGTTCTTTTCCTCTCCCTCACACGCCGGTGCCAGCGGCACCTCTTCCCTCCCTCCTCCTGGCTTCTCCCCGCCCTGCCTAGAGGAGGAAGGGGGCTGGGCTTTGTTGGTGACAGCAGCAGCAGCAGCAGCACTCGAGCAGCCGCCATTTTAAGCAACCCCTCTCCGGAGCCCTTTCGCACACTGCTCATTGTCCCTCTGCTGCTGCCGCCAGCCCCTGCCGCTTGCAAGACACAGGTAAGCAGCCACCGGGGCTCGTGGTGCTCTTGCATCATCCCCCCCCAAATACAGTCCAGCCCCCCACAAGGTCTGAGGGACAGTGGACCGGTCCCCTGCTGAAAAAGTTTGCTGACCCCTGTCTCAAAGAGCTGCAGCAGCATAGATCATCCGGAGGGCTTAATTCTCCCACTGAAATAAATGGGATTTAAAAGCCCTTTGCTGTCTGTGTCACCAGAATTCTGACAGGAGGTTTGGAACAGTGTGGGAAAGGCTGCCATTTCAAAGACACACAATGGCACCTTTGATGGCAGCATTCAGTAGTGGACATACTTTGGGAGAATATAGGATTCATCATTAATGCAACTGCCAGCCTTAAAATTCTCTTTCTCCTTCTCTGGTGTCATCCCATAGCCTTAGACATCTTGCAGCTGAAGCTATGAGGGTCTGTATGTGATTGTTTCTAAATGTTTAAAATACTTTAAAAAAATGTTTTGTTTTACTACCTTGTTGTTTGCCACCCTAGGCAACTTTGAGAGGAAAGTCAGGAGAAACTTAATTAACTGATTTTGATGATAACGATGCTGTATGGAGACAGCTTGCCTCTTTTTCCAGTGCAACAGGTGAACAAGACTTCTGAATCTTCTGAGGAAAGGAACTGTAAAAGTGTGGCTAATGAATGTACAATGCTTCACTTTGGATGAATCATTACTAAAATGACTATGTTATTCACTAGCCATAACATATATCATGATAACCACTCACACTCAAACAAATACATAAAATGGAGAAAAACCCATGTACATAACATTATGCAAAATCATTGAATGTCACCATAACAACACTATTGAAAGAGTTTATAGCCTCCAGCATGGGTGTAGTCAAGATTTTTGTTAGGGGGGCAGAACCTCAGATTTGTATTGATTTTGATGGATTTAGGGGGAGCATCTTCCCCCTGCCTCCCCTTGGCTACACCAGTGCTGGCATCCAGTGCTATGTTTTGAAGCCGCACATTCGAAAGTTTCAACAATATCTAGAAGGACATACATACCTGTCATTTCTTGTTGTAGCCTCTTTCTCACTCTTCTGAATGTCCTGCAAACTTTGCTGAATGACATACTGAGTTGGAATGTCATCATCAACATCATCATATATATCTGTAGTATTGTACATGCTAAAACCACATATCTTGGAAAACAAGTAGGATCAAATAGCTGTTCTATGCTTCAAAGATGATTTCTAATTCTTTTATTTCTTCTGCACTTCCAGAAAAATTAGTAGCTATATATGTGGAAATAAATATATAGAATTAGAAACAAATAGAGCTGAAACAAAAGCAGAGATGTCTTAACTTAAAAGTCTCAATTGATCTCTTTTTTAAAAAGCAACAACTTGATTTCCTGCCCACTGTCAGATTTTTCCCATGGTAGGAAAAAAGGGATCACATCAGATACGATGCTGAGAAATCTATTCTTGACCTTTACTATTGCTTTGCTCAATACTTGTTTAACTATTGGGGAACATACAGCTGTTGTGTTCTTGCCCCACCTCAAAAAGGTCATTGTAGAGTTGGAAAATGTTCAGAAAACGGCAATCAAAATGATCAGGAGCCTGGAGCAACTCCCCTACGAGGAAAGGTTGCACAATTTGGGACTTTATAGTTTAGAGAAGAGGTGGCATGATAGCAGCTTACAAAATTATGCATAGCATGGAGAAAGTGGATAGAGAAAAGTTTTTCTTCCTCTCTCATAACATTCGATGTTGTGGACATCTTTGCAATTTCTTCAAGTACTCTGGAAGGCATGTAGGACACAAAGTGGATTGCACCCATTAACAACCCCCCCCCCCAATAATTCTGGAGTAAAACTGCTCAGAATTTAACTTCATAAATAAAGTATAATAACATATAGCTTCAGAGCTTTTCCTTATTGACAGACAAGTATTTACATCTGTTATACAGATCTGGTTACTTTATGAAAGCACTAATATTTGCCATGCATATTGCAAATATGGTGAAATGTTATTCTCTATTACTGTTCAGGCAACACTCCCTATGGTAAGATGGTTCTGGTTTCTACTATTCATGGATACCAAATAGATATCTGAAAAAGTATTACAAACATTTTGAAAGTAAGCATGTGGCTAGAGGCAGTTTGAAACAGAAAATATTTATCTACTAAGCTACCAAACATTTTACCATCAATAATTTTGGCTTAAAGCAAAGCATGCAGGTTTTTGGTACTACAGTTGCAATAGGATTTTAAAAATGCCAGAAGTACATATACACTCTTTAAAGTTTTTATTGTTGCTTTTAGAATTTCATTAAAAAGATTTAAGAAAAAGAACAAATCCTCCTCACCTTTTTTCCACATTTGAAACAGAGAAGACCTCACACTCTAAGCAAATGTTAAAACGAAGTATGACGTTTTATGTATTGAAAAATGATCCTTTGCTTCTTGCATAGCCCATATCCATTAATAACTTACTATAAATACCTGACCATAAGACACTCTGTTATGCATGCCCACAAGTTTCCCCATGAGGATTACACGAAGCTTAGCAGAATTCAGAGACATGAACCTGACATGTGAAAAAAAAGATCAGAAGGCTAGACATTTTTCATCACAATTCAAGAATTGCTAAAGGAAATACATTTCTCAATAGTACACACTCAGAAATATCTTAAATGTATGGGAATGTAATTAAAACAGCTTCAAAAACACAGTACATTAAAAACTGATAAATATCAGACAACATATCATTATCTACACTTTTCATAAACCTGGGGACGTGATGCACCCAAATTTGAGGATTTTTAAAGTCCCATTGATTTTAGTGCAAGATAAACCAACGGGTTCTCAATTATCATTGAAATCAATAGTACGTAAATGTGCTGAACTTTAGCTAGACAAACGCTTAGGACAAATTTCTAATTTATTTACATATTCTAATTTATTTACATATCTTTGTGTTCGCTGTGCCAGAGTGGGCATCACTAATCCTGGCCAGTACAATGTCACATTGCAACTTTTTAGTTTACCATTCTTTCTCCACCATCTGGGTGGGAGAGAGACTCTCCCCACGGTTTCTCCTTGAGCTTTGAGTGACTGGCTGTGGGCAGCAGATGCTGCACCACAGAAGGTGCTCACTAGTGGGTAACTGGCACTGGTTATATAGACTCTCTTCTTCCAGGATGCTAGGCAATTGCTAGTGCTGTTATTCTGAATAGCACCCTGTGCACCTTTTTTTCTGCTTTTCATGTGATGCCTTGCACCACTTCTTTTGAATCCACACTACTGCTCTGGGCAAGTTGAATGGACATTAAGAGTTGAGAGGGGAAAACCAACATCTGTAAGCAACAGGAAAGTGATCCTTCAACAGCCTCAAAATGCCTTGTTGATACATTAAGTAAGCTACTATTTTATCCTAGCAACTGACAATATTGTTACAAAAGAACAGGAGAATACATCAGTAACTTTACAAGGGAATAACAATCACGTTTAATTTTTAAATTCAAAATACTGCAATCAATTTAGAAGTTCAAATGATCAAACTACATCAGTAACAAAGTTCTTCACTTAGGGGAAGAAATCCCCCCGTCTTGTCCTGTTTTGATTCTGAGTTTTTCAACATTAGTCATCCAGCTGGCAAAGCAGAGCAACCCCTCGCTTAATCCAGTGCTGGACTGGTTGATCAGTTAATAGCATTAATGCAATGACAAAGTTAGTAGAATGCCCAGTGGTCGAAAGGGTTCCTTTACGCTCACTTGTCTTGTAGAGTGGACACATGTAAGCATTTGATTTTTTTATGGCTGATTTTTTTGCTGTAAGGAGGAAAAAAAACAATTTTTATTATGCTCTGTTAAAAAATATTGAGAATACTGTATTGCATAAATAATTTCAGTGCTAAATAAATATGTTTTTTTATTCAGTAGAGCCTAAGAAAAAATTACTGTTCAAACTTATGCAAGCAACAATTTGTAGGCTACCCTGTAACACAGCAGAATCAGTTTGATCAAGAGGCAGAAAAGAACAGCCACCCAACATGATGCATCTGTTGCTGGATTGTATGAATTCAGGCTGCAGGCGGGGCTATCAAAGTCATAAGGGCTGCCCCAAGGGTATATTTAAAAATCCTACACCTACCAGATCTGCAAGTCAAGGGGGAGATTCTAGCTTAGACTTCTCCTTGACAAATTAGTTCAGGGAGTATGGTTTGCTGGTTTTTCTTTTACGTCTATTTGTTTATTCAAAAATATACCCATTCTTTCAGCTCTGTAAGCTGTTGATGTGGTTTGGCAGGAATTAGTGAATAAAATCAAACAAGACCTAAACATATCTAGGAAATTAAATTTAACCCTCATCCAGGAACTGGGCACCATCTTAAACCAGTGACAGGAACTCTGCGTGACACCAGCACAGCCAAAGTAAGGACTGGATCCAACAGCACCCAGAGTCTGCTTGAGCTTAACATCAGAGAGCATTAGAAAAGCCAGCCCTCCACCCATAGTCAAAAATAGTCCAGAACATCTGGAAGGCACCCGAGTGGGGAAGGCAGGTGTCATGTAGTCCTGCAACAGGTACTACAGATGACATTGCTGCTTGGCTTTTCAGCTCTGATACTGAATGACATCCAAGCTCCTACATGTGTAAGGAGCTGAGTAATTGACCTTAATGTATATGCAGAAATACATTGATTTCCAAATACTATTAACTTCTGAATTGTCAAAAGGTATTAAAGTTTAACAGAGATACTGAAGTAAAAGAATGCAGTGCTGGATAATAATCACATACTATCTATTTAAGGACCGTCTGAAAGTGAGCCCATAGATTTGACTTAGGAGCCACAGACCCAATTACAATTCTGTTTACCCATTAAGTCTAAGTTCATCATTAAGTTCACCCACTTGCAATCCAATCAGACGCTTTACAGATTTAGCCCTGAAATAATGGCCCTTTGATCACACACACACACACACACACACACACACACACATCTTCTATTTCAGGGGTAATGCACAAATATGTTAAATAATAATTATAATTCATTTGTCATGCTTATGTTATCCTGACGAATAGGACACTACATGGACAAACATGAAACAAAATGCTACTCTTCTTTGTTTACCAGTCACTACCAAAAGAAAAATATTTATGTTGCAGTTTCCAAACTATGTCCAGGATTCAGATTTAAAACATGCATTTCAAATTAAGTCAGCAAAAGAATACATAGGAAGGAAAAGAGTAAATCTCTTCTCCAAAGAAGATTTCCAGATATTTAGGAAAACAGAAAAAATAAAATATATAGTCAGAAAGTGCAAACAAAGCAATCTAAGAGGTCACTGAAGATGAAAGAGATCTACTATACAGTAGGATGGGACATTTCCAGCTCATTATTTGCCAAATATCCAGTTTACTTACTTGGCTTTATCCATATAATTGGCATTGCGTCGAAGAGTATTTTAGGATATTGTTCAGCTAGAAGTCCTCTGATGAAAGAAAAAAAAAGAACAGTGAAAAACAATTGTACACAACACACATAATACTGGCATAGATACTAAAGAAGATCTGAAAAAGAAAGTGTAATAGAAATAAGGGGGCAGAAAAAGAAAAAAGTGTTGTGAAGAAAGGAAGACTGAAGTTAAAAGATGCCATAAACCTGAACTTCAAAAAACAACTGCTCCAAAATAGTTTTCTGGGTGCTCTAATGAGCTAATGAAGCTAATGAGCTTCTTCCTGATTTAGATCTTCACTCACCCCTTCTTTGCCAGTGGAAGGGTAGTGGTCCCATTTTGTGATTTACTTCAGCTGTCAAAATGTCTTGGGCTGGCCCTAACCTACAAACAGAGGTTTTTCTTCTGGAGACAGTTTTGCTAGATGCTTGGCTGCATCTGCAGATGGACAAAGGAGAGCTTGCTGTCATTGCCAGTGAGCTGATCATCACCGACAGCAAGTTCTTGTGTAGCAGTTAAAATGCTGGATTACAACCTGGGACACCAGGGTTCATATCCCTATGTACCAATGATCCATACTGGGTAACCTTGGGCCAGTCATTGTCTTTCAGCCTAGCCTACTTCACAGGGAAAGAGGGGGATATGTATGCCGCCTTAAGCTCATTGGAGGAATGATGCAATATAAATCTAATAATAAAAAAATCATAATATTGACATCACTCAATAGACAAGTGAGTGGCCCCACCCACCACTGTAAAGTGGCCCATAGAGGATAGGACAGTTCTGCCATCTGGTGCTCAGGCTGAAAAAGGACACCCTCTGCCGGTTTAAAAATAATTTAAAATCATGATTTGATATTGTAACATGCTGTAGGAATACTACTGCTGTGAGAATGTTTTCAAATATTTCAAGCAGAAGTTTGTCTTCAAATCAATATAGCAAATAATACATGACTATATTTATAAAAAGTGCTTTGATGGCTAGAACAAATACATTCATATTGTTTTTCAATCTAATTTGATAGAGGAAAGTACTGTAGTCTTAAAATATTATTTCAATATTAAAAATATGTCAAGATATTAAAAGAAATTAAATATTAGCATGCATGAAGGATGTGGGAAAGCACTTTAACACATGCCAATTAACTGCACATTTACTGAATTACTAACTTCTTTCTGTCCCAGCGTGCTCCATCTAAAAACAATCCATGAATATAAACACCATCTTCTGGAGCAACTTTAGAAGTGTCCTTAGGAATAACCTAAACAAAACAGAAATACATTTTCAAAGAATAAATAAAGTTGCAGTTCCATTTTTTTTTATCCTGTTGTGTTTTTTCAGATGGTTTGTGGTGTCGATGGTGGTGCTGGAAACACTATTATGGCACCAAACTTTCCAACACAGACGGCCAAAGCATTAGAGGGGCTTTTCAGTGCTCCTATGCCTTTAATTTAAAATTTTCTATTTGCAGGCCCTACCCATCTCCTGCTTCTTGTTGACAATGGCTGAAAGAGTGGCATCTTACTTGCCCCAAACAGTCTTGCAATTTATACCTCTTCTACTCTACATTTTAAAACAAATTTTGCTATACAGGCATTGACTGCATTCAGAGACAAAAGTGTACACCAGGGCACAGAGAGGATCTGATTCAGGAACAGGCAGGCAAGTCTCTGAAGGGCCACAGGGTCATAACATGGGCTAAGATGGGCTGATGGGCTGGTTTTGGAGCAGGCAGAGGAGAAAACCAGATGTGGCATGACAGACAGAGCAAGGGCTTTTCAATACTGTTCAGCAGCTACTCCCAGCAATGAGCTGCTCGTTCTCTGAGGCAAAGATTTGGGGCGGTCTGGACTAGCCTATGGAGTTAGCTAACAACATTCAAACCATCTGGTACTGCAACTTAGAAGGTACCCTTGACTCACAAAACTTCATCTGCTGTGCTTGCTGAAGAACCAGAACACTGACAGCACAGGAAGTAAGCCTCCAGTGCCTGACTGCTGTGAGCCCTGTGATAGCCCCTTGTTTGTAGAACTCTCTCCTTGGGGAGGTATGCCTGATGGTGTTTAGAAGAAGACTGAAGGCATATTGGTTCACCTGTACTTTTGAAACGTGAAGGTTGATGGCAATCTTAGCAACTTGATGTTGTTTCCCCACGTTTTCTGGCTTTAGAGATGTATTCTTGCTTTCAATGTTTTTAATATTTTTTTGGACCTTCCATTCCCTCCCAACTCCTTCACACACACCCATATCCTCACAGCTCCTCAGTGTCCCCTAAACGACTAAACAACAACAACAACAACTTACTTGTGAGTAACCCTTGTGGAAGGATCTTGGTTACGGAAAAGGGCACTGCTGGATAAAACAGCACTATATTAAGTGCTTTGTTTTAATTCCACTTCCAGCTAATTATGGAAAAGCAACCTCCTATAACAGCATTAAAGGGCTCTAGTATGGAAGTAAGCACAATTGCTTCTGAAAGTCTCGTTAACTTCAAAAGTTGTAGACCACTTGGCCTGGCAACTGCTTGAGAAATATAAGCCAAAGTCCCCTTGGGCATGTGAAATTAGTTTTCTTTGGATCTGTGTCAGCTATATTACTATATTTCTTTGGATCTGTGTCAGCTATATTACTGAACAAGTGCTTGACTTCACACAACAAAAGAGGAACAGGTATAAAACCCTTTACAGCATATGAACACCAAAGATTAGTAGCAAGCTGTATCCAATCTGAAAAATGTGGCTTAAGCAGCTTGTTGTACCTGAAATTCATATCCAAGTAGATCAATAGGAACAGTGTATTTTCGCGCATAGTTCTGCATCGCTCCAGTTAAAAATGCTTGCGTGAAGAAGAACCCTGACAGCCAAAAGACACAGGGCTTTCCAGATTCATACCATTCCTTAGAAGAAGAACAGGAGATTAACATACTGGCTATAGATGTATCATATTTTACAAACTTATGTAAGTAAATTATGCTGGTAAAAAACTCCTTTACTGACAAGATTCCCAAAATACATTCCAAATGTTATGATTATTTCTTATTAAACTAATTCATTTATTAGAAATTTACAGTATTTAGTAACACAATACTTCTTGCTTTACCTGTAAGAATTTCAGCCTTTCTAGGAAATCAAGGATATAACTTCCAAGTGGTTTCAGACTTGGGTATGAACGCTTAGCCCAGTTCTCAGCAACTTTTCCAACGAGGAGACTGCCACAAAGGGCTTCCAGTTCAGAATCCATCACAACCAGTCCCTTAATGGCTTTCTTCAAGTTCACCAAAGTTGTACGTATGGTTCGTATTAAACTAAATATGCAGAAACACACACACAGATATATCACTAAAATTACCAGTTATAAATGGCCTGCAAATGTTGTATCCACTAATTTAAAAAATGATACTACAATGTTATGATGGCTGTACTACAAAATCAACTGTTTCTAGTTTAAGATTACATGGATTAATGAAATCCATGGGAGTTTAATATATTTTAAAAAATAATGCCGTAAAATATAAGTATAGAAAATAATTCCCCTTACTTGTTAAAGCGCTCCATTTCTTGTACTAGCACAGTGTTCATACTTTCTTCATATCTCACAGGATACTTGAGAAGTGCAGCTTCAATATCATAATCACTTGGAAGCTAGAAATGTTGACATATGTTTCCATTTTGACAAATGTAAATAGGTAAATAGGTTTTCATTTATTAATTCTGTGATAACATAATAAATTGACATGAAAACTCATGCTGAATGAATGATAGTCAAATTCTTATTGACAACAACATCACCATTACCTCTTTGTGTGCTTTCTAGATAATTCTGTGCTGTCATATAATTCAGATGGGAATTGAAGGTGGTTTTTAGGAACCACAGCGCAACTCAATAAATCATTACCAAATTAATCTTCACTAGTTCGAATTTTGCAATGAAAAAAGTATTAACAGGAATATCTAACTGGCTCAGACCTGATAAAGCTGGCTATGTCTATACCAGTTGTTTTCCCCAGGTAATCTCCTAGGCCACAGTAGTAATAGGTAGTGCAGTTTGCATCTGAACCCCAACCCATGTCTTTGAGGAGGGCTCCTCTTTTGTTTTGTCCTAAGGAAATCTATTTCTTTGTGAAATAAATTACCATATTTTTCACCCTATAGGACGCACTTTTTCCCCTCCAAAAATGAAGGGGAAATCTGTGTGCGTCCTATGGGGCGAATACAGGCTTTCGCTGAAGCTTGGAGAGCGAGAGGGTCGGTGCGCACCGACCCCTCTCGCTCTCCAAGCTTCAGGAAGCTATCAGCAAGCCTGGGGAGCCTGCGGGAGTTCCCACAGTTCCCTGAAGCCGAGCGCCCCACGCGCCGGGCAGACATCTGCAGTGTGGGGAGCCCTGTGGGAGTTCCCGCAGGGCTCCCCACGCTGTGGATAGCAGCCTGCCGCCCGGCACGCAGTGCGCCCTTAAGCAGAGCGCCCCTCGCACCGGGCAGACATCTGCAGCGTCGGGAGCCTGCGGGAGTTCCCGCAGGGCTCCCCACGCTGCGGATAGCAGCCTGCCGCCTGGCACGCGGGCTGCCCTGAAGCAGAGCGCCCCACGCGCTGGGCAGACATCGGCCAGCCCCACAAGCTCAGGGGACAGCTGGGAAGCGCAGCGCTGCCATACCGCTGTTCCCCGACCTGGTTTTGGGGGGGAAATAAAGGGGAATTTTTTTCCCTTTATTTCCCCTCCAAAAAACTAGGTGTGTCCTATGGGACGGAGCGTCCTATGGGACGAAAAATACGGTAACTTTCATACAACGTCCCTTACAATGTTTGGACAGACACTGCAAAGGAAGTACCCTCTTTAGGCTTGCCACTTGTTTGTGGGTACACTGTTGCTGTCTGAAATGGCAAGGTGATATACCCACTCATATGTAAATGGTTCTTGTGACATTTAGAACTGACTTTTTGACATATATAGTGCAAATACACAAACAAGCAACACAGGTGAATGAGCCAGTGAGGCACAGATTAATATTGCTGTGACTAATGCTGTCGTTTTACTCTTTTTAAGACTCATTGTTGATGGGGCAATATGAAGACAATGAACATGTGGTTGTTTCAGGAATTCTAACCAAGTTCCAGTGTGGGGCTGAAACCTGATGGTGACTGAAACAGAAAAGTAGCACTTTTCTGAAGTTATAGATTTGAAGGATGAAACTGATCTTGCTATGAATCTCATACTATGTGCTTGCTTCAGTACTCCTAAAATGCACGATCAATTTCAGCATTGGTACCAATACAAAATATATCACAAAGTCTCCCCCTTCTGCAAAGAAAATTCATTGTGTAAGGAAGGGTCTGTGCTTGCAGAGCATGAAATTTCTCTAGGAAAGACTAAATACCTTGCTCAGGATGTCATCTGCAATTTCATACAAAGCAGTGTCACCACCACCTGAAGACCCTCCTTGATGGCTTCCTCCTTGTGTCAGGATCAGAGATTCAAAGAGGATTTTTGTTTGCTGGAGATCCTTTGAGATATCTACATTATCATGCAATCCAAACACCTCTGGCTGCTGACTGAAAGGGAGATTCTAGAACAAACCACATGAAGTTCATTATAGACTAAGGATTTCAGAAAGAGACCCTTTAAGTCAAGGACAGGGAACATCAAGACTGGGGGCTTAGTTAGGCCTGCCAGACCTCCCCATTTGGCTCACTGTCATTGTGACCAATCCACAGTCACCTGACAATCACCTGATGTCATATATCAGTTGTGGGTAGTTAAATGTCAGCTGAACTGGGTCAAAAGGGGTTTCTTAGTACTGCCCATCAGCTAACAGGGATTCAGAAGCCCCTTGCAGAGTTTCAAAGACTACACACACTTGGCTTCTGAACCTCCAATGATTAGCTGATTGACCCGGATTCTGAAGTTCCAAAGATCAGCTGAGCATCAGGACTTCAAAAGGCCACACCAGACTCCTTGCAAGCCCCTTGCACAGAGACTGCACAGCACTTTGAAGTCGCAAGGATAAGGCAATCGTTGAGGCTTCAAAGTGTCACCTCACCTAACATCAGTGTGACCTTAAATTTGGCCTGCAGGGGTTTGGGAGATAAAGATCTGTCCCACAAGTCTCATTCCCTTCCCCTATTTTAAGTAAAGTTGGTATATGTCCCAAGCAGAGAGAAACAAGGCAGTACCTTAATAAATTCAATGTAGTCATCATAGGTACCCCGCGGTGGGGCATAGTAACTGCCACTAGGAGAAAATAAATACTGAGGATTTTCAACTATTTCTGGGTTGTAAAAGTCAGCAAGCATAGTTAGTAGTAGACGTCTGTCCCAATCATCTGTCACTCGCCCTCCGTAGTTGCATTCACCCGTAAGGTAAGATATTGCTTCAAATGGAACATGTTCATATTCATTTATAAATAACTGAAATTGGAAATAAAATAGTGGGTTTAAACAACTTTGCACTATGATATGGCTTGCTCATAGTACAACAGATAAACAAAGTTTGGGCAATATTGATGAATTTATTCAACTGAAAGCATTCTATGCATATCACATTTTATCAATATTACAGTGGTGCCTCGCAAGACGAAATTAATCTGTTCCACAAGTGTCTTCGTCTAGCGGTTTTTTCGTCTTGCGAAGCAACCCTATTAGCGGCTTAGCGCTATTAGCGGTTTAGCGGCTATTAAAGGCTTATCGGCTTAGCGGATTAGCTGCTAAAAGGCTATTAGCAGCTTAGCGGCTTAGAAAAAGGGGGGGGGAAGCGAAAAAAAATCTCAAGACTCGCAAGACCTTTTCGTCTAGCGAAGCAAGCCCATAGGGAAATTCGTCCTGCGAAGCAACTCAAAAACGGAAAAGCCTTTCGTCTAGCGGGTTTTCCGTCTTGCGAGACATTTGTCTTGCGGGGCACCACTGTACTGGCTATATCCAATGCTAGTTCTGCTCAGAGCAGATCCACTGAAGTGAGTGGACCCAAGTTAAACCTGTTCATTAATTTCAATTTTTAAGTAGGTCTAGCATTGGATGAAACCCTACATATAATATATAAATTTTGTGAAGCACATTGAATTTAGATTTTCAAAACAATTCAGTTATTTTATTTAAATAACCATTGCTGAATATACGAATGAAGTGGCATAGGGAGCTTCTGAAATTACTGTTATAAGCATCCAGGCTATACATGACATAATACCTTACATTCTTATTTGCTCTAATTTACGGATGGTTTGTATGATGAAAAGGTGCATAATTCATATATGAACTCTTTGATCAGAATCTAGTATTTGAATAACTTTAACATAGCATATCTAACTGCTGATTAGCCAGCTGCTAAAGGCTTGTTTCAGCATACAGAAACTATAGTCTGCAGCTACAGATTAAGCAACATCCTATTATTTGGCAAGTGTACTTACAGACCTGTGTTTTTTAACAAACAAACAAACAAACAAACAAGCAAATCTTGAACACTGTTCTAGCTAACACTGACTCTGGTATTGTTTTTTGAGATCCCTCAGGATCTTTCATAAAGAACAACTGCCACCCACACTCCCCCTTTTTTGCACAAACCACCCCAAATTCCTTTACACAGTGGAGCTGTGTTACACAGAACTTCCCAGACATCACCAAATTGCTGTTGACAACAAGTCTTGGTACTCATGCAAAAGGAAGGATGAATACTTGTACCAACATTGGGACCCTAATGCACAAGTGAAATCTATTTATGATTCTTTATCAAGGCCCTAGATGAGCTGCAGAAGGAATAAATATCTTTACCTGAAGCTGTCTTACACTGATACGCAAGTCTGATTCATTAAATCCATATGGAATATTCCATCCAAGAGGCCCAAATTTCTTCCTCTCCTGAACAAGAGCATGAAAGAAACAAACTCCAAAGAGTAGTTTCTCCCATCTCTTTAGGAAATAAAAACAAATGGAAATAGGACAATGTAACCAAAGCTGAAGAAAGTATATCAATCTATATACAATCTACATACATGTATATTACTAGATATATTAGGATAAATATATATACTCTAGGGTTGCCATGCATCCAAAATTTCCCAGACACAGCCAGAATTCTGCTGTCGGGAACAGTGTCTCAGCAGAAATTGCTGAATTGTCTGGGGAAATCTAGATGTATGGCAACCCTTGTCAGCAGTGTCGGCAATTTCCCTTAAAAATAGCTCAAAAACTTCTCCCCCCCCTTTTTTTTTTAGATAGCTCAACAACTTTTGTGTCTGGATTTTCACCTTTTGAAATACAGCAACCCTAATATACTAAATGATATCTTTCATTATCCTGAATAATACTGATACATCTCAGGAGTCCCATTACAGTCAGTAAGTCCATACCTAAGTGGATATCTTTATTTTTCTCTGGCTGCATCCACTAAACATCCTTTAACCTCCTTTAACATGCCTATGTCTCCTCCATTTCCAAGTTCCTAGAGTTCCTTTGACCCTCCCCTGAGCATAATTTCCTGGGCAGAACATCCCCTTTAACTTTTAACTTTCAACATTTGACTCTCCTATTGCAGGAGAGCTTTTAAAGGAGAAATCAACCATTGTACTACACAATGCAGCATGGCTGAAAGTTCTATTCCTTCACAGATACTCAAAAATAAAATTTATTTTTCTCTATTGTGATTAGTATTTTGCACTATATTCAGCAATAATAAAATGGGGTGGTGGTATTATTGCTGCCCTGATCCATTTGAAAGAAGGATGAGATAGGCCTCCTCCTCCTCATTTTTTTTAGTAGAAGGCAGCTGAATAGAAAGCCTACAAATTATTTGTCTGGCAGAGGGAGAATATATGCTAACAGGTAGATGATAGAAAATACGTGGACAGAAGCTATTGTAAAACAAACTATGGCGAATACAGGCACCATACATCCATGCAAAATATAGGTCTATACTGTACAGTTGACTTGCAACTTGCACACATTTCACTTGAGTGATCACAGCTTCACGTGCTTGGCAACTGGCCAACTGATATTGCACAAAATAAATGCACGCAAGCCTTAAATGCTCTTTCCCAGGCCTTGAAACAGCTTTCAGACTTGCTTATTGGAATCTGGGAAGGTCTCTTGTGGGTTTTGGGAGCTCCCACGAGATCATGCAGGGGCTTCTCAGAGCCCCCTAAGCAAGGCCTGCTCAATGTGCTGGCTTCAGAAAGGTAGGGATGGTTGCATGGGGGACGTTCCAGCATTATTCTGAGTATACAATCATACCTCAGAAGTCAAACGGAATCTGTTCCGGAAGTCTATTCGACTTCCAAAACATTCGGAAACCAAGGTGCGGCTTCGGATTGGCTGCAGGAAGCTCCTGCAGCCAATTGGAAGCCGCAGCAGCCGTGTTGGACGTTTGGGTTCCAAAGAACGTTCGCAAACCGGAACACTCACTTCTGGGTTTGTGGCATTCGGGAGCCAAAACGTTTAACTTGCAAGGCGTTCGACTTCCGAGGTACAACTGTACAGTACAGTACAGGGTTTCAGCTTTATGCACAATCCCCTCAAATGTAACTCCCATGAAAGATGCAACCCTGCTGTACTTTAAATCTTAAAGTTAAAGGTCATACTGAAGACAACAATCTTGAGCAAGCAAAACAGCCAAGAAGCTTTGTGGATACTTAACATGTTAACAACTTCCGAGAGAAAATTTACCTGCTCCTTTCCAGGGCACCCAGCAAAAAAGGCAGGATCAGAAAGAGGATCGGAGACGTAGGACTGAAGCAGGTTTAACCGAAGGCCTGTAGGAGGCTCGTTTGTCATCTTAACACCATTCTGTAAAATGGTTACTGGGAACTAGGAAAAACAAGTATGGCAACAGCACCGCATTATGATTTCTGTTCAATTATTTGGTATAGAAAGTGGTTCAAAACAAGAATGTAATATATTGTCATATAATTAATATTCCTATTCTTTTTGTGTCCTGATATCTCATGCACAAGGGGTCTTCAGATCAAGGGACAAAATAGGACTGCCAGATGTCCACAAGGCTGCATACAGACAGTATCAGATGTGTGTGGCAGGTAAAGCTGCAGCTGCAAACAAACAATTGAGAACCTTAAAGTGCACCAGGGGACAGGGAAACTCTGCCCCCCCCCCAGACTAAACCTGGTCTACGGGGCCTCCCAGTTTGGCCCAGGAGCTATCATGGAGAAGTCATGCCCCAAATGGGAAAGGGTGGGGTTGGGAAAGGGTGGGGCTTTAAAAGGACTTCCTAAGCTTCTCCTTTCAACCTCTGACTGTTACAAAACAACAGACCTTGATAAGAGAATTTAACAAAAGCAACATGAATATATTCACCCTGTCTATAAAAAGGGTGGTATTCAATGCTAGTCCTACTCAAAGTAGACACATTGACTCAGATGGTGGTGCTAGAGAATCCTTCTCTTTAAAAAAGGAAGAGCTGAAAAACTTGGCAAAAGGCATGATCATTTACAGATTACGCACCTCTTATTTAGTACAGAATATGAAATTGTTTTATAAGTACGCAGTTGACAAGACACACACAAATCATCAAACGAGAGGAGCCAAGGTCACAGGACAAAGAGGTCACAGGACAAAGCAGATGAAGGCAGGAGATGGACTAAGTGAGGAAAGAAAGCAGCTGCAAATTCCTCAACTCTCATGCATTTCCTGCCTTGGACGCCAGGTGGAAATGAAGACCCATGGGACAGTTTGGGATTCATGGAAAACCTATAACATGATTTTATAGATTGTTACATCTCTCATTAATGGATCCTTGGGAAATAAAAGTACCTTGGGTGATGGATAACTAGTCAGCCAGAGTCTGAAAGTGCCATTGCAAGTTTCAGCACTGAACTCTTCACAGATTTTCTCTAGCATTGGCATCCAGGAGACAGCAAGGTGGCAGTTTTGTAAGCAAACCCAAGTCCCTTCCTCCATTCCTGATCTAATCATTTTTGCCGCTATTGGTCCTTGTCCCTGTCCCAGAGATATGGACTGAAACTTGTTTCCAATCATATTTTTGTCATTTGCAAATTTCAGAAGACCTGTCATGAAAGGTGCCATATTTTATTCTGTGTTAATTGGAAAAGGCAGAGTACAAAATGCAAAACTGAAGCTATTTGTATCATTTCATTTTCACTTATAAATGCAGATGACTAACAATCAGATTTGTGTTTTAAAAAATTAAGTAATTTTTATTGATTTTAAAATATACACAGTTTCAAATTAATCTTTCAGAGTCACATGATGAATAAGAGCCATAACTGGAAGACTGATTCAAAAGAAAAATGCACCACAGCGTTTAACTTACTGGCCATAGGATCTGCTCCAGGAGACAGAACAAAGATGAGTGGGATTGTAGAATTTGAATCTAAGTAGCTTTTTGTTAGGTCAAATGGTGGTGGCTCAACAAATTTCTTTCCAAGTTTGTCAGTCACAAAGGTAGTTATAGCAGGTGAAATCTGTTTTAAAAGAAATCTTCAGCATAAAATAGGATTTTGTTAAAAAAAAACATAAAATCTAGCTTGTTTCATCTAGGACCACTAAATAGTAATTATTTAGGGACTTTGAAGAAATAGAAATCTAAATCTTGTAGTCAATGACCGTAATACACAGATAGGTAGACTCAGCTCATAGCTTAAGAGCAATCTTCCTAAAGAAACTAATATTAAATTGATCTGAATATTTGAAATAGCCTTAAAGACACCAATAACACATTTATGTTTTATTTCATTTTTGAAATTACGTTCATGTATTTTACCTTGTCAGGTCTCAGGCATCGAAGAACAATCATCTTCTTTATTTCATTCAGGTTTGTATTCCATGGTTTTGGTAAAGGAACATTTTGGGGTTCTTTACTGTCATAGATTTTACGCCATTCTTTGAGTTCTTCAGCTATATGACTCCTACAGAAAGTGTAAACCAGAAATGCTTAGACTTCAGCTTTCCATTTAGTAAGAGCTCTTCCAGATGTCAACCTTTCCTAGAGTTCATGGTGCTTGTGGGTGACCCAGAAGGAGCGTGGGGCCCCGTGGTACCTTCAAAATTGCTCTAGGTCCTCAGGGACCCAGCACAGATTGCTGCTGTGGTGCCAGAAGTCCTATCATCATGCTTGTTGGGCAGCAAGCAGGCCAGAAGTGGGTGGTTCTACCTATGCCAAACCTCTTACATCTGTAGCCAATTCAGTTGTTGCTATGTATCAGTTGCCATGTCTTGCTTCATTGAATTTAGGTGGTCTGTAGGGCAGGGGGATTGCAATGGCAATATCACTACTGCACTAACAGTATGTACTGTATTTTTCCGTCTATAAGATGCCCCCATGTATAAGACGCCCTCTATTTTGGGGGACTCCGATTTAAGACAATGGGGGGAGATCTATCCGTGTATAAGATGCCCCCAAATTCTGGACATTATTTTTTAGGAAAAAATCCTATACACGGAAAAATACGGTATATGGGGAGGGGCCCAGGGCAGGGTGCAGAAGTCCACTACTTGGTATTTGCTGGAGAGGGGCTCTAAGGTCACCTTGTACTGACCTTGACTATAGGAAAACCACAACCTAGCACTCATTCACCTCCCTACATTTATTGGAGAGGGCTTGTACCCCAAGGAAACAAAACTAGTAATGTTACAGCAGATTTTCTGTTTTACCGTAGTCCTTTAAAAGCAGTCATATCACTTGCACGGCAGAGTTCATCCCAGCTTTTATCTTGTATCCAAGAGGGATCTGGATTCTTGTATTTGCTCTTGAGGCCAACTCCTCCAGTTAATAAGAACATAAATTCTTGGTGCTCTATTTCTTTTTTAGCCCTATTTTAAAAAACAATGTTGTTTTAAGTCGACATCATTATTCTAGTTTGAAATGCAATTATGTGACATAATCTTTTATTTTATAAAACACACCACAGAATAATGTTCATGTATTGATTTATAAACTTTTTCTCCTGCAGTTAAAATGACATGCTGTTCTAGGCAACTGGATCAGCGCTCATGTCCCACTTGTAACAAACTTACTACACATTTTCTGACAGTCAGTGGTTCTCTGGAAAGCATGCCTCCATCTGCTTTTATTCACTCCTACCTACACTTACTAATGCTCTTGTGTAGCATAGTTGGGTTGTACAGGGACTGGGGGAAGCACTTGTGCAATTTCACCAATAGTATCCAGTGGTGGAATTACAAGCTGGAACACCCCTGTCCAATTCAACAGTCAAGCACCTTCCAAGACTGAAGCAATGAAAGTGTCTATGGAAAAATGAAAGGAAACATGTGGACAGAAAAGAGGCAAAGAATTGAGAAATGAGACAATCTGACAAAATAGCTAGAGTGGCTAATCTGCACAGTCCAATTACACCCCCTACTTCATTAGTTGTGGTGCAAGCAGGATCCTCAGGCTCCATGGCTGCAATAATTTCCCAGAGCAAAAACACTGGTACTTGGAAGATAACTGCTGCTTTTCTTGTTTTTAAGATGCTCCTGCCTAAAGAAATCAATGTATTACTAGTTAATCAAAAGATTCCAGGAAACAGAGCCTCTTACATTAGAAGATTACAGCACAATAAAAATGAAAACAGCAGCTTATCCTTCTCAAACAGGGAACGGCAAACGTTGCAATACAAGTTGTATGTGAAATGGTCATTCAGATATCGCAGCCTTTTTTCCAAGATTTTAGACTTGTTGCTAAAAATAGAAAATAAAGGACATATATGTATATTTAATTTAAAATGTTGATCTAAATAAATAAATAAACTTTCAGCATCCCCACCCCCCCAAAAATTGGTTGAGGTCCAAAAAAATAGAGGTTGTCTTATACAGGGGGGAGTGTTATACATGGAATAATATGATACATGTGCTTAAAAACTGGCTTCAGTATTTCAAAACAAAACAGAAATCAAAGAACTAAAGTTAGTAACTGCTCACCTGTCATGAATAGAGTTGATGTAAAGATTTACAAACCAACTGAGAGAATACTGGTACATGGGATCAATATTAGCCAGATCAGCAATACTAAAGAACAGTACAGATGAATGCTTTGCAATGGGTCTGTAGCCTTCTCGAGACTGTGCTATTTTAATTTCAGTTTTTTCTGCAATCTAAAGAGAATATATTTATTAGTAGAAACTAATAAAATGATGTCCAAATGTAGCACATGATATGGCACTTCCCCTTGTTTTCAATAAACAGCAGAGTAGAAGGCTGGCCCTAAACCTTTTTCTCATTATATTTTCATACAGCAATTGTCCGTGCAATGTCAGTATAATGTCATGGCTTGTGCAGCAAGTCCTATGATCCGACTCCCACTGTGGGATAGCGTACCATGTATCCATGCAAAGGATACTGATGTGAATGAAGGACACCTGGAATCAGGAATCAGAGGAACCAGATCCTTTACACTAGGGGAAGGAAAATGTTTTCACCCTGAGGGCTATATTCCATTGTGGGCAAACTTTCAGGGGACACATAACATGGAGGGTGGGATGAGATGCAAACATGTGTTGAGCAATGGATGTGACTCTTATCTTTGTACAGTCACTCCAGCTATGACAAAGCCAGAGGTTTTCAAACACACACACACACAAGCACCTATGGATGGGCAAACCTGTCTATTTCAGTTTCTCTGTGTTTCTCACTTTGCCAATCTTAAGTTCAGTTCTTAACATTTCTACACCAGCTCTCAATTTTTAAAAGATCATGAAAATTTTATCAGCATTTTTGTGTGAATTTCTTCTAGTATAAACACTTTTGCCAAGCAAGTTTGCCTAGTATAATGTATTTCTGAATGCTCTTTTTACCCAAAGACTGAGGTCTCCCACCCCTGCTTTGCATTGTTTACATCGGCAGCATGAGAGCAGAAGTGACAACAGGTGAGGCTGCCTCCTTCACACTCCTCCACTGCCCTCGTTAATAGTGTTACAGGGTAAGGAGAATATGGGAACTGTAGTTTTCAAAATGACTCCTACAAGTTCTGAGTAGCAGTTCCAGTAATTCTCTGCACTCGATCATGCTGTTAGCCAGGGCAATAGAACGACAGAAGCAGAGTGAAAAAGTTCCTCTTTTTTTAGTATCTCCTGTTCCTATGTTTGTGCAGCCACCACTAACCTTAATGGAAGGAAGGAGTGTGATTTGGGAGTGCTGGGGGCAGTGATAACGCTTAGGGATGAGGAAGGGCACAGAGATGCATGAGGGGGGCTTGCCAGGTATTCTTCTCCCACTCAGATTTTGATCTAAGTCGAAGAGGCTTGGGGCTCCTGACGGAGGCAGGAGATCAAAGAACTCTGGGAGACAGGCGCAGTCTCCGCAGTTTTTTTGGATTCACCAAGCAGTATCAGTCGTTGCACTTATCTAAAAAGGCAATTTCTACAAACCTGCCTACCTCCCTACCAGCTCTACCCATGTAAACTAAAGGTAAATAAATTTATGTTCACAATACAGTAACTGCAGACCACACTAGAGATGGGTCCCATTCTGGTCATCAGCAACCTATTAAAGCTACTTTTGAGACAGGGAAACGCTCTGTATTAGAGCAGCTGCTTTGTATGCAGAGAGGTTGTCCCTTTGGTCTGATTTGGGATAAGGCAGCTTTCTTGGTTTTACAGGTTCCTGAGGTTCAGCTCCAAGCCTAAGCTTGGATAACTTCACAAACAGTGCACCATTCATTTAATACAACAATCACTTACGAACCCTGAAGTTGCTTACCTGCTGTTTCTTTGTAATTTCATTAGACATTAGTTTCGCAGAGTCCAAAATCGTTATGGCACTTTCATCTTCTAAAATATTCCCTTCAGAAGACTGCAATGTTTCTAAAATCTTATTTTCTATATCTTTTAGTTGTTTTTTATTGCTGGCTGACTGGAGAATTAGAGCATTCCGTTCCTCCTCTAATTCTGGTCTAAAAAAAGGATATATATCAAATATTACATACTATGCTGGTTGCACAGGGAGGAGCCACACTCTACATTGAAGCCCATCACCTGCCACCCTTCAAAAATGCCCTGTGGAGAATACGAACATTTACCTTTCCTTTGCTACAACAATGCCTAGAAGCTGATCTTCAAGGCCTTCTGGAGTAATCATGAAGTTGAGTAAAGAAACCTTGGTAGCTAGTTCAGGCAAATAATGTGGATTTCTTAATTTTGTGGTAATATAAAATTTGAAATCAAAGGAATATTCAATAATTGTTTCACCAAGCCGAATGCAATCCATGCCCCCTAGAGTTGAAAAGACAAACATATTTAGTTGTTTTTCCCTATGCACAAAAATATATATATTCTGCAATCAAGCTTTCCTAATTGCAGAATAACATCCGAATCGTGCAGTGGAGAAATGCAGAGGAGCTAGGCAGCATTCTGCATTGCTTTCAGAAAAGTCTGGTGTTTATTTTAATTCAAGGGAGCTAAAACTAGAGAATCCATTTGATTTCTCCAAGTCTCAACATGAAGTCAAGTCATCTTCCTGCGGCTGGGTGACTTGAACAGTTAATGGGAACCCTGGGACCTAGGTGTCTAAAATCTACCTACTTTCCTGCTTCAAGAGAAATTGTCAGCAGTGACCAGAACACCGAGCTGGAGGCTACAGTGCTGTTAAGGAGCCAGACCAGGTTCCTTGCTCTACCTAATGCTGGTAAACAGGTCACACTGAACCTGAGACTGGCAGGCAGAAGACCACTGAACCAACTCTCACCGCACCATGGTCTCTAGAACCACAGCCAGAAACCCTCACAGACACCTTCCCTTGGGTCTGAGGAACTGAATGCCTTCCACAATGCCTCTCCTGCCCAACAGGACAGGGAGCATGCCAGGTGGGAGGCCCTGGAATGCAGAAATGCCTATCTTCAGATGAGCGGGTTGGCACTTTAAAAGAACAGTTCTCCATGAGGAGACAGAGCCTTGGAGAGAGAGACTGGAGGAAGAGCCTCAAAAGGACTCAGTGTGCTTCCAACCTTTGTTGGAGCAAGTAGCTCATCAGGCGTTGTCCTTGGTACTGCAACAACAAACCTGCTTTTCTCTATGTGCTCTTCTGTAGCACCAGAATTAAACAGAAAGATGTATATATTTTTACTTCTCACATGGTCAGACTGGAGCCTTCATTGGTACAACACCAGGGAAGAGGAAGCAAACTACTTCCTTACTGCTATTAGTGTGTATTTTGGCGGCATTAAGCAAATGTTTCCCTCTTAGACGTTTTAAAACTGGTATAAATTACTTTGTATGCACTCAGGAGAACCCAAATTTTGTGACTAAGCTGAGTCACTGGCGAAAGAGTGAGGCTTCTTATTTTTATTTAAAACTAGCAGAGTGTATGACAAGAATATCTGCACCTGCCAAAATATTATCCTTTATACAACTGTTTAAGGAAATTAAGTTTGGTCCTTCTTTAAAAAAGGTCCTTCTAACTCTCTTCACTTTGTAATTGTTGCTTAACAGAAGAGAGTGATCAAAGCAGCACAAAACGTTTCTGATTACTGTATATGCAGTATGGTAACTCGATCTTAAAGAAAATAGTATTAAGGTTTTTCTATTTCAATCTATTACTATACAAGACACTGCATGCAGACTATTTCATAAAATAAAGATCTAAACTCAAACATGCTTTCATGTATTACCTTCATCTGTTGCTATGCAGCAGTATTTAAGGAATAAAAAGAAAAGTATTACACAATGCAATAAAGTGTACAAGAAATATCCAATAAATACTCCAATATAGTTTGGAGATCATAATGATTTGTTGTACCTTGTTTAAAAGTTGATTTAAGAAGCAGAGGCTCCAGTGAAGGATCAATTTCTTCTCCAACATTTTCAAGCAGAAGTGGAGTTCCAAACTGAATGCAGTTTTCTAGAATTCTCATGTAGTCTGTGTCTGTGAATTTTATTACGCTCAGCCTGTTCTCTTTTTCAGAATTTTTTATCCATTTATTTGCTTGACCCTGGGGATCAATCATTAACGGCCTGCAACATATCAGATTTTCATTTTTTTAAAAAAAGAATGAATGCTTAATAATCAATTACTGCCTACAGCAATTTACTTTTTAAAAACACATTAGAATAGTAAGGTAAGGTAAAGGACCTCTGGACCGTTAAGTCCAGTTGAATTTGACTATGGGGTGCGGCACTCATCTCCGCTTTCAGGCTGAGGGAGCCAGCGTTTGTCTGCAGACAGCTTTTCTGGGTCATGTGGCCCGCATGACTAAACTTCTTCTGGCGCATGGGACTTTGTAATGAGTGCCAGAGCACACGGAAACACCATTTACTTTCCTGCCGCATTGGTACCTATTTATCTACTTGTGGTGGTATGCTTTCGAACAGGATCTCAAAGGGAACTTTACAATAGAATCCACAGTATGGTTATATAACTGGAATCTCTGGATTCATAATCTGAATGATTTACTAGTTTATGACTACTGGGGTACACCTTTATAATATTTTTTTTCTCAGTCTCAGAAATTGATTTGGCATTTGAGTCAGTAACTCTTTTCCCCTTCAAAGCCTACAATTGTTTTAAATTACTAGCTAAAATAATAGCTGCAGTTTTTCAGGCTTTCCCCTACTGCATCAAAATTTAACTTGCTTTGCCGCTATATGCACCTTTCTGCCTTTTTGATTCATAGGCAAACTGCGTGAAATGCAAACCAAACGCTTTTACCCTCTATGACATATATCATTGCTGAGGAGAATGTGATCAAAGTCAGCCTCTCTCTTCAGATACCCCATGAAGTTTGACGTAATATATTTCCCCCATATTTTGTTTCATGTCATCAACACAATAAATCTGAATTAAATCAACACAATAAAGCTGAATTGCAACTTATTGCCAAACTTAAAACCATGGAGAGACCTTTTTCCTGTAAGACCAATTGCAGTCTTTAACAGTCGTCAACAGGTTTACCACACCTATCAGCCAATCACCCATTCCCACCACCCTTCTGAGAAATACCTCTCCCCACCCTCTCACTATATATAAGGGACTGGTGACTTCTGTTTCAGTGTATCTGAAGAAGTGTGCATGCACACGAAAGCTCATACCAGTAACAAACTTAGTTGGTCTCTAAGGTGCTACTGGAAGGAATTCTTTTATTTTGTTTCGACTACGGCAGACCAACATGGCTACCTACCTATAACAATATTTTGCAACACACACCTCCCCCCATCAATTTTGCTGCAAATGCCCAAGGACCCTCCATCATTACTGGTAGTTCCTTATTCCTGCTCTCTCCCTTGGTCCAAATTGACTGGCAGCTCATCCATACATGGGACATTCACTTTCCAATACCAAGGACCACAGGCTCCTTGCTGTATAAAATACTGAACAAGATGGGCCAATCGTCTGACTCAGTGTAAAGCAGCTTCCTATGTTCTATGTATTCAGGCTGTCATGATTATTTTTATTTTATGTACTTGACACTTTATATTCTCAAAAAGCAGTCAAATACATATTTAAATCATTTTGAGGACAATTTTGGCCATCATAAAAACTATATTAGAAATCTGAATCAGCGTTATGGAAAGTATAAATATTACTGCAGTAAGCTCATTTTAGTTTAGTTTAGCAAAATAATAGGTTTGCATTACCTACCAACGTCTAGAGTTGTTGACAATCACACCATTGTCTATAGAAAACTGATCTGTTGGAAGACCTGCAATATTCCAGGCTCTAATTTTTATTGGATCACCAAGTGTTTTACTCAGGGAGAAGCTCTCAGAACAAGGTATATTTTTCTCCTGTAAAGACAAATAATTTTTTCCTTAATATCAAGTATTTATGAACAATTTATATAAAACCAGTTAATGGCTTGTACTGAACCTCAGTTTCTAGGAGGGCAGGTGACAGAAAATGAGGAAAGGACACAGCAGGCAATCACAAAAATATTTTTCCAAGTCACTACAATGAGTTATAACCAATTATGCATAGTAGGCTCTTGGCTTAGTGGTGGCTTCTCTGAATGGTAAGGAAAAGGGCAATTTTCACAAAAACCCTTGCAGCCTTCCCTGGCACCACCTCCCACCATGTTTCAAAGGGTCCCCAACCACACTGGAGCAGCTGGGGGGGCACAGGAGGATGCAGAAGAGAGAATCTGCAAAAATTGGCTTCCCAGATTCCATTCACAGAAACACCTGCTGAACTGAAGAGACGCCTAAGAATGGAGAATCAGCTGAATGCAACCCAACTTTTAAGAATATGTTCTGGCTAATAAGCTCTTAGAGGGTATTTTTTGAGTTGGGATTGTTTTGTTTTTGGCTAAAGCCACAAAACCACATTAAAATGCCTGGAACCTACTCGAGTGTGTTTCCCTGGACTGACAAGAGTGGCCCAGGAAGTGGGGGTCCTTGCATACAACTTGGCCATACATTCTTGAAAGCTGCTGACTTTTCCTCCAGTTATTTATATTGTTTCCATCTGTCAATCACATTCCTAGCAAAAGTATATCCAAACATTTCAGATAACACTAAATCAACAAGCAAGCAAAGTGAGAAACAAAGGATCAGGCCATGCGTCCCATTATGTTGTATTCAATGTTAGTCCTTCTTACAGTAGACCCTCTGAAATAAATGGACGTAAATTAGTCATGCTCATTCTTTTTAATGGATCTACTCAAAGAAGAACTAGCAATGGATGCAACTCAAAGGGCAAGATTCAACTAACAAGTCCTGCTAGCAGAAGCCTGCTCATAAACTTCTACAAGCACAACAGGACTTTCCCCCCATCGCCTCTACCTCCCTGCCCCCAAATTGACTCAAGGAGTATTGGGAAAGCCCCCAAAACAGTACATGGAAGAAAGAGAGGGAGAGTTCATTTCATCTGGCAAGCTGAAATGTTTGCACTAATGTAACAATTGCCATAGTGCTACACTGAACTCCTATCAAAGCCATCAAAAATTATTTAATTCCATTAATTTAAAAATCCCCATAAACACTTGAAACTTACCCACCATAATCAACAAAATACATTTCACTGTTCCCTGACCTGTACATAGATATGGGATCTACTGAAAGAGCCAGCACTAGGAGAGGACTTTGTTCTGGAGATACTTTAACACAGAGGTTTTCAACTTTTATGGGTCCACGGCTGCCTCAACCAACTACACTCTTTCTGAGGCACCCCTGTGGAGCTTAGGAGCCCAGTTGTGTCACCCCTTGCCTGCAGAACTGGCAGCCTCTCACCCTTTTTTGAACACCTTCCCTTATGGAGTCTTCCCTCAGCCTCCTCTCTTCTCCCCTCTCCTTGGGAGTCCTCTGGGCAGCCGCAGCTGATGCCCCTGGTCTTTGAGCTGCTTCCCCTGCCCCAAAGAGAAGTGTGTCCTCTTACTGCCCCACAGGGGGCTGGGAAGCACCCCCTGGCCAGCCCCAGAGGCATCATTCAGCTGGGGAGCTTGTAGCCAGGGCTGCTGCAACAAACAGCTATGCAAGCCTTTGGGAGAAAGATGTGAGAGGGCATCAGAGGAGGGAGGGAAGGAGAGAGGGACAGAGGCCAGTGTTGTCTGCAGCATCCTGACCATCATTCAAGGCACCCCAGGGTGCCACGGTACACTGGATGAAAACTACTAGTTTCACACAATCTTACTTTACATAGCTTGCTCCAATCTTTTGCACACTCTTGTCGAAATCCAGAAGTGAAAGCACCCAGATAAGCTATCACTCCTGCTGATATCAAGACATCTCCTGTCAAATTATCATATGTGTTTTGAAGATCATTTGCTGCATTAGACCACCTAGGGGGAAACACAATATTAAATTAGGTTAAAAAAAAAAAGGCCTATTTCATCAGCATTTATTCCAGTTACATGGGAACTGTTATAAGAATTAAAAGTGGCATTTGTATCTTATTTAAAAATCATGTTGTATGTTATTTAAACAATTGAAATACAGATAATGTTTGGGGACATTTTTTATTTATGTAAGCTAACTTTTTCATTTCAAAATGTTTCTGTGTATTCTACTAAATATAATTTATTTTATACAACATGTGTGTCTTAAATCTAGTTCTTGCTAGAATGTATTTTCATCTGACCTTGATTTTTCTCCACCAAGTCCTCCAATAAGCTTTTCTGCTCTTTCCAGCTTTTTAGCACACAAGTCCACCTGAAATTCTAGGCGAGCTTTTTCTTCAGTTTTCTCAACAAAGGTTTGTTGCAATGCTTCCAAACGGTCTTCAACCGCTTGAAGTTCAGCTCTTTTCTGATTAAGTAATGCCATCGTTTGTGCCAACGACTGTTGTGCTTCTGCTAAACGGGCTTTCTTAGGAGCAACCACCTATTAGATACATTTAATAAAATTTTACTAAATTTTACTAAGGGTGATAAAGTAATATAAAATGAATCTAGAAAAGTACATGAAATCAGTGTATCTGGGTGGGATTTACTCTCAGGTAAGTGGGTACATTGCTTGCTTCCATGCACCAGGCATTTGGTTAAGACTTGTGCCCTAAGAAAAATTAAGTTTTCTTTTTTAGCTAGTTTACAAGTCCACCCCCCCCCTACATTAAAATTTTCTGCAAACTCTGGTTACACTGGAAGTAAATTCAATGTTACTTTTTAATTTCATGCTGCACCTTGGGCCTTTTTCAGCCAGATGCCTATAATGGCAAATGTATACTGGTCAAAAAAATCATATGCAGGATTTTAAGGGGTTTTGGCAGCTAACTGGTCAGTGTGTTGTTTCCTTCTGTTTGTCTATTTGCCACTTTTGTATCCCTCCCCTCAGAGAATATATGGGCTTTCCAACCAGCTTTCCATTCAGCACTGGCAAGACTGAGATCTACTCACCCTCAGTGGCAGAGGTGTAGCGGGCGTGCTGGGGTGCGGGGCTTTGGCCTGGGTGCATTTTCTGGAAGGGGCACAACCAGGCACCCCCACAACAGACTCCAGGGTGCGAGGGAGCTGCCCAGAAAGCTTCCTTATGCCCAGATGCAGCTCTGCTTCAGTTCTGCTCCCAGGTCACGTCTGACCCAGGGCGGAATGGAGAGTTGGTGGCAGAGAGCTGCCGCCTCTCTCCTTGGCTGAGCTGTGTTGCGCAAAGCTCCACCATGGTGGAGAGAAGCTGCCAGCTGTGACAGCTCCACCCCAGATCAACCCTGACCCAGGGGAAGAGAGACTGCAGGCATGCGAGGTGCCCAGCTACAGCACCTCCATCCATGGGTCAAACTTGACCTGAGGAACAGAGAGACCTGTTGCTTCTTCGCACCCAATGGAGAGAGGAGGGTGGGTGGCTATGCTGCCACTCACTCTCCTGGACTGTGGTATGCAAGTGTACCCCCTGCACTGTTTTGCAAGGAGAGCCACAAGGGGCTCCTTCTGCATCACACCCCTCCCAGGGGCGCATCCCGCTCTGGGCAGCGTTTCTTTACGCTCCACCACTGCTCAGTAGTAGAATCTTTTAGACATTTTCAGCCCATTCTAGGGTTAGTACACTATGACTTGAAAAGGATAAGACAAATCACTGAGGGTAAGTCTATCCATGGCTGGTAACCACTATATTTAGATGAAGTATATATCAGATGTGTATGTGAGTATCCTAGAGGATAAATTAGCATTATGTAGTAATTTTCAATGTTGAGAAAAAATAAGGTAAATAATCATACCTTTGCTACTCTGTCATAAACTTCCATTGCCATAATCCATTTACATAAACCTTCTGCTGCTGAGGATGCTTTAGCCACTTTAGGGGGATCAAACTCAGGATTAGTTAGATATTCAGCACGAATCTTCTGCATCACAGATACCTATATGAAAAATACATTACATACAGTTGAATATAAATTTATATTTAGGATCCAGTAATTCAGTTTCTGCTAATGCATGCACCAAGGGAGTATATGCACAGCCACACTTCCGCTTGCCCCTTCTTTCCCAAGAGCTTTTTTAGTTGCCCTGCTGTTTCCCCAGGAAGACCCACTGTTTACCACATTATTTATGTACGCAACCACGGCGGCTCAAATTTTGCTAGCCCAAAGATGGAAAGTGAGCGAGATCCCTAGTAAGGAAGATTGGCAACTTAAGATGATAGAATCTGTGGAAGCAGCAGGTTTAACTTATATAATAAGAGAGCAAGAAGAATCTTTATTTAAAGAGGAGTGGAAAGTTTTTGCTGAATATTTAGAAAAATAATTGTGTACAATTAAACGCTGGTAGCATTTAGATAAATTCAACAGTATGGTAAATATTTGAAGGATGTAAAATGGAGAAACAATTAGATTGGCTATAGTAAAATATGCAGTAATGATAGATAAGTAAAATGAACTATGAAAGGGGAAGGAGGGAAGTCAATTGTTACATGGTATTATGCAAAATGTTTATTTTGAGATGTATAAACTGAAAAATTTATTTAAAAAAACTGGAAGGAAGGAAACCACTTTCACATTGACTCTCTAGCAAATAAGAACATACATATGAAACTTACTGGAATGTTATCCTTGTCATACTCTCTCAGATCTCTTAAAAAATTCATGTCACCCAAAAGTTTTTTGCTAGGTCCCCAGTAGTCTAAAATCTTTAAAAGAAAGTTAAAGCAGTATGTAAAATATTTCAACACAAAAGAAAATAAGAAAATACAAAAGATTCTAAAGAGCTATTCAGATATTAATTAACAATCTAATTCACATTTTTCATGAGATTTTGAGCAGTATGATGGAAGCTGAAGCTTCCTGCATGAGGAAGTAAAACTTCCATGCTTGAAGATAAAAAATATTCCCCTTGTACATCCTAGGAATTTTGTAATTAGATATTTGTTGTTCTACTGTCAGCCTTTTTACCTTTCCTCCAATCCCTGAAGGATCTGCAACTTTTTCAGGTTTTATGTCCTTCATGACACAGATGGCAGCCATAACAAGTTTAACACCAGATGGTGGATTCTTCATTGATTTCACAATTGTAATATCTGAAGGCTAGAATGAAATAGATTGTTGACTTCTATTACAGTATATAATGCTTTAAAACATGATATATTCAAACAAAATCAGTCTTCTTGTTGAATTTTTCACCTATATCTAGGATTTACCTAATAATATGATCAGTCAACACATAACATTTATGTGACTTATTTATAAGTCAACATATAGCAGCTAGAATCTTTAGAAATCCACAGTCCAATTAATTCATTTTTATCTTCATATATTAAAATATGAGAAGGCAAAAGAGTAAAGCTAAGCTGAACCCTTTACAAGAAGTTAACTCTACAAATTGCTGATACATTAATCACCTGGACTTGTATGGGGAAAAGCCCCATTCACTCCGATAGGAACTTCCCTATCACCACCACCACCATCATGCAAACAACAGGCCTGGATGGCAATATCTGATCCGGACAGCAGGGACCAAAGGGTTAAAGTCCCCTATCCCACAATCCAGTGTCCTGAACAAGAATGGAATCTTCATGCTGATTATGTGGGGGAGAAAAAAATCTTGTATTCAAGGGCAAACCTAGTGATTAACATAACCTGCAGTTTGACTCTGACTGGCAATGGCTCTCCAGGGCTTTAGGGAGAGGTTTTTCCAATCACAGGCTACCTGATCCTTGAACTGAAAATGTCAGGGAATGAAAATGGGACCTTCTACGTGCAAAGTATGTACTCTACTGCTAAGCTTTGGGACCTCCCCTTCAATTCATCCATATCAAAATAATGCTATTCCAGGTCATGCTCTTATTCTATTTACTGTATTTAACTTGCCTTCAGTGTATCAAGTGCAGACAATGCTGCCTCTAGGGCTGGAATGGCCTCTGCAAGATCACTTTCACATTCATTCTTCAGCGCTGTGGCTTCTGTTGCTTTTTCTGTAGCAAGCTCTTCATCTATTTTTACAGTTTTGCTTTTTGCTTCAACTTCTGCAGATTCTTTCTCAATTATCTAAAGAAAGAAGACATGAAATGAAATGTTCCATGTAGTAGAATAGTCCTGTAGAGCTCCATCAGATTTCTTTGTTAATTTATTCAGAAAAGCTATTATTTTAGAAAAGATGAATTGATGTTATAAAGGAGAACTTTACATAAAATTCTAAGCCCTGCTTCCAGTCAGCTGATATTATACAGCTAGAGGCACACTTTGTAGTTACACCCTCCCTGGGGTGCAGTGTGGTAGAGTGAAATTATTACAAAAAGGGCCGCAGCTGTTATTTCAATATAAGTGTATGTGTGTGTAGAAATCTAGACCTAGCCATACTGGATTGCAACTGGCCTGAAATAAAGCAAACTGGACATTCCCCAGCTGCCCTTTGCTAGATGCCCAGTTAAGCTACACCAGCAACATTTAGACCACTGTGTGCACTGCAGCATTGACACATCTTTAGGAGCAGAAACGTTACCTTCATCATATTTGCATTGTCCACTTTAGCCTGCTCCAACTTAGGCTGCAAATCAACTAATTCTTGCTTCATTTCACCAACCTAAAATGAAGAGCAATTTTCCATGAGTTGCTTTAAAGTATGGCAAATGGGGGAAAAGATAAATGAAGCATTTAAATGTGTCATTAAGAAATACTTAGGGGGAAGTCCTACTGAACGCAATGGGCCTTACTTCTGAACAAACATTGGATAGTGCCATAAGCAAAGTATTATAAGGCAACATGATTGATTGATTGATTGATTCATTCATTCATTCATTCGAAAGATTTTTAGACTTGTTTATATTTAAATATCCAAACAAATACATTGGATACTGCCATAAGCAAAGTATTATAAGGCAACATGATTGATTGATTGATTGATTGATTCATTTGAAAGATTTTTAGACTTGTTTACATTTAAATATCCAAACAGTTACCAAAAAAAGAAGAGATCAATCAATAGACTTTATTTGCGTAGCCGACAGGCCATAGCATCGAAGGACAAACATCGACAAGAATACATTACAAATATAGATACCATAAAATCTTATGACCTATTAAAACCTTAGGTAGAAACTGGATTATCATTCATCAATGACCCTCTGTCCCATGGGCGGCGGGCTTTTCTCTGGTAGATTGTTCCAGGTCGGTTAAGTAAATAGACCAGCCAAATTGCAAGATTATAAATATTAAATATAACCTCGGAGGGATGGTCAGGACAGGGAGAAAGATAATAATAACCAGATGCAGATAAATTAATAATCTCAATACTTAAAACTTGGCAGAGGTAATAAAATAATAGTAGTAAAACATAATGATAATAATAATAAGATGTCTTAAGACAGATTCTAGCCGTTCCACCATGCGCACCAAATGCGGCCCTACGGCTGGAGACTGGCCTCCTCTCTGTCGAAACCCGAACCTGGTTAAGAACATTTAACTATTGGCTTCGCTTAAATTTAAACCCATCCGGACTACTACCTCTAGTAGCACGAGATGCTCATAGAAGTCGGGGGTCCAAAGTAGTGCATCAAAAACTACTTATATGTGGCCTCCAAGCACAGCATCTCCTGAAAATGGGTCTCCCCAAGGCAAAACTATTATTGACCAGCGCATGAAGGATATTGAGCAGCAGAATAATCTGGCCTATATTAAGAAATTTAGTGCTTGGTACGCTTATCTGCCCCCCTCCCACTTTGATTTTCGGGCACCTTATTTGTCTACCTTAACCATTCCAAAACTCAGACGGGCCTTTACACTGGCCAGACTAAATATGTTACCCTCAGCTGTTCTTGAAGGTAGATATCAAAAAATTTCATTTGAGAACCGGCTCTGCCCCTGTGGAGCTGGCTACGTAGAGACTGTGTCACACGTTCTCTTGTCTTGCTCCCTATATAAAGATCTCAGGGACGAAACCATCACGCCGCTCCTATCTGCCATCCCGGGCCACTCTTGTGAAGCCAAACTGTTCTTACTCCTAGCCGACCAGAACAGCTTGACAACAGAGAAGGTTGCCAAATTTATCGAAGAGAGTACAGAATATAATACGCTCTAAAGATAGAATAAAACTAATTTCAACACAATCAACAAGTTTTAGGAGTGAAACACAGAGCACACAGAAACAAATAAATGAAAACAAAGGGCAAAACAAACCAGGCTACCGGCTGTGTTTTCTCTAAGTTGTGGTTTGTTTTAGTGCAACTATGGTTGCACCACACTTCCTGAGCCTCACCCCTTCCTTCTTGCTCTTGTTAAGCATGAGCAACAATCTGTTTTGGGAAGCCTGGGAAGCTGCAGTGCCCCACCCACATCTCCTCACCACCCTTCTGGATAGTTGGGATTCTGGATTACACTGCAGAGAATAGTACCAGTGTTTCTGACCAGCATCAGAGAAATAATATGGCATGGTTTGGCTGTTGCCCAGAGCAGCTGAAAAGCTGCAAGGACATAGTAATTAGGGTGATGATGTGTTGAGCTTATGCCAATACTTGAACAAATCACAGCTTCACACTACATGAAAACCAGGCATGGGTAAGCAACCTTAGTTACAATGGACATACCTGAGATTCAGCGAAAGCTAGTTTATCTAAGCCATTAGTATATCTTTTCTTTGCTTTCATGACATTATCTCGGTTCTGAGTTAAAAGTTGTTGGAAGGAAGCAATAAGTTCAAGATAGGAGGTAGGAGTAACGTAATTATGCCGTCCCAGTTGGTTCAAAAATCTGTGGAATAAGAAAGAAGTATTGCACTCTACCAGGTAATAAAAAGGAAGGATCTATTTGTTTCATTGAGCATCTGATATTACCTGAATATTTGTCAAACTTTGCAAGGTTATGATACTAAATGCTTTTTCAGACAATCATTTTTTTTCTAGAAATGCAGTTGTGTTACTTACTGATTGCGTAATTTCCAAGTTTCTTCCTCCTTCCCCCCCCCTTAAATCTGCAAGGCTTCCTCTTCCCTTGAGTAAGCCTATCTCCTGCTCTTTATTACTAGTGGGGTAAATATTTTTTTCAGTTTTGAATAAGGATGGTGAGACTGTTGTACAATGACAATCTGGGAAAGCTATAACAAAATGACTCACTAGCAAATCCTATTCCATTAGTTTAGCTAAGGGTCAATCTAGATATGACATGGATGATCTGTGAACAGAATCTTGTGTTGCTGTTTTTTAATTTATTCTCTATTCCTACCTGAGGTGGTGCATGAGAGAAGCAAACATGTTGGCCCATTTACCTGATTTATCCCCCTATGAAGCTGAGATTTGCAATGCAGAGGAAAATACACAAATATCATGTGTGTGTAAGAGAGGCTGAGATCTAAATCAGGAATATGGGGAGGAGGGAGGCAACACTTCGGCATCATAGTCTTTATCTGAATCTCTCCATCTCTTTGCTTAAAAAAATAATGCAAGAGATCCCATTGACACATTTCATGCTTCTTCTAATTTGATCCTGAGTTGAGGATGAGGCTCTTGCTACTCAAGTCTATTTACTCTGGGTAAATTCAATTCATATAAATGAGCTAATCTAAAGCTGGCTTACAGAAGGTGTTCTAGCATGACTTCTAAAATATTTTGTTTATTTCTGTACTAAATTTTAATTTTGTTTAGCAATATTATTTTAATATTATTGATCAGAAACATAAAAAGACTTTTCTCTACCCTTCTAGTATTTCCCTCCCCCTCCCTTTTATTTACAACAGCTTGCTTTATGAATGTATTTTAAAAAGACCACCTTTCAGAAAGGGACAACACGGAAGTATGGAAGTGTTTACAGATGGGAACAGCTTCCTGACGTTCATTGTCTGTGAGCTCAAGCCTTTCCAAAAATTTAATAGCCACACGCTCAAGAGCATCTTCAGGCCATGGCTGGAAAACATAAGAATAGAAACACTACTTGTGATATTCTCTTCATTATTAAGCATAGCACAGCATATTTGAGTATGTCCCCAGCAGCAGTTCTTCATGAAATCTGCTGCTAGCAGTTCGGGAAAGGAGGAATGGTTCATATTATTTTCCTGCAAGTCAATGTCTGCACTCCACTTTCTGGATTTCTTATTCCCCTGACAAACAAGCTGCAGCAGTCAACACAAATCTTCTTTTTCTAGTACCACCTTACCCCTTCAACCAACATCCCCCACTGCCTTTTCCTGACTGCATCCTAGTTTTTCCTGTGTATTTCCAGGCATATTTTAAGAACAACTCTTACATAGGTTTTAACCTCTTCTAAACTTAGCCTACTATAAGCATGCTGTTTATTGATTTTAAGATTTTTCGTAAACATGCTAATTCACTTTTGATATAATCAGATTTACTTCTGATTTATCTCTGTTGTCTGATTTATCTCTTGGGGTGCCAAACTCTGGAGTGCATCCAACTCTCAACAGCAAAAGATCCCCAGAGTTGAATGTCAGATTGCCTGTGAATGGCACACTTTATAATACAAACCAGTGTGCTTTGAGACAATTTGCTGTCGAGGGAGTTTTTAGTTTTTTGCTTTTACAAAAGCAGCCTTACATTTATAGCACAAGTTCCCCCCAATTCACTGTGACCTGGTAACAGATGTACATGGTACTTACAAAGCTGGATTACTCTCTATGGGAGGAGGCATACGTAATTCTTGCAACGTGAGAGAACATGTAAGAGAGGCGAAAGCAAGCTTCCATAGGCCAGACTATATTGAGGAAGCTATATTGAAGTCTCAGTACATAGTTTAAGTACCTGGAACCAGTCAATAGTACAGCAGTTGATGAGAGATGGGAACTGTCTCAGTCGGTTGCGAAAAGCATCTCCTATTGGGCTGAAGGCTACCACAACATGCAAATTGTCTTTGCAGCGGTTCACAAAGAAAGCAAATAAAGCCAAGGGACTGAGCTCTTCATGCTTACTGCCTGCCTGGGCTACTGCACGAACACCCTAAAGGATAATAAATGTACCAAAAAGAATTACAAAAATTCTAAAACGTGATTCTGAAAAGTAATAAAAAATAAGTAGTATAATCTATGCAGGATAAGACAAAGAAATTATATTTCTAATTGTGAGTTAGATATCAGCAATCTTTGTTAATATGCAAGAAAATCATGCCTGTTAAACTAGTTTATAAGAGCTCCTAATCAGGTGTAATGACCTCATTATGAGCATAAGAAATATTCCTCTTTAATGCTTAATCTTTAAAAGGGAAATAGCACATAGCAATTAAAAATAATCAGCTACTCGTGTGAGAAAAGCAGATGGTTCTACTCAGCCAAGTCCTTCTTTAAAAATATCCATTGAAATTAATAGTTTGAACTGAATTCTAAACAGTAGGTTTACATATTTTTTAAAAGCAATGTTTAATTGTAACATTATACTTTACGAGAAGTAGTAAATTATGCATTTCTCATCATAGTACCTCCATAACTTCTTGCTTTTCATCAGCTGCAAAAAGGTTGGGGACTTCTCCAGTGTTAAGCACACTATCAACATCTTCTAAAAATCCTTCTTCCTTAATTTGTGTGTCTGTGATCAGAAATACAGTCTTCAAGCCCTTCACGCCAGCACTCCTCAAAAGATTCTAAAAGCAACAACAAATATTTAAGTACAATAAATGTACTTAAATGTATTCAATAAATGCTTGCATTAAAAAAAATATATTCCTGGGTGCACATCCTAATGAAATGTGTTGCGTACGCCTACGCTAGGTGTACAGAAATGTTTGATTTGTGTAAAAAACAGAACAGTGAAATGAGAAGTTGATTGGTAAATCTTCTGATGGTGATGGTTGGTCCTCTTCCCTGCTGCAAGAATCAGTTGTCTTTTGAGGGAAAAGGACACCCCAGTTACTTGATAGGGGAAGAGCAAGAGCTGTGGGGAGGTTTATTCCCTTCAAGCAGAAGTTCATAGTTATGAATGGTTTTTAACTACCTGGCTTTAAGAAGTTTAATTCTTTCCTTTACTGTTCTGTTCAGGACAGGAGTTGCTGGAGCAAGCTGTTCTTGCATTTAATCCCCTTTTAATAGCACTCAGGTTCGGGACTGGTGATACAACATAGGAAACTGGTATGTAAACTCCACTCCTCACACTGTACTGCTCAGATTGGAGTCCACCCCCCACTATTTCCCCACAACCAATTCATTCTTCCTGCTAGAAATCACTTTGGGTAGAAAGGGAGACTGCATCTTCCTGTGAGTTTTCCTAGGCTCCCAAATTGTAAAGTTACAGTTCGCATCCAATAAATAAGACAGCACTGAGCAATATAAAGCTTACTGATTCCAGCCTAACGCCAACATATATAAACCTTTACCTTCAGATCGTCCCTCCACTCATTCATTCCATAGCTCTTAGAGATCTCTGGTTGGAATATATTCATTTTTGCCATAGATGTAGCTAAACGCGTCATGGACTGACGCCCACTTCCTCCCATTCCAACAAGTAAGGCATTACCTCCTGACTGCTTGAGCACACGGCATATGCGAGACAAATGTTCTAGCACATACCTATCACAAAAATATATATACATCGTTATTAAAAACAAAGATCACAAATCCAGTGCTTTTAGTTATACAGACTCCCAGAGGGTATTCTCATTTGTCTCACTCTTTGGATAATCCCTCACCTTGGCTTAAGTGGGCAGCACTAACACTTTGCTATAGTTCATGGGCATAGCTAGGATTTATGTTGGGGGGGAGGGGGCAGAATCTCAGTTAGTTAAGTATTTATTATTGACCGGGAGGAAATCACCTTTATGTCCAGGAAAATCTGACTTCTATGTCGGAAGTGCAAATTTCCTTAAAAGTTTGGGCAAAAATTAAAAAAGCTCAAAAAACTCAACAACTTTTCTGTCTGGATTTGAAATATGGCATTGACTTATTATATTTCACTGGGCTATCCGATTCAGACTGTATGACTTTAGGGAGCATGGAAGGGAGTTTCACTACTCTCTCTCTACTGTCTGACGTTTAGAAGACATCTGAAGGCAGCCTTGTTTAGGGAAGTTTTTAATGACCGATGCTTTAATGTATTTTTAATCCCCCGTTGGAAGCCGCTAGAGTGGCTGGGGAAACCCAGCCAGATGGGTAGGGTATAAGTAATAAATTGTTGTTGCTGTTGTTACTACTAATACTACTACTCTGGATTAAGACTTTTTGGCCAGATCATGAAAGATTGCTGTCACCTTATAAGTTGTAGGAGTAGGTGTCTCCTCAGGTGCATTTAAATTTAAAGCAAACACACTGTGGATATTTGAGAGGATATTTACTAAGACTTTTCACAGTAATGCATGTGTATACCACCAGCTGTGGCCTTTTTGAAACAGCTGACATGTTGCAGCAGGTTGTACAAATAGTTGGTGAGAATCAGCAAGTCAGTTGATTAAGTTCTGCCTGGATCATCTTAAGTAAAATTCTGTCTGGAAGCACCCTAAGAAGCAGCCCCAGATACCACAGTTCTAAAGAGAAATAATCTATACAAACCCTGACAAAGTACCACATAAATCATTATAAATAATTAAAAGTATGCACCTGAAAATTACTAGGTTCATTCTTGTTTTATGAGTTTGGTTATATTCATCCAAACACAAATCCACAACATCACTAAACATTTGTACACTTGGAATTTCAAAATAAAGTCTTTCATCTCCTTCAAGATCTGGATTCATGTAGTCTCCAAACAACAGATTTCTCATATCTTCCTCAGTTACCTATTGGCAGAAAATAAATCGCATATAGTCTACAACAGAGCAGTTAGAGTGTCAGACTCGGGCCTAGGAGGCCAGGGTTCAAATCCCCACTCAGCCATGAAGCTTATTGGGTGACCTTGGGCCAGTCACTGCCACTCAGCCTAACCTACCTCATAGGGTTGTTGTGGTGCTTAAATGAGTAGGGAAAGAACTATGCAAGCCACCGTGGGTGCCTTGGAGAAAAAGATAGGATACAAATGCAATAAACAAATAAGCAAGCCTAAATGTCTTAACAACCTATTTTAAGAAGGTAATAAAGGCCCCGTTATAACAGAGGATCTTGTGGTGCCTTTTAGAAACTAAAACATTTATTGTGGCATAGTTTTTGTGGATTAAAACACACTTCCAATCCTCAGTTGGAGTGCATGAATGCTATCCACAGGAGAGAGAGAGAGAGAGAGAGAGAGAGAGAGAGAGAGAGAGAGAAATTGTACAGTGGTACCTTGGGTTAAGTACTTAATTCGTTCCGGAGGTCCGTTCTTAACCTGAAACTGTTCTTAACCTGAGGTACCACTTTAGCTAATGGGGCCTCCTGCTGCTGCCGTGCCGCTGGAGCATGATTTCTGTTCTCATCCTGAAGCAAAGTTCTTAACTCGAGGTAATATTTCTGGGTTAGCGGAGTCTGTAACCTGAAGCGTCTGTAACCTGAAGCATATGTAACCTGAGGTACCACTGTAATCCAATCGGAATGTGGTGGCAATTGTTGCTAAGGAGCCAGTGATGGCAGAGGACAGTTGCAGAGGCCAACAGTCACTTTGGAGAGAAAAAACCGTTGGCACGTTAGGGATCCAAAATAAAAATAATAATAAAACCTTGCCTGCAGTCAATTAGAGGAAGCAAGGGAATGGGAAGGAAAGTGAAAGTAAGACCTACGAGGGAAAGGTTTGTTTCTTTGTTGTTGTTTTTCCTGAGCGGAGATAAGAAAAGAAACGAGGAAAGTTTGAAAACGGACACGGACACAATACTATAAAGTGAAAGGATATAGGAGGGAACCAAAAAGGAGTAGAAATGAAGTACTGTTAAAGGTAAAAACACTTAGCTGACAGAGAAGATCAGAGAGAGCCGGGAGAAAAGGACCTGATCCGTCAGACAGGAGAGAAAAAACTGAAGGGGACTGAGCCTCCCTCCCAGAGTTCATTGCTCTCCTGCCTTCGTCACAGGACGGGAGTCATAACCCAACCCATTTGGGTCCTCAGTAACTGTATCAAATTGTAAGACAATTGTCTGACAATTCTATGTACAATTTAAATATATACATTCACAATAGAAGTTATTCCTCTTTTCATTTTTTTGTTTTGTTTTGTTAACTTAACATTATACAATTATATTTATTTGCTGTTTCAGTCACTGACATTTTGCATTTGGCCCCATGGGCACAGGCAACCCAACTGTGATGTTTTCGTAATATAAATATACGGGACACATATGGTCTCAAATAAATATATTTATCTACTTATTTATTTGTGTCTAACAAAATGTCTATTATTTTATAATTGTTGTGTGTTGTGTGTGTGTGTTGTTGAAATAACTGGACATGAGCAGGAGTTAATTTCCTTCAATAGCATAAATCACCTCATGGGTGAACTAATCACAGGTGCAAGCTCAGCCGAGCCAGTTGCTATGACAACGGCACAGTGTCTTGACTATATCTGTGACAAATGCATGTCAGCTCAGCAGTGTGTCTGTCTGTTAGTCAGCGTTACTTATCAAGCGTTGCATCTTGAATTGCTAGACTTATTTACAGCAATTGAGATACTTTATGTATCTATATGTACATAAATAATATCAATGTTTTCCTAATCCCCAACAGACAAGATTGCTTTTTGCACATGGAGTGATACAAGGTGGTATGGTTTTGCTTTGGTTCCAATAAAACTAGTCAGGCAGAAATACACATGAATATGGGAGAGAAAAAGAGAGTGATCATCTTGTAATAAACAATATGAATACTCACTGGTGCATTTCCTTGTCTCAGATGTGAAAACACTGCATCAAATGATTCTTTGAAATGTTCTTTCACAATATCCTTCATTAGTTTGAACAGCCAAGCTCTATCAGTGTCATCCACAAGGCGGTCATAAAATACTCGAAATACTTCATGTACAAAAAGACGCACCATTGTATGCTTGTTTACAACTGAATCCTTCTTGATGAGCAAGCAGCCTAGGATAACTCGTGCAAAGTCACGCAGATTGAATGTATAATGGGATTTGGCGGGTGTTGGTAACAGGTTGTCCATGGCCTTCTTATATACCTTGAAGATTGAAAGAAAAATTAACAAAACTATTTAAATTAAGTTTTGTACTTAAATACTTTTCATACTTAGGGCACACAGATGTTTCTTGCACTCTTGGTTTTGTACATGTAGAATATTTCCCTGAAAAAATGTGAATGCAGAATTTAAAAGAAAAACTGCATTGTTGTTGCTCTGCACTTGGGACAATGTCCACACTGACCATAAATGAGCTACAACGAAAGGGAAGGACCACAGAAGACTGGATGCTGAATAACTACAGAGCATCAGATTCCTGAATATCCTCTATGCTGACACATCCTTAAATTGCTGCAAGATTGATGTCAGAAAACAGCCGAAATGTCAGTACTGGAGCCTTTATAGCTGTGTATAATATATGAAGAACTGAATAATACTACATGGCATTAAGTTGAACAATATCAGTATTGCAGATTGAACTATAGAAGGTAAGCAGTCGTCATAATGGCTTAATGCTAGGCTATCTGATGGACTATATTCTCCCATATGAACCTGCCCAGGTTCTGAGATATTCTGGGGAGGCCATTCTCTCATTCCCTCCACCCTCACAGGCAGATTTGGGGGGTGGGGAAGAGAAGGGATTCTCAGTGGTTGCTCCCAGACATTGGCATTCCCTTCCTAGAGAGGTCAGACTGCCTTGCGATCCTTCCACTGGCAGCAGAAACATGAAGAACAAACTAAAGGAGAAAGTAGCAAAGCATTAGAAACTATCCCCCCTTGGAAACTAGCCAGAATAGGCAGATAGATGGCTATACCTTTCATCCTAAATGGTTAGTCCATAGTTAGTCTAATTAATCTGTAACAGTAAAAAGCACTTTGAGTCAAGAAAAGGAGTTTTAACTGAATGTGCATGTGCAGACATACACAGAGATGTCTGAACTGCCCTCTGAAATCTTAATTTCAAAAGCCTTTTCATGTGCCTTTCTTTTAAAAAAAACACCAGCTACGTGTCTTTCAGAACTGATATGCCTTTGAGACCCTCTGACCCGCCTGGAAGTCACCTATATATTCTGCCTGTGCAGGTAAACCAGAAATGCAGTGTATATATTGGCACTGTACCTCCATAGTGCCACTGACAATTTGGTTTCCAACTGTGAAGTATTCTGGGATAAATTCATTTGCTCTGAGGTAGAAAGATACAACAGTAGAGAAAATCCGGACCATTGTTTCATCACTAAAGGTATTAATCGTGCAAATGTTGAAGTGTCTCAGAAAACGAGGTGTGACTGGATTCCTTCCACCACCTGGTGGACCCATGGCAGCCATCAACTGTATTTCAACTAATACAATTTTATTTGTATCTTTTAGGTCATACCTTCAAAAGAAATAGAAGTATGATCATCAGACAATTATAAATGGAACAGTACTTCTGCACTTGGAAATTTATCATGTATAGTATCATGGAGTTTGTATTCTGCAGCAATAATTATATGAACACATTACATCAACATAAGATACCTCCTTTATTTTTATGACTAATTTCAGCAAAAACAACAAAAGAAACTTAGATGAAGATGAAAATTAGAGATGGACACTCTGAATATCAGTAGTCTGGGACTTATAAATAAAGTTTTGGCCTAAAGGGAAGTTCTCTTTCTGCACATAACTGTAGCATTATGGGAGAAGTATTGCTTCTTTTCTCTTGCATTCTGGGAAGTCTCACTTATAATCTTTTCTCTGCTTCTGCACACACTGTACAAACCTGTTCTAAACACCAAGACATTCCTTCTTTCCTTAGTTCATCTCAAGTTCATGAACAAACAATATGACCTGTTCTTAATGCATAGCTGACCACATCTATGGAACTCGATTATTATATTCTTTCATGTTATGATCAATCATTAGTAATTGTTTTAGTCATGCTATATCAATCTTTAGTTATAATTTAATTAGGAGGTTTCATGCCTGTCTAGTTCCGGCTCCGTTTCCCAGCCTTTAATCTATCGGTGATTAATGTTTATATGTAATTCCCGCCTTGTACTTATGTTAACCAATCAGCAACAAGTTGCTTTGTGTTTGTATCAACCGATCAGCCACAAGCACACCTGTGGCAATGTTTGTAATATTCAATAAAAGAGAGTTCCCGGTGCTTGCCCCGAGAGACGCCTCTCATATGACACCTGCTACTCGTCTGTCGTGAATTCATTCCAACATTGGCCAATGTTCACAAATCTAGTTTACAAATGCATTACATAAAAGCAAACTGATAAAAATTACACTTTTCTTTTAACTATGTACATAAAAATAATTTAGTCTGAATAGTTACCAGATGCCGTGGTCAAAAACTGTCTCAGAAGTTCAATAGGAGGCTGTGCTCCATACTGTTCTAATGCAGGCATATTCATGTCATCCACAAAGATTATACACTTCTTTCCCATAGGTGGGCCAAATATTCCTTTCCGTCTCTTGTCAAGCCTGGCCATAATAATGTTCTAAAATTCAAAAGCATAACATATTTCTTAAGGATTAAAACCAGCTCATTCAAAAGAACAGTTAATGTTGTTTCCAGAGGGAAGTGTGCATAATGGGGTTGGTGAAAGCCGACTTTTTCACTGCCTCCCACTCGCATAAGTTTGTTCATCCTCCCACCCCATTCAGCAGCCCTCAGGGGAATATTGTGGGATCTATTGGAGAGAGAAGGGAGCAGGAAAATCAGCTTCTGCCAGCTTGTTATCCATGCTTTTCTCTGAATCCAATCCATCAAATTCTAGCATGTATTCTATAATAAATACAGGTGTGTCTAAAGGTAAGTTTATTCTATTAATTTATACTGACTGCATTCACCTACTCCCCAACCATGCTTGCTAACTTGTCTGCCTGCTGGTCTGTTGTCACAGAGGAGTTGCCATGGCCGCATGCTGACAGCCATACAAATTGCAGCATGACAACAGCATTACAATTTTATTATATAATGAAATATGCAGTTGTAAACTGCCCGAGGGCCCATTTGCATCAAAAGCAGTCTGCTGTTTATTTTTACCAACCTGAGTCTGGTTGGCACTGGTTCGAGCAGAAAAATTAACAAAGAATGGAAAGTAGAGATTCTTTTCTACATGGTTCATTAGCTTGTCCTTCACATATACAGATTTTCCAGTACCTGTTGGTCCCACAAAAAGCAGCGGTCTTGGAAAGAAATTCATATACTTGTATTAGTTTTTCATTAGTGTAGACATATTGTTGGGAAATTAAACATAATGCTTGGAAATTCTCAACAAATAAAGACTGTTGATGGTAGCATTTTTACAGCGATTTATAAACATATCACATTTTTCTGTTTGCATAAATATATAGCTAAAATCACAGAAATGTAAGAGAACAACTATAAATAAAATGGGATGTAGAAGTATATGTTAGGCAAAAGACTCTTAGCTACAATTCCTGAATTATATTACAGAGTTGGTCCCCGTAATTTTATTCACAACTCAAGTTTTTTTATATGAACAATAAGTATTTCAGAGTTTATAACTGAGAATTATAAAATTATAAAGACTATTTCTAAGACCAGACTAGTGTAGATTAATGTTTCTAAACTCTTAACTAGTGTCACTTACTTTTGAGACACAATGCAAAGTGATAGTTTACCTTTAAAGCCATAAACAGTGGTATCCAAAGGGCTGCTTTTCCCTCAAATGAACCTGGATACTTCCACTTTGGAGGTCAGGTAGAGGGCCTTTTTGGTGGCGGCAAACAAATCATGAAACTCTTCACAAACATATTCATCTAGCACTTCTTTTTTACTGTTTTTCAAAGTCCAGTTTGAGCCATCCAATTATTCCACATCTTAATTCTTATAATGGCCCAATTTGTCTGGTGTGTGTATGTGTGTGTGTGTGTGTGTGTGTATCAGCAGGGATCCCAAGTAGTCTGCACAGTTTGAATAAGATGGATCAGTGCATTTAAGCCCCAACATTAAACCGGGGTTAAATATGAAACAATCAGTTAGCTTCAACTGCGTGCTGTGTGCATCTATACCATTTATTTCAGCAAATGGGAAACTTTTCACATAGATCTTGGGCAAGAGCCATGGCTTTGAGCTGGAATATACATACTAAAAAGTGCAGTTGGGAACAATTCAAAGAAACTTAGCACCCTACTTCTTGATGACAATTCTCAGAATTAACCCCCCAATTTATTATTATGGAAACTTAAGGAGCATACAAAAACCCCAGCTGGACACAAATCTAAGAGGATTGTTTTTCTGGGGGTTTTATTTCTTAGAGTATTTCTTGGAGTATTAATAACATTATTAGAATAGTATGATCTCATGAACAATGAAAACATTTTCACTATTATAGGAAGCAATTTTTCTTACTTTCCATATTTAATGCACAATTCCATCAAATAGGTATATCTCACTGTGTCCATTGTTGGGACTATAATGTCTTGAACCTTAAGATTTTTATCATTATAATTGATACTTTTAATGGCTTCATTCCAATGCATCCAACGGCCCTTGCCTTTCATCTAAGAAGAAATGCAGAAATAAAGTTTTGCAAATGATACGGTACGGTTAAAATAAATTCAAAATTGTTTCACTAGAACTTGATGCTTTTAGCATTTAGTTGTTTTAAAACATTTAATTGAATCTCAAGGCAATGGTTTCAAAATTATCAGCATTATAGACGTATAACATTGTACCCTCCGAACTTGAAGCATGGGAAGTCCTATTAAAAAATTATAATTTGGCAGAATATTCAGATTATTTTATATGCATATGTATAATTTGGAATATTTAATGTGATTTGATTGGATTGTTAAAGTGGAAAATTTAATAAAAATGAATTTTTAAAAAAATATAATTTGCTACATATTTAGGGTAAATTGCAATATATTTTTGAATTTCCTAACAAGTAATAATATTTAGTACTGGGGCTCAATAAGCTCACTCTCTTTCTTGCTCCTTCTACATATGGTGTGCACAGCTGTGTTTATATAAAAAGCCTTACTTGACATAAAGCACAGTGGTGTATTAGTTGGAGTGTTGGACTAGCAGCTGGGAGAGACTAGGGTTCAAATCCACATGAAACTCCCTAGGTGAGCTTGGGCCAGACACTTACTCTCACAGCCTAACCTACCTTGCAGGGTTGCTGTGAGGGTAAAATGGGGAGCAGAACTTTGTCTACCACCTTGAGCTCTATGGAGGAAAAAGGGTGGGATACAAATGCAATGAATTAATAAATAATAAATTCCTCCTTCCCCAAAGAGGAAAAGAAATGTGTTTTCACTTATTCAAACTGAGCTTTGGCCTCACTGCAGCTTCCTTGCAAAAACCCAGTTGGAAGGAGGAAATACCCTTTTTTCTCTGTGAAGAAAAGGATGAAGAAAAGTTTCGTTCTCTTCAGTTTTTGCAAGAAGCAGCAAACTAGTGCTTGTGCTACTTCCAAAAACCTTTCCTTTCTTATCTCTGCAGAGAAAAGGAAGGAAAGAAGATAAAGCCTCCGCCTTGCAAGCTGACTTGTGTTTTTTTTTAAAAGTTTTTATTAAGGCTTTTTGTGCTACAAAACAAAAAGGGAAAGGTACATCTATTGTCTCCGCACTCTATTTGTAGCCATTCCTCATTATTGCATATTGCAAAAACAAGGAGGAAGGAAAGAGGAGGAAGAGACTTTTCTTTTGTTTCTCTCCTGTCTCATTGGGTTTCTTGTAGAAGGCGGCAGCAGCAATGTACTTCTAGCCCTTTTTGCAAAATATCTATTTAAAAATAAATGTAAGCAATATTTTAGCAATTTATTAGGTTTATTTAACACAGATACAACACAGCAGTAATTATTCAGGCACATAATTCAGCAACCTTGCTTCTATTATGCAGTCCTGTTTATATATAAACATAAATATACATACATATTTCATTGTTAAGGAAAGTGCAGATCAAGAGGCCCATGCATCAAATCCATGAGCCCTCTTCTGCTTTTAATGCAAACAATGGGAATGTACTGATACCATACAGTGTTTCCAACTGTATGTGTCATGCAGTTCCCAGGTAATGCAAAGCCATTTGAAGGCATGGGCAAAGCTGGGGGGGCAGCTCCCCCCCATCAAATAAATGAATAAAAATACTTAACTGACCAATTGCATTGCAGATAAATCAGTTCTGTTCCCCCCACAAACATAGCCTGCCCCCCCTAAAGTAAATCCTGGCTATGCCTATATTTGAAGGCAAATCTTTTGTGGATGTACCATATATAGGTGTATAACGCAGCTTCATGTTTTCAAATTCTATGGCTTTCAACAGCTATTCATTCCTAATGAAATATTTAAGAAATTCAAATACTGGTTAATAATTATATAAATTTTTCCGTACCTCAAACATGAAATCATACACCAAGCCTCTCTCTTCAAACGGATGCTCCCATTTCCCCACAGCTGCAGGCATCGGATGTTTGTCCATCTTCCCTGCTATAATATCCCTCATAAAGGCGTCAAACAGAACCCGACCATCACCATCACAGGTTCCACCAATGGACCAGACCGTAGCAAAAGCAAAACAACCCTTCCATTTTTAAAAAGAGAAAGAAATTATGAGGACGATGATGTACTCATGGCAAATCTCACTTGAAAGGCTTTAAAGTTATACTATTTATCTATAGCGAAAATAGTATTTTGAGGATGCAATCCTCCAGCCAGTTTTCTGGATATTGAACTTAGTGGGACTTACTTAATAAACTTATTGGGACTGCAATTGTACATCTGTTTACCCATAAGCTACCCATTTCAGAATCTCTTGCAGGCTGGATCTAGATTTGCCCTTCTGTGAATAGAAGGGCTTGTCACTTTGTGGAACGCCCTGAGAGCCAATGAAGGCAACCTGCTAACTGAAGGCAATTTTGCAGATTCTACCTTCCCACTGCAGCCCCAAGCACCACACCATATGCTGTTCCAGAAGGTCCACAGGTGCAGCAGCTTTTCAGGGTGTGCAGAAGAGACAGAATCAGCAAAACACACCTCTACTCCTTTCTCCAGCATGAGAATCTTGTGAGAGAAACATAACTCATGTCAATTATGGGCAGTGGCATAGGAAGCCGCTGGAGTGCCTGGGGCTGGTGTGCACACCGCCCATGGGGGCAGAGCAAGCTGGTAGGGCAGAGTGCACTGCCAGAACTGTGTCCCAGCACCCTCCACCTGGAGGGCGGTTGAGGGGGAAGCAGTGTGTGTGCACCAGCACTGCTTGCAAAAGCAGTGTGGGGCTGGAGCCCAAGCCGCCATGTTCTTGGTAGGGTGCCCTTCAGCTGGAGGGCAGCTGAGGGGGAGGAAGCAGGTGGGTGCCAGTTGAGTCTTTCTCGGCTGCCCTCTGGTGGCTGGGAGAGATACAGCAACCCAGAGCGCTGCAAGCCCAGCCCCAGGCTGCACTGCTTTTGGGAGAGTGTGCCGGGCTCTGGGGCACCTGGACTTCCATGTCACCTTGGGCTCTAGTGTGCCACCTCCAAGATAAGTGCTATCAGGGGTGCACCCCCCCCAGCTACGCTACTAAATATGGATTCAATTCAAGTGGGGTGAAATAACTCAAATAGTTTGCTCAAAGAAGTGAAAAGATAAAAACACCAGACCAACCATAATCCATTTGCGGATGTGTGGACTGGTAGGCTCCTTCTCCACCGCGTCACTAAGCAACATTTCAATAAGCCGAATGAGAGAAACCACATTATTGCTATTGCTGGTGGGGACCAGCTCCTATAAAAGTAAAAGATTTTTAAAATATATATATATATATATGAATGCCTCATGAACTTAATCAGTTATAGAACATTTCAGTCAATAATCTTTTGTGTTTAAAATGTGCACTGATTATTATTTGTGTGTGTATTCTGTATAGACTTGATAAAGATCACAAAATACTTACTAAAAATACTACAGCAAACCAACTGATGTTGTCTTGGTTCAACATTAATTCCTTCACTTCAGTTAACATGTTTTACAATAGATTTCATTATGGTAAGACTGGATATTTCTTTATTTACCCTGCGCCAATCCCATCAACAGTGGATTCTTTCTTTCTCCTGTCTAGGCTTTAGCTAGACTCCATGCTTCTACTTTCTGTTTCTTTGCCTGCAAACTGTGTTTACTATTTTTGGTATGTATTCAGTGGTTTTCAGGAATGTATATAAGCAGTTGCTTTGCCCCTGTTTCCCAGTTACAGTATGTAGTTCAATAAAGGTTCTTGCTGTTATCGCTATGTCTTGCCTCGTGGGAACCTACCTACACTTCAATTTTCTTTTGGATTAGTCAGGATCCACTTCAGAGAGGTACCAGCCAGAACCCTTCTAAAAGGTAAGATCTTTAAACTAACTTAATACAGTTAAGAGAACCAAAGGAGGAAATTCAATTTGGTCTCAAGGGATGCCTTATCAATCACTCCATCACTGCCTGAGCCTTAATGGGGATAGGGATTTATTCCAGACAAAGACTGTGGAAAGGAATCACTGAGGGAGAACTGAGATTCCTCCATGAGTATCTTTGCTGGCAGAATCCCTGCCTGTCACAGTGAGAACTCTGGAAGCTGAGGGTTAGCATTACAGTCTCCTATCAACTTTTAACACCTTTAACAAACAAAAAAACCCTGTAGACCCAACCCATGTACTTAACAATAGACATACTAAACTGTTTTTTTTAAGAACAACCTACTTTGCATTTTTTCTGACGCATTCTTAATGCTGGTGGTACTATCCAATTAAAGAGATCTTCAAAAAGTTCTTGATACTCCTTTTGGTCCAGAGGTTCAGGAAGTGTACTCAACCAAGATGTTACAAGTGGCAACCAGCCCAGCTGTAAAGGCTCCAAATAAATCATTCCACAACGACTGACTGTAGCAGGCTGCAGGACAATAATATTTATCTCTCTTAAAATTCCATTCTATCTCCAATTTCAAGTCCTGTGAATTATTTGATCTTGCCTTTAACATACCGAAGCCTGAGACAGATCCATAGCTTCAAAGATGAGGCTCATCTGAGGGGACATTTGAATGATTTCTCCACTCATCAAACAAAGCTAAGAACAAAAACAAAAAACAAAACCCACACCCAGTTTTAGACTGCTGTAAATTTTATGCTCCAGAAGCAATCCAGCTTCTTTAACCTTAATTTGAAATAGGGAGGGTATTGGAAAATTTGAGCAAGTACAGGTATTGTGACTTATCTCATTTATTGAAATGTCAGGATCTTCCATAATCAAATTTGGAAAAATGCTAATTTATTAATATCCAGTTTTTGGCCATTGCTCTGCTCCACTATCACTATCACTGCATTGCTGTTGTTATTTTTAGATGCTTAGTATCCTATCTAAAACTATAGTTCCTCTAAACAATTATTTAATGAAAGAGGAAGTACCAAGTTCAGATTTAATGCAACTCAGAAACTGTTGCGTGACTAAGTCATTGTGCGATAGAAAATAAGCCCTGAAATACTGAAATCATAATTGGATTTGGATATCAGACTGCAGATTGTACCAAATACTGGATATATATGCATCCATTGGTTCTGTATGGCTCTTCTTAAGCTAGTTTTTCTGCTACTTACAAAACCTGGCACTTAGTCAGTTATAGTGCCATAGGGTCCTGAGAAATTCTGGGAGAGAAGTTTGTAAAGCATATTAGTTTTACGATGAATTCCCCCTCCCAGAATTAAGAAAACCTAGTAGTTGACTGGTTTCCAAGAGTGTGTGTGCTGACTGGCTCAAGTAAGCTGGCTTCTAAAGATAAAGGACCCCTGACAGTTAAGTCCAGTCGCAGATGACTCTGGAGTTGTGGTGCTCATCTCGTTTTACAGGCCGAGGGAGCCGCCATTTGTCTGCAGACAGTTTTTCTCGTTCATGTGGCCAGCATGACTAAGCCACTTCTGGTGCAACGGAACACTGAAACCAGAGCAGCACATGGAAACGCCGTTTACCTTCCGCCGGAGCGGTACCTATTTATCTACTTGCACTTTTTGGCGTGCTTTCGAACTGCTAGGTTGGCAGGAGCTGGGACCGAGCAACGGGAGCTCACCCCGTCGTGGGGATTTGAACCTCCAACCTTCTGATCAGCAAGCCCAACAGGCTCAGTGGTTTAGACCACAGTGCCACCCGCATCCTAAGCTGGCTCCTACTTGCACTTATTGTTAAATCTGGTACTACAAGGTTAGAAAACAAAGTGCCTCTCACAAATACAAACATGAGTGCCAGAGATAATGATGTAATGAAGTAATAATGATGATGTTGATAACATTAGATGTGCATGATATGGAATGAATGTTAGAATGATTTGACAAAAGACCTGACTGCTTATATATCAGCTCTGCTACTGGCACTCTTTCCAGTTTCCTCTTTCCTGTAAGTGTTTCTTCTTTAAAAGTCCTATTTGAAACCCAATATGCATCTGTGATGTCATTTGTGCTGTAGTTACACAAAGAGCTAGCTATTTGGGGTCAAGGCTCAATGAGTAACTTCTCAACCTATTTTATCTCAATACATTTAAAATTCTTGAACAATTTTAACAACAACACCTTTATTGTCAATGTCAAACTGTGTACAATGAAATTTACAATTGCCTGATGTATTTGGATTACTTAGACATTACCTTTTGTTATCATCCAACACAGTGTTCATGCTCTCTATCCAAAGGGTATCAATAGGACCATCAAAAACAACCCAATTGCGATCAGGTGTCTCAGTTAAAGCAAATTCTCGAAAAGTGTTGGCAACTATGCCATCTGTCCACTAAAATAAGTGACAAAAGACTTTTAAAATTTGAAGGAAGCATTCAACAGAAACCTAATTGTGTAAATCATTTGAATATGGTAATCTGTTCTACTGAATGGACAAAACCTAAGCAAATAAACATCTAAGAAAAAGCTAAGCTTAAATTGTTTTCTGGACACACTTTGAAATAAAACGTAGATATGTTACCATTAATATGAGCTAGGCGGAGAATGTTCATAAATACTACCTTCCTTTGTATGAATATGTATTCATGCTAAGGGTTGCTGTGCTCTGCCCACACTGTTGGCAATGCCGCCTACCCTCTCACTGCCAACCCCAACCCTTCACACCTCACCCAAGGGCTTATATGGTTCATTGCTGTAAGGTACTTTTCATTTCTCCCTGCTCCTCCGCTTTATTTTGTGATGAACTTACCTCATGAGATACTGGATCAAATCTTCCAAAAAGTTGTCCCATAGTAATAGCTTTTGGATTCACAGTTCTGTGAACTACCTTTTCTTCATCCCCATACCCACGTTCATTCATAAGGGAAAGTGTATCTGCCAACACATGCAAAACTTTGGTCTTTCCGGCAAAAGGCTCACCTACAAGCATAAAACTGATAAATAAAAAGTTTTTATTTGGTATTTTCCTTTTGGTATTTATTTTTCCTTTTAGTCTCATGACTAAACATGAACATACATTTAATTGTTTATTATTGCAAAAGCTAGAACATTCAGCTCCTTGTAAAAACTATAGAAAGGTAAGGAATGAGGTGGCAAAAATACAGTGAGTTTTCTTTACCCTGCTATAAGGGAAACTATGTCTTAAAGAAATGGGAGAAACTATTTCTTAAAGAAATGGGAGTGCCTGATCACCTCATCTGTCTCCTGAGAAATCTCTATGTGGGACAAGAAGCTACAGTTAGAACTGGAAATGGAACAACTGATTGGTTCAAAATTGGGAAAGGAGTACGGCAAGGCTGTATATTGTCTCCCTGCTTATTTAACTTATATGCAGAATTCATCATGCGAAAGGCTGGGCTAGATGAATCCCTAGCCGGAATTAAGATCGCCGGAAGAAATATCAACAACCTCAGATATGCAGATGACACAACCTTGATGGCAGAAAGTGAGGAGGAATTAAAGAACCTTTTAATGAGGGTGAAAGTGGAGAGCGCAAAATATGGTCTGAAGCTCAACATCCTATAAACGAAGATCATGGCCACTGGGCCCATCACCTCCTGGCAAACAGAAGGGGAAGAAATGGAGGCAGTGAGAGATTTTACTTTCTTGGGCTCCATGATCACTGCAGATGGTGACAGCAGTCACGAAATTAAAAGACGCCTGCTCCTTGGGAGAAAGGCGATGGCAAACCTAGGCAGCATCTTAAAAAGCAGAGACATCACCTTACCAACAAAGGTCCGTATAGTTAAAGCCATGGTTTTCCCAGTAGTGATGTATGGAAGTGAGAGCTGGACCATCAAGAAGGCTGATCGCTGAAGAATTGATGCTTTTGAATTATGGTGCAGGAGGAGACTCAAGAGTCCCATGGACTGCAAGAAGATCAAACCTATCCATTCTTAAGAAAATCAGCCCTGAGTGCTCATTGGAAGGACAGATCGTGAAGCTGAGGCTCCAATACTTTGGCCACCTCATGAGAAGAGAAGACTCCCTGGAAAAGACCCTGATGCTGGGAAAGATGGAGGGCACAAGGAGAAGGGGACGACAGAGGACGAGATGGTTGGACAGTGTTCTCGAAGCTACAAACATGAGTCTGACCAAACTGTGGGAGGCAGTGGAAGACAGGAGTGCCTGGCGTGTTCTGGTCCATGGGGTCACGAAGAGTCGGACATGACTAAACGACTAAACAACAACATGTCAACTTAACCAGACCAGCTCTGCTTGGGAACCACGGGGCAAAGGACTTTGGCCAATGGTAAGGCTACTAAGCTGATTTCTTCAGGGTTCAGTGGTGTAACTGCTTTTCCTAAAGGGAACTCAGTCATGCAGCCAAACCAGCAGTGTTCAACTCACCACCCATAGCTGTGAATTCAACCCTACTTCCTGCTGGGATCAGCTGTACAATCAAGCTCTCCATGAAGAACTTGGTTGCACAGTCAACCAAGAAGGACAGAAGTATACTTTCTTCATGCCATGTATAACTTTCTTAACTTCCCTATCATGTCACCTCTTATTTGCCTTTTCTCTAAACTAAAAAGTCCCAAATGCTGCAACATTTCCTCAGACATTAGTTGTTCTATCCCTTTGATCAGGTTGGTTGCCATTTTCTGAACCCCATACCTATGAATATTATTTATCATAATTATACTTACCCATGTCTAACTATCATCATTTCATAGGTCTGTATCATCTTTTCTAGAAAAACTTTAACAGGCTGAACATTGTGTGCTTTACAGCATTCATTTGCACATTCCAGAAAATCCTGAAACACAATTTTAAAAGGTAAATCTTAGCTATTTCTCATTTCTGGTATGCATTTTCACATGTACACAAACACACTTTTCATTTGAAAAAAGATTAACATTCAGTTTTCCTTCTTTTTCTTGAAATGAAACTCATATACTTCAAATTGTCCATTAAGTGTTTCAGTTGAGTTTAGCTAGGCTAGAGAATGGTAATCTCAATTCAACAAACATCAAAACCAGGTGAAATTATGCATTTACAGAAATGAACAGAATTTTGCTATGTTGTCGTAGAACCACAAAAGGAATGATACTATATAGTTACCAAGTAAAGAAACAAAGACTTTGAAGGATATGCAGAAATTAGAATGAAAGGAGCTCTGTGAGCACCTTAAAACTGAGCAAAATCATAGGAACTGCAATTCTGTACACACCTTGGAGTAAGCTCAATTGAAAATACAGTAAAGAGACTTATTTCTAAATAGACATGTATAAGGCACACGTATGTATATTGAGACCGCTGTCATCAGACTGGGGACCTTCTTTTTAAATGACATGAGGCAATGGCAGCTGGAAGCTGAAGAAAATCTTGAGGGACGTTTGTGACAAGTTACTAAGAGACTAGGAAGATAATCCTAGTAGGAATGAGATGGATGTCAGGATTACTTGCAGTGCATTCACATGCACATCTACTCATAAATAAGCCCCACTGAATTCAGTGGGGATTATTTGTAGGTAAGTGTGTGTAGAAATTAAAAGACGCCTGCTTCTTGGGAGAAAAGCGATAACAAACCTAGACAGCATCTTAAAAAGTAGAGACCTTGCTAACAAAAATCCGTATAATTAAAGCTATGGTTTTCCCAGTAGTGATGTATGGAAGTGAGAGCTGGACCATAAAGAAGGCTGATCGCCGAAGAATTTATGCTTTTGAATTGTGGTGTTGGAGGAGGCTATTGAGAGTCCCATGGACTGCAAAAAGATCAAACCGATCCATCCTGAAGGAAATCAACCCTGAGTGCTCACTGAAAGGACAGATCCTGAAGCTGAGGCTCCAATACTTTGGCCACCTCATGAGAAGAGAAGACTCCCTGGAAAAGACCCTGATGTTGGGAAAGATGAAGGGCACAAGGAGAAGGGGACAACAGAGGACGAGATGGTTGGACAGTGGTCTCGAAGCTACGAACATGAGTTTGACCAAACTGTGGGAGGCAGTGGAAGACAGGAGTGCCTGGTGTGCTCTGGTCCATGGGGTCACGAAGAGTTGGACACGACTAAACAACTAAAGAACAACGCATGTAGCAGTGCAGCCTAAAGTAGATACTGAAAGATTGCAAAAGGATGAAGCCTTTTTGCTATCTATTACAAATGCTGGCGGGCTTCTACAAACAGAGAATTGGTCCTACAGTAGTGATGGAAGGTACTTGAGGCTACCACTTTGCTAAAGCTGAGCAGGTCTGACTCTGATCAGTTCCTGAATGGTTGACCATCTGGGAACCACAACTACATTGGGTACCATGATTGAAGAGCAGCTGAATATAAATGTGAGATAATAAAATAAGCAAACACATCAAGTTCTGAAGCAGACTTTGGGTTCATGGTAAGACTGGGTGAACTGAAGTTTTTTGAAAACAATCCACTTAAAAAATAGACACAGCACATCATTCAGTTAGAAACAGACAACCGCATGAGCTAAAACTGTCAAATACTGGAAGAATTACTGGGGAACAATGCACTAAAAATATACTCACATTGTAGTCAGCTTCAGGAAGCTTAATACCAGGGAATAAATCACTTGTAATGCCCATAAACAGAGGTATGTCATGTGACAAAAACTTAGGTTCATTTACATCTTTGATTGATCGAAGAAGCTGAACAAAGGAAGAGAAACAGCAGCAGAGTTGGAAAGAAATAATGTTCTAGTTTATATCACAAATATTAAGCTGCTCAGCAATAAAAACAAAGTTCTATCAACTGCACTGTGTCTCCTACGAGTATTCTTTTTTCAAGCTGATAATTAACCACATTGCTAAGTTAAAGCAATACAATCCTAACATGAATCAAAACTTGTCTCCAACAAAGAGAAATTAGTGGGGGGAGGGAGGATAGGGCAGTGCTGATCGGACAGTGCTTAGCTATAGGAAGGCAAAAGTCTTTACTGCTATTCTCCTCTCTTGCAAGTTCATGTCTGCCTCTTGCTGCCGCTGACACCACCAAGAGAAGAATGCCTATACACAACTCCTTCTCTTGGTGGCAGTGCCACCATGGGAAAGTCACAAAGTGGAATGTTTGTTCCCCCTTCATGGTCTATGCAGGCTTCCTTCTCTTGGTGGCAGAAGTGACAGCACAACAAAAGAGAGCATTTCTTCCCTTCATCTCCCTCTGCCACAGCAGCTTCTCACCTTCTTCTTCCTGGGGTGAGCAAGGAGGTAGGCCTTTCTATAGCCACCCCTCTTCTAATAAGTGGAACGTCTGCTTATTAGAAGAGATGCCACACTTGATCTTAGCCAAAAGGCCGAGAAGAGATGTGTGGGCTGTAGCCAGCCATGGCACATTGTCATCAGGGAGGAAAGAGGCATGTGTATGCTCAGTGACTCCTTTTATTCTGGCCGGGTTCCACTTATTAGAAGAGTTGTCTACCCAGCAATACACTGCTTTGCTGCGCCCTAACCTGCCACCTGGGGCATGTGCCTCCACTTGCTCCCCCATCTTGATACAGGCCTGGGAAAGGGATACATTACTCACTCCTACAATGGGTATGGCAAACCACTTCTATGACCTCTAGACTGAAAGGGCTTTGTAAGTGTTAGTTATGTTGAATCAGTAGGCCTAACATTTGCAATCTATCTGAGGGTTTTGCTGATCTCTATGTTGATCACAGCTAGCTTAAGCAGCCTGGGAGAACACTATAGGTGACAAAGCAAACATTGTTCAAAGCCATATAAAACACTTGTGCTTTTACGAGGAGTACCTTTCTCCCCCACTTGCTGCTGGTATTACAGTTGCTGGGGAAAGTCCTTAAGTGTATAATTTTGGGGTACTCTGAGGGTCTGGTATATGAAAGCTTATGCCACAATGTAGCTGTCAGTCTTTAAGGACACACAAGACTCTCTCTGGTATTTCTAGTACAGTCGTACCTTGGAAGTTGAACGGAATCTGTTCCAGAAGTCTGTTTAACTTCCAAAACGTTCAAAACCAAAGCGTGGCTTCTGAATGGCTGCAGGAAGCTCCTGCAGCCAATCAGAAGGTGCAGAAGCCCTACCAATTTTGTGATGAATTATAAATTGGGGACGTGGGTGGCGCTGTGGGTTAAACCATAGAGCCTAGGACTTGCTGATCAGAAGGTCAGCGGTTTGAATCCCCGCGACGGGGTGAGCTTCTGTTGCTTGGTCCCTGCTCCTGCCAACCTAGCAGTTCGAAAGCACATCAAAGTGCAAGTAGATAAATAGGTACCGCTCCTGTGGGAAGGTAAATGGCATTTCTGTGCACTGCTCTGGTTCGCCAGAAGCGGCTTAGTCATGCTGGCCACATGACCCGGAAGCTGTACGCCGGCTCCCTCGGCCAATAAAGCGAGATGAGCGCCACAACCCCAGAGTTGGTCACAACTGGACCTAATGGTCAGGGGTCCCTTTACCTTTTTATAAATAAAGTCAAGAACAGTACAGACGTACGTTGGTTTTCAAACAGCCTAGTTCTCGAACGTTTTGGCTTCCAAAAGAATATTCAAAAACTGGAACAGTCACTTCCAAGTTTTGATCTTTTGGGAGCCAAAACGTTTGAGAACTAGGCTGTTCGAAAACCAAAGTATGTCTGTACTGTTCTTGACTTTATTTATAATTCATCACAAAAAAATATTCATTTAAATTGTGTGGGGAACATCAGACCCAGGGGCTGAATGTGGCCCCTGGGACTCTCCTCAGGCTCCTCCCTCTCCTCATTTTGCACCTCTCACTGGTCATACAGGAGTCCATTGTGTACTGACATCACTGAACTGAACTACTTTAGACCACTGAACTACAAAGACATCTGCTAGCTGATCTTCTAAATTTCATACATGGAAAAATTACACCAATGTTACTGGAATGGGATAAAACAGCAAGATACTAAAATGCTCTAAGTCCATTTGAGAACTAATGACTATTTCTAAAGTCAAGTTAATAATGTGCCACTTACCAGTATATCTTCATTTTCAAAAGGGAATTTCAGTTTTAGATTGCCAGCAGCTATCAGCACTGCTTTGACTGCACGCATACCATAGTCATAATGGAACTGAGATGAAAGCTGTTCCGAGCACAGTCTGTAGGTCATTACTATTTTCACTGATAAAGGTTTAGCATTCAGAAACCCATATGAATAGAGAGAGATTTCAGCAATAAGAGCATAGTTAGGAACCATCATGGCAACAGTTCGGAAGAGAACCTAAAATGCACATCAAGGAAAGTACGATTGTTAAAAAATTCAAAAATTCAAAAATAAAATATATGAACAAATTGGGGGGGAAAGAAAGTATGGCAATTCTGCCCCCCTCCAAGGCTATATTTTTTCAGTGGCACTAGTATGCTTATTAATATATACATTTGTCTTTCACTTTAACAAAAAAAAACCTCCACAAATGTTTAATGAATTTTCATACAGTTGTTCTGGAAACTTTATCTCATAGCTGCTAAGCACCCTCTTATTAAAGAAGAAAGGACTTGCCATCCAAGCTGAACCATACAAAAAAACCTAGCTGTTTTTTCCAAGAATTTCCAGAGCAAGAAAGCTACTATTTGACCACCACTTATATGCCATGCATAGGAGCAAGCCAAATGCAAAATCTGCTATGAGCAGAGTTTGGAATAGGCAGGTCTGTGGCTCAGCTGGGGCTACACTGACTAAAATCCCTCATCCCAGCTCAGAGATATGCCAGAGTATCTCAGTTCTCCATCCTGGCCCACTGGGACTCAGCCAGCTCAGTCATGAGAAGGGGACATTCTGGAGGAGTGGTGGAGCTTGGCAGGAACATGGGGTAGGGATAGGTTTACTCCTATTCAAAACTGATTCAGCTCAGTCACATGACCTAGCAATCCAGCAGACATTACACTTGAAAAAGGGTGGTGTAAGACAAACTCTTATTTTAAAGGCTCCCCCACCCCGAACCCCACTCACCTTGCCTTGGGACAACTCAGCCAGCAGTAGTCTCACTCCTGAAAGGAGTTTAGAAGTATGCACAGATCTTAAAACGATTTTTAGAGAAATCATGCTTTTAAAAGCAGTATCTGAAATGACTCTCAGTTAATATGGTTTTTCTTTCACTATTTTACCTTGAGATTGTCCGGCAGTTCAGAGCGCCCTGCATAACCTGGATTCATAGTAATAGCAACAAAGCAGTTGGGGTTCAGCTTCAGTTCAGTCCCTTCGAAATTAAACGTCTCCAGCTTCAGCTGTATAGCCCTCTGGATGCAAAGGATCTGCTGAGCCACTACAGACAGGACTTCCAACTCAATGCGATTGAATTCATCAAAGCAGGCCCAAGCACCTGAAGAAGCCAACCCCTTGAAAAACTAGAAACAAAATGGTAAGCCCGGTATTCTATAACTAAGCAATAGTTCCAAAATATAAAAAGGAGTATTGTGATGCTTTGGGAATATTTATTTACTACTATTCTTACAGCCTCATCAAATCTAGCTGTATTAGGCAAATGAAAAAATTGGGGTGCCTCTATATAATTGCTGCTTGCTTAGACTGTGTACAGGAAATGATTTCTGTGGAGAAGCAGGAATTATTTCCCTGTTACAGCTATCATGACAGTAGTCCTGATCAACTACTGGTAACTTAATAAATACATAAATACCAGAGAGGCAGTGATGGAAGTGAAGTCTGTTCTCTTCATGTTTCCTAACTCCCAGTTACAGCTATTTAACCAACCCCATAAGAGCTGATGAAGTAGTGAAACCAATTAAATCAGATCAAAAGCAGCTGGTTTCACTCTTATGAGAAACTGTACTTTAACTTATAAGGGCTGTATGAGTTCATGTGTGGCTGTGGGCTGTTCAAACACTAAAAATAATTTTGCAAGAACATTTTAAAATCAGTTCCAAAGCTGGCAGAGAAGTACATTACTTGCCTTAGAATCTGTTTAACAAGTGCCCAAGCGAATCACATCAAATGTGTATTCTTTGATTGCAGCAGCATTAATTATGTTCCTGGATACTGCTTCAATTGCAATTTTAAAAAGACCTGCAGAACTTGTTTGCTTTGGACACATTAGCAACCTCTGTCTTGTCAAACTATCCTGACTCCTCAAAGTTTAAAAGCACAATGCATTGATGAAGTACAGTTGTACCTTGAAAGTCGAACAGAATCCGTTCCGGAAATGTTCAACTTCTAAAATGCAACTTCTGATTGGTTGCAGGAAGCTCCTGCAGCCAATTGGAAGCCACAGAAGCCCCGCTGGAAGTTTGGCTTCCAAGAGAACATTTGAAAACTGAAACACTCACTTCTGGTTTTCGATCATTCAGGAGCCGGAACGTTCGACTCCCAAGGTGTTTGGGGGCCGAAGTACGACTGTACTTAAAGAGACAGATCCTCTGCAAGTTTACTCAGACTCCCAGGTTAAGTTTGCATAGGGCTGCAGCTTAAGTACCAGGATGGATGACCTCCTTGACAACGTACTTAGTAGTTGTTGATATATGTAACTTCCAGGAATAGAGAAGGCCTTCCTGGGCTGGCCAACCCATGAGGCAAGATGAGGGGACCACCTTAAGCAGCAGGATCCACAGGAGTAACAGATTATGGCCGCCAAGGAACACACAGCCCTCTGTATTACGGTCTTTTATTATTTTGTTGGAAGCCGCCCAGAGTGGCTGGGAAGCCCAGCCAGATGGGCGGGTATAATATACACATAATAATAATAATTATTATTATTATTATTACAGCAGCCTCTTGGTGAACAGGAAGCACGGCTGGTCTCCTCTCACCCCTAGGGATGACATGGTAGGGGCTGCCCTCTGGGGTGTCCTGGGCTTTGCCCCGGGTTCAGAGTGGGCCCTTTTTTTCCCTCGCAATGGCCTTTGATTCAACTGATAGTTGTGAAGTTAACTGTACAGTTCTGTGAACAATTGGATTGTGTGACCAAGGTATGTGTTATTGTTTTTAAATGTTTTTGTTAAAGTTGAGCATCTACTGAAAATGAAAAACAGTGCCACCTTTAAAAACTGGAAATCAGACAATAAAAGATTGGTTCAATTTACCTTCCCCATGGCTAGGTAATCAAGGCCATCAGAACAGTTGAAGACAACACATTGCACGGCAAGAGCTTTAGCCAAATCTTTGGTGGTCTCTGTTTTACCTGTCCCAGCTGGGCCCTCCGGAGCACCACCAAGATTTAAATAAAATGCTCCAATCTAAGAATAAGAACAGTTAATGAAAATATTTCAGAAGTCACACAATCTTTGGATACAAAAAAACCTACATCCAGTTGTATATGGCAGAGATGAAATATTGTAGAAAACATGTACCCTCCCTCTTATTTTCTTACACACTTGCACTTTGTCATACTTTCACCTCCCACCAAATTATTCTTTTCTTTCGTTTTTGCTCTCTCTCACCCTAAACCATTATTCATTCATCTATTTATCCCAGGTTTCTGTTGTTCCGCTTGGGAAAATACACCTACACAAATTCTAATGCAAGCATACACATCAATCGTCTCTATTTCTCCATCCATTTTTCTATTTCCATTCTTCATTCCTAATGTCAACTTTATCATATTTTCTTCAACTTTTTCATAGTGCTAATGAAATAGCCTGCAACAGCACAGGTGTTACTTTCTTTGATTCACTGATCAATTTAAAAAGACATTTTCTGCTGCATTACTAAGAGATCTGCAATCTAGAACAAAAGGATCTATATTTGCCTTCTCACAATTTTATTTACAACTAATCAGAATCAGTTTTAAATTTTAAACTATGTTTCCAGTAAAGAGAACATTAATGCTTTAGTCCCATTGAATTTAATGGAGTCAAGAGTGCTTCCCTTATTGTCAGAGAGTTTAATACAGTAGTTCTGAGAACCTCAACAAGACAAAATCTCTATAAGCTACTGTCATAAACATAGGTGGAGAACATGCCTCATTGTAGCTAATTCAGATTTATAAGAATTCTTATTAGCAATTTAATATTAAAAACCATACCAGAGTGCGGTAACATCTGTCTGTAAGAGGAGTGATGACAAGCCGAGGAGAGTTGCCAAGGTATTCATATGCATATTTTACATTGCAATTGATGATGCGCACCCGGACGTTCTCATACTCCCAGTAATACCGTAACTGAGCAAGCCACTGAAAATCTGTTTCGTGCAACACACCTGAAATAATACAACCATGGGAAATGTCTTAGGCTCTACTCCTCAGCATACCATGGAAAGGAAGTAGGAAGGGGAAACAAAATGTTTTGAAGTTGCAGCTGTCAGCTCCAATTTTTCTTTCGTCTTAAACAGTGCTTTTTTTTCTGGGGGTATGCAGGGGTACGCATACCCCTAAACATGTTGTGAATCTTTGTACTTTTGTCCATTTACTGTATTGATTTTCCTTGATTTGAACTATAAAATAGTGATTGTCTTGAGTCAAAATGAGAGTACCCCTAAACATTTTTTTAGCAATGGGTATACAGTGGAACCTTGTCTTACTGTACAAACCTTACAAACACTTCGGGTAACAAGCTCCGCTAACCTGGAAGTAGATGCTCCCAGTAGCAAACTTTGCCCCGGGATGCGAGCGGAAGTCGTGCGCTGACGGCACAGCGGCAGCTGAAGACCCCATTAGCGAAAGTGCGCCTCAGGTTAAGAACAGTTTCGGGGTAAGAACAGACCTCGGAACGAATTAAGTTCATAACCGGAGGTACCACTGTATGTTACCACTGTATGTCTTAAAATAATAAAATCAACATTTTAACATTGAGAAGATTAATTTAAAAAGCAATGATTTCCTGGAACAACAGAGAAATATCAGGCAATGTATTAATATTCTAATTTATTCTATGACAAACAAGAACAAGCTACTAGGTTACATACCACTTTCAATCATTTCCATGACGACATCTCTAGCGTGCACATCAATAGTAACCAAAGCACCGAGTGTAGTCCTTGTTTGTTTAGACAACTTCCCTCTTACCAGCTCCACAATATCATTTAACTGAAACTGAAGGTTAGCGTAATAATTCTTTAAGCCCTGCAGAATGAAAATGGATTTTGATAAATTCTATCTGCCACAAACAACTACCAAGAGGAAGCTTAGTGGTCTCTCTATATTATTATCCTGTGATTTATTTATTTATTCAAAAGCTCGTTAGTGATTGCTATACCTATTTTTAATATAGATGCCCCAGTCAGGTAGATCTGGCTTGCATAACACATTCCCATTCATATTTACTGTTCTTTTGCCATTATGTTATGTATTTTGTGTTTTTATGTTGTAAACCACCCTGTGATCTTCTGATGAAGGGCAGTATATAATAAGCAAATAAACAAATAATCAGCAAATATTATTCTGTGAGCAAGAACATGGTCTCTGCACCAAAATGGGTGCAGCTCTTGGAAGTAGAAGAAGCCGGTGAGTGTGTGTGTCTAAAGCTCCTGTACTAAAAAGACAATTGCTGGATTGGGATGCTGATATTTAATATTACAAAAGCATTCATGTCATTGGGAGTTCATAGGGTAAAATGAACAACAGCTTCTCATATATACTAAAGCTGAAATTTCTCAGAAGACAATTTTCAGTGAAAAATCCTCAGGCTTCTTTTCTCCTGAATTTTTCTCCACAAATAGGGTGAAACATTTCAAGAGCTCATTTGTGCACATTCAGTATCTGACATTTATCTGTCCCTCCAAATATTTAGTTGTATTTTACCTGCCTGAGTATTAGGATTCATTTTTAATTGTTGTGTTCAGTTTTACTTCAAGGGAAAAGGAGGGAAATTAACATGAAATATTTATTTTATGAAATTATATCAAGCATTATTAATTCAAAGAGGCTGGTGACAATTCCATAAACATCTAAATCAAATATGGTTCAGTGTGAACAAAGTACCAAAATAAAGCCAGGAAACATTAAAAGGAAACAAAAAGCTTTGTGCAGTCACCATACCTCTGGGCCACTAGCTATGGCTTCGTGTACTTCACTTGTCCAGAACATTTGTGAGACACAAATAACTACTTGACCAGGCCATTCTCTCACCCAATTTTTTCTTTCTGTTTCTGGATATGCCTAGGAAAAGTAAAAGACATTGCCCAACAGGATCACTAATAACCACTGAAACTATTACACTGAATCATTTATACAACCTATTATAAAATCATAGTTGTTGTTACTGGCATCCATCAGTCTCAGTGTGTCTCTGCGGGTGAAGTCAAATTGTTATGAAATCACTCAGTGCTCACTCCCTTATAAAAAGTATAGTGTTTATGTCTGGGTTTCTCGCCAACATCTTCCATATGAACCAGTGCAAAAAAGTCATTCATTAGTCTCCCCCTCCTCCTTCTATAATGTGTTCGCATCACAGATTTCCACAGATTAAAAACAGGTAACTGTGTCCAGTATTGTAAAATATTTGTATCTAGGTTGTCTTTTAGATCAGTGATAAGGAAGGGTTCATTGAAATCATCTGAAGGGAGTGTCTCAGGGGCACTAGCAGTATCATGAAGAGGACTGGGCAGTGTCCACTGGAGAAAGTAAAGTTCCCCAGATGTTGCCAAACTACAGCTCCCATCATTTCTGACTATTGGTCATACTGAATTGGGCAGATGGGAGAGTTATGAGTCCAACAACACCTAGAGGGCCGCAGCTTCCCCACCTCCATTTTAAATAAACGTAATACAGTGGAACCTCGTGTTACGGAGAGGATCTGTTCTGGAGGCACGTCCGTAATATGGGACTGACGCAAACTGAAGCGCCACATCTGCGCACGGCACAATTTAGCACTTCTGCGCATGCGTGAGTAGTGAAACCCAAAAGTAACCCATTCTGGTACTTCCAGGTTGTCGCAGGACGCAACACGAAAACACGTAACCTGAAGTGGACGCAACATGAGGTATGACTGTATATCAGAAAACTCCCCCCCCTTTTGTTCTCATTTACATTTTACTAAGAAAGAATTCAATGTATTAGTTGCTTTAACAATCCAGTTTTATATGTTGGATGAGAGTAAGTGGAACAATATAGAGCTAAGTCCTCACAGATACAAAACTCTCATTGACTTCATTATTGCATCATGATTTGTGTGTGTGTGTGTGTGTGCAATTCTGCCTCTAGTAACTTCAGTTTTTACTTGCTTAAATAGCAAGAAGAATAAGAAAAAAGAATAGGATTCTAAAACCAGAACAGAACTAGCCTGAAATCAAATAAACGAAATGCATGCATTTTTTGCAAGATCAGATTCTATATATTTAACAGAAAACATACCAGTCTTGATCTTGTAATGACATCATGTATACTTTTCAGCATGATATCTTCCACTTGTATTAGCCACTTCTCCACAGCACCTCGAGCTTCAGAAGTTGAGATTGTTGAAATAAACTCCACCCGTTCACCTTCAGTGCTGAACATTGACTTAATGTCCAGATTGGAAAGAAATTCCAGTTTAGAAATGCCCTCAAAACACTTTTTCAGGTGAGGCTGGACTCTGAGAGGGTCTTTCGTCTCTGACAGGATCTCCAACATTTCATCATTAGACAAGAAGAAAAAGCTGCAAAGAAAGTACAAATGCATTAAGTTTCTATGGCTGCATGTATTTGTTTGGAATCAAATACTAATTGAGAATAATAAATATTTATTCTAGCTTAATGACAATCAACAAGCAGCATACCGAGGGAAAAAGAGACGCTTTTTCTCAAGATATGCATTCAGTCCTCTCATTATTTTGTCCAGAAGTTCATTACAATTCTGAAGCTTTTCCAATAAGCCTGTCAATGAAGTAGCAGCAAGAACCTAAAAAACAACAGGGTATTTAATAAGCACATCAACTGCAGTGGAGAATAAAATTGTAATACATACAAAATATCAATCCATTGGTCATATAAAAAGACATTGTTTTCTGTTCCGCCCTGCATCCATTGCCTGCAGTGCTGTTTCCTTTTTGCTGCAGGCCACACCATTCATTTCACTGGGTGGGGAATGTGAACTGGGTGGGGAAGACCCCCAGCATATTGCAGACTGGGGAGAAATGAAGACAATGAGTACTGGTTGTATTTGCCCACCTGATCTCTGCCCCTGTTTGTAACTCTCATCCACAACTTTTGTCAGTTTTTAAAATCTAATTTTTAGTTTCAAGTATACTGAAGTTTTTAGTTACAGTCTACATTTTCTTTGAATTCATAAATATGGTTGGGATACAGAGAGCCTTGAGGGCAGTGCTATTTTTCTAGAAAAAGAGGTGCAGGAACTCATCCTGAATGTCTCCCAATGGCCCCCTCCTGAGGTGCCGGAACTAAGTTCCAGCAAGCTGCCCCTGAAAACAGCTCTGTTTGAGGGTATGTGTAAGATCTTCTGTGTGCTAACAAGGACTGCCTTGATTTTAATTCTGACTGCTATTTTATATTCTCTGGCAGATACGACCTTTGTGGTGGGCACAATGGCTACGAAAAGAAAGAAGAAGAACCTGAAATGTTCTTGTGCATAGTTTAAGAACTTGTGGTTTGTTTCACCTGCTAACTACAGGCTCATCATTACTACTTCACCTTGGGGTCTTTGGCACAGTATTTCATAATGTCTTTCCAGTATCTATCCACCGTCTGGAACTGACGTCCCTCCTCTGGCATCTGTTGCATGATGTCCTCTGAAGAAAATATTGGTTCTAAGTAAAGCCACTGAGCCTGTACTTTCAACCACTCATCGATAGTCTCTTGAATCCTAATCAAGCGATCTTCCCATTCCTTAAAAAACACAGTATAGTTATTTGCATAAGACATCCATAGCATGTAAAGCAAAAGACAAAAATAAAAGGCATGAAAATAAAACAACTTATATATATACACAGTGGTACCTTGGTTTTCGAACGTCTCCGTTGATTGTTTCAGTTTTCGAACACCGTAAACCCGGAAATAAATGCTTTGGTTTTTGAACGCACCTCGGAAGCTGAACATGCCACACAACTTCTGTATTGAGTTTTTAGTTTTCGAACGTTTCGGAACTCAAACCATCTTCTAGAATGGATTATGTTTGAAAACCGGAACACTCACTTCTGAGTTTGCAGTGTTCGGGAGCCAAAACATTCGACTCGCAAGTCCCTTATTCTTTAATTTTGGGGACAATCTGAGCTACTACTTCTGACCTCTTAACCATGGCTAAGAAAAAAGCCACTCTCTTCCTGCTTGCACAAAAAAATTCCCCTGACTTCACCAGCCAGCTTTCATCATGGTTAATGTTTACATCAGGACAGACATGAACCATGGTTAATGCTTACCAGAGTTTCAGTTTCATCTGAACTAACCAACAAGTTTAGATGTAGAGTTATATTTTAGTTGCAGTGATTTAAACACATGAATGACACAATGTTTTGCTTCTTATAATTGAATTGTAAGCTTCTTGGGGTGTGATGAGATACAAACAAATCTGAAAATAAATTTATGAATTTAAGTTTTTTTTAAAAGTCTCAAGAGAAATTGTTACCTTCCTTCAAGAGCCTCAAAAGTGTACTGTATATGTAAACACACTTTACAAAGGAAGTGAATAAAAAGAAGCTGTATAAATAAAAGTTTACAAATACCTTCATTTGTTTTTCAAAAGGCTTTATGAACGGCGATCCCCTCATTGTTTGGGTTTTTATAATCTGGTCATCCAGAATAGTCTGAATTTCATCGACTGCGCACAGAATATTAACACCAGTCTCACGGTATAAGCTTATTTGGAAGGAAATTGAATCCCAGGTATCCATCATAGTGTGCATTGCTTTCTCTAATGAGAATTCCTACATCATAGGGAAATAAATGGTGTTATTATTATTATTCATTTCAGACAGATTCTTATGTATGAAATTTCATCATATCTGATATCCTTCAAACGTTGTTTGAAGACACATCTTTTTAGAATGGACATTAAATGGCCTGCTTATAATTGGTGTTTAAATTGGGATATCAGATAATGAAGCTACTGTCCAATAGTTTTATTGTTCAAATGCAATGGGTTTTTAAAGATATATGAAATCTTGTATTAGAACCATAAAATTGTAGAGCAGGAAGGGACTCTGAGGATCTTCTAGTCCAAGCCTCTGCAATGCAGGAATATGCAGCTGTCCCTTATGGGGATTGAACATGCAACCTTGGCATTATCAGCACCACGCTCTAACCAATCGAGCTATCCAGGCTGGGTAGTTATATTAACTCAATTGTTAAATTAACAATTTTGACAGTTTTATGGACTGCACATCACTTTCTGAAGCAACTGTCCTAAGAAGCAGAATAGAAGTCTTTTAAATAAATAATAAATCATCTGTGCTGGGGCAGAAAAGTTTATGCTTGTTCTTACCTTGCTTGCTCCCATACTTATAGTTTCAAATTTCTCTAGGAAAGGGGTCAAGTTCTGCTTTAAAACCTTTCTTAGGGTAGTTCCAGAATCTGGAGTTAAATCATAGCCAACAATTTCTGACATCTGTTTCCAGTGACGAGCCCTTATGCCTGGGTTACAAAGGATAGTCACCAAAGGGATATTTTCCTGGTTGAGAAAAAAAATATTGCAAAACAACTGTCACCGTTGTAACTAAAATCACTTGGAAATTATGTTTTATTCATCTAAAATCTTTAATCCTAGAATTGTAAAGTTGAAAGAGGCCACAAGGATCATCTAGTCCAACCCTCTGCAATGCAGGAATCTTTTGCCTGATGTGGAGCTCAAACCCACAACCCTCAGATTAAGAATCTTATATTCTATCGACAGAGCTATCCCTTGGACGTAGCTTAGATCTTCAAAGAACTTCTAATGTATCTTATTATTCAATGTTATGGATGTGGGGGATTGTGAGCTTTCATGAAGAGGCCACATATTTTTTCCAAGTGCTCAAATAATATTTGTACAACAGACTCTAAAACATTTTCCATGTTAAGGCCATCTTATGTTTATAGATCTCCAGTTACCTTGAAATCTTTAACTTGCTCCATTACTGCAGTACACATTGAAATAGTTGGGCTGTCCTTCTTTTCTTCCTCTACCCTCTCTTCTACTACTGCTCTCCGCTGCAGCGACTTTTTTCTCTCTAGTTCAGCTTTCTTTAGCTTTTGTTGAAAGAACCTTACTGTCTTATAAATTTCTCGAAAAAACTCATCTACCTCCGTTTCCATACTTTCACCATTGAGATCTAAAAAAGCACCATCCATCCATCTAGCAAAAGAAAAATAAAATGAATCCTACATTGGAATAGAAATTGCAAATTTAACATAAGCATCAAAACATTTTTAATGCATCATGGGTCATAAAAGAAACCCATCACATAACATGATGAAGTAAAATATAAACCATAAGACACCAAGAATTACAGCCTTGTTACGTTAGCCAGGAATGCACACTTCTGGACAAACAGAATTACTTAATGTGAAGAAGAATTTCAGTCACTTTCTGTATATATAATTACCTTTTTTCAGTCCGCTGCCATTTCAATATAAAAGCAAAAAGTTTTTGGTAGGGCTCAATGTTAACTTTTAAGGTCTCCAACTCTGGGTATTCAGTCTGCTCCCAATTAAAAAGCTTTTCTTCCTTGTTAATGAAGGCAACAGTTTCGTCAGCATCTTGAAGGCGTTTCTGCATTGTTCTCATGTCCGTCACATACTGGAAACAGATTTATCTCTCTTGAGAAATACTGGGCAATTCACTTAATAATGTAGTAGTCCTTAACATTACAAGACAACAGGCTGTATCCAATCTTCTCACCTGTGAGTGCAAGTCTCTTGTGCTAGCAGATGGGAGAGTTTTAATGTTGTGCAACAGACAAATCCAACTGCACTAGCCTTCAGTTAGGCATGTACTTGGGAGTAAGCCCCACTGAACTCAATAGCACTTACTTCTAAATAAATGTGAATAGTGAATTCCCCTAGTTTAATGCAATAATCTTTTCAAGAGGTTGAGAGACTGACAGCTGTGGCTTGTGAGATGAGTGGTTTGATGGTGGACTACCAGCTTCTGCTGCTGAGTACCATGGAATAGTAGAATGGGACCAAATGCCCTTTCTATAAGGTGCAGGATGCAAATAGAGCAAAGCTGACTGCTACTTCAATATCATACATGAAGATGACTAGTGAGTGCCTGCAAGGAGAAAATATATTAGCCCTCATGCTTCCACCCATGCCAGTTAACATTCTGGTAAAGACGCTGAGAGCGGAGATGAGCGCCGCATCCCATAGTCAAATGTGACTGGACTTAACAGTCCAGGGGCCCTTTACATTTGCCTTTACCATTCAATGGAGCTTCAATGTGGAATTTGGAAGTGTACTAGTGAACCACTGTATGAGCTACTGTTGGATTCTTATGGATGGATTTTGTTGGATTTTTTGCTGGGTAAGGTTCAATAACTCACCCCTTCCCTGCTGCAAATAGGCTTGATAAAGTCTTATATTGGCTCCAATAAAGGGCTATTTTCAAGCCTAATTGTTGTGCGGAGGAGTGATCTTCATGGAGACTGCAGTTCAGGGTTGGGAGGCTGACTCTTACCTCCATAGATGCACTCTCTTGGAAGATCCCTCCCCATACATTAGGCTTGAAAAAAGTCAATAACACTTCTTTTCAAGACTAATTGCTGTTGGGGAAAGTGTGAGAAAGTGGTTATGATGAATGTTGTTTATGCAGTTGTCATGTGTGCATGGCTGCAGGGTGTATGTGTAGTGCCCACAACAGTTTTCCTGGTTTGGGCCTAAAAAGATTGGTGACCCCCGATCCAAGCAACGAAATTCCATTATGATGTTCAATAGCAAAGTGCTAAATTTAGTTAGCACTATAGCACATAGATAAAGCTTCATCGTTACACACAAATAATGTGTATTACTTATGCAAAGTAAAAAATCCCCTTTACACCATGTGCCACAGACCTGTTGCATGCGATCCAAATCCTGGTATTCTGTAAACTCATGCATACGACGAGTTTGCCTATCTATTTCCAGTATCAGTTTCTCACGTTTGGCCAATAAGTCACTTTCACCTTTACGTTTAGACCTTTCAATAAGCTATAAGACAGAGAAGTAGTTAGTGGCAGGCATCCATGAGGATCAAGATTTGTGAACATTATCTAGAGTCACTACACTACACGATATCAGACCAACTTCAGTTGTCCTCTAATGTTAGGCATGACTCACAGAAGGCTTCAAAATCAGCTCTCAAGAGTACCAGTATTTCCAACCCTGCAGTCTAAGCATTGCTTTTTCACATAGTGTAGTATCTGATATAAAAATGCATATATTTACTTCATCATTTTCATCAAAGATGGGATTAATATTCTGAGGCCATAGTAGGACAGTGGCATTCAATGACAAGCCTTCTGGGTCAAAGGTAAAAACATCTAGGAGGTAGTTCATTCGCCGTTGACTTTCCTAGAAAAGTAAATAGTTAAATAGTTTATATCTATTTTTAAATTAACAGAGGCCACCATTTCTTGCAGCCTGTCCGAAAGTTATCTTTCCTCAAAGGAGGCCTCATGCTAGGAGGCCCACAAGTAGCTTATAGCCCACCAGACAGTCTGAGTTGCTCTTAGGCCCACTGCCCACCTTCCCCTCCAGAACAGCAACTAAATACAATGGGTCGGCAAACAGGAGCTGCTGCTGCTGCTGCTGCCCCAGAAGAGCCCACATATTTAAAGGGGAGAGATTCAAAAGGCAAGCTGAACCCAGTGGGATAATGCAGCTTCCTAACTGGATGCAGTGAGGCAATGCAGTCTTTACCCTGCTCCTGGATGGATGGATGGATGGATGGATGGATGGGGGTTGTTCTCTCTTTACTGAGACAATGAAAGGGATGCTTCAGAGTTCAGTTGAGAAAGACTGGTGGGATCTTCCTTTCCCCCCTTCCTTCCCAAGAACCCAGCATAGTTGGGATTTCTGTACATACTTGTGTTCTATCTCCCCACCCCAAGATGTCTTAAGGAAAGAGCCCCTCCCCTTTTAGTGCATGTAGAACTTTCTATTGTTTGTTTTCCCTTCTCTCTTATCCCATAATTGTGTGTGTGTGTGTGTCCCTAATGTTAAGTCCAGCAGATTTGTTTTTCCTTTGCCCAGCCATCCAAAGTCACTAGGACTTGTGGCCAGGTTGGGGAAAGAAGCCAAACCAAAATGGTTCAGTAATTTCCTTGAGGATTATATGTACCCATCCCTCAGGTTGGATAGGGTTGCAGCTGTACAGCCTGAGCAGGTTTACTTGGTGAGTAAAGCTTCTTGGGTTCTACTATGCTGGCGCTTACTGTACGCATAGGGACAAAAGGCAGAAGGAACCGCACAAAATGAAAAGCCAGTTGAAGTTAAATGGCTTTAAATCAACATCCCACCTATCATTGTGCATTTAGTTTTAAAAAACAACAACCCAACCCTAAAAGTATTTGATACCTTACCTTGATCCTTTCATATAAACTGTGGATTCCTACGGTTTTAGCCTTGTCTATATATACTATGCTTTCCATCATTTCTTCTGTTGTCTCGGGAGGTTTTAATGCACGTACTTTGATGGTCTCAAATTCCTTGCATATCCTAAAAAAAATAATATTATGTTGATATATGCCAGTTTAAGAGAAATAATTTATTTTTTCATTGAACCATAAACATTATTATTTAACTTATCTAATGGGGGGGGGAGTAATTGCATTTAAAGAAGCTCTACTGAATTCAACAGAGCATACTCCCAGGTAAGTGTATCTGGAAATGCAGCTTTGAAGATGGGGGGGAAACACACATGGCTATGACTGCCACCTAGTGTTCAAACTTCAAGACAGAATACAGAATCCATAAAATAACTCATTTGGAAGCAATGTATCACCATTCTAAGCAGTTCATCCACCTACCATTATGGAAGGCAGCTTTGACAGAATTATTTGTCTCAGTCCCAACTTGCATTTCAATGGCCTTTGATAGTCAATCTCACTGACACATTGGATGGCACATTTCTCCACCATCTTCCAAGGCACAGGGCTACCTGCCTTAGGTCAAAGTAGACCTGCCTCCCTTCACAAACTTTCCCCAGCTATTTGCATAGTCTTTTGCACCATTTAAAACTTAGTTGTTTCTGTTTTGCTTACAGAATTTTATTTATTTACAGATTTACTTATTTTCAGCACTTGCAATGCCATCTTCCTGGAATAAGCCTTCCAAGGTGGCTCACAATATATGAAAGCACAAATTACTATCTGTAAAATTACCGTCTAAATGCTTAGCAGTATTATAATCATCAGCATTTAATATGACATAAGACAGTTAAACATATGCTAAATACAAAACCAAGAATGCTAGTAATGTGAAAATAAAGAGAGCCGCAGTTAAATAAGAAACACTAAGAGGCATGAAGCAGGAGGACCAAAGGCAGGCACACTGGTATAGTCTCAGATGGCTTGGGAGAAACCCTGGAGAGGAGGAGACCTGGGCAGCTGTAGGAAGGCAGGGACCTTTAGTATCTGCAAGACCTACTGAAGAGAGTCGCTGTGCTCATTAGGCCTAGCACTCCTGTACAGAGTGCTTTTCTAATCAAGAGTTAACTGAACCTACTCCGTGTGATTTACTGCGGGCTCGCTTCTGGCAGAACTCATTGGTTCTGCCTGTCATTGGTTCTGGCTCCAACTACTGTTGACCAGCCTGCCTTCTGACCCACCAGCCCCAAAGGGCAACAGTCACCACTGTACTATGTAGACATCATACAGCAGAGCTTAAGGCCAGGATCGCAGTGTGCAGCAATAGTGAATTACAAGCATTATTCTAGAGAATAATACACAAAGCGGGGTGGGGTGGAATTAACAATGTTATGTATATGGCAAAAGCTATTTTAAGTGAAAGATGATTAATAGCAAGATTTACTTACATTTTATTTTCCGATTTGTGATTTTCTGCTATTACGTACAATAATTTATTTGCAAAGCTCTTTGCCTTGTCGCTCAAACCTTGCTTCAAATCTTCACAGTCTAATCGCACCATAGGGAAATGAGCAATCATTGGCAAGCTCATTATTTCCTTTGCAAGACTGAAAAAGTCATCTATAAACTTCAAAAGAACATTACATTTGTTAATTTAAACTGCAGTCTTTAAAACATGTACGTTCTTGAATAGGACCACAATCCTATACAGTGTACCAGGAGGGGGAAACCTCAGGCATGGAGGCCAAATGTGACCCTTGAGACTTCTCTGTCCAGCTCTCAGGACTCTGCCAAGGCAACATTTCTTACTGGCCCTACTCCACACCCTCCTTTAGTAATTTGCCTGGCTGGCATGGATCATTGAATTGTGATAATGATTCGTGCTTGCCTGGAGGGATTTGTGTGTGTAGGCTTCTCTATGACTGGAATGCAGTGCCCCATACAAAAGTAAGAGTCACATCCGTTGCTCTATCCAACCAAGCAATCCCTGGAGGATTGCCCTTAATAAAATGATGCGGTTGTAAGGATTGCTGCAGTCTTCTTTCTGGCCTCCTATTGTCTCCCCTTTGTTCACTCACATACACGCAGTGCTCTGCTGCCAAAATGTCTCATCTCTCTTGCTACAGATAGGACAGAATGTGGAACTTCAGAACTTCCGCTGCCTTTTAATACAGTATAACTGAATTAGACTTGGAGAGCAGGAGATGAGGGGCGTTCCAATAGCAGCCAATACATTTTATCTATTCTTGCAGAACACAAGCTGCCAGCTGTGCTGCTGGGAGCTTGGGGCTAAAGTCCAGTCTGCTCCTTAATAACCACCAAGAGGGGGTCAGACTATGGGAGGCACAAACAAAAAGGCCTGGCATCAGCACCCGGGCCAGTATGATTATGTCAGAGTTCATGGAAGCGGGGTTGGTGCTGGTCACCTCAGCCTTCTTTCTTCTCTTTTAAAACTACGTTTCCGAGCACAATTCAAAGTGTTGGTGCTGACCTTTAAAGCCCTAAACGGCCTCGGTCCAGTATATCTGAAGGAGCGTCTCCACCCCCATCGTTCTACCCGGACACTGAGGTCCAGTGCCGAGGGCCTTCTGGTGGTTCCCTCGCTGCAAGAAGCCAAGTTACAGGGAACCAAGCAGAGGGCCTTCTTGGTAGTGGCACCCGCCCTGTGGAACGCCCTCCCACCAGATGTCAAAGAGAAAAACAACTACCAGACTTTTAGAAGACATCTGAAGGCAGCCCTGTTTAGGGAAGCTTTTAATGTTTGATGGACTATTGTATTTTAATATTCTGTTGAAAGCCACCCAGAGTGGCTGGGGAAACCGAGCCAGATGGGCGGGGTATAAATAATAAATTATTATTATTGTTGTTGTTGTTGTTGTTGTTGTTGTTATTACAGGCAGGAAGCAGTGGACAGACATGTACATGATTATGGGGGTTAATTTAATTATTTTTCCTTTTTTAAAAAAATATTGTTGCAACAAAATTATACTTCTTCCTATGTAAATGTGTTCAGCCCTAGGGCAGCAGAATCAAACACCATTTTATTCCTACAGGCATGATGATGTCATGATTTAAATGAGAAAGAAAAAGAATAGGTTTTTTAAAATCAGGGCTGGAAAACATGGGGGGGTTGATCTAACATATCAAAAAATATAAACAGTTGTAAAGCATGGGAAAGAGTGTGGGGGAGAAGAGAAATGTTACTTATGTGCTTCACAACTGAAGTCACACACATGTGGCTGTCTAAAAGGGGGTGCAGTGGGCATAAGACTGCTAAATCCAGAGACAAAACATACCTAACTACAGCTTTGCAAGCTGGATTTACCTGTAATTATATAGGAAAATTACCTCTGTATATTCATCAAAACTATGCTCCTCAGTTACAAATTCTCTTATTCGATCATCTGCAGTCCCATCTACTAGCCAGCCATATTTGTCCACTGCAAAGCAACCATCACAATAAAAGTTTGTTAACTATTATTTTGCAAGGTTATTTTGAGACCACTATATTGCAAAGCTCCACTTACAATGACTTACAATAATACTCCAACTGTGCTTTTGGCCCTTTCAAGTTTTCATTAATGGCTTCCCTCAGTACAGCGTTTGCCCATGATATAACATGCTCAGGAAGTTCCGTATCAATAGTTGCAACTGTGGTCCCACCGGCTAGCCAGGAATGTACTGCCTGGACATTCTGTTCAAAACACGCAAGAGTTCTTTATGGCCTTTAAACTGCAATTTCATAATGATTACAAGCAATAATAAATAAACTTGTCAATGATTCCTTAAAACACATCCAAAAGAATAACTCAACTTTTAGAAAAGTTTTATATCACCTTATAGTGATCAACATTAATTTAATATGCACTTAGAATTACTTGCGAGTAAACATGCTGCACATTGCTTTTTTAAATCAAATTGTTCTCTAAGCCTCTTTGTAATTTGTTTCAGATTTGACTGTTCAGCTATTTTGCTTCATCTACAGATTCTGCCATCACACTTTGGATACTTTCAAATGGAAGCTTTATAGTACAAATGGGCTGTTCAGGTTCTGTTATGTGTGCTTGATTAACATGTTACATTCCACACATTCCGTTTGGATATTTGCTGCTAATCAGACATTTCATGCCCAATGGGTGCAGCTTCACAGAATGTGTCTGGGCTCTGTTATTTTGTCTGTACCCTCAACTGCTCCTACCGCACCCTCCACTACCCTTTTCCATTCTGACATTTGTGCAGGTATTTCTGCATCTGTGTATAGGCACATTTTCCCCTTTAAAAAATGCACAACAGCACAAGAATAGATATCTTTCTTTAGGCAAAATGGAAGCCTGTATTCTGGGAGAAGGGGAGAATATCAATTTCCATTTGTTTGTTTTTTAAATTTTAATACTGAGGTCTTGAACCAGAGTGATAGGTATATCAGTCTGTAGTTTGGAGTGAGATGGATGACAACGCCCCAAAGAATTAGGAACACCCCATAGGAATAGCCCTTACCACTACCAGCACAATCACACATTCTCCCACCCCCCGAATAAACCACAGCCATAATGCAATACTAATAATGAGGTCATGTACATGACCGCCATTTTTTTTAAGCACAATGTGTTTACAGTTTTCTCCAGAGAGAATAGTTTCTTCAAATCAGGTTGCTGAAATATGGGTGTGCTTTCAGCACATATGGTCTGCCAGAAACAAAATGTCTTGGTCATGCTGAGATAAGCAGCAAACAGAAGTTGGGAGCGCTGACACAGGACACCCATCAGAATGTCACCAACCCCAAAAATGTGTTAATGAGGCTCCACACCCCACAGTGACTGTGGATGTACAGTGGTACCTCGGTTTTCGAACGCCTCCGTCGACGAACATTTCGGTTTTCGAAGGCCGTAAACCCAGAAATACTCCAGTTTTCGAACACGCCTCAGAAGTCAAACATGCCACGTGGCTTCTGCTAATCTCAGGCGCTCTCTTGCAACCAATTTGTTTTTGTGACTGTCTGCGCTTTGGTTTTCGAACATTTCAGAACTCAAACGGTCTTCCAGAACACATTACGTTAGAAAACCGAGGTACCACTGTATAATAATTTTTATTAATTTGATTTTTTGCAGAAGAGCTCAATCTGCTAAAATGAATAAAAAGTATGGGCCGGCATTTGATGACAATGATGTTGTGGGGACAATGCAAAAAAAATAAATGTCTAAGCATCAGCAGCAGGGATTTCACAACAAACTCCCTTCTGGGAAAACCCTTGCTTTTTGCTACAGATGACTAATGAATACATTCCACAGTGGAGCTGGCATGTAACATTTATGATTACCTGTGTTCAATTGAAATATATAGAATATGAGGCCTGAGGTGTAAGTTACTTAAATTATTAAAGAATTTATGAGATAAAGTAACAACAGATTAAACAACCTGCAGAGTCTGTGAAATCAAAAGAACTATAAACAAAATAGCATCTTCCAGATCTTGAAAGGATGGATAGAAGTCCATTTTCTCATCATCAAAAGTTAGCTCCATCTTAAACAAAGGCAGACGTCTTTGGTCTTCAAGATCAAATAGTTTCACATAAGCCTCAACCGTTCTTTTCAATAATTCCTTTAGCTAAAAAATACATAAATCACAGGTAAATTTCATTGCACGTGGCCAATAAATAACCACATAAACCTAACCCCCACTCCCAATCATAGCAAGTTCATGCAAACAAGTATTTTAGAGACATCTAAATAATTATTCTGATACACCAGGCCTAAATTCTAGTTCAGCATTAAGAATTCCAAAGTATATGAAAATGCAAATTCTGAAATTTCAAGTAAAGCATGAAAACTTAGAGCAACAAACCACAGGAACCATCTGTACCACCCCTGCAGGTGCTAACAGGAGGGGATTCTCTGCTGCCACTTCTCTGGCAGGTGTGCAGCCTAAATATTATGTCTGCTTTGGGGCCCTCACTGGTAGAGAATTGCATTTATTAATTTAAACCATTTATAACCTGCTAATCTGCTGAAACACTCAGAGCTCAAATTAACTAAAATGCTAATTTGTTTCATGCAGAATATACACACACACACACACACACACACACACACACACATACACCCGCACCCTGAAGCAATGAACTTTTGCAGGTACAGAATTTCTTTTTTCTTTTTCTTTTTGCCAATTAATTTTTCTTAGTTTTCAAAAGTTTTAACAAACTTATATCCAATACAAATTCATTGTTGACTTCCCCAAAAACGCTCAACAACTTTTGTGTCTGGACTTTTAGTTCTTGAAATATAGCAACCCTACTGTTCCCTTCTCCCACTTTCTTGCTGCAAAAGTAGTACATACTATAGAAGTAGAGTAAAGCAGGTGCAGAATTTCTGATTCACACACAAAGCTCTACTTCTTCCACAAGAGGGTTTGCATGCATTTCAACAAAGGCAGAGGGTTCTTTGTCTGTTAAAATTATCTGGGAACTCAGGACTTCTGAAGATGCACAGTGGGACAACAGAAGCTCTGGATAGGACACACATTTGTTACTGACATGAAAAATTAGTGTTACCTGATTAGACATAAGTGTAGACACACAATTATAGAAACTATCAACTTTATCAGGCTTTACACCCTCCAGGGCTTCTTTTCTAGTGAACAGATTGATAACCCTCGGGTACCATGTGTTTAATAACTTTTCTTCAGTTTTTAAGCAGTTTATAGACACATCATTCTGAAGAGATTCATACTCAATTGGGCCCCTCGACCTATATATTAAGAAGAGAAGACTGGTATGGAAAGGGAAACTGCATTGAAACACATCTAATTATGTTGCTTATCAGGAAAAAATGTGATCAGTATACACAATGAAAACGTCATGTTAAAGAATTAAATACTGAGCCCATATCTTATATATCAAGACTCTTAATCACATCAGTTGCAAAAAACAAAAACAAAAAACCAAGCCTCCAAACCAAAGATAACACAAATAGGATCTTCAACAAAACATTGCAGTATGACATGCTCCTATTCAGGGTTCCAGTCAACTGGTAATACCCACTTCCAGGACACTCCATTCCATTCCCCATTTCCTTTCAGTTTTCTGTTAGTCTCTCAACAGTCAGCATTTTGTGTCTGCTGAGCGTGGTCAGTACTCATAGGGCTGTTTTTGGTTTCCCTCCCACTTAGGTTTTTTCCCCTAAATATTTTTGTACTTCTGAAAACCTTGGAGTTTCCCCCAAGACTGCCAATACCTCACTCTTTTGCATGAGGGGTGCCCCTTTGACTATATAAGGATCCAGAGAGAGAATGAGTTTGCCATTAATATATAGGAAAATAATAGTTATAGGATATCATAAGTGCAGCAACATTTCATTTTGGCTGCCTTACATGACTAGCATGTAAAGATATTAGACTACAGCCTTAAACTCACTTACTAGGGAGTAAATCTAATGAAATTCAATAGGAATTGTGGTCTTAGTATGACACATTAAATATAATTTTTACATAAAATAAACTGCAATTTAATGCTTTGTTGTTGTTTAGTCGTTTAGTCGTGTCCGACTCTTCGTGACCCCATGAACCAGAGCACGCCAGGCACTCCTGTCTTCCACAGTTTAATGCTATGTGAATCTAATTAGAATTACACGTACACACCATATTTAGAATATTAATGCAACAACATCTTTACCTGAAATTTGACACATCTACTACAAGTAACTTTGAAAAGGTTTTGTAACCAATATCCAGTAAAATTCTTAGAGTTGGGTGCAGAATATGTAGATTTGCAAATATCTGTTTTCTTGCTTGTAGAAAGCTTTTATGCCAGGGTCTGGAAAAGTCTAATCCTCTGAGAGAGGAGGAAATGAATAAAATTAAGCTTTTAAACAGAAGCCCATGTAACAAAGCTTAATCGGAAATAGAAGTGGATCATACATAATTTTTGCCTTTAAAATCACCAATGTATGAAGATGGCTTGTACATGAACTCACTTTTCAGGCAAGGGGTTCATCATATTCCTCACCCAAGGAGCCAGAATCTAAGCTGCACCATTTCACCAACTGCTTAAGATTCCTCAATATTCAGAAAGTTTCTAGCTAAGAGGACAGAGTGCACACTTCTAGCATAAGAACAGAAGGAGAGGCTGCTTGATTAGGCCAGTGGCCTTTCTGGCCCAGCAACAGATGCTTATGAGATGCCCACAAGCAAGATTTCAGTGCAACAGTATTCTCTTTGGCCAACTGTGCTGCGGAGAGCAGCCACAGCCGGCTTTTTGTGCATTGCTGCCTGCGTGGGCATGGCACACAGCCAATGAATGGCTGGCCAGGCGGCAAGGCACTGCCCCTCCAGCAGGGCCTCTAATTGGCCCATTTAGTTTTGACTTTCTGGCAGGGAATCCAGCTCAGTACTTAATGGCTGGCAAGCACATGGGCTTCTGCCGCTGGCTTTGGTGGATGGGGGCGAAGGTCCGCAACCACCACCCACCTGGGAAGGGTGAGCAGCCATTCTCTCCCCACCTGTGGTTTCCAGCAACTGGTATTAAGAAGCATACTGCCTCTCTGTGGTTTCAAAAGCTGACATTCCAATAATCTCAATCATTTAATTCAAATGCTATAAATAAAGGGGATGGGGGGGACTATTGCAGCACATTAAATGTTTCAGATCATTTAAAGACAGTGCTGTGTTTCCCAATAAAAAATAAAACGTATCCAGTTTAAAAAAAAGAGGTTTCAGTTTGTGGTTATCCATCACAATGGAGTACTCAACTCCAAGCCACAGCATTGCTCATTTTAATATCTGCCAGGTCCTAGCAGAGGCAACTTTTCCTTAGCTTTTCCTGCATAGGACCCATTTAAAAGAGTGGGAGTATTGCAACATCATGTTCTTGCACATGTTGCATTCACTTCAGCAGACACCTGAAAAAGTATGCTCTCTTTGGTGATGTTATAGGCCTAAGGCATACTTTAGTTCTTGCACATGGCATCCACAAATTTAATCACAAAAGTTGTGATTAAAGCTGCAGCCAGTGTATCCCCTCCTCTCTTTGTTGCCCAGGGTCACATCCTCAGAACCCGCCCACACCGCCCGCTGTAACTAATTTCATGTTCATGGTCTTAATGCATTTTAATACCATCTCCATACAAGGACATGGAAACTCAATTTTCAAGAGATTATATTTTCAACCCCTAGCCTCATATTCCAGTGATCTTTTTGCTGCTCCAACTGCATATGCTCACTCAAATGGAATAATGATGTGGAACGTATATGAAATTATATTGGAAAAATCTGCTCTTTGTTTTCAAATGACCATAATTTGTCATTATGTCTGAACTGGGACAAACTGTAGTTAATTTTAAATATGGCTGAAACCATGGTTTACAATCATAGATCGCTCAGATCAATCATAGTTAAAACTAATTGCAATTCCCAGTTTGGACATAATGACAAACTTGGTTAGCAAAAAACAGGGGGGGTGCTTCCAATCTCTTCCTTATATTTGCACTAAAGCAGGGGAAGTAAGAGTAGGCCCATGTCTCCAACACAAAACTATGACTTAGTATTATGTCTAAACCAGCTCATAGTGAATTACCATCTCAATATTAGCCACCAGCAAACTACAGATGTGAGTAGGGTGCCTTGTACTGGGTATACATTCAAATGGTGGGTTGATTAGACCCTAAAGCATTCATTAATTTAATATACTCACACAGGTTCAACCGGCAAAGGTTCCTCTTTCTCATATTCAAGCAATTTTACGTTTGGTTTGACAAGAACACTTCGCACTGTAACATATGTATAAATTGTAACATTTATACAACTGAAGGGAGTAGCAATATTATAAATTAGGAAACATTACTTTAAAGAATGGTACCTTATTTTTTTTATTTCCTACTAACCAAATCAACAGGACTGTTACATTTTTTAATGTGTTCCCTCAGGTACTACGGGAAAACAGCTTATACATTTTATATTAGCACATTTGTTAAGTAAACAGAGATTTGGTTTTTTTTTAAAAAAAACATATTGACATGTGTCAAGTATGGGTGCAGATGTTGGTTTCTGTGTGTTGCCACTGTGCAGTGCTCTTGGAATCACAAGACTCTGTTTTGCATTCCAGAGACATTCCAGACTGTTGGAAGTCTCACGGAAGACAGGAGACGGATGTGATGTTACTGGTTTCCTGTTCCTTTGTTGTTCAGTTGCTCTCTGCTCTCACAGAGAGAGGATGTTTCTTTTCTGTCTGCGTAGCGAGAAATAAAACTCTTTAGCCATGTAGCTCATACTATCTCATCCTTCCCTGTGCTGGATACTCTGCATAATGGGGGAACGTGCTTGGAGCCTTAGCAAAGGCTCAGGTTGTTAATCATCGTCAGAGGAATAGACCGGAGGAGTCACTCGGTCGAACACTAGTCTGACAGCAGTGTGGAGACTATAAAATCCCAAGCTCAAGTCTTGCCTTAACTATGAACTCACTTGTATCCTGTTCCCAACAGGGGTCATCCAAATACCCCTGGAAAACCCACAAGCAGGTAAACCACCATCTCTTAGCCTCAGCCCCCACCTACAATATAGGGATGATAATAATGGCAGTGGTGTAGTACAGGTAACTCGCACCTTAGAATCACTAAATCATAGAATCGTACAGTTGGAAGGGACCATGAGGGTCATCTAGTCCAACCCCCTCCAATACAGGAATCTTTTGCCCAATGTGGGGCTCAAACCCATGATCCTGAGATGAAGAGTCTCATGCTCTACCAACTGAGCTATCTTACGTGATCACAGCTCTGCGCAGGTAGGAGGGGTGGGGAATAAATAAATGAAGAGTGGAAGAAACCTACTCTCCATTTATTTATTCCCAAACCCACTCATGCAGAGCTGCAATCAAAGGCTTACCCGGCTTTGGGAAGGGGTAAGTGAATGCTGTGGGATGCAGTCAGAGCACTAATTCTTCCTTGCTAAAGCTGGGTAAGGCAGGCACCAGGCTTTGGGCAGGAAGCGTGAGGGCTCTGGCAGTGTCCTAGAGTTCTCATGGCTTCTCCCCAAAGCCTGGCGCCCTGCTTACCAGGGTTGGTGAATTGAGTGGGGACATGGCTCTAGAACACTGCCAGAACCCTCATACCTCCTTCTCAAAGCCAGGTAAGCATGCATTTACATGTGGATCCCCAGAACCAAACACTTGCTTAAAGATGCAAGTTATTTAGAATGCTGGACTATGAACTTCCCTGGGTGGCCATGGACTCACTATCTCTCAGACTAAAATACTTCTCAGGATCATTGTAAGATGGGAATGAGAACTATGTGCACTGCCTTGGGGTCATTGAAGGAAAGGCAGGATATAAAAGTAAAAAAATAAATAAATTACTACAGTTGTTGACAGCACTACAGTGGTACCTCCGGTTGAGGACAGGATCCGTTCCGGGGCTCCGGTCGGATCCCGAGGTTTCTGCAATCAGAGGGACCGCTTCTGCGCATGTGCGTGGTGTGGTAGAGTGCTTCTGAGCATGTACACGCGGTGAAACACTTCCAGGTTTGCCGCTTTCAAAATCCAAAGTTTATGTTACCCGACGGTAACATTAGCAGAGGTGCTACTGTACTGAGGTGATGTATGTGATGTGCTATGCGAATACCAACAATTACGAAGAACAAAAATAAAAGCATGCTTTGAAGAAAATTAGAATGCAGAAAACGTCACAAAGACAAAAATTAATGTAGTTTTTGGTACCTCTTTTGTCAAGATTTTATGTAGCTGAAAGCTATTATTGTTTGATTTACATTACTGCTCCTCTAAAATAAAATACCAGCTATAAAATATGCTTTATGTTCTACAAAAGCATTTGTAGGTATATATGGGGAAAATAACTTGCTAAGGGATGTTTTGCAGTATCAACATAAACATAAGGTGGAATATAACTTGTATAGACATGAGACAATATTGCTAGTGGAACTCACCCATGTATCTCTTCATGCTCATTTCATAATCATTTGTTATCTCAGCTAAGAGCTCCTCCACCAATTTCATTCTGCCCTTGCCTTCCATTAGATTATCAGGTACCAAAGTGAGCATGGACTCTAACCACTCTTGCTGAATAGGCACTACTGGATTACTTTCAACACAATTCTTCAAAAAGAGATAGTTGTTCTGAAATGACATGACAATGACAATGAAATGACAATGACAATGACAATGAAATGATCATGAACAGTTAAATGCAAAAAATGTATTAGCAAAAAAGTAAAAGTTGCTTGACTATATAATCTAACACCTAGAATACAAAACAGCATAAATTATATTGGTTTAGCTCAGCACACAGTGCATGAGTAAAGAATACTAGGGAGGGGAAAAGCAGCTCACTTGTTCACATGGTCCCAGTAAACCATAGTTTGGCTTACTGTGACCTGCAAACCAGGCCTACGTTACTTCTCCATATAGAGATCAGCAACTAGATATTGGACATACAGTGGTACCTCGCAAGACGAAATTAATCCGTTCCGCAAGTCTCTTCGTCTTGCGGTTTCTTCATCTTGCGAAGCACGGCTATTAGCGGCTTAGCGGCTATTAGCGGCTTAGCGGCTATTAACGGCTTAGCGGCTATTAACGGCTTAGTGGCTTAGCGGCTTTAAGAAAAAGGAAACAAACTCGAAGGAACTCGCAAGACGTTTCGTCTTGCGAAGCAATCCCATAGGGAAATTCGTCTTGCGGAACGACTCAAAAAACGCAAAACCCTTTCGTCTACCGAGTTTTTCGTCTTGCGAGCCATTCGTCTTGCGGGGCACCACTGTATTTACATAATTTCTAATTCCTTATGTACACACTCTTTAGAAAGAATCTATCAGAATCTTGCAACAAGTTAAAAAAACAACACTTACTCTTATTTGTTTCTGCTCACTGTTCATCTGTGGGGGAAATGCAACAAAAATATGTTATAGAAATCAAGAAATAATCACAAAATAGAACAAGAAATCATTTGTTTGCAGTGGCACCCAGTGAGGGTAAGCATGTTTTTACTGATAACTGCTGGGAGAGGTCATTTCATTCAGCGCCAGGCTACTGAGCACTTCCTGGCTGGTTGGTAGATGCAATACACGTAAGGGCTGCTGATGTCAATAGGGGCTGAGAATCATCAGCAACTGTAAGCTTCTCTGGTGCTGACTGAAACACCATTTGCCTCCAATACAACCTATTGATGGCTATGCATGAGTTTTTAAAAGCTAAATGTTATTCTTGAAACACATATGCCCGTGAACACTTTTTGATAATTAAAATATTCATAATGACCAAAGTATATGCATGGGTTTTTCTAGGATTTTGCTTTATATAAACTTTTGTACCAGTTCAAGACACAACTTCCTACTAAGACAGGAAACAATAAAGAACGCTGATCTCTCACTCAAGGCAGGAAAGTGAGCCAACTACTTTCCTATTAAACACTTCCTTGCCTCTAAGCTCCCTGTTTCACACTATCTTAAGTTTACAATAGTGTAGCTCATTCAACTAGTACAGTTCTGCAACGAGATGGGGCAGAATTCAACATGCATGCATGAAATGAGGTCTGATCATGCAACGAGACTTCACCCCTTTTCCTCCCCATGCCTCCCTTAAAATCTGTTTGGTGGGTTGCCCAAAGCAGATTTAGGGGGTTCAGAGGGCATACAGGGAGCAGAGTGTGGGGGAGCCCTGTTGTGTGAGTGGACCTCATTCCATGAACACAACTTAATTGAATCGTACCCAGGGATCCAAATAAATTTACTAGGGTGAGAAAAATGGAAAGGGCAAGGGAAGCAGATTTGCAGAGATCTATCCTAAAAGAGGGGGCCAGTTAGGGTCCTGAAATTACTACAAATCTAAACTGTAGTAACTTTGTTACACGTTATTATGAGAAAGCAAAGGGAAGCATTTAGGATCAAAACCATCTCTATCAATCAAATGCAATTCCATAAACTGGACACTAGTCCACTTGCACAACGGACACAAACACAATACTCAGAGGCCAGAAATACCTACCAAAAAGCGCAGTACACACAGAGACAACTAGTACTGAGTATAGATGCACAATCCTTTTATCAAAACACAACATTAGCAGTGAGGGCATTAGCAAATGGCACTGTTTTTGCAAGTATGAATCCATGACATTTTTGCTTGAGTCTCTAGATCCCTCTTTGGCTTAAGTAGAATCTTCTGCTTTTCTGGAGGTGACAGGAATTTTGAACTTAACCATGGACGTAGCTAGGATTTTTGTTGTTGGGGGGGCGGCAGCCAGGATTTGGGGGGGGGGCAGGACACCCACCTGTCATCATCCTCTGTCTGGCTCCGTCTAGCTGATTCGGAACAACAATTATTTCAAATTACTTCCTTTTGATCGCAAGTGCTCAGAAAAGTCTGTCAAAATCTTTCTACAGTTTCTACTTTTAGTTAAATATTTTTATTTATTTACTTGATTTAAGGGGGGCATCTGCCCCCAGCTATACCCATGAACATAATCTAATTACTCTGAACAGTGGCTGAGGCAATGTGTGCTTTGCGTGTAACTCTGTCCTCCTCCCAAAGATGCAACATGAGCGTAGGTCTTAAATATACCAAAAATCTTTGTGGGTTATGTGTTTGATGAAACTTTACTACAGAATTCAGGTTCCATGCAGGTGCATGGGAACAACCAGGTAACATGCATTAGCATGCTATTAACTCACAGTAAATCATGATAAACCAGAAAATCTGGCTGGTTATTATGAGGGAAAACAGCTTTTAGAACCAACTCCTTGGCAAGGTTCTTAATGCAGGCCTGCAATAGGGATTTTCCAAGACAAAGGAAGGGGTGAGGCTGGGTTGAGTTCAAGAGGACAGTAAGTCATTAATGCACTATGCCTGCCCACCACACATATTGTGTTGCAATAATCTAACAACAACAACAGAACCCAAAGAAATTATTCAATAAATGAGAAACGTACGGTTAAAGGCAATTGTGGAATAGGAGACGGGGCTTCTCTTCTAAGAAATTCATCTGTGGCGTCTTCATACTCTCTTTGGGCCTCTTTAACTCTGAAGTAAAATTTTCAGTTAAATCTGAAAACTGTAAACAATGATTCGAACAGAAATACAAGATACAACAAAAGAAATGGTCCCTTAGTCTTTTGTCTGTCCCCTTCCACAATTATTCCATCAGCATATAGGCACTCAGCAATAATCAAACGAAATTATGTAAAGGTGGGCCAGGTTAGATAGTAATTCATTATGTTGTCCATATTTTCTCAGTGTATCTTTGTAGAACTTACTTTCAGCTAAGATCCTAATCCAATAAAGTTAATGATTCATACAACAATCAGACAACAGAAGGCAATAGCCCAGTATTCTAAATTCCCTGGAATACCTCTGGTGTCTGTTTACTACCCTAAATTGAAACGTTTGAAACATACATTTGACTGTAACAAAATGTATGTGTATTGATGTACATCATTTTGGTAGTGAGCCTGCTACGGAAGTATACTCACCGGACTTGTAACACACATGTATCCATCTTCCCAAGGACCAGGAAAATCTTTATTTACTGGAGTAGAATCTGAATTTACACAATGGTGATTGGCTAAATATTGTGTCCCATAGTGTAGTAGGCCACTACTTTAAACAGCTTGATTACTATATTTTTATTAATGTTATTTTAAAAAGATATAACCTATTATATCTGCAGTGGGCTGTGGCTAATTAAACAACCTATGGCCTTTTAAACTGGGAGGGGGGTATTGTTACTATATTATGTATTTTTGAGGTTTTTATACTGTAAACTGCCCTGTGATCCTTGGATGACGGGTGGTATACTTACTTACTTACTAAATACAAACAAACAAATCACCAGAATAAGAAATATCAAACTACAAAGTAGTAAAATGATACTTATTTTCCCTGAGGTTTGGGGGAGGTGTGCATTCCTGAAGGACACTCCATAAATCTGACACCACTACTAAAAATGCCATGCTTCTATTGTATAGCAACTGCACTTCAGTTATTGGTAGCACATGAAGAAGGCACTCAGATGTTGAACCAAATGCATGGGGAATGCATGCATGGGGATGGTGCTACAAATATGCTCAACTGGCTTGAAGGCAATACCAAGCTGTAACACTCCAGCTTACACATCTGCCATCACCTCTCAATCTACTCTGCCTCCTGAGCAAAAAAACAAAACAAAACTCCAAGAGCTGCTGGTGAATTTTCAATCTTGGAAGAGACAGCTACCAAGTAACTCCCCAGTTACTGATTTCAAAATATCAGCTTAAGAAGCTTTACTGAGGTTAAGGATGGAGAAATAAGGAACAAGGGGGAAGTTAGCAAAGAATAAAACTAAACAAAGAGTCTATTCTCTAAATAACCTACACTAGAAAGTTTTAAATTAGAATCTTTAAATTGTAAAGAACAAAGATCACTCTTGATGTTCAACAGACAACAAATTTTCACAAGTCCTAATCTTATACGGAATCAGGGGGAGGGTTTTTTTCAGGGCAAGGCGGATCATCTAATCCATGGGTAGGCAAACTAAGGCCCAGGGGCCGGATCTGGCCCAATTGCCTTCTAAATCTGGCCTGCGGATAGTCTGGGAATCAGCGTGTTTTTACATGAGTAGAATGTGTCCTTTTATTTAAAATGCATCTCTAGGTTATTTGTGGGGCATAGGTACTCGTTCATTCACACACACCCCAAAAAAAATACAGTCCGACCCACAAGGTCTGAGGGACAGTGGACCGGCCCCCTGCTGAAAAAGTTTGCTGACCCCATCAGATATGGCAATAATGGCTTGGCACAGCATGCAGAGTGAATTACAGTAGTCCAATATGAAGGTGATCTAGGCACAAATTATTTGAAGATATCATACTAGCAGTATGAAGTGTGGGTTGATGACTGTTGTACTGGTAACAATGTGAAGCTGCTCCAAGCAGCATAACTGGCTGGTTGGTAACACTGCCAACTGATCAGGAAATAAAAATTGTCCTGGTCTGTTCTTTTGCTTTTATCATTAAATAAAGTTGCTTGCTTTATTTATATGTTATTGTGTTTGATAGTATAGTTACCACAATGTCTTTTTTAAATGTGTTTGTGATTATTGTGAATTGCTTTGAGCACATTTGTTGTTGGAAAAGCGGGATAGAAATATTAAACTGAGTCATGATGTACAAAAATCAGCAAGTAAAGCTTTTCACAATGTGGATATACACATTTTCAACTGCCAATGTCTGCATGGCTAGCAGCAGTTAGAAGCAGAGCACCAGTGGCTGGTTGAAATGTTAGCATCCTCCTGGCAGCAGAGAAGCTCAAGGCACGGATGGGAGCCATCCTCATCGCATAGAACTTGCCACTTGATAAAAGATACAGTGAGTGATGTGAGAACTCTTGTCCTTTCATAATAGCTCTGTTCAGGTACTATACCCATGTGTACTATACCCACACACAAGAGGGGAACAGGGTCACAAGCAGTAGCACCCCCCCTGCACTAAGTAACTCCTCCCCTCGATGTCCATGTATACAGCACAAACGTTTGCATGAAAGGGGCCTTCACACTTACAACTCTATGCGCTAAGGCCATCTCTCTGCAGATGCTCACGCTGTATAATCTGATGCTGGGGGAGGGACTGCTTGTCACTGGAGGTGAGTGTGGGGATACTCAGTATGGCCCTGCTTATGTCTTAGACTGACAATACCACATATAATACATAAGAAAAAGGGACAGGAATATTACATGATCTGATTAAGCATCTTCTGCTGTTCCTTGACTCTTCGGTATCGCATTAGTTTTTTTTGTTTTTCTGTCAAACCCTGGGATGTGGAGGGCAAAGCTATAGGTGGCAGCTGAACATTCCATGCATCGTCGTCGTCATCATCAGGGGAGCGTGAAGATTTTCCTGGAGCTGACATCTAAAATAACAAGGAAATAATGTTCATATGATTAAACTGCACTTGCATTTGAGCATCCAATTCTGATGATGGCTCTAAGAGCACCTGCAGTTTATGTACCTGTTCCTCTGCACCTCTGGAATGCAACTGTATCCAGAACTGCCAACATCCCCAACTCCTGGACCTTGGAACTACCTACCCACAGGACCCTATCTTTTCTGGATTCCATTTTAATTTATCCAGCACCCACTCCACACCCTGCATCCAAGCACTGGTCCAACAGCTGCACAGACTTACCTGATTCAATGGGTACAGAGATACAGGGCTGAGTATCATCTACATACTGATGACATCTCAGAAATCTCTAATGACCACTCCCAATGGCTTCATAGAAATGTTAAACAGCATTAGAGACAAAATAGAACCCCATGGTACTCCACAGACCAAAAGACACTAAGGGGTCAAGTAGGTATCACCGAATGTCACTTTGTGTCAGTGACCCTGTAGTAGAGTACAGCACTCTTGTGTCACAGCTCCCTACTCACAGATACCATGGCTGATGGTATCAAAAGCAGCTGAGAGATCGAGGGGAACCAACAGGAACATTTCTTTCCCAATAAAGATCATCCATCAGAGCAACCAAGGCTGATTCTTCTCCCAAACCAGGCCTGAACGCAGAATGGAATTGAGCTACATAAACTGTTTCCTGGAGTACCTGGAGACAGCAGCGTAGCCAGCCGCTCGAGTGCCCAGGGTGGTGCATGTCCTGATTCCTGGGGTGGGGCAAGCCGCCCATGGGGTGGGGCAAGCTGGGACAGGATGCACTACATGGAGCTTCCAAGGAGTCTGTCCTTCCCCTCCCCCTCAGCTGTAGGGTAGCTGAGGGGCAGGCGAACGCAAGCCCCACACTGCCATTTCGAGCAGAGCAGAGCCTGCAGGTGCCCAAGCCACCACGTCACTCCCAGGAGAGTTGCGTGGCTCAGGTGCGCTGCAGGCCCCACAATCAGTGCTACCCCCACGGTGTGGGGCTCAGTGCCCTCCACCCCCTGCCCCCCCAGCTACGCCTCTGCCTGGAGATGCACTGCCACTACCCGCTTGACCACTTTTCCTAAGAAGGGGATACTTGCAACCAGGCAGTTGTTGTTGCAAACCTCCAGGTCTAATCTGGGTTTTTAAAGCAGTGGTTGCACCACTGCCTCCTTCAGCAATGCATTCATCACACATCAGACCCATTCAGGCAACCTCTTTTGGCTTGTTCACACAAGTCACGTAGGAAAAGGGTCCAGAGAGCACATGTTACTCCATACCACTCTGTGTTTTGTCCACATGCTCAGGATCCAAAAGCTGAAACTGAGCCTATAAAACTGGACCAGCCAGCGAAATGTACACCTTCCCTGGACTTGTTATATTTACTCTAGAGTCCATCTCAGCACAGAGGTAAGCAATTTTATCCTCAAAGTGCCTTGCATACTTGTGTGCAAGCGATTCAGTCTGCCATTGACTGGGGCTAATGACAAGAGTCCTTCACTTTTCAGAACAGTTCTGCTAGATGGCAGTGTGATTTTCTGTTCAACAATGCTTACTCCCAGGTAAGCATGCATAAAATGGCACTGTGCATTTAGGACTGAAATCTTGTGCCAACTAATGTAATATGAGGGAGCTGAGCTTGATGTGGATAGAACTGTCCTTTCCCAATGGCTTGTTTACAAGCCCAATTTTATATGTATTTATTTGCAAGTAAATTCATCTGTATTCAATGTGGCTTACTCTGAAGTAAGCATGCACAGGATTGCAGGTTTAGTGGAACTTACTTCCAAGCAGAAACCATGCATAGGATTGGGTAGTATCTTGTAGCTCACTGAAGGTCAACCGCTAGTATATTTATGTAGGGTTTGGAAAGGCTCCCATCTGCAATCCTGGAGAACAAGTCACTTTAAGCAGCGCTAAGCTTGCCAGATAGACCAATGTAAGTCCAGTCACTTTTCAAGTCCTGGAGGTAAATGAATGTTGCTTTTAAGCAGCTCATCTCGTTTTATGAAACCCAGGAGGGTGTTTTATAAGAGGAGCTTCTTGTTTCGTTCTGTTCTTGTTTTTATTATGTATTTTGAATTTTTATCTTGTCTTTTTATGCTTTTTATGTGAATTGCCCTGAGATGGACAGATGAAGGGCAGTACGCAAATATAAAACAAAACAAAACAAGACAAGACAAAACAACTTGCTGGTGGTGCCAACGCTCCCCGCCTCCTGGCCCATAAAGAACTGCCGGTCTGACTTCCGGCCCTGCTCGCCTCCCGGCTGCTTACCTTTCTCAGCGCTGGAGCCCCGCAAGAAGGGCGAAAGTTTGGCGGGCGGCGGAGGGTCTGCTGCCCTTTTGGGGGGAGACAGGAACGGGCTTGAGCTGCGGCGACGCCGAGCTCCACACACGCTTCGCGGTTCGTCGCCGGCGGCAGCAGCAGCGCGTTGTCAACAACGCCTGGGTTGCTATGGCGACAGGAGGCCGGCCATTTCCCCCAGGCTCCTTCGCGAGCGGGCGCTGGAATCCGGCTCTGACTAATGGAGCCCGCAGGGCGCAGCAAGGGAAGGCTCCCGACAGAGGGAGCCGGAGGCGGAGCGGAGCTGCCGGAGAAAGGGGCGCTGGAAGACGACGTGGTTTGCTGAAGCGAGCTGTTGACGCTCCCTTTATAATCACAATCGCAATTATGATAAAAGACAGGCATAGGCAAACTCGGCCCTTTAGATTTTTTGGGACTACAACTCCCATCATCCCTAGCTAACAGGACCAGTGGTCAAGGATGATGGGAATTGTAGTCTTTAAAAAAAACAAACCCCGGCGGGCCAAGTTTGCCTATGCCCGATAAAAGCGGTGGCTAGACTCAGCCATGCTGCTTTGGCCCCAAAACCAATCCTTCAACCGTCCGAGTGCTTGCATTTACTTCATAGTGTATAGGAAATGCACCCTACACCTGCTCAGAGGTAGACTTGGTATAGCTTCACGTGCTATCAGAGATGCTGGTTCAAATCAGAGGGAAGCCAAGTCTTCATAGGAACATAGCAAGGTGCCTTATACTGTGGGCAGTGGCCACGTAGAGTTTCAGCCTTTCCCAAACCCTACTGGCAGATGCCAAGGTTTGAACCCAGGACTTTATGCGTGCAAGGTGTGTGCTTTGCCACTGAACTACAGCGCCTTTCACGATCACCTTGGATGGCACACACACAAGGTTTTCTGCCCTGGATCATGCTTTTTCATATTTTGTACAAGTACTTTATATACAGGTTACAGACTGCTGTTTGTCATAGGATTTAATAAAAAAACACTGCTTCTATCATATGGCCCAATGCCACACAACATTTCTGACATGCAGAACTGTGGAGGTTCGCTGCAAACTGTTCAAATGAACTGATAGGCCTGCATCCAAACTTTGCAGTAGAATCATACACGTCTCCTCAAATGTAGGAGCCAGGTGTATAAATAGGATTGCTACCTCAATCACTTCCAAGCTGGATTACTGTAATGCACTTTAGATGGCGCTGTCCTTGAAGACAGTCCACAGCGTTAACCACTTCAGAACGGTATGGCTGGAGTTTTTTTTCTGGGCTTAGCAGGAAATATCATATTGTGCTGTTTGTGAATCAGTTTACCGTAATTCATTTCCAGTTTGTTTTCAAGCTAAACCCAAGGCACTGTCTCAAGCTGGTGTTGAATCAGTGCATATCAAGAACTACCTTCCCCAATCTCACATGAAACTGCTCATGACCTTTGCTCAGTTTCTGATACTCTTCTTGTTCCCCTGTCAACAGAGATGTAGTGGGTGGGAATGAAAGAGAAGGCCTTTTCGGGGACTTCCGGAGGTGGCACCAACGGTAATGGCGGATCCCCTCTAACTCGGAGGGAAGCTGCTCCACAAAAATCGGGTCTACACCGCTTCGGCGCAGCGGGGACCCTTCAAATCACAGGCGGGTGAAGCCTGTGACCCTGGGACTCGGCGGGCACTGTTTGCGCCCCCCCAATCTGCAAAGGAACCCGGTAAAGGGCTCCGGAACAGAGCGGGGAAGTGGCGCTGTGCTGTGAGTCGTCTGCTTCTTTGTGGAGTGAAGCCGCGTAGCTGTTGCCGGAGAGCGCTGCCTTTTTCCTGGACAATTCGGACTTTAAAAGTAACACCCGTGAGTACTTAGAGATTGAACAAATGGGACAGTAGATGTAGATTTGCGAAAAGGACAGAATTGGATTATAAAAAAGAAAAAAAATCTATTGACTTTGGTACGGAGCGGGAAGGGCTAAACAGGAAGTCACCCTTCCGTTCTTTTGTAAATAGAACAAAGCAAAGGCAATTTACACTAGAGCTTAGAAAATCGCTATTAAAAGAGTGGATTCCAACATTTTAAACTGGGAATATTCCTTTTGGACTATTTGAAGGAGTAAAAGGAAGTTATTTTCGTCCTGATCCTGGAGCGGGGAAGTCAGGACTGACGTGAATCTATCAAGAAAATTGTGTGTGACAGATAGTTAAAAGAAGAAAATTCTTGTGACTTTACTGTTCCCTTTTGCATTTTAAAGAAATATATATGGATAAAGTATTGCAAGTATTTTGGAAATGTAGCAAAAACAAATATAAGTCTTCCCCCTAGGGGGAGCCTTTGAAACTGTAACTAATCTTAAGGACTTGACAGTTGCTGCAAAACAATCGTGGGAAAGTGCAACAATGTTTTCAGAAGTCTGGGTGAGCCTGCTCTACAAAACAAATACAGTGGTGCCTCGCAAGACGAAATTAATCCGTTCCGCGAGAGTCTTCGTCTAGCGGTTTTTTCGTCTTGCGAAGCAAGCCCATTGACGGATTAGCGCTATTAGCGCTATTAGCGGTTTAGCGGCTATTAAAGGCTTAAAGGCTTAGGGGATTAGCTGCTAAAAGGCTATTAAAGGCTATTAAAGGCTTAGCAGATTAGATAAAGGGGAAGCGAAAAAAATTTCAAGACTCGCAAGACATTTTCGTCTTGCGAAGCAAGCCCATAGGGGAATTCGTCCTGCGAAGCAACTTCAAAACGGAAAACCCTTTCGTCTAGCGGTTTTTCCGTCTTGCGAGGCATTCGTCTTGCGGGGCACCACTGTACTCTACTAGAAGAATTACATGATAAGGTGAACCGGATGGCCAATTCGACTAGAAATTTTAGACAGGCAGTGGAATGTTTTGACCAGACTGTGGGAATATATGTGGAGTCTATCCAGGACTTAAACCAGGAGTGTGTTTTGACAGAACAGGGGTTTGTGGCATCAAATCAGGAGAGTGTTTTGACAGAACAGACCCAACAGGAGTTTGATCCTTCGGATTGGAAAAAGGAACTTGGAAAAAACCAGATTTCGGAAGGGAAAGTTCGGTGTGGTCTGGAAATGGGGGGCTGGATTGACCCCCCTATGTCGGGATATCTGGACTTTTTAAATACGGTAACAGGCTGCGATATGTTTGGGATTGTGGGGGCCCACAATTATGGAGGGCCCATGAAGTATGCTTCTAAACACTACATGGAATGCAGCGATGAATACGGAAAAGGGTTTGTTCTGATGAGAAGGGCTAAAAACACTATTAAGTTGGAGTTACCATGAGCAAGAGACTACAGCCACAAATATGAAGAAGAGCAGCGGAAGGGCCATGGAAGTGACTTGAGGGCTTCGGACATAAGGTCACCGGGTTAGATTGGGGAATAAGGACTGACAAATCCCGGAACCAGGAGGATGGGACGTTGGATAAAGATTGGACTTGTTTATGTACTTCTTTTTCTCTTTTTTAACTAATAGAATGTTTTATAAAGTTGATGAATGATAGAAAAATGTTGGAAGAAATTACCTGGCTTTAGTAAAGATGTATAAAGAATTATGAAAGAACATTATGAACACAAGAAGTTGGTAAAGTTAAGACTTAAATTTTAAACTTTAAGGTTTATTTTAATATAGAAAGATAGGATTAAATTAGTTTAGAATTCTTTTTATGTTTTATTTTTTTGAAATATGGAAAGGAAAGGATTTGCTGGGATAATTAATAACTAGAATACAAAGGAAGGGAGGAGGAGGAGGTCTAAGAAAGAAGGTAATGACAGTTAAGGATTCGAAAATAATGAACTTGTTTTGTTTTTTTTCCTCTATTTTTTTTCTATATTCTCTATTTTCTCATATTTGTACCTTTATTTTTTGTATTTTTATTTTTTACCTTTTGTTTCTGTTTTGTTTTTGTGTAAGTTTTGTATTTTTCAAATTTCAATAAATATCATTTAAAAAAAAAAATGAAAGAGAAGGCCTTTTCAACAGCATTCTAAAACAGATTAGTGGGGCCTCTTCTCCTTTTGTCTATTATTTTATTTCAGTGCTTGTTGGCTTCCAATAGGGATCTGGTGGGAGACTGTGGTACCTTAAGGCTGAGCTATATAGGCCTTTGGTCCAATCCAACAGAGGAGGCCAGAATGGTAGTCATGTTAACCTGAGGCAAAAAGAAGAGTATTATGGCACCGTAAAGACAAACACATTGGTGAGGGCATAATCTTTCATGGACTAGTCTACTTCTATCCGTATGAATTACTATCTTGAGTCATGAATGGTTGTGGGGAGGGAAATCGTATGCCGATTCTTGCTACGGGGGCCACTTCATTCTATTGTTGTTCATATGTGCTAAAATCACATTTGTTTAGGTAAGTCTACCAAGAAAATGGTTGATTTTATCTATATTTTGATAATTTTATTATATCTGCTTATTCTTAAAGTCCACTGATTTTATCAGTATTTTTAAATTAACATTTTATATAAAACTTTTGGGTTTTTTGATTGAGCAATGTATTATATCTGGTTAAATAAATGAAAATAAATAAACAGTGGGCTGAGCAGTATTGTAGTTAATGGTGGTCCGCACTGGGCAGCAGCTTCCAGAGGGTGGCCCAACCGTGGGCCTGCAGGTGCCCCATCTGTCGCCTCCCACTCAGCCATGGCCACCCTCCAGCAGCCCGAGCGCTGCTGGAAAAAGCAGCGCAGGCCACAGTGCCAGGAAAACACCCAGGAAGGGCGCCCCACGCCTGTGGGCAGTGCAGGCACTCAAGGGTCACATGCAAGCCCTGGGCACCTTGCTACACTGCTGGGGGTGAGAGGAAATAAAGTGCAGAAAAGTACAGACACTGCTAATTACATAATTAACAGTTGGTAGAGCATGGGACTCTTAGGGTTGTGGTTCGAGCCCCACGTTGGGCAAGAGATTCCTGCATTGCAAGGGGTTGGACTGGATGACCCTGGTGGTCCCTTCCAAATCTACAATTCTATTGTTGTTGTTTAGTTGTTTAGTCGTGTCCGACTCTTCATGACCCCATGGACCAGAACCAATTCTACTCCTGTATTCTAATTCACGAAACAGTTGATAACATCCAGGCATTTCTAAGTCACGCAAGAACTATTTCTCAATTTAACCCACTGAAACTCTTTATGTATTGCAATGTAAAGCTGTACAGTAATGTAATGGAAACCCCCCCCCCCCGCAGGATAGCCATTCTAAGGCCCCTTAACAATGTTCTGGGAAGTTGAAATGTTCCCCCATTCACTCTGGTTCAGATGTTCAGGTTGTCTCATTCCTTAGGTAGCCAAAATGACACAACCCACGGACAAAAGGGTAGTGTCAGCAGGCTTGAGAGAAGCCTGAACGCTGCACACGGCTACATTTGACTGTACACCCGACCTGCATATACTGTACTGATAGAGAACTACCACCACACACAAAGCGGTAAGTCTTAGCAGGGCTGGAGGCAGGAGCCCCAAGAAATGTAACATAACAAAAATGAGACAAAAATCCCTTAAATGGGAGGACACCCCCCCCCGCAAAAAAGGGCATGCTCAGCTAGCATGGAGCGTCGGCTGATAAAAAACGGCTGCAGCGTTCTGTTGCAAGTCCAGCCTTCTTCAATAATAATTGCGAAATACGTAATATGCGATCTGGGACGTAACGACCAGGCACTTCCAGCTTGTTCTACTCCAACCCCCGCATTAAGATTTATTGATAGATTCACAGGTTTCCAACTTCCGGGTTCATCTCCCTCCACGCTCCCGGCCCCTCCCCTTTTTAAGGGAGGCGTGGACACAATTTCCCAGCAGGCCTCGCGTTTCCTGCTCCGGCCCTCCTCGCCTCTCGCCCCGGCTTTTCCCATCGTCCCTTGCGGGGCGGGGCAGCCAAAGTGGCTGAGTCCTGCCTGGCAACGGAGGAGAGCCGGAGAGCGAGGCCGGGAGGCGCAGGGCAGAGCGGCGCGAATGGTGCTCGCGTGGCGGCTGCGAGTTCATGTGGCGCCTGCTCCGCGGCACGCTGAGAGCCCTTCCCGGCCTGAGGAGGCGGCGGCCGCCGCAGCCGCGGCCGAGCGGTTCGGGCTCCGCCAGCGGCGCGCTGCCCGCCATGGAGCGGGCCGTGGTGCGCTGCGTGCCGGCCGAGCCTAAGCTGAGCGTGTCCTTCGTGCTGGGCGACGGCAGCGCCCGGCACATGCAGCGCGACCAGGCGGAGCCGCTGGGCCGGGCGCTGGCGCGCATCGCCAACAACGCCGGCAAAGGCCACGCCAAGGCGGCCAAGAAGAGCAAGAAGGCGCGGGCCGAGGCCGAGGCTGCCGTGCCGCCGCCGCCGCCGCCCGCCGTCTGCCTCTTCTCCCAGGACGGCGAGGCCGTGGCCGAGGACGTGCCCAACGCCGAGGCCTGGCAGGACGGCGCCGTGCTGCAGATCGGAGAGGCCCGCTACCGCGTGGAGCGCAACCCGCCGGCGCTGACGGAGCTGCAGCTGCCGCGCTCGCTGCTGGCCGGCTTCCCCGTCTGCCCCAAGCTGCGCGCCGAGTTCGGCTCGCCCCGCGACTGCCTCTTCCGCTGGTACCAGGAGCAGAAGGCCGAGCCGGCCGTGGGGACAGCGGCTGCCGCTGCTGCCGGAGGGGAAGCTCCGGGCGGCTGGGTGGAAGCTCCGGGCGGCGCGGAGCGGGTCTTCACGCCCAGCAACGCGCACATCGGGCTGCGCCTCAAGCTGGTCTGCACGCCGGGCAACGGGCAGCGGCGCTACGGGCTGCCCCGCGAGGTGGAGAGCAGCGGCCCCGTGGAGGCCGGGCCGGGCGCCTGCACTTTCGACGCGCGCCACCTCTACACCAAGAAAGTGACCGGGCCGGGCCTCATCCGCACCGTCACCTACAACGTCCTGGCCGACGTCTACGCGCAGACGGAGCTCTCGCGGACCGTGCTGTACCCGTACTGCGCGCCCTACTCGCTGGAGCTCGACTACCGGCAGAACCTGCTGAAGAAGGAGCTGGCCGGCTACAGCGCCGACATCATCTGCCTGCAGGAGGTGGACAAGTCCGTCTTCGCCGACAGCCTGGGCCCCGCGCTGGACGCCTTCGGCCTGGAGGGCCTCTTCAAGATCAAGGAGAAGCAGCACGAGGGCCTGGCCACTTTCTACCGAAGGGACAAGTTCAGCCTCCTCAGCCAGCACGACATCGCCTTGAACCAGGCGCTCCTCGAGGATTCCCTGCACAAAGAACTGCGAGACAAGCTGGCCCCCTATCCGGAGGTGCAGGAAAAAGTGCACCAGCGGTCCTCTGTGTTGCAGGTAGAAGTTAAAGGGAGAGGGGGATAGGGAACTGGAAGTTTGCTCTAAACTAAGTAAGGGGACCAGATCCAGAGAAAGGCAGGCTTCCTGTGCTTTTCATGCAGAAATTGAATAGGTACGCCTTTTTCAAAGCTGTCTCTCCCTTAAAGGTTCACCAGGCTGCTTCCCTTTACATCCCACTGCTTTGGGGCCAACTGCTCTCCCCTCAATACTCTTCCCAGGCCACACACCTCAGTGGTCCTGTTCCAGGCCCTCTTCAGGTCCTTTTGTCTTGCTGGAATGTGTCTGAATTGTAGCAATGCCTCTTGCTTGCCTTGAATGGAGATTTCTATGTTGGGGGAGGGGATATGGAAACCTTTGATTCTTGTGTGTGTCAAAAATGCATAATAGTAAGAGTCACATCCATTGCTCTGGCTACTTTCTTTTACTTCTTGCCCAGCCCATCTCAGGCATTCAGCCTCCAGATGGTTGCCCATAAGGGAATAGAAAGTTCCCCACCCCTGGTCTATAGCTAGGTTTGAGCAGAACTTTTTTTTTTTTAAAAAAAACCCCATCAGAAATAGACCATCAGTCATGTATCCTAAATCCCCAAGCAGACATTGCATTGTTGTCTGTAAGTGCCTCTTTTCATCTAGAGCAGAAGTAGGGAACCTGTAGCCCTCCACATGCTGTTTGACTCCAACTCCATCCACTCAGCCAGCAGAGCCAAACGGCCAGGAATGTTGGGAGTTGTAGTTCAGCAACCTCTGGGGGTCAAGGGCCGGAGGGTTCCCTATTCCTGCTCTACAACTTTGATGTCAAATGAAGGATTGCTAGGCTGGAGTTACAGCTAGCAATTCCAAATGGAGTTCCACTTAATACTTGTAAGCAGTGTTAGAAACTGAGATATGAAAACTAGGAATTAAATGGTACCTTAAACCTAGGTTATGGATGCAACAACAGAATGTCTGGGTGCACTTTTTTATAACAAGAATACAGTGCTGAAAATGAATGAACTGCGGCTAAAATATTACGTTGATTTTTCACATGGTCTAGGCCTTCCTCTGCCCACTCCCCTAATATTCTTAAGAGGGTCTCTTCTCCAGTCTTCAAAGAGTAGCCAGAAGTGGGGAGGCAGAAAAAGGTCCTCCTTTCCTTCCACTCTGCCGTTTTAATCTGAAATCTTAGTTGTGGTACTGCGCCCAGAGCTCAGAAACTGCTGCTGCTAATGAAATTCCCAGTCGCAAAATGCGCCTAGAACAATGGCGCATTCAAACACTACTTGTAACAGAACATGGCTTGGAAATGGATGCCAGGATATAAAGAAAGGGGAACAGAGTAAGCTTAGTTCAGTCCAGCTGGTTGACAGTGGGGGTGGGGTGAATGAGAGACCCGCACATCACATCTATTATTTTAGGCCGGTAGCTTTACTAGTACAGAATTGTTATAAGAAGTCAGTTTTAAAATACAGTAAGCCTGCAACCTATGCAGGAGTTATGTGCCAGGGTTCACACCCAAAGCGAAAATCATGTATACTGTAGTAAAAATCCATTGGGTTCAATGGTGGATGAAGTTGCCCAAGTCATTTTTCCTGGAAGTCTGCCCCCTTTCCACCTGCTATCTATCTATCTATGCATCCATCTATCGCCACATGTGTAAAGCTGAATGCACACAATATAGATGCACGTTGCCAGCTTACAGTACTTTCTGGCTTACCGTAATTTCCATGTTCCTTGTAGGTTTCTGTTCTTCAGTCAACAAACGATTCTTCCAGAAAGATTTGTGTTGCCAACACCCACCTATACTGGCACCCAAAAGGTAATTCTGTTAACAATTCTATGAACCGTTCTAGGGTATATTTTGGGCCCTGGGGTGGGTTATAAATTCAGTATATTTATGTATTTCAGTATTTCTAGTCCACATTTTCATAAAAAATACAGCATGTGTTAAACAACAAACAAAATTACAATGCCATCAGTAAAAGCTGGGGGGTGGGGTAGAATCCATGTTTCAAAGACCTGTCTGAATATCATATTTTTCTGGAGATGTATAAAAGTAGGCAGGAATGATTCCTGATGTGGGGAACCACCAGAAGGATCCAATCAGAGGATCTCAGTGGTCACAGTTCTAAGAGCCCAAGTTGTTTAGGGCTTTGTGAACTAGCACAAGAACCTTGACTCTAGCCCAGTAGCAAACTGGCAACCAGTGCAACACTCTCCTGTGAACAGCTGCTGCATTAGTTGCAATTTCCAGCTCAGATGCACGGGCAGCTCCACATAAAGCAAGTCTTGGGGTTATCAAGTAGTAATATATATGCAGTGTGTGAATCCTTCCATGAGAGCTGTTGACTGAACTGACATCCTGAGTAGTCTCAATAAGGAAAATGCTTCCTAGCCTAATAGCTGGACAAATGTGTCTAATTCCAAAGGAAAAGAAATACAGTGGTACCTTGGTTCCCAAATGGCTTAGTTGTCAAACAAATCTGCTCCTGAACGCCACAAACCCGGAAGTAAGTGTTCCGGTTTGCAAACGTTTTTCGGAAGCCAAACGTCCAATGTGGCTTCTGACTGAGTACAGGAAGCTCTTGCAGCCAAATGGAAGCTGCGCCTTGGTTTCTGAACGGTTTCAGGAGTTGAACGGACTCCCAGAACAGATTAAGTTCAAGAACCAAGGTACTCCTGACACACCCTTGTGATTTGTAACTATGTGAGGCAGAAGAGCTGTTGTTAAGCATGGACGGGGTTAAATACTATTTGGGGTGTGTGTGTGTGTGTGTGTGTGTGTGTGTGTGTTAGTGCTTAAGATTTCTCAGCTAAACTAGGACTTGGCTTTTTTGAAATGGCTTGTACTTGTAAGTGGTGATAAAAATTCCTTGGACGGTTTGGGGTGGATGTTGAACGACTTAAGCTGAATTTTAAGTCTTATTGGTTGAAATGACTTTAAGCCTGAAGGTTAAAAATAGGTCCTTATTTTTATTTTGTCCTTAGGTGGGAACATCCGTCTAATCCAAGCTGCAATAGCATTGTCTCATATTAGGCATGTAACACATGACATATATCCTTCTACTCCTGTCATATTCTGTGGGGATTTTAATAGCACACCATCAAGTGGAGCATATAGTTTCATCAGTTGTGGCAGCATTGCTGAAGAGCATGAGGATTGGGGCTCAAATGGAGAAGAGCAGCGGTGCACAATGTCTTTAGCCCATCCATTCAGACTGAAAAGTGCTTGTGGAGAACCAGCTTATACTAATTACGTTGGAGGCTTTCATGGATGTTTGGACTACATTTTCATTGATGCAAATGCTTTAGAGGTTGAACAAGTAATTCCACTGCCAAGTCATGAAGAAGTAACCACTCATCAGGCCTTACCAAGCGTTTCACACCCTTCAGATCATATAGCACTAATATGTGACTTAAAGTGGAAGTAGACTAAAAAAAAGTTGGTATCCGTTCCTTTCTCTTAAGCAAGAAATTTGGGCTACTTAGGAGAATTCAACTTGAATCCTGGCTTGGCTACCAGCTTTTACAAAAGATAATTGGATAAAAAGTGTTTATATGCCTATTAGGAATGTTAAACCAGATTTTCATCTCTCTGTAACTTGTCATAACCAGAATGTTCTTATGGCAAATACTCCCCCTTTTTTACACTAATAAGGAAAGCAATCAATGTTTAATGCTTCTTTTAAAGTTAAATTATCTTGTTTCCTTTTCATATGGTTTTTGATTAAGGGTATTTTGTTTAAACTGAATTTATATAAGAATTGGAACAACTAGAAGGGTTTTGGTATTCTCAGCAAGTAGTATGCCCTGTCAATATATTGCTGTTGCCTTTTGAAAAGATATTCCTTGACAAGCTGCCAAAATTGAATACACTTATGTTGACCCAACACAAATGTCCATATCAAAAGTTAGCATTCCAAAAATGATCTGACACAATTACCTGCTCTCAGGCATTGTTGGGGGGGGGCTGTCCATGTAAACCAAAATAATTGTGCATAAATAAATAAAAATCATGAGTATATGTGAAAGTGTTGATTCCCCCCCCCCAGAGTATGTAAAAGGTAATCTACAGTGATTCTGAAGTCTTTTGATAATGTACTGAAGTGTAAACAGAACTTGAAAAATACAGTTTGTCTCATTTGCTCTTAATATCGCAATTGATTTATTTTTCTAGTTGGCTGTGTCTCTATGCAATGAAGTTCTGAATTTCCAGTTATGCATGCTTCACAGCATAGAAACGATTCACTTCAAAATGTCATGTTATGTATGATACAGGGCCGCTTTGGGGTGAGAGGATAAATCTGTATACGTATTATATATTTAGATATATATTTGGGAAAAGTGACATGGGAGGAAAAGTCTACAAGAGAAAGTTGCAGTAGTGTAGTCACAAGTTGACTAGAGCACAAGTTTAAGCAACAGGTAAATGAGTATGGGAACACAAATGCCCTTAAAGAGGGAGTGGACTGTATAAACCTTCATATATATACTGTAGGTTCTGATACGTTTGTACCTTGTTAAATGAGTCTGTTGCTTTGCTCAGCTGTATGAGCATAGTGGCCCCTCCAAGAACTGTTGAAGACAAAATGTGGGCAGCCCCAATGTGTACAATCTTGCATGAACACGTGAAAAAATAACAGATTTATCTGCTAATAACAGTGATTAAGAGAGAGAACACTACTGATTTGATCTTCCCCCAGTTCTGCTATCATACTACTTGGAGCTAAACCATGGTCTGTCTGAACCTGGGCTTTAATGCCAGACAAAAGCTGTAACCAAGGTTTGTTCTTGGCTTACCTAGGCTTGCACTAAGCCAAACCAGGGCTCAGCTGTTGGTAACGTGCAGTAGGAGGACCATGGGAAAGGTGAAGCAGCCCTGGTTTAGCCTGCGAATAGCCGCACACATTCATGCTTTGGCATGGTTTGCCTTAGTGCTGCATGCAGACTGGGTCATTGTATGCTTACAAATGCTTAGAAGCCCTCCTTTGTGCTGTATCTGTGATGCTTTAAAGAGCTCAGTGATATTGGAGACAGGGCTTGTGTGTGTGGCCCTTAAACCATCTGTGTTGGGCCTTGCATGTTCAGGAAAATGCCTGAATGGACTTCACCACCTTACTTATCCATACTTATCCAAGTCTTTCCCTAACCTCTGCCTATTGTTAATCAGGTGTAGGTTACCCACTCTGTTCCCTCTTTAAATCCCTCTTTAACTGTGCCTTATTATTTTTTAACAGTCCATGTCTTTGCTCCTTGACCTTGCTTGCTATTGCCAATCAATCCCCAAAGCACTTTTATGCTTGTTGCAGGTTGATTTTAAGTGTCTGCAGTTAAATGTCTGTGGTTTCAGCATACTATTGGTAGGAGTGTTAAATAAGAATAAGTGCCAGAAATACCACTCTAAATGTTTTTGTCCAAGGAGGGGAGCTAACCTGTGGCCATCCAGATATTGCATTTTTTTTTTTAATTAATATTTATTAAGTTTTCAAAGAATAACAACAAAAATTTCCAAAAAAATTGAAAATACAAAAAGCAAAAACGATAAAGAAATAAAAAAGAAAAAAACCAACCAAAAACAAAAGTATAAAATCATTTACGATCTCTATTAACTTCCTGTCTAGACTTCCTCCTCCTCCCTCTCTTGTTTCTTAATTTTTAATTTTTACAGCAAATCCTTTCTGTTTTTTCATAACATTCTATCATTACATTTCCTTATTCTATTTTCCCTCTTGTCATATAAAAACTTTAAAACTCAAAGCTTATATTCAGTATTTACCAAATTCTTACATCATTACCTTTTTGCAAATCATTTACCAATCCTTACTTAAGCCATATAGTTTCATTCAACATCTTTCAAACATTTATGAACGTTCCCAATATTGAAAAATAGAAAAATAAAATAAGATAATAAGTCAGACACAATCCAGTCAACTTCCAGCGCCCTCCCCTGGACCCGGGATTGTCAGTCCTTTTAACCTCAATAGTCCGGCTCCTTAACCTGGTTGTCTCGTGTCCGAGGCCCTCAAATCTCTTTCTTGCCCCTTTCGCAGCTCTTCTTGATGTTTCCCTTTCAGTCGTGGGTACTCCAGCAGAAAGATACTTTTGACCCTTTGCAACAAGTCCATCCCATGCCCATTGTCCAAGCCAGACAGCAGATAATACCACTTCAAGTTTCCTTGAAACTTGGAGGCTCCGACTACTCCAATCCTCTGATGGCCCATCACCAGACTCGGAAAGTCCAGATAACCATATAAAGGGGGGTCAATCCATCCCCCATTTCCAAATCTAACCACATTTCATCTTTCCGAATCTGATTTATCCCAAGTTCATTTATCAAGTTCAAAGGCTGATCCTGCCGGTCCAAAGGTCCCTCCATCTCTGAAGCCTCCATCACTACAGCAGGTTCATATACTTGTAGATATTTTAACTGAGTTCCATTTACTTGCTGCTGTGCTCTGGTAACTTCCGTCATCAAGGTCGTCTCCTGACGCATCTGGTCCAGCTGGGCACTTAGTTTTGAAAAACCTTCCAGGAACATTTGTACAAGCCTTTGTACAAGCATTGTCCTTCAGGGTCAAAGAAAATTCTTTCCCACGATTATAGTCCTTCACTTTTAAGCTCTCTGCGTTGCAGTTTCACTAAATCCCACTAGAGGGAAAACCTTTTTTTTTCCTTTTTTTTTATAACGGAGAAAATCATCAGCAACAGTCTTTCTTTTCCAGATACACTTTATCCAAAGTTCCCCTTCAAAATTCAAGAGGCAACAGTAGAGTCACAATGTTACCTTTCTTTTAACTATCTGTCGAGCTGGACAAGCTTCAAGACGTCAGTTCTGACAGCCCGCTCCTGGTTCAGGGCGGTGGAAAATTACTTTGTTTTAAACTCACTTCCGCAGGGTTATAAAGTCCAAAACAACCCCCTTCTTCTCCTGCAGTCAAAGGGGGGGTTCAGAAATCTTAGGTGTTGAATTCTAGTTCTCTCAGAATTTAATTTTCAAGCTTTAGTATATTTTGTCTTTGCTTTCTTCACGTAACAAAAGAACGGAAGGTTGACTTCCTGCTTAGACCTTCTCATTCCAAGTCCCAATTAAATTCAATTTCAAGTCCAATTTATTTATTTATTCACCAGTCTTAAAAGTAATTCAGCTCTTCCAAGATCAGGTACTCACGGATAGATGTTTTAGATGCCAAATTGTCCCAGGAAAAAGGCAGCGCTCTCCGGAAACGGCAGTGCGGCTTTGCTGCACGAAAGAAGCAGTCGACTCACAGCACCACGCACCTCCACTCCGGAGCCCGTTACCGGGCTCCTGTACAAGGGAGAGAGCGCTCACGGTGCCCGCTGAGTCCCACGTCCACAGGCTTCATCCGCCTGTGGGTTTTAAGGGTCCCCGCTGCGCCGTAGCGGTAGGACCCAAGCTTCCGTGCAGCGGGTTCCCTTCAACTTGAAGGGAATTCCGCCATTTTCCGGAGGCGCCACCCCGGAAGTCCCAGATATTGCATTTAATCAGCCCCAGCCAGCATGGGCAATAAGAGTTAGTTTGCCAACATCTGGAGGGAAAAAGATTAGCTGCTCCTGGATTAAGATTTGCTAGATCAACCAGAAGAAACCTGGAAGGATACTTGTTCATACTTCTTGCAAATAGAAGCAAACAGCTGCTTACCTATTTCTACCTTTACTTTGAAATTTCTGTTATATGAAAATGGAAAATACAGTCTATGACAAACTGTCTGCTATACTATATACCATGAAAGGTGATATAAATATAAAAATATAAGAGGTGGAACAGAGAGGGTCTGCCATCTTAGAGTCAAAATATATGCCCATTCCTGGGTGCAGCATTGTATTCCAGACCCTTTAAGAATGAGAATCCTGGATAGTTTTCAAGCTTTGAACAAGGTAACCCATATTTGATGCGTTTTATGTTACCACCTCATATGTAAAAAATAAACTGGCAATACTTAAGATCTATCAAGTCTATGCTATGATTATAGGTATAACCTAAATTATAGGCATACTCTTGTAACATTAATCCAGCCACTGAGTCTAGTGAATTTCATCATGAAATATTCACCCTCCAATTGGTGTTACTTCTGCCACATTCAACAAGCTTCAAAACCTTACTTTGCCATTGACCTTTCAGCTGTATTCTTTCCTACACTACATTTCCTACATACTTTCCTACACTACCACGTACTTCAGTAGATCAGTTTTATTTATGCTTCTCCTCTAGCACGGCTGTAGTAAATCAACTTGTTTCAAGCTGCTCTTCAGAACATGAATGTTCCAAACACTGCAAACCTCCAACATAGGATGGAAGAATTACTAAGCCCAGCAGCATATAACCTTTAACCTTTACTGTCAATCTTCTCCAACTCTTGTGAATTCCTGCTTTGGCCTATTACTGACCCGAGTGTTGTGTAACAATGCCACATTTTATATTCTTTTATAAAGAATGTGGTGGCGGCGGTGGGAGAAAAGAGTGGGGGATTCTGGTATGTCAGGTGATGTGATAGTGAATCTATATAGTGGTATACTATATAGACACTATATTGAACAGGTATGGGGAGACCTCGGGCTTTTAGCCTCCAACTCCTGTCAAGGATGGTCAAACCCTACGCCAAAGGATAAATGGACATAAATCTGGTATCAGGAATCACAAGACAGAGAAACCAGTAGGAGAACACTTCAATCTCCCAGGAGATCTCAAAGTAGCTTTCTTATTACCAAAGAATTTCAGAAATAGACTGGAAAGAGAAGTTGCTGAATTGCAACTTACCAAACTTAAAACCATGGAGAGACATGGTCTGAATAGACACATTGGATTCTTATCTCATTATACATGATAAAGCTATTTTTAGCCATCTCACCCTTTGCTTTTTCCTGTAAGACCAATTGCAGTCGTCAACAGGTTTACCACACCTATCAGCCAATCACCCATTTGCACCACCCTTCTGAGTAATACCTCTCCCCACCCTCTCACTATATGTAAGGGTCTGGTGACTTCTGTTTCAGTGTATCTGAAGAGGTGTGCATGCACACGAAAGCTCATACCAATAACAAACTTAGTTGGTCTCTAAGGTGCTACTGGAAGGATTTTTTTATTTTTCTTTCTGACTATGGCAGACGAATATAGCTACCTACCTGTAACTAGATGGATGGCAACTGTAATCCAACATCTAGAGAGCAAGTTCCCTGCACCTAACACAAAGTAAATATTAATTGGCCCTATGACTGAAGCAACAGGGCGGATTGTAATTATCAGAGATACAAAAAGAACAGAGCTGTCAAGATTCCAGACACAACTGCAGAAGCTGTGTATTTCACAAAATGTCAGGTTCAGATTTCTGTTCACGCATGTGCTACCTCACAGGGTTTCTGCAAGGTGGCAATTCAACACATGCTTCAATTAATTGTTTGGAGAAAGTGCATGATTCAGATGTGTTAAAAATAAATGGTTCCCTTCACACTTACTGCTGCTTTAGACTTCCGTCCTACGTGTAGAGCAGTCGATGTTGCACACCTTAGAGTGTAGAAGCATGAAGTTGCTCTGAGAGTTTCGCTTGCAAAGCACACCAATTTTCACTTTATAAAGGTAAAGGGACCCCTGACAGTTAGGTCTAGTCATGGACGACACTGGGGTTGCGGTGCTCATCTCGCTTTATTGGCCGAGGGAACCAGCGTACAGCTTCTGGGTAATGTGGCCAGCATGACTAAGCCGGTTCTGGCAAACCAGAGCAGTGCACGGAAACAGCATTTACCTTCCCGCTGGAGTGGTACATATTTATCTACTTGCACTTTGATGTGCTTTCAAACTGGTAGGTTGGCAGGAGCAGGGACCGAGCAATGGGAGCTCACCCTGTCGCAGGGATTCGAACCGCCAACCTTCCAATCAGCAAGCCTTAGGCTCAGTGGTTTAGACCACAAAGATTAAATATGAACATCCAAGACATTTCAAAAGCAACTGTGCCTGTCCTATATGATGAGTTATCCCATAAATACTGCATGAAGTGCCCTCAGCCTGGTGAGGACTTAAAATCCCTTATTGTAACTCTATATACCAGGGATGTCCAACCAGTACATCGTGATCTACCGGTAGATCCCTAGCTGATCCTGGTAGATTGGGATCCTTATCATGTACAAAAAGTTATGGGGGAAAAGCTAAACAACTCTGGGCAATCCTCCCCCCAAAAAGCTCAACTCTGGGCAATCCACCCATGCATGCTCCTCCTCCCTCCAATGACAATGGGTAGATCACTGCCAGTTTTTTTTATACTGGGAGTAGATCACAGTCTCTTGGGAGTTGGACATGCCTGCTAAATACCAACTTAAATTACAATAAGAATTCAGGGAGTTCCTTACTGCAGATAATGATACAGCATTGGAATCTAATACAGTGGTACCTTGGTTCTTGAAGTTAATCCATTCCGGGAGTCCGTTCGACTCCTGAAACCTTTCGAAAACCAAGGAGTGGCTTCTGATTCGCTGCAGGAGCTTCCTGCACTTAAGTGAAAGCTGTGTCAGACATTCAGTTTCCGAAAAACGTTCACAAACCAGAACACTTACTTCCGGGTTTGTCGCATTTGGGAGCCGATTTGTTCTGACAACTAAGCTGTTTGAGAACCAAAATACCACTGTATTTCTGGTTTACTGTATTTCCTCTCAATGTGCCAGTTCCGAATTTGGCTGGAGTAAAATGGGGGGGGGGGGGGGACACTGAAAACTCAGCTTAGGAAAGAGGGATATGAGAGTAAAATACAGACGATGTTAGATTTTCTAAGCAAGTGAACTACAGGAAAAGGGTTGCTAGCAAGCACAATGCAGTCCTCTCCAATTAAGTATGAAACTGACACACTATTTGGGCAGTTTGTACTTTATTACAATTTTCAACTGTTAGTACTCTCATATCTGGACATTTTAATTTAGATTTACAGCTTCAAAAAACACTTTTACAGGATTTTAGTCTTGATGATTAACCAACTACACTGTACACAAGTTTAACTGCCCATCTTAATTTTCTGCCAAATTGAAAACAATTCAAAGGCTATTCAGATCTGTGTTTGTGTTCAAAGTACAGAAAAAACTCCGTTTATTGAAAAAGAATAATCTGTCACACATTCATATTATCAGTTCCACAAACTTAAGATTCAAGGAGCATACACAAAGCTATACATCTGTTTCATTTTTATTAAGAATAATTCTTAGTAGGTTACGAAGAAATTAATCCATTGAGTCTGAAGAATTTTCCAAAATCTGTCTTCATGAAGATATGTTCACCAATAAACAGTAAACTTTAGCAGAACTATTATACACTGGGCAAAACAGGCTGATATCAAAAAGCAACATGCAACAACAGAAAAAAAGATACAATATAAAGGAAGACAATCTGCTGAATATTGAAAACCTCAAAGAGCTTGTTGCAACTGGCACAAAAATGTTCTACCAATCAGATTCAATTCACACAAAGGCAAAAGTGGGCTGACAGAACCCAAGGGGTTAATTAAATGTTCCTCAGTGCAGAATATTTGAATAGTGTTTTAGAGCATTTTTTGACGAACAATAATAGGAAGTGTTTTTATAAGAGAGAGAAATAAATATAAATGGAATGCTAGATTAAGTCAGCAGACTGTCTTAAGGAATGAAGTAAGATATCAGTAACTTAAAGAAGAAAAGGGGGAAATCTTTTTAAAATGTACTTAATTTAATTGGGGCTCAAGAAGCATTCAAACAGATTTCAAAAGTCACAACTATATTCAGGCATTTAGGCTAACAATAGAAGTAAAAATCAGAAGATACACTTTTTCCAAATTAAGGAGTTTTCTTTTTAACCCAAGCATATTGTTACCTTGGCAACATATAGCTTGGGTGAAGAATAATTGGCAACAAAATAAGTCAAAATGCTGTAATATCCTGCCCAAACCAGTTCCAGATACTGTACTGTATAATAACCAAGATGCAAACTAATTTTGATGTAACAAGCCTAGACCACTTATATCAAACATGTCCCTGGTGCGAAAGTCATCCAGTTAGCGCTTTGATAGCTCATTTGACAGCCAGTCAAGTCCCTCATACAGACCAGTTCCTTGTGTAGCACAGGTAGCTTGAACATACCACTGTTGAGAATGAGAAAGTGAAATATTTAATATCATACAGTCCATTTTTGAGCACGTTACAGCTCTCCAAGACAATATTCTCATGCCCACCCCCACATCATGCAAGGCAAATTCAAACATCAGAACACAAAGAAGCTCACTTGGCCAAGGCATAGATTAGAACACGGCAGGAAGACCAAGTAAAGTGAAAAACTAGAAGGGCAACACAGGCATTATGAAATCTCTAGCTGAAACATCAAATGAAAGGTCTTAAAGAGCCATCACTCAGCATAAAGGGAAAGTAGCCAGTCCATAGAGCTGCTGAAGACAGGAACATACAAGCAGGACATTCCACCACCCAAAAATGTAAAGGGGTAAGACAGATGCCATCGCTAGTAAACACACACACACGACTTTATTGTATGGAACTATGACTAACTATGACTATCAGAAAAGAGAAATAGTAGTCATTTTCTCTGCGCAAATGCATGATAACAGAACAGTAAAGGTAAAGGTAAAGGGACCCCTGACCATTAGGTCCAGTCGTGGCAGACTCTGGGGTTGCGGCGCTCATCTCGCTTTATTGGCCGAGGGTGCCAGTGTACAGCTTCCAGGTCATGTGGCCAGCATGACTAAGCCGCTTCCGGCGAACCAGAGCAGCGCATGAAAACGCCAGAGTGGTACCTATTTATCTACCTGTACTTTGATGTGCTTTTGAACTGCTAGGTTGGCAGGAGCAGGGACCGAGCAACGGGAGCTCACCCCGTCGTGGGGATTCGAACCGCCGACCTTCTGATCGGCAAGTCCTAGGCTCTGTGGTTTAACCCACAGCGCCACCCGCGTCCCTTTTAGCAGAACAGTACTAGCTCCAAGAACAACCTTCAGTGATTTAAAACCTAGCAGAGGAACTCAACAGTTTGGATCCAAGGATAGCCTTTGTTAGGCATTTCTACCTACATAGAATGGGAAAGAAAAGCACTTGCTATTCATACGTTCCAACCCACAGAATATATCAAGATAGGGAGAAAGCCACATGGCAAACTATTTTTGCTTTACGGTACTTACAGTTCTGTTGCGCAGGGACTGAAGGCCTAGTTTATCTGTCATTTCACTTATTGCCATGGCATTTGGCAAGTCTTGTTTGTTTGCAAAGAGAAGCAGCACTGCATCTCTCAACTCGTCTTCCTGAAGCTGGAGGAGGAAACACCATGCTAGTTATTTCCCCTATTGATAGTTGTTACCACCAAAAGTACAAGTTAGGGAGGCTTCGGGGCTGGCAATATTTTTGTCCTTCACATTTCTCCCAGTAGTTTTCAGTAGCTAGTTGATTTAGTTACCATCAGTGCATGTAAGCAACTCAGACAAGAAACGCTATGTCAAGGTAGGGTGATAGTTGCAAGAAGGATTTCACTGAAACCACATACGGAAGTTCTGAGAACCACCACCTCTCATATTATTGCTTCTAAACACAGAACAGTGCATCCTAACATCCCACGCTAAAATATCTGATGTTTTTGTAAATTAACCTCTCAATTTTATTAGATATGGAGGACTAAACCATCGGAGTCAGACACAGAAGAAGTTCAGATTGAGTTAGCGGCAGTTACCATTTTCTGGAGTTCTTCTGCTGCTTCCTGGATTCTCTCTCTGTCGTTGCTATCTACCACAAAAATGAGACCCTGAAAAGAAAGTGTATTTCTTATCAAGCTTGTTTGACATCTGAAATACCATTCAAATAAAATCTGAAGTTACCATTATAGAGATATTTAATGAATCTTTAATCCTGTGACAAATGGGAATATATGCAAGAAATCAGAAGGTATCAGAGACCAAAGATCCATGCGAACTATTCTATCACAATGGGCTAACACCTCAGAAGGGCCAGGGACACTAACAGTTTAGTCTCATTGTTTATTTTTAAAGCAACAGTAACATATTACAACTTCTAGCAGAAAGCAATACTCTCTTCACCAGAGGAATTATTGCGACAATGTCATCCAAGTCAACATGAATACAAACATTTTTATTTGCAATTCACAAAGTTGTCACAGCAGGCTGCCAAGAGTGCTTCTACATCACTAGGATGGTTTGGCTATAATAGTTGTTGCAATGCATGGAACAGTTACGCCAAGTCACGTTGTTCAGATGCAATGATGATGGTGAATGAAATTTCTTCCCTACCACAAGTATAGGTTTTCAAAATATGCTCCAATCAGTGAATAGTCAGGCTTGGCTCATGTTTTCCACCAGCTGTGATCCACAGACCTCATTGCTGTTTCACTGCCGGTAATTTTTCGTAAAATTGCAGCAAAAAGTATTTGAACTGCCTGATCAGAGAGAGGCAGCTGTTCACTCTGCAAGCCCAACAGGTAAGAGAGAGAACCATCAATAAACTACACCCACCCACATGACAGGGGCCATTAGTCTCCAGAGGTATACTATTTTCATTGATGCAGTTAGTGATCTGTCTGTGGCAAGGACATAATTGACTCTTGAACTCAGATCATTATTTGCTTGGCCTCTGAAGAACCAACTTGAGCATACATCCTGCTATGTGCACAAGGCCATTAAAAGGTGGAATGCAAGACTGCACAAACAGATGTCTCCCTCCCTCTGCCCACTCAGAGCCCATGTGCCCCCAAAATATGTTTGAGGGTCACCCAACCCTCTGAAGCAAAATCTGAATGTATATGGAGGGCTGCAGGGAGCAAGAGAGGAAGCACAGCCTACTTATTAGTTTGAGGAAGGGTGACAAAGAGCACATGGAGCCATATTTTCCTTTTAGGCCTAACTGAATGCAAATTATTGCCTATTAAAACCTTGGACAGCTTGGATTCTGTGTGCCTTAGTACTAGTTAAGTCCACAGTAGCTTTAATGGTCTCAGGAAAATTATTACAATGCCGATTTGAAAATTCCAGTGTTTTAAAGTAGAACTGAAAGTTAGTGTTGGCCTATGCTGCTATTGGGATTATACTGGGGGTGGGGGGTATTAGTACAAATCTTTTTACTAGGCAGTATAACTTTACACCAGTCTACAAAAGAGAGAGTGAAAATGGATTTGGCAAAGCATATGTCAGAGGAATTACCTGTGTGTTCTGAAAATAATGCCTCCAGAGTGGCCTGATTTTATCTTGACCACCAACATCCCAAACAGTGAAACAGATGTTTTTATATTCTACTGTTTCCACATTAAAACCTAAATGGAAAAAAAACACACACACAATTATGACAATAAGGACCAGCAAGCAACCAATTTTCTAGCACTACTCAAGCTAGGCAGATGTGAGCCCAATGACCAGGAGAGCATGGGGTGTCTTAACTTCCTAAAGGACTATGAAATAAATTTAATAAATGTAAAGTCACCAAGATCTGCAATTACAATTTTACATATTCATGCTTCAAGCTCTAGGTAGAGCAGGTATTTGCCAAACATTTTCAGAAGACTATTACATGTTAGTTTTCAGAACAATTCTGGTTTCTTTAATTTGTCTATACAGTAGCACCTCGGCTTACGTTACCCTCGGGTAACATAAACTTCGGGTTGCAAAAGTGGCAAACCCGGAAGTTTTTCATTGAGCGTGCATGCGCAGAAGCGGTCCCTCTGGTTGTGGAAACTTCAGGATCTGACCGGAGCTCCGGAACGGATCCCATCTGCAACCGGAGGTACCACTGTATTACAAAGAAATATATTAAGACCTGGCAGAAGAAAAGCTGGGCTTAGAAGCAAGCAGTGTTCCAAATTCACCAGGAGCATTTTTGCACATGGCTATCAGCCGCTTGCGACCAAGTGAAGACGTCAGGATGACACCTGAAGTCTCCACCATCTGGAGGTGCATGCCTGGGGATCCCTAGATCTTGACTGTTTTCACACACCAGCAGCACATCCTGTAGAATTCTATCTGTTATTTTTTTCTCTGCACAATCAGAATGAATTTCAGGAAAAGTCATATTGAAAAATACGACTTTCAAGCTACCTGGCCCAAAAATGGCAAGTAGGCATTCTGTTTTGGCAACTGTAAGTAACCCTGGTTTAAGGAGCCATTTGGTGCCTATTATCTGAGTTTCTAACAATGGAAGCAAATGGAAGATGTTGCTAAAATCTATGTAGCAATCACAAACATCTTCATCCCCAAGTGTTACATTGGTTCTAGGATGCTCTCTTCGTTGGCTTTGCTACCCAAAGAAAGAATCCCCCATTTCAAGGAAAATTCACAATCTTTCAGGAATTGTGAAATCCAGTAATATGTACCATAAACATAGTATGGGAACAAACTTCAGGAGTTCTACCTCTATCCACCTCTGGCAAGTTGCTCTATATCAATTCCTGAAAACATAGAATATATATTTTTTTTGTTTCAAAGTTTTAAACAAAAACGGTTGTTAATACTGACAATATGTATCTGATCTTGCTTACCAATTGTGGGAATTGTAGTGACAATCTCTCCTAACTTCAGCTTATACAGAATGGTCGTTTTTCCAGCAGCATCCAAACCAACTAGAGAAAACAAATGTTTATTAGTTTAATAAAATGAGCACCCCATTTCATAAAATCTGTTTTGACAATGAAAAACAAAGACTGTGGTACATTTTAAAATCAAATAGTTAGTTATTACTTTTAAAGATGTTTTTTAAAATAGAATTTCCATTCTGGGTTAGTTCAGACATAATTTTACACCATGTAAACCAAACTAGATATAACACATGTTCCATTCTTTCATTGTACTCTGCAATTCCCTCACTAGTTTGTCAAATAAGCCACTTATTTGCCTTACATCCAAACTAGACCTCACTCATAACAGCTGATAACCAAAATTTTGAGAAGTGCGGCTCTCTGAAATAGATTCAGAGACAGACAGCCTGTAACATCAACTGAAAATTGCAGTTTTTGGCTTTCTGTGACTATTTTACTGCTTTTAAAAATGAGACCAACGTCCTTGGTATTATGTATGAACATAACATGAAGTTCCCAGTAGCTTCCTCGGAGTACGGCTAACAAACTCAGTGTTGGCTTTTAACAAACCATAGTACAGTCGTACCTTGGATCCCAAACGCCTTGAAAGGCGAATGTTTTGCTCCCGAACGCCGCAAACCCGGAAGTGAGTGTTCCGGTTTGCGAATGTTCTTTGGAACCCGAACGTCTGACACGGCTTCCGATTGGCTGCAGGAGCTTCCTGCAGCCAATCGGAAGCCGCATTTTGGTTCCCGAACATTTTGGAAGTCAAACAGACTTCTGGAAAGGATTCTGTTCGACTTCCGAGATACCACTGTAAATGGCAGAGGTTAACACAAAGCAATCACAGCATAAAAGAATTCTTTAATAATTGAGTGGGATGTAGGGTAGGGGAATCCTGAGACCTCTATATTACTCCATCTGACAGTGAATTGAGGGAAGGAGTGCCGACAGTGCTGTAGTCAAAATAGGGAAACTGAGAAACAAGAGGTCAGGGGAACCCCAGAATTTGTAAAAGTAATGGCATGAACAGAATCACTATTGCTAGGAGTGGAGGATACACTGCAGTATTTTGTGGCAGGTCCCACCCATCAGAGCAATTCCCTTCTTCTCCATGAACCTTCAGAATATTTCGAACATGAGTAAACAATAATGAAAGTGCACCTGGTAGCTAGATCACGCATCCAAAACGGTTTCCAAAGCTCATTTTTTACTGCTTAAAACTTAAGAAAACAAGGAAAATTATCCTTGTATAACATAGTGCAAGAAACCTTGGTTTACTATAAATTGCAGCTGTAAATTATATAAGGTCAAAATCCTATGGTTTCTACCCTATATGGTTATGGACCCAGCTCTACATGGAGTAACTAAACTGTTTTAGTTTCTTTTCCCCACTTTACTGTTAGCTGATCAAGTACAAATGCTTTAGTACATTTTTTTCAATAAAACAAGTTTATAAGTCTTCAAATAGTAGTGGAATAGGTCTTTTACTAGTGCAAGACAAGATGTAGTCTGAGATTGCCTGCAGCACTGACTTGTACTTGACTTGAGTACACCGAATGTATTTTGTGGGCAGAATAGTAAATCATTAGGGACTATTTAATTGTTAATTAAGGAAATATTAAAATGCAGTGTCTGAGCTAGAAAAAAAATTAAGTTGTGCTATAAATTATTTTCACTGCATTCTTAGCACAGTGCAATCTGGGACTGAATGCTAAAACACTAAATAAAAACAAATTACTGCATCTTTAATTTTTTTAAAAAACCTTCAGCAAATAGTTGCTAGGGTAGAGCCCAAGGACTATGGCACTGTCCAAGGTATCTTCCCTTTCTTGACTAAGCTATCAGAATTATCCTATACAGTGGTGCCCCGCAAGACGAATGCCTCGCAAGACGGAAAAACCGCTAGACGAAAGGGTTTTCCGTTTTGAAGTTGCTTCGCAGGACGAATTCCCCTATGGGCTTGCTTCGCAAGACGAAAATGTCTTGCGAGTCTTGAGATTTTTTTCGCTTTTCCCCTTTATCTAATCTGCTAAGCCTTTAATAGCCTTTAACAGCCTTTTAGCAGCTAATCCCATAAGCCTTTAAGCCTTTAATAGCCGCTAAACAGCTGATAGCGCTAATAGCGCTAATCCGTCAATGGGCTTGCTTCGCAAGACGAAAAAACCGCTAGACGAAGACTCTTGCGGAACGGATTAATTTCGTCTTGCGAGGCACCACTGTACTGCATATTAAAAACTGGCTTTTCTATTTTTGCATCTCCCCTATTATCCATTATTTCACACCAAGCAGTGTTGAGCAATGACAGTATACAATGAGGCTGCTACCCTGAGAACTGAGTGGAGGAAAACTGCTCCTTTGTCACATACCACAACAGCCCTCTGCAGCCACAAAACAGCTTATCTGAAAGTGGGGAGAACCTCCTGAACAGCATTTTATGGGGCACAGGGATTGTTGCTCAAACATGCACAACCAACTAGAGAAGCTATTAGAGATTAGTGGGGTTACAAGGAATAAGAAGGGACAAGGAACCACACTTCCACTCACAGTTCTCAGGATCCAAGCTAACAAATCAGGCTGATAATTTTTCAATTTAAAGAGAATACATGATGGGCATAGTGCTTCTTTGCATCTGCATGAACTATGCCACTGCAGAACATAGTAGAAATGATTCCCCATCACCACCTCAGGCTATTACAGGGAATGGGAGGCTTCCTTCTAGCCCCCTCTACTTGGTCAAGGAATGAGAACTTGAGGAAGCCGTAAGAATGAAAAGGGGGCTTTGTTATGTCCAACTGTGATCCTTTTACATATAGGTGCTTCACTTGCATGTGAGAAGCCTGTGCAGTGTCTTCCTTCCTACAGTATATTTAGGATCTTGGAATAGTGCTTATTATATTGTCTTCTGGCATTTGGTAAATGAGAATGCTTTCTTTTGATGTTATCTAAAGAACTTTCCGTACAGGCTGGAAAGTTTAATGTGCTGTCTATTTTTTCAAGCTCTGCTGCGTGAAAAATAAATTCAGCATGTTCTTACATATTGACAGTATATAAAATGTACAAATCTAAGATCTGCAGCTTCTAACGCATTGGTTAATGACCAGTCTTATGTGAATAAATTGGGTTTCTTAAGTTATAAAATTGTTTTGTTAGTTAAGCCAAGAAATATTTACAGAAGAGGTTTTTATAAAGAAAAAGTCAAGTGCATGAATACATGCCATCTAATCTTCATGTGACCTGTAAATCCTGTGGCTGGGATTCAGAACTCCCGTGAGAGGTTCTTCACTCTAGGAGTCTCCTGCTGGGAAGGTGGGGACCTTTTGCTCTGCAATGGATGGAATTTTGGAATGATGTGGGAAATGGTGCAGGGAAGAATCAACAAAAAATGCCTCCCCCCTTCTCCAGCTGTACATCATCTGAGTTTGAAGGCAACAACAATTTAGGATGCCTTAATGGGAGCCTAAGATCTAGATGTTCAAACTGCTCTTAACACCAACAGTGGTAAAGCTGGATATATAATATACAAGCTACAGTAATCTAAAGCTATGTAACAAAGTTACCATCAGATAAGTTAGTATTAGATGTAAGCAAGGTTCATTACCACTTCATGTGGTACCTATCTCCTAAAACGTTCCCTGTGAGAAAGCAGGGGGGACTATAATTATTATTATTTATTGAATTTACATACCACCCTATACTCAGAGGTCTCTGGGAGGTCTTCAGGGCTATGATTCCATCTTTTTTTGACCTTCAAAGTGCACAGATAAGGGAGACTAGAAGGGAGACTAGAAGGCATTGCTTTGTGTTGATTAATGCCTGAGCAAAGAAAGATGGATAAAAATGAAGTTGCTTATTTAGTGTACATTGAGAAGTGCTGAAGGCAACTGGTTTTGACTGAAGGGAAAATTGAGGACAGTCCAGGTGAAGCTGTAACAGGAAAATCTTTGGTGTGTAAGGTATTTGCATGGGTTGGGCATATTTTTGAAAAACACACGAAAGATCCACTTTACTTTTCTATAAAGCTGATTGTCTACTATAATCAAAGCATCACCACTCAGATTAGCAATATAAATATCTAATGTACCATCTCTAACAATATCAGTAATTGCTAGGGAGAAACCAAACATCAGCTGCTTTGTGGGAAGCAACATGAGAATGCTAAGTGTTTTGAAGTAGTTGATAAGGCTCCAAAAGTCTTAGCACTACTAGAGACACAGAATACAACTTAGTATTTTTAATACTGGCAGAAGAGATAAATGACCTGGTTTTGAGTCCACATCTATATGTAGTCCAGCCAAAATGAAAACTTAAACACACATGGTACTGTCTCATCAGCAATTGCTAAGAAGAGTGCTTCACCTACAGTGACACACATACAAGCCTACTTCACCCCTCCCCCTCCAACACATGCCAGGAGGAGATTGGAAGCTTCCATTTCCTTCTTTGAAGTAATCCAAACCGTGAAGTGTAGTTAGTTTAAATGATGGTTTATTGCAACAAGACCACAGCTGGTTTTGACTTGTTCCAATAAACTATAGTTTATGCTACCCATGGTTTGTGATTGTCAGATGTAATGACATACAAAATTTATTTTAAATCTGGAAATGGATTCTTTCAATCTCTTTCTCTGGCATGTGTCCAAAAAAACAGGAGGAGGGAGTGCTCAAGTCCAAATAGGCCTGTTTGAGTAGCATTAAGCCATTGTTTAGTGTTGCGCCCAATGTGTCCCTTTACGAATTATCATCTCAGACACAAACACAAGAGATAATTCTAGAACAGACACTGGCCTTTTAAAATTCAGATTACAGTAACAGAAGTCCAAACAGAACTTCAACACTCAAAACAGTTTGTGACTACATACTATCATTCTGGAATTTGAAATGAAATTTTTAAGGGGAGGTATGTCAGCATGTTTAGCATCATAATCATAGCATATTCCCACATGCATTATAACAATAATCCATTTTAAGTCTCAGTTCTCTCACTAACATAGTTCAATTGGCTGCAAAGTGATCTGCCAGGAAAGACCCCTTGTGTTGTGCTTAACAGCAACCATTTGAGACAATTAAGAGCTGGTATTTAAAAAGCTGTGTCTAGACCCTGGACACTCAGGGATCCAGGATAAAACAACACTAGCACTCATTAATTTGATGGGGAATGGTTAGGGTGCAATATTAACCCTGGCTGGCAGCAATGGAGCTTTATGGAGTTGTACAGCCAGTAATGCATTCACAGTGTGATGCTCATGCTGGCCAAGGCAAGGATAAAAACACCAGCTTTGGGCAAGCATATAGGAGAGCTCCCTTGCACAGGGTTGGACAGAGGGCTATCTCCACACCATCCAAAAGCCCTCCAGCATGGTGGATCTGAGGCTTGGGCTGCTCTGCCCAAGGATGACAAGACAAGACAAAGCACATATGGGTGACATTTACCATTTTAAAATTGCAGCTATGCATCCTTGAGACAACAGAGCAATTCCAAATTCAAAACCAATGACCTTTCACAACAGCCACTGTATATAATTAGGGCAAAATCCTAAGTTAACATACCAGGCTATCAACAGGATACAGGCAAAGAGTTATAAGCATCTTTCTGTGAACCACCCAGCTCAGTACAGTATTGATTTGTGTAATCTTAAACTGAATGAACCAACAAGGCAGGGCATGCCCCTTAACTCCATACATAAAAAAGCAAATACAAAATGTGCATCTCATTTTAATAAAAACTAACAAATACTAAGAACCCACCCTATCCAAAATACTAATGGCATGAAGCAATGTGGATATCTGCACACTGATTCTTCACCATCCCAAAAGTGTTGTGGGATAGGATGAGAGGAAGGGGGAAAAAAAGTTATGCTAATGCAATTGTCTGTAACAACAACAAAAAACACAAAAAAACTAGGAGACAGCCGTCAGTGTAACTGACTCTTCCATTTTTATTTGCAGTATAATTATTACCGCATTTCGCTTTACATTCCTGCATTGGAAGAAAAATGGTGCGTGTATTGTGTATGTATATATGTACGGTATGTATGTATTAAAAGAACAATTCCTACGATCACAACAACAAACGCGAAGGCTCTCTGTGTGCGCCGAGGGTTAGCGAGGGATCAGACTGACGGCACCGGACTTATTTTGAAACACAGGAAGCCCATCGGGACGGAAAACGAACCCACATCCTGAAAAGAGCAGAAGGCCCCAGGCGAAGATAAATTCCGCTCGTTCTAAAAATGTCTCCCAAGGTGGATTCCTTAAGAACGTCCTGCAAGGAGGGCGGGGGGGGGAGGCCATGGAGACCCTCCCTTCCTCTCTCCTTCTTTCTCCCCCCTCCCTCTCTCCTTGTCTCCCGACAGCACAAGGCCTGGCCCGAACAATGCTGCCTGCCTGCCTGGCGCCCGCCCGCCCCACTGCTGTGCCTTCCCATCCCAGCCCCCGCGAAGACTCCAACACTCCCCCCCCCCTCGCTAGGCGAACGGGGAGCGAGGGAAGCAACCGGCCGCCGGCTCCTCTGCCCGGGGTGGGGTCGCCTCAGGCCCGGCTCGCTACCCCGGGCGGAGCGGGTGTGGAATTGAGGGGGGGGGGGGTTGAAGCGCCTCTCTCTCTTTGCCCGCCCGTCTCACCCATGAGGATGCGCATCTGCTTCTTGCCGAAGAGGCGCGAGAAGAGGGAGGAGATGGTGAGGCCCATGGCGGCTCCCGGCTGGGCGGAGGTAGCGGCGGCGGCGGCGCAAGAGCGGAGCGGGCCGAGTGCGAAGGCGGCGGCGGGGAAGGCGAAAGCAAGAGGCCCCGGTCCCTCTTTCTCGCTGCTTCTCTTCCTCCTCCTCCTCCTCCTCCTCCTTCCTCTCTCGCTCCCGCAGAGACGACGAAACCAGCTGAGCCTCGGGAGCGGGCGAAGGGCGACCGCGGCGTCCGCGCACCGGGGCTGATCTGTGTCGGGGGAGCCTGGCTCTCTCTTAGCTCTCTCTTTTCTCTCTCTCTTTGCCACGTCACGGCCGCCCCGGCTCCAACGCGGACAAAATCGCGTCACGCCCGCCACATCCTCACCGCGGCACCACCCACACGAACCTCGAGCAGGCCTCACGACACGCAGGAAGACTACGGCTCCCAGGCCGCCTCTCGCCGCCGCAGCCTTGGCGGGTCTGGTTTTCGGCTCGCGAGGCACGATGGGAAACGTAGTCCTCAAGAGGCTCGGCTGCTTGCCCCTCTGGAAAGAGAGTTTGTGTGTGTGAGAGAGAGAGAGAAAGAGGCGCAGGGAGTGCTGGGAAGTGTAGTAGTCTCCCCCCTCCTTTTTCTTCTTCTATCGGCTTCCCGTCTGCTGTTTCTGCAGCAGGGAGTGCTGGGAGTCCTTGTCACCTCGTGCTGAGCTTGAGGCCTAGCCCCTTCGTGTGGATGGTTAGAGAGCAAAGGTAGTTGTGGAGCCACCGGCAGCCATAAACCTCATTCCCACAAAGCAGCAAATGCAGTGGTGGCAAACCTAGTCCTGGACTATATCACTTCAGAGTTTGGGGGTGGAAATCGTGTATATTAAAAGCTAAATGTTAGGCGCTTCTGCTTCTCCCTGACATGCTCTATTTCTAGGTGCAGGGAGGAGTCTTATGAGACTGTACTTGTCGCTGGAAGTGGTACAGCAGATTTACCACTGCACCAGCCGCTTGTGAGGCTTGTCCAGATTATACTAGAAGGAACTGGTAATGTCACATTGAATCAAATCCTGGATCCCCAAATCTCTGCTTCCCTCAAAAGTAATTCTTGCTCATCTGGAAGGATTAATGACACAGACACATCCTTTTTTTCTCTTTATATATTTCTGTAGTTAATCATGTTATTTCTCACGAAGAAGAAGACCATAATGATTTTAGATTGCCTGCATTTGAGAGAGTGGTGCCTGTTCACCTTTCAACTCAGGATCCTGTTTAATTATTTCCTTGGAATTTTGAAGGAGACATATTCCTACATAATGAAAACAACTCCAGGTAGATGGTCCCCAGATTTATTTGTCTATAAATGATGCTTGTAATGAAAGCAAAGTGGGAAGGGCAACAAGACTTCTCAAATGTTAATAAATGTTTGCTATGAAATATTGCCCATCAGTAGTTGTGCTGGATTACAGGTTATTTGGAATTTAATATCTGATACGAGTATATTAATAAATTATCAACTCCATCTACAAAAAGAGAAATAGCTTCTGCTCAATCCTAATCTGGTTTGTAACAGAATCACTAGAATGAAGTACTGTACATGATGAGGTCTTGTCACTTGTGTTGCAAGACTGAGGTGTCCTTAAATTGTTTGCTTTGGATCACTGTTTTGGTATAGGGTATGATATTACAGCAAGGGAAAAGGTCAGCTGGGATGCCTCAGCAAAAATAGATTCATGGTAGTTCTGTTTGATTATTATTCTTGCAGCTGGCAGTTGACAGGTGGAGGCAGAGTTCAAGGCAAGAATGCTGCTACCACAGCACAGAAACACACTTATCATTCCTCTCCAGGTATTGCTCTTCAGTGTCTGGTATGTCCACATAAAAGCTCCCTTCAACTTTTTATAACGCTTTTCTTAATAACTTAATTTTGATACAGTTTAAGTTTCATAAAGACTTTAGAAAGGACCAACTGTTTATTATTGTAAAATAAGTATTGTTTATGTCACCCTTTACCAACCTTGTACTAGAGCTATTTGCCGAGAACTCTGCTGATCAAGTCACATGCTTTTTCAGGGCACCCAGACCAAGCGTTTTCCACACTGTCTACATCTTTTCCTTTTCTTTTTTTGTACAAAAGGTTGGAACCTTCTTAATGAGGTACAGGCCTTCTTGAAAATGAGCTGAACAGAATTCCAACTGTCTCACCATGGCCATTGTTCTCAATTAAGAGAGCTTCTTTTGTTCTTTTGCTATATTTTCGTTTTCACTCATGTGCTCATTTACTAAAGGTTCTTTAGCTAAAGCTAGTTCACAGTCAAAAAATATGTGCATTATGAAGATTTTCCTCATTTTTTTTTCACTGCACAGCACATTTATTGGTTCCGAGGATCCCTGTAGGTCATTTCAAGAATTTTTTTCCTTTTTAGTAATAGGCACTTAATTAAAATAATCATAATGGATTGTTATCGTGGCATCTTGCTTTTGTGAAAACAGGGCTCCCCTCTGTATGGCCCCAAAATCTGCTCCAGAGGGTTAGGGGACTCACTGGGTGCATCAAAGGGCACAAGGCAGAGGAGAAAGAGGAATTCCATTGTGCCCATTAGGACGGCATTGGATCTATCCTAAAAATAGTAAAATGTGTCAACTATTAGTACCCGGACTTCAAAGGTTAAAGCTCAAATAAAATGCAATATGTGTTGGTCTAGATGCACCCTTAAATTAGCAGTAATGGCCTTCTTGCCCTTGCTGATAAATTTAGCCCTGCTGTCTCATAATTTGGCACTATTATCTCTTGGCCCAAGGGCTCATGTTTCACTGTAACGATTCAGTTGGTGTTGTTCTACTGATGGAAGGCATCTTTCTGCCATGGACTGGCTAGATGCAGAGGAGTGGCGGGAGGCACCAACTGGAGAGCCCTCAAGGAAACCCTCAGGGAAGAAGACTCGGAGCCAGTAGATTGGTGGTGGGATAACGGTGAATGGTCAGAGAAGAGGGAGCAGACTAAGAGAGGTGCCAGAAGCTGAAGAGGTAATAGGGTTTAGTGAGCAGGAAGAGGCTGTGGCAGAGAGCCAAGGAGTGGGGCCAGGAGACAAGTGAGGCAGGCTGCTGAAGAATCCAGGGAGTCTCCCCTTCCTGCTGTGACCAGCTCACCTCTCCCCTGCTCTGCTCTCCTAGAACTTGCAGTGAATGAAGAGGGCAGAGCCATGAGAGACAAGGTGATGGAGCTGTCGGCTGCTGGGGAACGAACCTGGGAGGGAGCCTTAGAAAAATTTGGGAAGGTGGGGATCTTCAGTCCTTGCAACTGCTTCATTGGGTCTAGACCTACAGGGAAGGGTTGCTGTGACCACTAGGACTGAGTTGCTTTGTTTCTTTGAATAAAGAGTTAACTTCACCGCCTTCAGGTGTTTTATTATTTTATTGCTGACCTAGCCAGCTCCTGACACTGTCACAAGTGGAAACGGAAGGGAGAACATAACAGTAGCCTTCTGGATCAGTCCAATGTCCCAGGTAGTCCTGTCTTCACAGCAGCCAACAATATGCTTGTAGGAAACCTGCAAACAGTACTTGCGCACAGGAGCGCTCCCGCATCCCTTGCCCAGTGATTTCCAGCAACTGGTATTCAGAAGTATTGCAGCCTCCATCTGCCAATGGGGCACCACCAAGTGGATACCGTCTGTCTCTGGTATGGTCCACAAAGGCAAGAAGGGACAGGCAAAGTTGGGTAAGCAGCACAAGACTCGAGGCAGTTGCTGCTGATAAGTAGCATGCACTTTGACCCAATGCTTGCTTCCCCAAGTCTAGTGTCAAAAGTCCCACACAGTTATGCATAGGATTTCAGCCGCAGAATTATAAGCAAGAATGAAGTTCTTCATAGTAAGAATTCCACTGGATACATGTTTTTATTTCATGTGGTTTACTGAATAAACACGGACAAAGTTTCTGTAAAAGTGAAATTTATTTGCCTTAAAAAAATACATTTAGAAAATAAGCTAATGTAGCTAGTTCCAATATACTATGCAATGCTTCAGTTAATGAAGATTTAATGGCCATATTTTAAAAATGCTACTTAGTTGTGCAAAACAGTGAGTTAAATATTAATGCAATAGTGGCATAATTGTCGAAGTCCTCTTTTATACATGTTATTCTCAACTTCTGATTTGGAATTCATGTAAGTGAATATTAAAAATACATCTCCTTAAAAATACAGAGGGTAGTGTATAGCTAAAATTAAAGACTCTAAACAATGGTACAAAATGTCATAGAAAGGCAGTCTTTTTCCTACAACGGGCCTGAAATAAATGAATAAAATGTGGTGGAGTATTGATCATCATTAAATCTTGACCCAGCTGTTGCATTTCTGCTCCTAATGGTAACATACCACAATATACTGGTACATGTTAGAATTGGTATAACATTCTTGGAAGGTTCCTCCAAGTCCTATTTCATAAGAGTTATCAAACTCCTATGTTCTTGTGTTCAAAAAAAAGTTATGCATCTAGCAAGAATAATTTATTACAATGAGAAATGGCTCATTATGCATATATTTATAGTATATACATTAACCCTCTTCAGGTATTCTATTTCTCTGTAAAAGTAAGTGGAGTGGAGAGAAATGCACTAAATGTGTACTACCCAGAAGCTGGGAGCCTCCTGTACTTGTGAAAGGTCTCAAGATTTTTGAACCCCCAATTTAAAATCACACAGGAAGCATCCACAAACCCAGAAGGGCTCCCAGCTTCAGAAGTTTGTTCTCCAGCTCATGGAGGTTGAACTTAGCATACTTGTCCACACTTGTCTGTTGCTTTTACCTGTGGACAGAATACTTGAAGGTTATTGTTATAGCAGGGAATCACAAAAGGCTTCCCTAGAGAAACAGGAGATTAAAATCAGCCTCTTCTTACATAACCACATTCTTTGAAGGCAGTTAAAATTAAGTATTATGACATGATAGCAAAGCACCTAATGCACTTAACAAAATTGGGACGGACATTGATTTGATGCAAGTTAGTATTCCTGTTGCTATTTAACTGACATACTTTGGTGTAAACGATCATCACCCCAACCCACCAAGGGCAATACACAGACACAAAGCGGTTTTTGCACATGATCAGCCCCATGTGTGCATAATGGTGCTGGAAAAGATAAAGCCCTAATGTGGGGCCGGGGAGGTGAGGTAGCTCTCTCTAACCACCACCATACAAAGAAGGCTGCGGCTGTCCTCAAGGCACTCTCATCTCCCCATTCGTGCGTGGGCATGAGGAAATAAGAGGCATTTAGTTCAGCAGCCTGGTCTATGTGCAACAAACTCTGCAACACATTCAATGTGTATTTTCTGGAATGGCCATTATGCAAAGTTTCTGTTAATCAACCTTTGCCAGTTTAATCTTTGTGCCACAATTTAAAATTTAGACTTATGTTAGGAAGCTTAAGACTTTAGACAAGAAGCACCCACTTAATTTTAATTATGTTTTCTTTTTTTAAGGGGGGCACCACTAGTTTTATATTCTAGAAACAGATCTGTGACCTGATAGGTAGTAAATTCACTATTACACACTGTAATCTCAAGTCATTTGATTAAGATGTCTCAGAGCTGATGTGAGAGGGAGGAAAATCACAAGTCTGTGTGCTCCTCTTCCCTGGGCTTCCATGTTCCTTTCCATAGTTTAAAATAAGCTTGAGCTGCTGTAATATCTGAACTGCATAGACTATGGTTACCTCTAATCACACTGCCTCAAAACTAAGAATGAATCGGGTTTCAGTCCTGGGTGGGGACACAATCGAAGTGGATTAAAAAAGCAATGTTTAGTTTCAGTTTTGTTGTTTAAAAAGCTCAATTCCCCACCTGTTTTTTCAAATGTGAAATTCAGTTTTAAAAATGTAAATATGAAGTCTAAAATACCAACTAGGTTAATATTAAATAACCTCAATATAAGCATGTTGGCTCTAAAAGTTACACTGTAAACTGAATATATTCATATACAGTACCAGATCCATTGAATTAAAGGAGGCTTTTCTATGTATGAAGAACTAATTGGATAATTTATCAGATATTAATATTTACATTCCACCTACACTTTGCCAAGTTACTTCTGTTGTATCAGTCATGGGCATTTCAGTTTTGATTGCTACTTTTGTTTGATTCTGTGAGGCTAGGGCTTGGCAAAAGCATAGCGAAGCAGAAAGGAGCAACGCTGGAGAGAAGAGAAGACAATTGTCCAGTGTTCAGTTTCCTATACTCCCAAACTTAACCTCACAAACTGTCATGGGTGCCAAGTGCAAGAAAGAATCTACATGCAAATATTTTAAAAGGTTGAAGAAGGAAAGCACACAAAATATATGTAGTGAGACAAAAGGCCTGGTTACAAGAATGAAACAGTATAAATACTAATTTAGTTATTAATTAGTAGGGCCCCAGTGGTGAGATTTGCACCATTATTTAGGAAATAATAAGATTTATCCATGAGAATGATTTAAACCAGCCTTTTTTTCTTGCTGATTTAAACTGGGATTTGTACTGCCTTGATTTAAAATCAATACACCCTGCAAACTATGATAAGCAGTAACCCGAGTTTTCCCAGTTGAAATACTACAGCAGGCTCCAATTATTGTAATTAGGACAGCGGCGTAGCGTGGGTTGTCAGCACCCAGGGCAAGGCAAGTAATTTGTACCCCCTAACCTGCCGCCGCTGCCAGCTTCTTCTTGCTGCTGCCTGGTCTGGTCTGGTCTGGTGTGGTTCTCTCCCGCGCTCAGCGCTGCGCTGGGCGGCCGCTGCACTGTCCCTCCGCCAGATAGTCCCTCTCTCTCCGCACCACACGCCTGGCACCCACCCCCTCCACAGTGGGCAGCGACCCAGCGGCTCGGATCGGATTCGCACAGCCAGCACTGCAGTGAGAGTGAGTGAGCGAGCCAGGTAGGGGCAGAGAGCTGCAAGTGCGAGCGCGCCCCCCCCCAGATGTTGCGCCCGGTGCGGCCGGCCCCCCCTGCACCCCCCACGCTACGCCACTGAATTAGGAATGTGGGGAGAATATACAGGGACCTAACAGAAGGAAAATGGAGGAGAGTCCAAGACTACAGGGATGATCCCAATTGTTAAACCAGTGTGAGAGCCAGGGTGGTGTACTAGTGGTTAGTAATGGACTAGGACTGGAAAAACCTGGGGTCAAATGTTCACTCAGCAATGACTCTCACTGACCCTCAAGCAGTCCCTATCTTTCAGCCCAGTCTACTTCAAAAGGTTGCTGTGAGGGTAAAAGGGTGGGGAATCATATACAGCTCATTGTAGGAAAGGCAGGATATAAATAAATGAATTCGGGTTTGGCCATCAGCTCTGTAATAACTGAACTGAATTATAATATTTAGTAGACTAGCATTTGAGATCTTAAGAGGAAGTAAAATATCAAGCTGTCCCAAGTTCTCACTGGACAGCTACTAGTTATTCCATTAAGTGTGATAGTCATTGAAACCAACAGGAATATTGCTTCCCCTGAGTTTAATACAATTGGGCAGATCACCACCTATTTAAGAAGCTCTGTAGTGTCTGCACTGCATTGTGGAAGTTTAAGATGCATGCAGATGTTCAGTAAGAGCACTTAATTTTAAACGTATGCAAAAAATAATAATAAAAAAAATCAGTTCCTTCCATATTCAAGTTGAACCTAAGGGGCTGCTTAAAATGTTTTAAGTATTAACACGGTCTGTTTCCAGTACCATATACTTTGCATGTCCACTGTTCTTTGCAAGTGCCTTTACACCTTTCAAATGTGCGATGTGGTACATATGGCTGCATAAAAGTCCAGTTCGTCACGTTGAGCCCGTTTTGATGAGTATACCCTGTAAATCTTCTGGCAGTGCAAGAATAATTGAATCAATGTGCATCTGTAACTTTTCCACAGTGCCTGGTTTCACAGGTAAGTTTTCTCCATCAGCCTATAACCACAGAAATTGCAATTAAAAACCCATGGTCATCTTAAAAGAATCCATAAGAAGTCAGCATTTATGAAAACAAGCATGACAGAAGAATCAGGAAAATACACACATTGGCGAAATATTAGTGCAAGCATCCAAAAAGAGACATGAAGTGGCTCATGTGTAATTGAGACTAAAAGGGCCTCAGTACATTCAGGATTCATACAAACTGAGCTCACTGTAGCTGGAACCTTCTCTTAGGGCATACCCTTGGCTGCCATCTGTTGATTTGGCTTTTTGTTTACAGATAAGCTTTCATTATTCTTCCAGTTTTTAAAGGAGAATTTACATATAGAAGGTCACAGGTTCAATCCCTGGCATGTCCAGGTAGGGCTAGGGAAAGATTCCTCTGAAATGCTGCAGAACCACAGCTGGTCAGTGTGCTAGACAGACCAATGAGCTAGACAGACCAATGGTCCGACTTGACATAAGGAAATTTCCTATGTTCTTATTTAAAATCAACCTTTGGTTGAAGTGGTCTCTCACACTGAACAGAAGTGATAGCAGATTTAAATAAAATTTAATGGAAAACACAGCTACCAAGTATTCTCTAAGAATGTTTGTAAATGCAGTTCTCTTCAGTAACTACGTGCGACCACCAGAGGGATTTACTATCAAGAAAGCATATTCTGCAAGCAACTTTCTTCAATCTCAAGTAAAGCTGCAGGTAGGGAAATGTTGGAAGTATAGTAATGATGTACCTTTATAATGCAAGCTACCAAAGGAATGGCTACCTAGATCTGCTGGAAAGCAACAAGTGTGCCCATGGAGAACATGCAAGGAAGCCGCCTCAAAAAGGGGGGCTTAAGTAGACACATGACAAAGCCAGCAATAAAAAGGGAGTAACAGTGCTAAATAAGAGAGAGAATGAACCTAGGATATGGACTATTGCAACCCACATCCTTCCAGTCTAGCCAAGAAACTCAGCAGAGAAAGCTTATCGGTGCTCAACCTGCTACCTCCCACCCTTTTCTGGTCAGGAGTGGAAAGCATGCACAGTAAACGATAGCTGTGTGCTGGATTTCCCTAGAATCACTTTGGCTGCTGTGCAGGTTTTCTTCTGAGAAGAAGAGGAAGAACATTCACGTTAAATGTTTTCTGACAGAGGGGGTTGTAGTATCTTAATTATAAGCTATTTCCATTGCCCAGTTAAGACAGAAGTCAAGTAAGACTAGCTCTTCCCATAGGACTGAGAATCTGCTCTAGAGGTCTCCTGAGTATCCTTGTGATTAAAGATGAAGAATTATGTTGGGCCTTTAGAGAGGCTTGATAATCATGCTCCGTAGCTTTGTCCTTTCTCCTAGAGAAACCAAATAATGGAGCTTCTTTAAAATCACTACTCTTCCCCCTAATAATAGTACTCAAAAAATGAGGCGATTGAGCATTCCAGCAGGTCTTAGGGACAGGTCCAGTACGACAAGTACAAGCTAAGCAATGAGACTGTGGGGGAGATGGAAACCTCTCCTTAGTGAATTCAAGCTCTGATGGAGTAGATGATACTTGACTAGACTAGTAAGAATGAAACATAACACAAAGTACTGATAATGGACGAATAGTACGTTGAATACATTTACCCACCAATTTGTCTACCTACCACTTTATCCTTTAATTTCAAAACTAAATCCACTGTTTCCACTTCAGTATGCTTCTGACTCCAGAAAAGCAAATCCTATCAGAAGAATATGTTCAAAAATCAGATTCAGTTAATTTCTTTACAATGAAAGCATGGGGGGGGGGGACTTTTATCATTGGAGCTTTAGGAAATGTCTTAAATGCCCACTTTATTGAGTGGTAGCCCCTATACCTAAGGCAGTGCTGATCTCCCAAGGGTCCCTTGACTTTGGAGAGAATTTCAGAGGGCACATAGAACTCAAGATAGAAAACAGCAGCTGAAAAGACCCAATGTACATAAGGGAGAATATGCATAGCCCTTTGGATCCCAGCCATTAACAAATGCTACTCTAATCAGGGCTTATCCACACTTCCTCTTGTTCCACTACTTTCCCCCAGGGGAAGCTGCTCCTTAGTGCTCCATCGGAGCAAACAGGTATTTGGGTTTTCTCCAGCTTGCTGTTTGCTCATAATTTAGAGCTAAATAGTAGGTTTTTCCTGGGAAAGGAGTAGGGCAAGGGGAAAACTCCTTGGGGCCCATGCTTTCTAGGCACAGGGCAAATGAAAAGTGTGGAAATGCCCTCACTGGCTATACCATTTAAATTGGGTTTTCAAGGACAAATTATGCTTTTTATTTCTACAGAGAAGACAAGGAAGAAAAAGCTTAAAGCAAAGCAGTTTTTCCTGACCTCATTACATAGTGCTTCTAAGTGCAATGCCTCCAGCTTCTGTGTCATTTCTTTCCGCCGAGTTCTGAACCAGCCGTCAAAGTTGTACGATTTCAAAAAATGCCTTTAAGACAAAGGGGAAATTAGTTCTACTAGTGGAACAAGGTGACACTCCGAAATCAAAGTTACAAGATTGCTCTGCCAAGCATATGGCTAGAGGTTGACATAACGTACTTTCAAAAAACTTTCGACAAGGTATCTCGCTAAAGACTCCTGAGTGAGGTTAACAGTTATGGAATAAGAGGAGCAGTTCACTTATGGATCAGGTTTGGAGAAGTAGGCAGCAGAGAGTAGGTTTAAATGGACAGTTCTCTGAATGGGGGAGTGTTATCGGGTTGTTGTTTTTATTCTGATTTATATGTTGTTACGTTTTCTGTGAACCGCCCTGAGACCTCCGGGTATAGGGTGGTATATAAACTCAATAAATAATAATAATGTAGAAAGTGGAGTCCCCAAAAGGACCTCTCCAAACTGAGTGAATTGGGTGGTAAAATAACAAATGTAACACAATGTAAACAAGTGTAAAATGATGCACAGCACTACAACAAATTTTTTCACATACTGTATATGCTCAGGGGTTCTGAAATGGTGGTGATTTACCAGCAATAACACCTTGGGGTTGACCCAGCAGTTGGGAAAAAAAGATTAAATCCATGCTATATCATGCATCTATCACTATCATAATGCCATTATACAAATCTATAGTGCGACCACACTTGGAATACTGTATACTATTCTTCTTGCTTCAGCTCAAAAAGGTTTCTTTATTATTTCATTTATAAACTGCTTCCCACAAAACAAGCAATTTAAAAACAAACAATACATAAGGCTTTGTACATCAGTACTAACACTTTGAACTTAGCCTGGTAGCCAACTGTTGATCAATTAGTCATGAAAATCCACTGATATATAAGACTCTACTAATGTGAACAACAAGTTAAACATATTTATAAATTCCTGTAAGAGAAAAGGGGCAACAACCATAACATTATTTTACAAAGTAGTTCAATTAGCATTAGAGGCAAGGGTTGTTTGTTGTTGTTGTTTTGCTGCTTCCAAAATATTTTTAACACGAAATTTGGATGTCTCTCAGGCTGTAATCTTAGCAATAGTCAAGGTATAAAACAGAATTACCTGTAGAGTCCTATCCAGTCTCCTTTTAATCTAGAGGTGAGCTGAGGCCCTGCTTTCTCAAGAGTTTTCATAAATTCCTCTTGGTTGAATGGCTTCAACTGTGGCGGGCTCTATGAGAGAAACACAGCTATAAGGACAGAAGCCGGCAGCTATTCACAAAATGAATATTTAGGTTATCAATGAATTTTCACCTTCCAAGGTGATATGCTCTTTTGCAGAGGCATCAGGCTTGCTACGTATCGTTCCTAGAACAACAAATAGATACAAAAATAATGATGTTGAATCTCTGCGTTTGGCAAATCCATATTATTACATTTCTTAAGCATTTTCTGATGGCTGTTCAAAAGCTGGCCTCAGAACCCACTGTGACTACTCTTCAGATTATTAACTTTATTTTAGCTTCTTAAAGGTTTAGATTACAAAGCCTTGGTTATGTTCATTGTTCAGTATAGAAGTGTCATAGACATAGCAGCTTACTAGAGGGATAATGAAGCTCTGGGTCAGTTCCAAAAAATAACGACGAAGGATTATGCTTTGAGCTTCTCCGGGACGCTTCTGCTGTACTCCCTAAAAAAGGCAATCACAGTAAACGAGGAGAACCTCAAGCTATAGCAATACACTGTTGATAAGGGTATCTAATATTTAACAGACTTGATACTATGAGTGCATTCATATAGTTCAACTACAAGTCTAAAATTACCTTTTGTAACTGCTTGATGATTTCTTCATCTCTGTTCAAGTATGACTTATAAGATGTATAAACACCTATGGGGAGAAAAACAACCACCATGGGATTGTCCTCTGGTTTTGGCCCATAACAATATTCTGCAAATAGTAGGTTATAGTGATGAAACATTACCAGGCTTAGAATCCAAAGTCTTTAAGTTCTTTAGCTTTTTCACTTTCACCTGCTTTGGTACTTCACCTGCCAAAATGAAGGAAGAGACACTGTGAGTATAATCACTCAGTTACTAAGATCTGAAGAGCCCTGGGCATGTTCATCCAAGAGGTTGTTGCACATCTTTTGGTGTAACCATGTAAAACATAAGTTTAATACAATTTTGTAAACAGCCAAGCTTACAAAATATTTTCATAGATGAAAACATATTTATTCAGCTTCATGCAGAGTTTTGTTGGTTTAAATGTACACTTCATCACATTTCAAAAAAGTTGGAAATACGTTATGAAAGATAGTACTTTGCATATTTTTTTCCTATCACTACTTATACCTATTCCAGTTCAGTTTTTGCAAAGTCTAATCTATAAAGTGACTTGAGTCAACTGAAGAGGCAAAACCAGCCTGTAGATTTTCATTAAATCGAAACCACCTCTCTACTTCTTAACAATAATGCCCCTATTATTTCATATTTTGTTCACATTTAACTAAGCTAAAGGAGGAAAGACAGTAACTTGTAATACTCTGTACACTGCAGAAGAAATCTTCAGTCAATTAAAAAAATTACCTGACAGTTTAATATCTCCTATTCGGATGATGTGTGGCCAGTGTTGCAGAGTTTTAGCAAAAAATGGATTCGTCACTCCTAATATGACAGAAGGCCTGAAATATGGAAGATTATCAATAAGATCAATAACCTCTGCATAGATTTAAAGTAACCACATTCCAGAGAAGCAGCCTGGATAGTCTGTTGTAGAAAACACCAATATTAGCCTCGTGATGAACTGAAGACTAAGGCTTGGATCTACAGTAGCCTTTCCATGAAGAGGAAAGCTCCTTTCATTGGTGCAAGGGGGAAGAGGAAGGACTAATTAATTAATTTTCATTAATTTCAATAGGTCCACTCTGCGTAAAACTAGTTGAATGTCACCCATACATAGGAATTCTGGTATACCATATAGGATATTCTTTTCAAAGCAGGTCCCTAACTGCAAATTTATTTATTTAAAATATATACAATCATTTGACAATTATTAACAGTAATCAACAAAGCTGCTAAAGGGGAAAAAAAAACCTTCAGGTCCACAATGTTCTACAAGAAAATATGACATAATGTAAAATTACAATGCTTCTTTTAAAAAAGAAAGACAAAACATACTTGAATCTTTTTTTATGGGATGGCATTACTTTCTTGACAATATTGTGTTAAGGGGCAACCTGTTTTCCCAGAATTTATTTCTAGAGTCCTTTGCAATTCTCACTCTTAGGTGTTATTTTTCCTATTATTACCATATAGGATCTTACTAGATTTAAGAAATGTTTATTCTGACTAGGAGGATGTCTTAACAGTCCTGTAATCAGAATTTGTATTAGTACAAGTTAAAACTCTATATACTGGAATATATCAAAACATCAGCTGCTTTCTACAGTGGTGCCTCGCAAGACGAAATTAATCCGTTCCGCGAGTCTCTTCGTCTTGCGGTTTTTTCGTCTTGCGAAGCACGGCTATTAGCGGCTTAGCGGCTATTAACGGCTTAGCGGCTTTAAGAAAAGGAAACAAACTCGCAAGAACTCGCAAGACGTTTCGTCTTGCGAAGCAAGCCCATAGGGAAATTTGTCTTGCGGAACGTCTCAAAAAACGGAAAACTCTTTCGTCTTGCGCATTTTTCGTCTTGTGAGGCATTCGTCTTGCGAGGTACCACTGTATTTTCCATCTCTCAACACGAGACTCCATTAAAACAGTTGACTGTGGCCTGCACTGTTAGAAAACTGAAGGGCAGGGCTTTTGTTAAAGCTTCCTAGGCTAAGGTCCCTAGTCTACACGGATCCTTTAAAGTCAAGAGTTATGATTAAATGATGAGTCTAAATATCAAAACTGTATAATCCATTTTACTTACGGGGTCTGAGTACGAGTGGTATATTCTTTGAATTCACTGTCATGTATTGTAAAATAAGGCCTAAAATCACTATAGTACTTCAGAGGTGAGATACAGCTGTGAAACAGACACACAGAAGAAAAGTGTGTGAGTGGAAAGAGAGAGATTATTATAAATTTACTCTGTAAATTATCAATTGGAGACAGGGTCTTTTCCATGATTTTGGAACATCCCCAACCCAGGGATGTCAGCTTGGTGTTGACATTGTCCATTAGATAAAAAAAAGAAACTCTCTTGGGTTCTTACAGATAAATTTTGCTACATTGTTGCTATTTTACTACTGTCTTTCAAAATACATGCTACTGAACTGTTACCTTTATCCTAATAGAGAACATATTTTCCAAATGTAGATCCTTATGTGGCCAAAATAGCATACTAGTTAGAAGTATCAGCAGACTAAATGAGTGCTGGGGGAAGGGATGAATGGAGTGTCAAAGAAAAAAGCACAGCTGGTTCGCTGAAACCCTGAACAGGAACTCTCCACACTAAAACATTTTGTCCTGAGTCCCACTTGCTATTAATTTGATTCTATTTTCGAAGTGTTTGTAAGCTGCTTCGAACACTTCGCTTATTTTATACACTTCATTTATTTTAAAGTGAAGTACAGTGGTACCTCTGGTTACTCATGCTTCTGGTTACACACGCTTCAGGTTATGAACTCCGCTAACCCGGAAGTAGCTGCTCCTGGTTGCAAATTTTGCCCCAGGATGTGAGCAGAAATTGTGCACCAGAGGGAGACCCCATTAGCGAAAGCACACCTCAGGTTAAGAACGGTTTCGGGTTAAGAACGGACCTCCGGAACGAATTAAGTTCGTAACCAGAGGTACCACTGTACTTGAAAATAAAGGTATTTGTTTAAAATTAAAAAGACATCAACAAAATTTTTAGGGGATTAACTCCAAGTCTCCACCACTTGAAGTTATGGTAATCTGTCCTATTGGTTTCAGAGAGGCTTAAGCCCCGGTACATGGGGTCAGTTCCATCCAATACTGGTGGTGAAACACAACCCATGTCCTTCTGACATCCAATTGTGTCTATCCACAGGGAGAACACATTTCTGCTTGCACAACAGTACTTCCTTCCTCATGTAGACACCTCCAATGCCCCATAAATCTGGTCTGGAGGGTTGGGGAATGCTCAAGAAGAAGAGTTTGGATATGATATCCTGCCTTTCACTCCCCTTCAGGAGTCTCAAAGCGGCTAACATTCTCCTTTCCCTTCCTCCCCCACAACAAACACTCTGTGAGGTGAGTGGGGCTGAGAGACTTCAAAGAAGTGTGACTGGCCCAAGGTCACCCAGCAGCTGCATGTGGAGGAGCGGAGATGCGAACCCGGTTCCCCAGATTATGAGACTACCGCTCTTAACCACTACACCACTTTGGGGGCACACATGGAGGAAAGTCCAGCACTTCCAGTCACACAATGTTGGATATCACTCATTATTTTGTAGCATTTGATAATATTAACTTCTCAGAAAAAATCACGGTAATTATTATTTAATCCACATTCCATGCTTAAAAGATAATGCAAATTACATCAGCTTGTGCAAGTAGGGTAGCAGGTGTTTCCTGAAGGTTTGGGGTTTGCACAATTTGTGGTTTCCTTTTAAGTGCCTTGGAAAACAAGAACCATTCTGGGTCACTAAAAAGGCAGAGGGTGAGGCTGGAACCTCTGCGAAGACTCTTCTCAGACTATCAGCAATAACCCCCCCCCAAAGTATTACGGTTTTGCATGCTTTTCAAAACTTTTCTTCAGTTTCGCAGGGGTGTTGTCATTTTTAATGAAAACCAAGCCATTCCTAGGATTCTGCTAGAGCCTTCACATTCTGTGACTCATGGTGAGATCACAGTCATGCAGCTTTTTCGACTCCTCCATATGTTTACCTTACAAGTGCCAAAACGGTTTCTGAAGACTCCGATGGTGATGGTGCCATGACAACAAGCGGTTCCCCTAACAACACGAGCTCCCATAGCATCTGGATGTGAAAGAACACTGGCAAGAAACATCTGAAACAGATTTACAAGAATAGTCTTTTCTTCTTCATTTTCTCTCTAGTTATAGCAGAGAGAGCGGGAGCAAAGAAAAAGAAAAGCAAAAAAGAGAGGCGGGGAGAAACATGCAACTGAAAATGTGACCTTGGCTCACAACCATCTTGAGAGTCTTAGATATGCCTGGCCGTTGAGGCTTATTGAAGGGTGTAAAAAGTGAGGGACAGGAAAGCCGCAAATATGAAGTGTGGATAGATCTACAGCCAGAGGCCATACAACTACAGCTGTCCAGCTTTGGCCAGGTTATGTGGTGGCCAAATACATAATTATTACACTGTGTTGCACCTGCTATAAAGAGAGCATAAAGGTGCTAAGATATTTGGACAGGGCTGCAGGAGCGTGGCCCAGCGGCAAGAAGAATATGAGTACTTTCTCCCTTTACACTCTTGCAAACTGTATCCCTGAGAAATGGCAGAGCTTATATTAAAGGAGTAATGAAAATCTGTGTTCTCAATGCACTCAACAGAGAGACTGAGAACACCAACATAACATGTCTCCTCAGAAATAAGCCCCACCGGATTAAATGACACTTACTCCCAGGTAAGTGTATACATATTTGTAGGCATATTAATAATAGTTAAATTAATTGCCACAACGTTTATAAACAATCCCTCCTTTTGTATGCTCTAGATTACCAACAATGCCTTGCTTATGCTCAATATCCATTTGCTAGGCAGTGATTAAAACCCACAGTGTTTGAAACTCTCTTTGATGGGGTACAACAGCTTCAGGACTTCAGAAAGATTAAGCCAATATGCCTTTCAGTTTTTACCTGAAGAGATCAACTTCATGGACAGTAGGCAACGCAATGGAGACCTGTGTGTCTGTCTAAAAGCAAAACAAAAAGCTTTTGGTCAAATTAGCAGCAGATCATGCAATAAAAGGCCGGGTGTACTGTGCTACTTTTAAAATGATGATGAACTCTCTTACTAAGTATATCGCAAAAGTCTTGATTGGCCCTGCTCTCTTATGGCTGCTGTCTTAAGATTTCCTCACCTACCCACCCGCTCCCAGCCAGCAGGGCTTTATGGAGCATCAGGGACCCTGCTACATCCACAGTCTACCATTCATGGCAGCTTGGGAGGAAGGCATGGGGCAGGCAGTAAGAACATTGTGCCAGCCTGGAGCACGATAGCAGGTAGCTTGGCCCAGACCCACTCCATTTGGGGGCTTTGGCTGGTTCCCACTGGTACTTCCCACCTAAATGTTCAGTGGCTAGCAGGAGGCTTAGCCAGGAGAGCTGGGCAGAAAGATACCTCCGCTCATTCCATCCTCCCAATCTGAAGTAAAGGGGGGTTGGACTTCTCTGCCTGTTGCCTACAGTGACTAACATTCTCAGAGTTACTTTTTTCTCAGTGAATATTTCAATTGATACCCTGAACAGGGTTTCACAACTGCTGCTCACTGGGTCAACATTTTCAATGGGCTATCTACTTATAACCCCAAGGTTTCGTTATTGGTCATTCGCCACCAGTTTCATGAACTGGTGTTCCATATGTTCCATGAACATATATAGGTGCAATTAACATTTTTAAAATCCAGTGTACATCACTTTATACTTGCTTACACTGTATTTTATTTGCCATTTTATGGCCTACCCACACAGTTTGGAGAGATCCTTCTAGAACTCTCCACAATCCCTTTTTGGTTTAACTACCCTGAACAATTTGGTATTGTCAGCAAACATGGTTACCTCAACTACTCACCCCTCATTCTACATCATTACAGCTATGGTAGAAAAGCACACCTTACTTTTCTAAAGTAGGCTACTTCCTGCACACATCCCTCGTATTTCCCATCCAGGCATGCCAAAGGCCTTCTCAGAGGTCAATGAAACTTTTGAGCAAGGGGGAAAAAACCAACAGGGCCAGGGAGGAGTATGGGAAGAGTCATAAGAGCCAGATAGGGAGGCTTAGAGGGCCTCAATTAGCCACTGGCTACAGACCAAGGTCTACAGACCAAGCCTGTGCTGGAGGGATGATATGTTAATATATGAGTTTTATGTTTTAAAGGGGCTTCAAATAACTTCTTAAGGTATTAAGGATTAAATTAAGACACAGGGCTTGGAGGCAAGCTGTACTATGCTTCAGTTTTAACAGACAGAAAAGCTTATGGAATCTAATCTATGTTTGCAAAAAATGTTTGTGCAGATTTCCACTTTCCAATTCCTACGCTACAGTTTTGTACTTGCAACTCTACAGCTAGTCCTCATTTACAGAACACACATTCCCTTATACTTAAGGTCTGGAAATAACATTTGAAAGTCAGCCCCTTGTTTTGATGGAGTATTTAAGTGGCAGGTGAACCATTCACTACCTGCTGTGTGGACTGTAATACTTGGGTTGTTCCAGGATTGTCGTGGCAGGTAGGAATCCGCACCTTAGGAAACAGATATTATATGCTTCATTTATTATTAAGAATAATACAAATAACCTAATATGCTAAGAGGCATCAGCCACTTCTGAAAGCAATACTTAGCTAGAATTATATTGGTACAAATATTTATTATTAATGTTTTTTATTCAATTTTGATATGACCCTTCATCCAAGGATCACAGGGTGGTTTACAATATAAAAACACAAAAATGTGTAGCATTGTAACAAACAAACTAAAATATTCTTCCCTAAAAACCATTGTGTCAATCTCAACATCCCAACCTATGGGTACTAGCCCTGTGAACATCTGAAGTCTTCAAAGAAATTATGCAAAAAACAAACAGGGAGACATACTGAAGCCACTATTAATTACTTAAGAGCAATAACAGAGATGTTAATTTTAAAAAACACAGAAGTAAATTAAGTAAATACTAACACAATGTCCATTTCATGAGTGCAGCTACAGGCCTGATCTAAATAAATACTCTTCAGTAATATGGATTTCAATAGGTCAGTGTAAATTACATGTTTAAATTACTCCAACTGAAATAATCCAGCTTCAGGAGAATAAAGAAACACATGCTGACAAGTCTAAATATGATGGGGGAAATTCAAGTTCTAGAATACCAGAATTTTCATACATATCCCTTCTATTCAAATACACCCTCTGCTCCTACCCATTATGTGAACCTCACAAGCATAAAATCAACGCAAACATACAGGGACTACGGTTTTGAAATATGTTCATTGCATTGTTACAAAGCCACAGCATGAATTCATACAGCAAACAAGAAGGGAAGAGGCTCAGCATTACCTTCATTACAATGCCCATAATAGGCAAATGTAAGGTTTTTCCTGGGACTGGTGGTGGCCATCGATCAATATCGCTACAAGCTGAAAAATAATAATAAAGCAATAGGATTTGCATGTAAAAACAACAACAAACCCTCTCTTAACAAATATCTCTTAAGATTTGTGGTTTATGAGACCTACCAACAACCCACCCTGACCAAGGCTACAGCTTCTGTTATGCCATATGGCTTCTCAGCGGGCAAACTGGCAACCCACACATGAATAAACACCTTCCAACCTACTGATCTTCTCGGCTGCATCCCCCCCCCCCCCATCTGAATGTCATATATTCATAGTGCACTGCAACTTTAAAAGGTCCCCAGAATGGCACAAATGTGCAGTTAACTGTAATTTGCAACAATATTACCAACCTGCTTCCAAGAAAGGTTCGTTTTTTTCAAAATATTCAGGTGCAATTTTTCCAAGCACAGTGTGAAAAATGTGGCTATAAGGCAGCTTGCTGATCAGAACCAAGGACTAGTACAGGAGAAAGAAAATAATCTGAAATTAATCTTTCCTCAAGCCAGTACTGGCATTTAGAGTTATAAATTAAGCATCAGTTCCTCACTAAATACTTATAATGCCTATAATTAGCTGTTATTTTTTATTCTGCTACAAGCAGTAACATTGTTCCTAACCTACATGATGCACCTAATATGTGACAATGTCTTAAATGCAGAGAAAGTCCATGGGGCAAACTGGGAAGACTGTGATTTTGAGCAAAGCATCAGCAGGGATGGGTGCTAATCTCTCCCTGTTTACCAATCCCCCATCAGGGGCGAACAAAGGCTAACCAACACCCGGGGTGGGGCAAACCGCTGGCTGCACATGCGTTGTGCCACTATGTACGACGCATGCGTGGCGTGGCTACGTACGACGTATGTAGCAGTTTGCTGCCAGCGCCGTATGGATGGTAGCGGGATCCTATGCTTGCAGCTGCAGCAGTGGCGGAGGGATCCCACCACTGTCCATACGGTGCTCGGGGCGGCGCCAGCGGCAAACCACTACGTACAACGCATGTGCGGCGTCGCTACATACAGCACATGCGTGCAACACCGCACATGCGTTGTATGTAGCGGTTTGCCGCTGGTGCCACTCGAAAACCACACGGACAGTGGCAGGATCCTCTGCCCGCGGGGTGTCTTCTTGTCACCCCCCTAGACATGGCACCCAGGGCGCACGGCCCCCCCTTGCAATGCCACTGTCCCCCATGTCAAGTTGCAATATCCCCCTGCCCCGTGTTTCCCCCTGGGGGTTCAAGGTTTTTCTACTAACATGCATTTGGAAACTTGTGCATAACTAGATCTAAAAAAGGGAGAGATTAAATATGTTGTTCACTGCATTGGGGGTGGGCGGGCCAAAAAGCAAATATGGAAATAAACCAGATTGTCAACAGTAAATCCAGCGAATCAACTACACAATTTGTAATCCAATGATTCCTTTACTTACTTATCTCCAAGACTGTACATTGGATATATTACTTTGCATTTATACATGCTGGTTTTAGTCTGAAAATTAACAGCCAAGACTAAGGGCATTCACCTCTCATTCTTAAACACATTATAGGATTTCAACAGAACTTATTTCTTTCCAAAACTAGATTACCTTCTGGAAGTAGCCTCTTTTTAAGGTTTTGTCTTGTACTTGTCTGAAATATACATAACCATAATAATATGCAGGATCCTTCTGTAAAGAAACCAAAACCTTTACTGTTTTTAAAAAACAAATACATTCCATAATACTTTATACTTTCTGAGCAATATTTCAACTTTAGGGATGAGTCAATTATGTACAAAAATAAAATGAGAATAAGCCTCCTTCTCATAAGAGAATCAGTTTTCATATTTCATTTTGCTTAATGCTATATATGGCACTGTAAAAATACTTAAGTCTTCAACTCATCTGAATATGAAAGGTAAGAAAATCCATTGTTATAACTTAGAAGCAAATGTTTTCCGAGATTGTTGAAAAAATCTTTGCATAGTTTAGCTATATTTTTATATCTAGGAATCTGAACACAGAAAGGAGGCAAATAAAAGCAAGCCTGCTATGAAATAAAAAATGCCTCCATCTAACTTGGGCTGTGATTCTAACTATATTTAAAATAAAATAAACTTTCAAATAAATATACTAATCATTCAAACTACTGAGATTTAAATTCTCTTAAAGGCTTGAATAGGATACCAATAGTAAACAGTAATGGTTTACAATTTGGTGTTCCTGGAACCCTCTGCATTTTGCCAACCATAGGGGTGTGCTGAATGTATTCTAGGGCATGTATAGGAAACCTGTGGCCCTTCAGCCCCAGCCAGCATAACCAATACTCAGAGATAACGGGAGTTGGAGTCCAGCAATGTCTGGAGGATCACAGGTTCCCCATTGCTGCTTTATGGTCAACTGATACACAACTGAATGTTCACCATAGATACTCCTCTGCAATAATCAGGAATTATTTGGCAGACAAACTGACAAAGTAAGGGTTTCCCCAAAACAGAACATTTGAAAACACTGTACATAGGAACACTGAAAACAAATTTCCAAAGGATGGAAGTATTTGCGGAAGATTAAATATGCTATAATAGTTAATATTTCCATGCCACCAGAAATAATATGTTGATCATTAGAAGTTACATGACTCAGTACACCACCAGCTATTTGCTGAGCGGTGCCTCTTGAAGAACAAGTTTCAGAATGGACCTCACAATTTCATTATGAAGTATCAATGCAATACTTGCTTGCCAGTTACAGAAAAACACTACAGTATAATGTTTGGCCAAGTGAAGATAAGCTACTTTCCCAACCTTCAAGTAAATGGGTAGGTCTCTGTCAAACTGGTCCAGTAGACAATGCCATGAAAGCTTTCTGCTAGAAGACTGTCGAAATCTAAAACAAAATTGTGTGTCTCCAAGGCAACCTAAGCCAAAAGGAAATGGGGGGGGGGGACACACACAAAGTAAATACAATCAATAAATACATTTACTGAAATGTCCCGTCATTTTGTGTCTAACAGCAGCTAGAGTGCATCAGTAGGAGAAAGACAAAGGTCTGGTGTAGCTGTGCTGTTTTCTTTTGAAAGACAGAGAGAGCACCCATACTGGGACAGCCGAAGCAGGATGCTGTGCTTCTCCATTAGAGTAATATAGCAGCATACTATGGTTTTTGCAAATTCTAACTTGCCTCTCTTGGCAGAAAGAGAGAGTGCACACACAATACACATGCTTAGTATACACCAAGAGTGGGTCTATTCCTGCCTGTCTACACTAATATGCATTAGAGGTTGAACAGTACTGGAGTTCCTACCATTGCTGTCCAAACCACAGGAAAACGGGGTAATGGTTTGAATAGTTGAAAACGAGTCATGATAAAGCTCCTGTCTTAGTTCTGCAAAGTTTCCACAGGCAGTATTAATGTGGTGTGGCTTCCTGTCCCATTGCCCGGCTTACATTCTGTGCTTAAAGGGAGATCGTCGAGAGCTGCCACGGTATTATTACCTGTTAAAGCAGGGGTGGGCAAACTAAGGTCCGTGGACCGGATCAGGCCCAATTGCCCTCTGGATCCGGCCTGCGGACGGTTCTGGAGTTGTCACTTGGATCAGCGTGATTGCCATTTTTTTCACGATTTCCCCCCTCCTTCCCTCACGCACACAGCACCGGCGCCTCCTCCCTCCCTCTTGCTGGCTTCTCCCTGCCCTGCGGAGGAAGGGGGCTGGGCTTTAATAGGAAGCCTCACCGCCCACCTGGGGAAAGCTGGCACAGAAAGGAGAGGCGCTGGCGCTGGCTCCCAACGGCAGGCAGAGCGGCGGAGAAGGTAGGCAGGGGGAGGGGAGGGCTGGGGGAGAGAGGGGGAGAGAGAGAAGCCCCCTCCACCCTGCGCACTCAGCCCGCCCCACCAAAAGGACTGGGGGACAATGAACCGGCCCCCTCGCAAAAAAGTTTGCTGACCCCTGTGTTAAAGCAACTAAACTTGCACTCTCTGCAGCGACTAGGAAGCACCATATTTAAATCCATGCAATTTAAAACTGTGGATCCAGTGGCACGGGAAAATTTTACCCGAACAAGGTTTAGGGAATACTAACAAATTTGTATCTCATATGCCAGAGCTGGAGCTATACCAGATATGCCATAATGGAGTAATTACAAATAAAACAGAAGTAGATAAACTGTTTAAACTTCTACAAAAAAACATGATTGTTTCTCCCATCTCTTATTGCCAGTGGCTCAGTATAATGACCATTCTGTTTTCCATGCTCTACACTTCAGAAGCAGAACAAAGAGTATTAAGTACTTGCTGGTTTATATAGTGATAATGCTAAGCTAAACAAGATATTGATTAAGAACTGCAAGGATATATATACACTATCTTAGTACAAGAGCTGGACTTTGAACTATTTATCCAATGGGCTGGGCAATCTTTGGGGCATGCGTATAGGCATTTTTTAAAAAATACATTTGAATTTTTTTTTTAATATTCAGAAAAAAGCTACGGGACAACAAAAATGTACACATAAGGGTAAAAGCTCATCATTTAAGGTTACAATTATTTACACTACAAATTGATTCCCAAAATTCCATATTCATACTCAAATTTCCATCTCTAAGGTTCTCCAGTTAATATTTAACTGTAACATTAGCTCAATATTAAGAAATTATAGCAGCAGCAAACCAGGCTCTTCCTTCAGTAAAATGCTGATCCCAAACAGGTTATTGTTTTGCTAAAGAGCAATCATAGAGACCTTGATTCTTGGGGTGGGAAATCAACTTTAAAGGGAAACACAAGTTGTAACTAACTGATTTTTGTTGCAATACTGGTATAAAAAGCTGTAGCTAATAATGTGTCTTGAAAGAACTATTCAACAATAAATTGAATAGGAGAGTTACATGTAATTTGATCAAGATTCCCCAGAACATTGTTAATGCAGTATCATACAAATTGGCTACTATATCACAGGGAACTGATTATCCAATTCTAAGGCAAAAAGCAACTTCAGTGCATAGAGACTATAAAGAGGAAAACTTTCCATGTGATGGAGTGCAGGATTACACAAGGTGAAATAAAATACAAAATTATAAAAGTTAATTATTGGTTTGGCCAGGGCCAAAATCATGGAAGGACCTATGCAGGCCAATGTCTCTCAACCCTTTCCTTTATAAAAAGAAAAGAAAACCAGCTTAGAAAACAACAACGACAAAATAGGCCTCTAGCCCATTTGCTTAGAAAGAAATAATAGCATAAATGTAGCTAGTAGTATACCAGATTGCTCTCTAAAATAGAAAGCACACATTGGTTGGAATGGTTGTCCATTAGGCAGCACAGCATGGGGAGGCAGGCTGATGCACAGGCAGATGTTTCCGCCAGATTCACGGCCCATTTCTGCTCATACCTAGGAATTCCAGATCCATACTCTTTTGCCATCAACGTGCTCTGCCATGTCCTACCACCACACCCAGGGAACCTCCAGACATACGTATATTATGTAACCAAAAACATAAAAAGAAATGTGAGAACTGAATCAACAGTGCTGATTCTGAACAACAATGAGATTATGACTAAGGTTGGTGATACCTGTTTTCATAAAGAAAAAGCAAGTATAATATAGGTGCTGAACATTTTAAAACAAATAAATAAAACAGCCAAACTTAACCACCTCATAATTTAAAAGAATTTATTTCTTTTTGATGTTCCAACATGAAAAGCATGTACAGTAGTCCCCAACTTACGCAGGGCTTATGTTCTGGAGATCGCGCCTAAAGCCAAAATCATGTATAGTCAAAACACACTGAGTGCAATGGCAGGTGGGATTGTCAAAGTCATTATTCCCAGAATCTTGCCCCCTTCCCAGTTTTTCTCATTTTTTAAATTGCCATAAAGCTGAATGTGCACAAGTGAAATGTGCGTAAGTTGCTGGCTTTCTGTAATGTACTTGTAGATAAGCACCTAGTTATGCAATGGGAGTCTGGAATTGCCCAAAACCAACCACACTGAAAATATCACAGACTATTGCAAAGTGATAAAGGGAAAAAATGCTGTTCACTACTGAGTGCTATTTTTTCAAATCCTATCCATGGGGCGTCCAGTTTGAAATGTTTTATTTTGCTTGAATTTACTTTGTTACTTTTTTTTAACAAAAAGAAAGATCAGAGCTGAACATGTATTTGATACCTATACATGAGACTGCGTTAATTAATTCATATCTCAAAAGCACTTTAACACTTGCAAATCCTTCTACATACTGGACGTAATCCAGTCAAAGTTAAGCACTTTGAAGTCCCATTGATTTCATTCAGACATTTAAGCAAGTGTTTAAAATCAATGGGACTTCAAAGTGCTTAATTTTGGAGTCCCGTCCCCCCTGCCAACAGCGGTACAGAGTTCTACAGTGCAATGGTAACCTTCCACCCCACCCCAGGATGTTGATGGCTGCTTTACCCCGTCATTGAGAGAACTACCGCTGGCTGTTCAGCTGCTGGTGGCAGCTAGTGGAAAGTCCTGAAATGGGGTAGTGCCACAGCAACTTTGAATCCAAGGACCCAAAGCCCTGCAGATACCCTGAAGGGCCAGATACGCAGACCCCTCAGCTATGCCAGCCTTGATTTGAATTCTCCATGTAGGACAAACAATAAGTGTTTAGTTTTTTTCCTATCACATGCACTTAATAAAACTGAACATTAATTAGAATGACAATGGTATTAACAGTACAGTTAACAGAAGCATTTCATTTTTCATATGCGTACAGCATGAATATCTAATAAATAATTACCTGAATTGGAATCTGGGAAAGACAAATAGCAAATATTGGTTTTCTAGGGGAGAAAAATAGAAGTTACATTTTGGCAGGAGAAAAGCGCCATCGTAAACGTATTTTAAAACTTCTACTCACCTCTTTATCTGTAAGTTTTGCATGTTGAGGATGTATTACCTGCAAATGATAAAACTTGCATTGGTCGACAAAAAGATGGTGCAATCTACCAGCATTACGAATTGTGCAAAGTTATATGCACTAGCATACCTGTGACCACATCTTCTTATAAATGGTGGGGTATGCACTTATAGACAGTAGCCCCCATCTAGAGATTTCAAGGTTTATTCACAGCAGCTTTGCAAGGGTTTGCATACATCCAATAGATTTTTTTTTTCTTGACCAGTCCCTTCACTTTACACTGCAAACAGCATTTGGAAAGTTCAAAATCCAATCCATTACATAAAGGCAGCAACGATATCCAGGGAACATCAGGAACAAACTCCATGCAACTCCCTGCAAACATTTTTGGCCTGTTAATTCCTGCTTATATCATCCATTTTTGTTAATAAATCACAATGCCTTACCTTCCAAGGTACATGGTATTACCTGGAACACAAAGAACTCTTTCCAGCTATTTATAGCTCTATGCAGATGAGCTGAACCTGTTACACTTATATCCATTTATATCTTTCTTATATTATAGCATACTTTCAACTGATAATACATGCTATAGCTCAACTGCAGATTAGGGATCAGGAATGTGCCAAAGACTCCCCTCTCGCTTACCATTTCCCTCCTTAATTTGCAAGTTGCTCAAGCCATAGCTCTCCATGATCTCGAAAGAAGGCAACGATGGTTAGTGCTATCCTACAAATGCCTTGTAAACCGATTTAAAATAATAGTTATAAATAATTTTTTGGAGGTTAACATTAACCTTTTGCCTGATTCAGCTATCACAGTTAGACCAACCTAGAAATGGAGGAAGGGATTAACATCAAAGAGATTGTGTGCATTCCAAACCTCCATAGTTTCAAAGACAGTCACTCTAAACTGAACCAAAAAGACCATATTGCATTACAAGATTTCAGTTTACCGATCAGAATAATGGCTTGCAAGCATTTTGTCTTTTGGATGTTCATTAGTTAACATTAGTTCTAGGGAACTTCCAGTCCATGAGCCTAGCTAGACACTCACCTGCCCTAGACCTAATGATTGCAGGGTTTGCAGCCATTCCTGATCAGCTGACTCTCTGTGCCTACAAACCATTGTGCCTTTGCCCATGAAATGTGGTTTTAAAGTGCAATGGCAAAGGAAGCAGAGTTTGCAGGAACTGACCATCAGCTGATCAGGAATATGTGCAAAATTTGTTCCTTTTGCCCACATGGTTTGATTTCAAACAGCACTGGCAAAGAAAAAAGCTTCACCTGATGTCAGGTAACTGACAGGTTAGTGGCTGCACCCACCTGTCAAAATTGCCCACAGTGGTTGGGGGAGGTCATCCACTTCCTCAACTCTGCTTACCATACATTATCATTTTAAGGAGTTCAAGATAATGTGCCGGATGTATATAGGCTAGCTAAGGCTAAAAGTGTGTTTGCTTTGGAATTTGTCAGCTTTCAATTCTACAGAAGGATCTAAAAGGATATCAGTATTTAAATGGAAAGTGCCATAGTGCATTTTTAAAATGTCTGAAGAATCTAAAACTTACTTTTGAATACAGCCACAGGTTTACATTTCTGACGTGTGAAACGCATTAATTTAGTTCATTTGAATCACCTATTCCTTCAAGGAGCCAGAGAGATATATATGCAGTTATCACGTTTTAGTTATTTATGATTTCTTAAATATACAATACTACTAGAATTATAGAATTGTAGAGTTGGAAGGGACCCAATCTAGTCCACCACCTACAAAGCTACTCTTTTTGTCATTTCTTGCTGTTATTATAGACTTGTTTCAAGGTTAAATATTGAGCTTCATAGCTGGGCAGGAATACACATCTTGGGTTTTCTAGATTCAAATTTAACACTCCAATGACCATTGCATGCTAATTTTCTCAAGAGGAGACAAACAACTGGAGGTTCTTTCTCTTTCAGCCGCTGCTAGCAAGAGGTAAAAAATAAACAAATGAAAATACCCTAAGTTAATTGGTTCTTTTGCGGCGGGCGGGCGGGGGGGCGGGGCTGCTACATGAATAGATGTGGAACTCGGGACTGTGGTCTATGATCATAAGACACGCACAATTTTGTTAAACTGGATTATCATACTTAATCTATTCCAAATACATTAGAGTTATAGAATCCGTTATTTTACAGGATACTTCCCCCCCTAGAGTAAAAAGTTTGGGACCAGCTGTAATCTACTATGTATATCTTAACATGATTGGAGTTCAGAAAACACAAATCACACATAGGAACTAAGTCTTTTATGTGCCCTGTGACACTCCTTACCTCTAAAGATGTGGCAGGATCCGTCCCTACCTTCTTTCAGAAGTCTTCTATCAACTGTACTCTTTAGACAAGCCTTCAGAATATGATTTTTTTATTTTTAATCAGCCAGTATCTACTGATGTTTTACTGATACGTTTCATTATGTTTTATGGATATTTGTAGACTGCCTTTATTGTAGCTGGATAGCACACCTGGCTACAGCGCTGCGCTGATACCACCAAGGTTGCAGGCTTCCTTCCTGTATGGGGCAGCTGCATAGTCCTGCATTGCAGGGAGTTGGACTAGATGATCCTCAGGGTCCCTTCCAACTCTACAATTCTATGATTCTATTTTTTTTATTGTAAGCTGCCTTGATATATTTTATGAAAGTGTGGATTATAAACAGTTAAATAATCACCCCCTTAGTTAATCCAAACTGGTGAAGGCCAATGAAAACTGAAGATCAGGGTGCATGTAGATAGATGACAGTGTCTTATGTGCACTGGATATGAACCGAACTTCAACAAAAACTACTGCAGAACAGACTTGTCCCTCACTTGAGTTAAGATATGGCTTTTACACTTCCCAGGCTCACTGAACGAACACTAATATACCATGATGCTGTGACAACTGTACTGTAGTGGCCCTTTACAATGAAGCTCACAGTGTAATGATCCTCAGCAATGAAGTATAGCCTTGGGCTTATCACTCTCGGCTGCCTTCTCCTAATGCACCCCATCAGTGGAAGCCCAAGGACTTTCACTTGCACAACACAGCCTCCCTTTTCTCTTCCTCCTGTGTGCCCCAAAATTGACTGGGTCATGAGAAAAAAGGCACCGGGATCATTCCATCCAGAAAGATGCAATGCTTGCACATGCTGAAGTCCACCCCATGTCTCCCAAGCTTAACTTGCCTCACAGAGCTGTTAGGGTGGTTTAGAGTTATCTAATTTTTACGACTGAGTTTTCTGGAGAACTGATGAGGAAAATTATAAGACCCAAATATCACAATTAACCTTGTATTTTGCCTCCAGTCCCATATTACATTTGATACATGAAAAACAAATCTTGGACTAAAAAGGTACTTGGGAAAGGAATCTGGGCGGAATACAGTAGCTACTTTTCTCAAACAAGCCAATCTTGAAGGAACTTGTAACAAGAGCGCTGTTTTTTATTTTATTTCTTTTGCTATCACTTTCGTTAATGAAGCAGCCTCCTTTCCCGCTTTCCAAACAACGGAGCCTCTTGGATAAGGAAAATAGAGGCTCTTGAGAGCAACAGCAGCTGATAAAAGGAGAGCCGCCCAAACTCCGCACATTTCAAAACACATTACACGCGTCTGCTTTTGCTGTTATTACGCAGAGCAAGACCAGCAAACGGGGGAAAAAATAGAGACACCCTCTTCTCGGGAAGCAGCAGTACTATTATCCTGAATAATGCTCCAAAAAAGCGATTAAGAGCCGCTGTATCAACAAAGACAGCCTGGCGCAAAACACAAGAGCTGGCGACCGACCCGCAGCGCCCCGGGGAGATGCCGGGAGGGTCTCCACTCCATCCTTGGGGAGCGGCGTTCCCACGACCCGTGTCAGCCCCCGGGCAAAGGAAACGAGCCAGCCCCGCCTTTGCCTGCCCTCCTCCCCACCTGCAGCAGAACCCGCCGCATCTCTCCTGGTGGGAGGACGGGCGGGCTTCCCCGTCCCTTCCCCGCTCACCTCCACCGCCTGCCCGAGCTCCAGGTCGAAGCCCACCACGCACACGCAGTGCAGCCAGGCCGAGAAGCGGTCCCAAGGCAGCAGCGGCATCAGGCGCCCGCCCGGCGCGCATTCCGGGAGCTCCCGAGCCTCCTCCGGGGAGCCCGCCCGCCTCGCGCTTCCGCCGCCGCCGCCATCGCCCGGCTTCCGCAGGGACATGGCGATTGGCGGCGCCGCACCGAAACGGCCGGCGGCACCCGAGCAGCAGCCGGATTCCCCCTCACTTTCGCCCTAAGCCGCCGTGCAGCCGGTTCTGCCAGAAACCCCGAGGGAGGGCCACGTGACGCGGGTCTCTGGGGCCGCGGCCGCCCCTAACCTCCCCCCCTCCCGCTCCGCTATGGGAACGTCCACAGCAGACCGAGAAGAGGGAGGTGGAAGAGTCCAAACGAGCATCATAGGGGTGGAGACAAGCAGAGGGGAGGAGAATAGCCCTTTGGCGGCCGCAGGGAGGAGGGAGAGTATTTAGTCCGTCTTTGGAGGGGGTCCTTCTTCCTTCTTCCAGGATTTTTTTTAAAAAAAACAACCCTCCCAAAGAATATGCTATGTTCACTGGGTTGGTGGTACAGGCCCTCAGGGGAAGGAGTTTTCCTACGCATACTTTCAAATCTGCCTTTTCCCCACCCTGAATACCCAGCCATAGAGCGTTCCAGGCGCTTCTCCGGTTATATTTAGCTCAAGGCCCTTTAAAACGGCAACTTTGTTGGCGTAAGGCTGGGAAGCACTTTAAGGTCATGACATCTGATCCAGTCCCATGCACTGAGGCAGGCTTCTCTTCCCCATTCTGGTATTATAGACACACACAGAGAGAGAGAGAGAGAGAGAGAGAGAGAGAGACAGAGAGACAGAGAGAGACAGACACACACACACACACACACGATTTTGATTTTGCCTTAATGAAGCCAGAATAACTACAGTTCTCTTCTATATTTGCAACCAGGAACATTAAGCAGAATTCTAACTGCATAATTCATGTGCAACCCACATTTGTTTATTTAGGGTGCAGTATTTGCTACCTTGCTCTTCTGTTCTCAAAGGGTTTTCCAAAGCAACTTACAAAGGAACTTTCAAAATAACAGCAAACAAAGCTTTTTATTACCCTTTAAGCTTTCTAGGTGGTTTATAAAATACGTTACATCTTTATCTGCAGGAATTGATCCTGAATATATATCGACACCTATATATTTCCCTCCCCAATTTGAAGGTGCAATTTTTAATACTCATGTGGGGATGGGTAAATTCCATCCTTCCCGCTGCTATACTTCTCTTTGATTTGGGATGCATCTATGCAACTGCTATGAACTTTTTTTTTCTACACTCCATAAGATCCCTGTCACAGATCTGCACCCAAGCCTAGGGTATCACTGAAATTGTATCTGATCTGGCACCAATGGAAGCTTTTCTCCTGACACAAATAGCAGGCACTAGGATTTGGGATGGGGGAAGAAATTTAACTTTGTTTGCATTTTAGCGAGATACTACCTAATTTGCACTTCTCAAAGGAATATGAGAACCAAAACATAGCCATCCTTCAAAATCTGCACTTCTCTGAATTTTGTGATGTAGAGCTGTCCAGGGTTTCAGACTGAGGTCTCTCCCAAACCAACTTGGAGATGCCTCAGATCGCCTCTCCCTGTATGAACTGACCTGGAAACTGCAATCATCATATGAGGACCTTCTTTGTGTGCCTCTTCCATGAGAGGTCCAGAGGGAGGCAACATGAGAACAAGCCTTTTCTGTGGTGGCTCCCCACTTTGGAATGCTCTCCCTAGGGAGGCTCGCCTAGCACCATCATTACACATCTTTAGGGACCAGGCAGAAACATTCCTCTTATCCCATGCCTTTGGCTAATTAAATAATCTATGGCCTTTTAAACTATAGAGGGGTATTGTTTTTATTTGTTATTATGGTATGTATTTTTATATTGTAAACCACCCTGAGATCTTCGGGTGAGGGGTGAAATAAAAACTTAATAAATAATAGTAATAATAAAAAATAATACTAGGGATTGAACCTGGGAGCTTCTGCATGCAAACCCGATGCCGTACCACATAGCTGCACAGTTTCCCTAAGACAGAGCCAATACTTCTGGCTTTCTGGCTTTCCTCAGTGCAAAATTGGGTCATTAACTAATATAAATGATTGGCTAGCCAAGCACATACATGATTATATAGACCTGCTCTGAGAGCCAGATGAGAGGGGGGGCATTTTGCTTATCACCAATGTAAAGGTGTTAGGGCAGTTTCACAAGACACCAAAAAGAGGGTGTCCCCCCCCCCCCATGCATATTCTGTAAAGTGATTTTTTTAATTCTACACTAACTAATGTAAGTTTTACAATCACATTACAGAACTTTCATCTGGAGCTTCAAAGATTAGCTGTATCAATTTTTCAACAAGCAGATGATTGAATTAAACATTGAATAGTTGCTCTGATAGTTAGCTCTGAGGAAGAGCTCTAATAATTTATTGATTTCTTTCATTTTACATGGTAAAGGTTAAAAAGAGCTTTGACGTATTTTCCAGGAATGAACATGCACATGAAAACAAACCAGGAAATTGCACCTCACTATGTCTCCTGGTAGGTCTATTTCTTGGGGATAAAGGTACTGTCAACCTTTAGCATTATGTAACCATTAATTGCATTCTAATTATTAGCTAGATTAAAACTAGTTAGATTAGTGCCTTGAAGCACACATCTATGTTTTCTCTCTCTTCAATCTAGACTTATATTCTAGGGAAGCTTTCACAAATGATGCTAATAACATATTTTATCTGGAATGTGTCCCTTGTAGATGTTTCTACTGCAAATAGAAAATGCATTTTAATCAAATGTACATTCTAGCCTTTGTAGGTTTTACAATTAAATTATATAAGCAATGGAACAGTGTGAAATTAAAGCTGCCTATAGGGGGCTACTCTCGACTATGAGAACCTTTAACTCCTACAGAATGTGCTAAGGTTGTGTCAGAGACTGTGATCCAAAGCATGTTTACTCACAACTCCAATGAAGCTTGCTCGAAGTAAGAGCATTTAGTGTTGCAGCCTGAGCCAGGCTTCTCATACAGTGTTTTTTATTTGGGTGTATAAACCTGATTACAAAAATTGGCAGTTGCAAAAGGTACATATTATTCACTTGTTGTTGTGATGGCCACTAACTGAATGCCTTGAAAAGACAAATTCATGGGGGATAAGTAGCAGTGACTAATTCTGATAGCTATAAATTACCTTCAGAATCAGAGGCAGGGTGTATCAGAATATCCTGTCACTGGGGAACAACAGCAGGAAGCTATTGCTCTTATGCCATACAGTGGTACCTCGGGTTACAGACGCTTCAGGTTACAGACTCCGCTAACCCAGAAATAGTACCTCGGGTTAAGAACTTTGCTTCAGGAGGAGAACAGAAATTGTGCGGTGGTGGCACAGCAGCAGCAGGAGGCCCCATTAGCTAAAGTGGTACCTCAGGTTAAGAACAGCTTCAGCTTAAGAATGGACCTCCGGAACGAATTAAGTTCTTAACCCGAGGTACCACTGTACCTGTGAGCTTCCCATAGGCATCTGGATGCTGAATTAGATAGGCCTTTAGTCTGGTCCAGCAGGGCTCTGTATTCATTCCTGTGTTAATTTTATTCAAACAAGAATTACAAATATAGTCAGTGTTATAGTTTGAACTGAACCCTAAGATACCTGAGAATAAGTGTTACTGAATTCAGTAGGACTTGCTTCTGGGTAAATTGCAATGTATATATATTTGGCTTTTCCAACTAGGATAATAGCTGAAAATTTTATTTTAATAGCTTCACTATTTTATTTATTTGCTTACAAAAAGGAAAGTTTTATTATTTGGGTCTAGAAAAGGTAACCCTGTATGGAAGTAATCATTTAATTTATTCTGCATGCTCATAAAGGCTTTGTAATTGTGTTTCTCAAACAAGATCCCTCTTGCTTATGGCAAATCTCTTTTGAATTCTAAAGCAGTTTGTGATATGGCATTTGGGTCTGCTGTTCAAAACAAAACAAATGAATTGGGCATGTCCAAACCCTTGAGTTCCCCAGCCTAACATATCTATTTGGATCCCTGCCACTTTGTAGACTTCAGGGTTATCATTCAGAAACAGAAGAAACAAACACGTCACGCTAAAGAGCTCAAGAAACAAGCAGCCCTACAATGGTTGTTTTCAGTTTATATATTTATAATGCAGCTGAAGGCAATTCAGTTATGTTTATAAAAATATACCATCACAAACAAAAGCCTCCAATCCTTTGTGCACTGGATTCTGAATAAGCATACACAGGTTTGAGCTGCAACTGTCATAGTTGCCATAAATTAATTTAGCTGCCCTGAATCCATTTTTTGTGTATATTCCACTCCATCATAGGACAATTGCACTCTCATATCATATTCAATATATCATATCATAAGAGCACTGCCACCATATCATCAACATCATAAAATATATTGTGAACCGCCCTCAGCTCTTCAGATAACGGGCAACATGTAAATAAAATATTAAAAAGTAAAGGTAAAGGTACCCCTGCCCGTACAGGCCAGTCGTGTCTGACTCTGGGGTTGCGCGCCCATCTCGCTTAAGAGGCCGGGGGCCAGCGCTGTCCAAAGACACTTCCGGGTCACGTGGCCAGCGTGACAAGCTGCATCTGGCTAAATAAAATATTACCCACCCATTTAAAACCGCAATATACCTGCTGAAAATTGAGAAGCAGCAGTTAATTTATCATAGCAATTAATAAAAAGCAGACCAAAATAACTTCCATGTTCATGTCCAAATAACGGGGTCACAGCGGGTGGTGCTGTGATCTAATCCACTGAGCCTCTTGGGCTTGCCGATCAGAAGGTTGATGGTTCGAATCACCGCAATGGGGTGAGCTTTGTGCGCTCTGGTTTCCGTCACAGTGTTCCGTTGCGCCAAAGCGGTTTAGTCATGCTACCTTTTTACCTATTGGGGCCTATGTGTATTTCCTGGGAGAGGGAATTCCATAGGTGCAGGGTAACCAACAAAAAGGACCTGTTTCCTTGGTTCCAGATATAATCTATCTAGAAAGCCTCACTCAGTGATTGTAAAATGGTGGTGGGGAGGAACCTGTGGTTCTTCAGATGTAGCATGGCTAATGGTGGGAATTTTCTCAGCCCTGCTACATGGGATCCTACAATATGGATATGCTAGAGCAGGCTTCCTCAAACTCTGCTCTCCAGATGTTTTTGGCCTACAACTCCCATGATCCCTAACTAGCAGGACCAGTGGTCAGGGATGATGGGAATTGTAGTCTCAAAAAACATCTGCAGGGCCGAGTTTGAGGAAGCCTGTGCTAGAGACTCAACCTGGGAATGTACGCATACAAACATGCATTTTTACCACTGACCTATGACTGCTCCCAAACTACAATATTCTCTTGAGTGATTATACTTGCAGGTGGGAGGGATCGGGTTGTAGCTAGATGTAGTCATCAAAATCACAAATCACTACTATTACTATTACTTAAGGGGCCAAATATGGTTTGACCCTGGGTCTCCCTCTTCTAAATCTCCTTTTCCTCAAACAAGGTAGATATTGGGTGTTGCGATCACACATTTGTATGCAGTGTGTCATTTGGCCCTTAGTTAAAATCCTGTCTTTCAAAAATCTCTCTCCTTCTTTCTTTCTAGGAAAGCTTAATTGCTGCAGAGGGCTCCCTGCTGTCCACGCACAGACTATTTTGTTTGGCTGTGGGCACAAGAAGGCCTGGGTTCATCCTGGTAATGCATGGGACCAGAGGCAAAAACTGGGTGAAGCAATGGCTGTGATGCTGACTTTTGATTGTGAGGCTGCATTTCAGCCACACAAAATTTGGGGGCTTCTACACATGCACATGTCCATTCAGCCAAGCAGGAGGTATTATCACAGTTCAATGACATCTTACAAGCCTTTGAGGAAGGTGCAGATCAGGTACAGGGAGAGGTGTGGGCCTGGGGAGAGTCACAGGGAAGCAAATAGAGATAAGCCTGGAGGGCGTCATTTGGGTCTTAGGCCTCAGGTTTCACATCCCTATGGAAGCTATTAATTTTAAAACACTGTTTTGAAATGTTCACTCATTCTGAAAAAGCAAACATGCTTTTAAATCCCCCAATCTCCATTTCAAGCTTCAGTAAAATAGCAACAACCCCCTTCAAGCTTTCACAGTTCTACTCTCACACAGAGCTGACAACTAAATTTAATTATAGAACCGCAGCCTACAAAATGTCTTAATTTTTTTTATTCTGAAGTAGAACCACGATCTACTTAGTGTCTTGCATTTTTATTGCAAACTTTGGACGTGTACTTTACCAAAACATTTTGAACTGCCCTTTCCTTCTATATGCCAGCACAAGAGGACATTTGCTGACATTTTGTAAACCAAACAGCTTTGTCTTCTCCCTAAAGCATTTTAACTGATGCATTTGAGCTAGTTTGTTTTTATGAAAGGATGATGGGAAGCTTTCCTGGCAAAAAAATGCTGATAATCATTGGCAACCTGCCAGGCAGCAGCAAAGTCTAAGTAGATTAGTGTAGTCAGAACTGGTTGTCTGTATTGCGTAACTTTCCATAAATTATTATCTAAATTCTACATTACTTTCTGGACCCTTGATTTGCCTCAAGTCATTTTGCAGGTCAAGTATCATGATATGTCAGCTACCAATTTTTTGTGTATAGTCTTTTGAAATATTGCCTTAACTTTAGAATCTGAACACTGAAAATAACAGATTATTATTCCTTTTTTTAAAACACACATGACACCTTGACCATAAACATATTTCCTTGCAATTAATATTATTTTTAGCTAGATAATTCCAAGCATGCTTAGATACACCAGATGATAGTTATATTCCTTTTTTTCAAAGATCTATTTTTTTATTTTTCTGTTACAAAATTGCACACACAAATTACAGTAATAAAAAATGATATGATTGATAAAAAATGGATCACTAGTGGGGTTAAATACTTAATATTAATTTTATTTCATCATTTAGGATCCTCACTCCTTAGCCCTTACTTTTGCCTCAGCCAAATATTTTGTCATGTTTTTTAAAAAGGAGTCAAGAACTGCATTGAATTTCTATTAACCCTTCCAGTCTGTTCTTTGCTTTCCTCACATTGCATACCCAGTCTCTTACACATACCTCCTTCCCTGCTTCTTGCTCCTGAAGTAGATTCTCTCCACTCCATCTGCAGTCCTGCAGCCTGCTCCATTAACCTTGACCTATCTTTTCCCTTCGTCCTCATCCTCTCGTTCATTTCTTCCTTTGCTAGAAGCCTTCAGGCTGTTTCTGTCTTATGGCTCCTACAAATGTGTTTCCCCCCCAGATTCCTTCCAGGAAGAAGAAAACAAAACCCAACCTGAATATCACATTTCCTTTTCCTGAAGCTTCTTCAACCTTTCCATCTTCAAGATTTCCTAGGCCCCATCTGGCAGTATCACATTTCTTTAAACTATCAGCTTTTCCTAAAGGATAATGGGAGTTGTAGTTTGTCAAAGGTGCTGAGAGTTGCTAGTTGTTATGCCCTTTACAGAGCTACAATTCCCAAAGTGGTTTAATAATCAACCCCCTCTTCCCAGGAAACTCTGATACTTGTCGCTCTTAACAAAGTACATTTCCCAGGATTCTTTGCAGAATGCCATTCTGTTATATTGCTTTAAATCAGGGGTCGGCAACGTGCGGCCCATGGGCCAGATGCGGCCCACGAAGACAGTTTTACCAGCCCATGAGCCACCCCTGAACTGAGACTCCCACTCGGCGAGTCCCCTGTGTGCTGCACTAAATCAGTGCAGCACAGCGACTCACCAAGTGGCGCCAGAAATCACGTCTGCGTACGCGCAGATACTGGAAATCACGTCTGCACATTTCCAGATGCCAAAAATCACTTCTGTGCAGGTGCGATTTTTGGCGTCTGGGCATGCAGAGAATCAGTTTCCGGCGCTGCAGACATGCGCAGAAGCCATTTCTGGCATCGTGCTGTGCCAGTCCGGCCCACGGACGATCTCTGTGGGAGTGATCCGACCCATGGTCGGTAAACCTTGCCGACCCCTGCTTTAAATGTATAGCGCAGATGAAATTGTACATCTATATATGGTAAATATAACAAAACAAGAGAAATTAGGCTCTTACTTATGATGACTATCATAGAATTACAGAGATGTGTGGCAGACTTTCCTTTGTCTATGGTGGCAACTCTACCTGAGCTGGTGTGTACCATGGCAAACAACCAGTAAGGATGCAAAAGAGGCAACATCTGTCAAAAACCAACCATTTCCAAATGGCAGTTTCCGCAAACTGAATAAGTTCATTTAAGCCCTTTTCTAGTTTACTTCACTGGATCACATCCAAATTATTCTGAACTCCCTTACTGAGTTAATTGTTTACAATATGTAATTATTTTATTCTTAATATTTAATGTTGCTTAAAAATATTACTAAAAAGGCTGCAGCTTAAATAATTAAGCCATACTGCTACAGCTACACACCTGCAGAAAGATTTTGAGTAGCTTAACTTCATTATATGATCCATTAAATTAGGAGAACTGTACATGCAGTAAGAGTCAGGCAATTAGCATGTAAGAATTTGCAGAACTGGCCTCTCTGTTCCCCACACATAGAAACACACCCATGTTTACACACGATAACATCTTTAACCAAGACAGAAAGGAATTCAGAATACAAAAACACACAGTACAAAATGTGCCATCATGACATCTCAAGCAAGTGCCTGAGATTAATAACAAACGTTAGCAATTATATGAGTACTTGAAAATAGAAACAATGTACATACAATAGTAAATGGAATAGAAAGCACTTCCCTTAATGGTAGTTTGCATGGAATTTGTCACATTAGAGCCATGGGTATTTGCATCAACCTTGAAATCTAGAGCATGGACAGGATACTGGAATAGGAAAAGGGGAGTGATCCTAAATGAAGTATTTGATGGTGTACTGCCTATGGCATGGGTGAGGAACTAGTGGCCTGTGGGGAGGATATGCCCGGCAGCAGCATAATGATTAATTTTACAAAAAAAACCCTCCCATTTACAAGACTTGGAACTTTTTCCTAAGCCTAATTGCCAAACTGAGGTCAATTAATGGAAGTATGGCACTTACTTGGGAGTAAGTCCCACTGATATCTGTGGTGTTTACTGAGTAGACATGGATAAAATTATGGTGTTCAATATACTTCCAGGTTATAAAGCCCATGAGCATAATTGTGCTTACCTCTGAGCAAGGGACCTGGAACACAAAATATCCCAAATGAATAATGTCAAATATGGCGTCAGATGTGGCCGCTGAAAGTGGTGCTCTGAAGTGCCACCAATCAGCTGCTTGTGGGTGCTTGCAAAGTGCTGTGACATTGCCCTTTGATTTCAGAACACTGACAACGGGTCACCCCACATCACCATCGTGTTGTCAGGTAGCTGACAGGTGGCCAGTCCCACCTACCTGTCAAATTTGCTACACACACCCTGCCCCTAGCCAGGTCCAGTTCTGACTCCTATCCTAGACAATAGAAAGTGTTGTGCTATAATATGCCCTATGAGGTTTTTCAAACAAAAATGAATTCAAGGAAGCAGAAGTAAGTGCCCTTTTTCTTTGTTAGGGAGATTTACTATTCCATATTATATATTGGAATTGGGGAAGTAAAATGTTCCACAGAACTATCTATGTTAGGCTGTTTTGTTCCTTAATTATACATTATTGCATTGATTTAGGCATTGTTCCTGCATTGGAGGGGGTTGGACTAGATGACAACTAGGGTCCCTTCCAATTCTACAATTCTATGATTCTATTGTCAGTTCTTCTGCGCATGCTGAAGATCAGAGGCCTAATTCATTCAGACTGCAATCTTACCCCACCTACCCAGAAGTAGTTTCTTCACTGGGCACAATTCTGACTAGACATGTACAAGATTGCACTGTTATGTAACATGTACAGGACTGCGCTGTTACTCACATCTTTCCTCTGGCCTTTGACAGTTAAGATATTTTGTTTTGTGGGACCCACCTCTTTTGTGGAATTTATACTGGCCTGTTCTAGCTGGAATGGTTTTACTTGTTTTATAATTATAACTGTTTCATTTGTTTTTATAATTGTATGTTACATTGTTGTAACCTGTCCTGGGAGCTTATAGCAAAGGGCCGAAAATACATCTTAAATCCTATCAGCAGTACTGCCTCCCACTGTCCTTGGGATCTCATGTCCCTGATTATTATGGTGCTTGTTTCCTCCTGCTGCTATTACACTCTGATGGCTTCCCCTGTCTGTGCACTGGAAATGTAAGCAAGAACTAAGGCTCTCCAGGACTTGTGGTTTTCGACAGAATGTGTTACACAAAGAGGGATTTGTCACTTCTGTCCCTTAAAACTACAACCCTGAGTGTTTCCTGTCCAAGCAACCTTGTGCTCTCATTCTCACCTGGAAGATAGCCTGGGATAGCAGCTCCCTGTTTATGTTCCAGTGCAGCTTCTGATTGACTCTAGCAAATCTTACAAGATTTGGAAACTCTATATAGCTACAGGGAAATACTGTAAGCTTTCATAAACTTCCTCAAGCACCCTCAAGTGTCCAACTTCCTCAAGGTGGCGTGGGGAAGGAACTCTTTTCAGCCACATTCCCTCACAGGTAACCTGGGAGCAGGTATTTGCCACCAGTGGGTTTATGTATGCATTTCAGTTGCACTTAGTTCCAAATAAACCTCACAGTATAATTTTTGAAAGTGCCACTGTCAATAGCTAGTTATCTTCCATCTTTGGGTTTGGGTTTCTTCAGTGTAACAGTTTGCCTCTGTCCTTTCTAATTTGATTGTTGATGTGTACAAGTGTACAAACAACAAGCCTGTGCACGCTTAGATTGGAGTCCATGCAAATGCGGTTTCTGAGTAAATCCTGTACATGTCCACTGAGAAAACAAGAATAACATTGAGTTCAATAGGCCTCAGTAGTGCTGCCAATCCAGGCCTCTGTCCCAGACGTTAAGTTCCCCATTCAGCAGGAGGGACCCCAAATGTGGCAGGGCTGGTTTCCAGAATTTGTAGTAAGTTTGTAGTAAATAACATTACCATCTAAAACAGGTGGGGGGGGGGAGGAGGAGGAGAAGAGAGTCCATTAAGTCCCGAGTCTAAAATTAGCTAACTGCACCACTGATGGGATTTGCTCCCAGGTGAGTGCCAGATTGCAGCCTTCGGCTCCTGCTGCACTAGATTTACCGGAATCGTAGCACCTGCTCTACATAACTTGTGGAGTCGCGATGATATGAAGCAAGGATATCTCCTTAAGTCCTATGGAGGTCGCCTGTCAGTTTCCCTTGCTTCTTCGGGCACTAACGCGTTCATTTCGACCTCCCACCCCCGGGGAAAAACAACAACCCTGTTTCAACCCTACCCGACCACGATCATATTGAATGCGATCTCTTATCTGTATTCCCTCCCCAACCCCCACAAAAAGTAAAATCTGCAAAATTTAAATTGCAGCACTTTCTTCTTCGGTCTCTAAGGGGCTTTTACATCATCTTTCTTATTTATAAGATATATACAGTATAGAGAGAGAGAGCCACATAGGGTACCCGGAAGCGGATTCGCCAGGCCACGCTAGGTTAAGGGCAGCAAATGCCAGCCGAGCCAACGGCGGGGGAGGTAGGAGAGAGCGCAAAAAAACCTTCACCTACTTCCGTGCGCATGTGCCACCTGACGGGCAGGCGCCTGCGTAGTAGCGGATGGGCGGCCGTCAGCCCTCGGTTTGGCCAGGCCCATCGCCGAGCGGCTCCTCCTCCCCCCTCCCAACTCCCTCCCCCCTCCCCGGCAGCGCGGCTGCTGCTGCTGCTGCTACACCGGGTAGGTTTCCAGTCACTATGGCGGCTCCGTCTGCTGCTGGGAAGGTAAGAGTGGGTGGGGAGGGAGGGGAGCTGGGCGCCCTGCTCCGTCCGCAGCCGCCCCTTCCCGGCCGCCTTGCGTGCGCTTCTGCGGAGCCCCCGGGGCCGGGCGAGAGGCGTCGTCGTCGGGGTTTCGGGCCCCGCCTGAGCCCCCGAGGCTTCTTGACCGGGTTTGTTTTGATTTCCGTAGGTCGAGGGAAAGTTTTCGCTGCCGGCGGCCGCCTGAGAGAGAGAGAAGGAGGCGCCCCGCTCGGAAGGCGCCCCGGCCTCCAGGCCTCTCCGTCGGCGGGAACGGGGCGGCGAGCCCCGCCAGGGCAGGGCGGAAAGGCGCCTCTCCCCCCCTCCCCTCCTCAGGAGAAGGGAAGGAGGGAGCGCGGTCCTCGCTCGCAACAGCCACCTGCAGAGTCACGGAGGGAGCTGCCACCGGCCTTCGTCAGGCAGGCGCCACCTTCGCTGTCCGCAGCCTTTGCTCCGGGAGCCACCCTCCGCCAGTCCCGCCAGGCAGCATCCCGCCAACCCCGGGCTCCCTCCGGCGACAAGGCATCTGCATTGCTCGGGACCGTCGTCGGGGCGATCGCGGCACTTCTGGCTTCCGTCAGGCGTCCCCAACCTACTGTCAGTTTATTCCCCCCCCCCCACTTCCCTCGAGAAGACCGCCCCGTGCAATGGCTGGCATGCATCTCCAGGTGTACTAAGCCCCGTATAGCTCCGCGGGGGAATAATAAAACTGCCACTTCCTGAATGATCAGATCGGTGGCTCAGTTGGCTCCCTGAAAGAAAGAAAAAATTCTAGTCTGGGCCTGTGCAATCTTGGTGAGGGGGGCGGGAGAGAGCCTACTCATTAGTTGGGCATCCTCCCACATTGCCGACTGTGAGTTGATGGGTGAAGAAGATGAACCGCAGACTTACTCCTGGATCAGCTGAACTGCCTTTGTTGCAAAGTCTTCCTGTTGGCTCTCCAGTTTTTGCTCCAGTCTTGTAAATCTCCAGTCTTCTGTTTCCCACTCTCTGAATCTTCCATTGTTTCTCTCTATTGAGGAAAATCTTGGGCAGTGTTTACGGAAGAGAGCAGAGCCAATTGCATCCCGAACAAGTATTTTGTGTGTGAGTCATCCACTTGGATCTATAGCCATCCCCACCTTAATTTAACAAGTTCTGTTTCATTTCTGAGTCTTCAGATGCTTGTTCATATTCTTGAGAGAGATGGATTGAAGTGGAACATCTTAGATTTACTACCGGCCTTACTAAAAGAAACAATGGGGCTTTTTTACTGGATTATTGCCAGCATTAGTTCACACACTGAAGGTATGAGTTGTTAGATCTCACTTGCAGGTAATGTTTGCCCTGCTTTAATGTAAAGTGCTGTGGAAATTTTGCTTATCAACTGTGGAGGGTGGCTTGGATCAAGAAGAGTTCCTCTTCTGCCCTGGTTGGTGTGGCACCACATATCTATCCTCAATGCCTTCAGCCTTGGCTATCTTCACTTGCCGCCCGAACTCTCACCCATTTCAAGAACGTCATGTCTACCTGGATGAACCTGTCAAAATTGGCCGCTCAGTGGCTCGATGTCGACCAGCTCAGAATAACGCTACCTTTGACTGTAAGGTTTTGTCTAGGAACCATGCGCTTGTCTGGTTTGACCACAAGACAGGAAAGGTAAGGCAATCTATATTTCTAAGGAGAAGTATAATGAGCTTGATGTTTATTATTTTGATCAATGGTTGGTTGACTTTAGTAAGTCTTTGTAATTGACCTGAAATTGTACAGCAAAATGATTATTCAACCTGAGGCAAATTACATTCTTCTTTTCTTTTAGTTCAGCTAATGGAATATTGCATAAGAGGATAGATTTTTGGCTACTATTTATATTTGTAACACTCGTGCACAAAGTGTTTTAAAATAATTATTACATTTGTTCATCCAACATTCTTGAGAGATGTCATTGTACTGACATATAGTCAAAGCTGGGAAGTGGCTTCAGGATACTTGGACTTCCACCCCAATTGTTAATGCTGATACCGTTGACCCTCAACACTGCTATAACACATATTTTGTGGTGTGCAAACAGCATATTCAGTAGTTTTTATTCCTACTCCTAAGTATTTATTTCCTGGTTCAGTATGTCTTGAGTCTAGAACTATGGTGGAAATTGATTTCTGCCTCCAAATACCAAAACTCTTGTTGGTCCACTGGATGACAATGGTTTGAAATTCTGTGGTATTCTAGTTTGATAAGATCAAGTGGTACAGCTAATGTTGCAACTAGTTCTTGCTTGCCATGCCAGGGAGTGCAGTACTTAAGTGAAATAGTTGCTTTGTTTTTTTAGTGAAATAATTGTAGCTCTTAGTATTCTTGAATTGTAATTCAAACCTCAAACATTTTATGGGAACCAAAGGAGCATTAGAAAGTTGTTCTATATAGCAACTATCCCACCTCCAAAGTATGGTTATCTAAAGCAATGTGGCTGTATTTGGTTTCTGTAGTTTATTTGGTTTTTATGTATTCTGGCAAGAATATTTCAGCTTTAGTGATAGATAATTTGATTTTAAGCAGCTGATGCATAAATATAGGTAGAACTTTCCTAGCTGTTGTGGTTTACCTTGGTACAGTATTGAACTGTACGATATTTCCTGACTTTGTATATGGATATATCAAGAGGAATTGGGGAATTTAGTTTTTTTAATACACTCAGGTATTTTTTCTTTTTTGCAAGTAGGATGAAGTTGGTACATATACACTACATGTCATCTTATCCTCTACTAGGTATTTCCAATGAGGACATCTGCTGCTTAAACGTTTAGAGGCTTTGTAGTGCCTGATTTTGTCCAGCAGGGACTGAACTGGAAACTCAAATCAGTGTTTTATGCTAAGAAAGGAATTTAAAGTTGGGATAGCTTAAGTGACTTCGGTTTAACTGGTGCTTTCAGTAACTATAAAAAAAATGTTTTGCTATGTTCTCATGTGTCTACTCTTTGTAAATCTTTATCACCTGCTGTTTATGTTATCTATGTTTAGTATTTATGTTTTGCTGAAGACTGCTCTACTAATTAATATATTAGCAAAATTACCAGCTGGCTGCTTAATTTGGCACAGCATGGGTGCATTAAGAATGTTTGTTCAAAGTCTTACTATATTTTGCGCAGTAGTGAAACACGATGGGACAAGACAAAAGGTGAGTTTCATAAGTTGAAGCGTGAATTAAAGAACATTAACATAGTGTAGCACTTTTATGTGGAAAGGAAAATAAACCATTTCAAAATGCATTGTCTGGCATTCATTCTCATAACAGTGTAACAGCCTGGTTTACTTCTTTGCAGAAGTCTTCAACCTTGAAATATAGTTTTCCTTGCTTGAGGGAGTAGACTGAAATGGTCTAAAGTATTTTGTCAGCCTTCTGACTGGTATATTCCATACTATTATTTTCAGAATATTTCCAGGTCCTTTTAAGAATACTTATTGTTAACTATTATTGTTTTATAAGTTATCTGCCAAGAGATATCAATGACAGGCCAGCAGTAACAAAATTAGAAAATTGAGCCAAAGATTTCAGTCTTTACTTGCTAATTTTTAGCTTTTGGCAACTTGTGGCAACACATATTTTTAAAATGTGTTTTAACTGGGTATGTATGATTGCATATAGCTATGCCTTTGAATGTTGGCATTATTGGTGAGATTTATTGTTGTTTAATAAGGATACAGGCTTAAGGTGGTTACTACAATCTTTCAACTTAATATTCTGGAGTTATCACTTACCCTCTGCTTTACTTGTCTGAGCAGTTGCTTCTTATCCTATAAATGGAGATGGGATAGAGCTATACATGCATTCTTCATGGCACTGCTGCATTTAACATACTGCAGCATTATGCCCACATGGTTCTCTTTCATCCTTTCAGTCTAAGAGCTAGTAGCAGATGGGAGGTGGTGGTCGTGGTTATTTTATATACTGCCCTTCATCACAAGATCTCAGGGTGGTTCACAGGATAAAAATACAAGGTAAAAGCACAAACAAATACAGTGATACCTCGGGTTACATACGCTTCTGGTTACAGACTCCGCTAACCCAGAAATAGTACCTCGGGTTAAGAACTTTGCTTCAGGATGAGAACAGAAATCGTGATGCGGTGGCAGCAGGAGGCCCCTTTAGCTAAAGTGGTGCTTCAGGTTAAGAACAGTTTCAGGTTAAGAACGGACCTCTGGAACAAATTAAGTATGTAACCCGAGGTACTACTGTAGTTAAAACAAAAACAACAAAATAATAACTTTTAAAATACATTTAAAAGGCTGTAGAATATTAATCAACCAAAGGTCTGGTTGAAGAGGAACATTTTTGTTCAGTGCCTAAATATAAATAGGGAAGAAGCCAGACAAACCTTCCTGGGGAGAGCATTGCACAAATGGGGGGGGCCACTGCAGAAAAGGCCCGCTCTCATGTTGCCACCCTCTGGATCTCACATGAAGGAGACGCATGAAGAAGGGCCTCAGATGATGAACACAGATGTCCAGATTGGTTTATATGGGGAGAGGCAGTCTTTGATTGGATAAGGTTAGATAAGGGAGAACAATAGAGCAACATGTAGAGTTGCTGGAACATTGACCTATCTTTAAACAGAGCTGCCTGGGCTAAACTAGTAGTTGAGCCTGCATGTAAGAGGGGATTCAGAGCTGCTCAACTGGACCTGAAGAGCTGCTCAGACTTAGGAGCCAGACCCATATCAGCAGTATCACAGGGCCGCTTCAAACCCTATGGGTCCTGTTCTATCATGCCTTTGGAGTTGGTACCCACAGTTCTGAAACTGAAAGATAGCAGAGGCTAGGCTAGTATTCCTTTCCTCAGGCATAGTGGTTTAAAGCATCAGGTGCCTGGGTTCCATTGCCAGGCCCCTCCATGCAAGACCCCTAATTCCTCACATGGGTAGTGGATTTGTCTTCCATGGCAATTACAACTTTGTCTTGCGTTTATTAGAAGCTGCTTGCTTAGAGGCAATTGGGAACTTGCCCTTGCTTGGTAGGTGTACCACACAAGGAATCTGGTCTTGGCTAAGTTGTTCAGAAAAGTTGTATGCGTTTATAAAACCTATGCATTCAGCTTGACTGTCTTAGTAGTTGGAATATACACTTAGGGACAAACTTGCTGTGGATAAACGGGCAACTTTTGATTCCCAGATGTTTGACTTTCAGAAAAAACTTGCCCAGCTAGATTTCATTTGTGGTTGGGAGTCTGTGGGATGTTTTGGCTCCTGCTGGCCCTTGTGGTTGATGAGACTACGATAGGTTATACAATGTGTACGCTTTGTTGTGGACTAGGGCTGTAAGGGGGAGGATGATTCTTATACCTGGCTCTCAGTTACTCTTGCTGAACTTCTGTTTATGTGCTGCAGTGTCCATCATAGAATGAAGAAAGAATAAAGAGGATATAGAAAAGTTTAATACAGATTGCATACCTGTAGCAGGTGACCTTTAGCCAGCTGCTCATGACCATGATTGTGGTGATCCTGAAATGTCGCTTGTCCTGTAATGTCACTTGTTGTGTTTCCCAACTTAAGCATAGTAAATTAACACTGAGCATTGCTCAGTTCTTTGTCAGCTGATGAAGGGCAAACCCATGTGTAGTAAAATATGTGATATGAAAATTCATAACGACAAAATTTTGAAAAGTTGAAGTTGTCTGTATTAAAGGAAACAACTAGTGTGAAACATAATAAAGATATTTATATCAAAGAGAACTTTATAACTAGTTCTTAAAAATGACAGACTAATATCCTCCAGTGCAAAAAGTTAGTAAAATAATTCATGTTTCTGTTCTAGTCAGCTTTTGTCTATCAGAAGCAGGGAAGGAACAGTGAAATATAGAATCTGAAGTTGATACAATTCCTTGGGTTAATGAAGTTAAGAGTTTTGATAATATGAAGAATTCTTGTGTGTTAAGGCATTTCCCCCTCCAGACATTGAACCTGTTCAGTTTGAAGACACCAAACAAGACGCTGGTTTATAATTTACTGAGAGAACACCCAGTTGGAATGAAACTGATACTTTTTGCTTGTGTGGTTTATGCAATGAAGAGGGAAATTTGCCTGTAACCTTAAACTAAAATAAACTTCACTGTTAAAATTCTTTATTTAAGAAACTGGAAGAGAGTGGATGCCAGCAGTTAATAGCTGAGGGATGTTACTGCCTACTGATCAGGATTTTCCTGCAGTGATACCAAATGTAGCCACTACTGCAGAGCTAATACTGTAATTGTTGGAGCTGATCCAGTACAGTCACACAGCCTTGGGTCTGAACTCGAACCGCTTCAGTACTTAAAATTAAATTTAACCAAACCTCAAAATGTTACCTTATGACGTTTGACTTGGGCTTCAAATGGGCAATTTCCCCCTATTAACTTCAATTTGAAGGCCATCATTTGCTAGCATACAAGTGAAGTGTAAGTTAGGAAAGACAAATGGAACCTGCAGCAAAATTTTGCAGCAGGGTCCTCTGTTCAGGGTTCAGAACTAGCCATGGCTGCTTCCTGTGCATTCCATTCTATTCCCATTTCTGAATATTTCTTTCAACAGTTACTGGTACAGTGGTACCTCGGGTTAAGAACTTAATTTGTTCTGGAGGTCCGTTCTTAACCTGAAACTGTTCTTAACCCGAAGCACCACTTTAGCTAATGGGGCCTCCCGCTGCCGCTGCGCTGCTGCTACGCAATTTCTGTTCTCATCCTGAAACAAAGTTCTTAACCCGAGCTACTATTTCTGGGTTAGTGGAATCTGTAACTTGAAGCGTCTGGAACCCGAGGTACCACTGTACTTAGTATTTTATGGCTACTGAGCATGCTCAATCCTCCTTGAGCATTTTGAGTTTGTTTGTTTGTTTAGTTTTGTTCCTATTAAGGTTTTTCCTATAGGCTTCTTCTTCAGCAAACCTCAGGGTTCTCCTAAGCATTCTCATACTTCTCTCCTGTTTCTTAGCAGCCCGTTTTGATTACATAGTTGTTGGCACTCAGCACCTGAGTTTGCTGTTGGAGTAACTGAGGACATTGTTTTCAGTCAATCAAAGTCAGACAGATTCTAGAGCTCCAATGAGCAAATATATTGGCAAGGAAAATATATCAGTAACTGATAGTTATGCTGCATAACAAAGTATAGCAAATTAATTCCATATATATGCTTAACTGTAGCACAACTAATAGATTGATATACATACATGTTCTTTCACCTGAAATACAGCTTACGCGTTGCTTCCTTTAACTCTCACATACTATACTTGCAGACTTGCAATCTGGCATTTCTGGGTCTTTTGGTACTTCTTGTTTTAACATGACTCTAAAAGCTAAACCCCTCTGCTACTGGTGTATAAGTATGGTGTAAAATTGCAGATTCATCATAAATTAACCTGATAACAGGTTTCATAACTCTTAAATTGTTACTGGCCCTCTGTCAAATGGTAGATCAACTAAGGTTGCTTGGGGTGAAGGCTCACAAAGCATTTTATCCCTCTGTCCATGGATTGATGCACTGTTTTCTTCCTTAATATAAGCAGTTGTTTTTAGCACTTAATCTTCTTCCTTCAGGTCAGGAACCTCAGGCACCAATTCCTCTTGGGTCATCAAATGACAGGAAGGTAGATGTGTAGGATTGAAAGGGTTCTGCTTCAGGATTTAAACTGAGGCTTAATATCCAAGTAGTAATGGTGGTAAACTATCAGTTAACTCAGTTCATCTTAATCAGAAACAGTTTTTTCTTAGTGGAGTAGCTGTGGAGTTCCTGGAGAATCTACAGGTAAGTTGCTTGACATGACGTTGGAAGATATTTGTCATTGTGTCTGCCTTGCATCTTTGCACAATTATGGTTGCCCTGGGTGGTTTAAAGAGGTTGGCCAATAAGTTGTTTTGGGGGGTAGTAAATTATTCCTATGAAATATTTTCACAGGACCACACCCACCTTTAGGTACCACTTTGTATATCAGTCGTTCAAGAACTTTCTCTGAATCAGATATGGCTCAGATTTCTATTGGGCAACTATTTTTGTACTTTTCAGGCATTCCTAAATTATGGAGGACAATCTGGTCTCCTGTCTGTCCCAGTGTTGAACCTGCTGATCATATCCAAGTTTGTTGTGGATGCTAAATTGACTTGCTGTTTTAGAGGCTAACTGATAGGCCTCTTCCAGTGTTCTTTCATCAGTGCAGAATATTTCAAATCTGCAGACTCCATAGGGCAGCAAGCAGCTTCTCCAAACACAAAGGTAGCCCAGATATAGTAAGGGGAAAGTCCTGTGGCATAATTTATTGTACAGTTGAATGCATGCATAAGGTGTTGACTCCATTTTCCCTTTCTTGTGGATTCTAATAAACCAAACATATCAAGTAAAATTTTATTGAACCTCTTAGGTTGATGGGCCTTTTGCACATGGTAAGGAGTGTTGTATGACTTCCTAATACCTGCAAGGCTTGCAGGAATTTGGAAGTCACACAACATCCTTTACCATGTGCAAAAGGACCCTCAACCTCATCTGATTGAATACATTTTGAGCAATCAATAATAAGCCAAGACTCTCTCGCATAGCATCTCTGCTGCAGGACTGCCATGTTGGTCCTTGGCTAGACCAAGGTCCCTGGCTGGCCATAGTGAGAAAAGTGATCTTTCATTGCAAGGATACTGTATTGCTAACATTTTGCTGTCATTCTCAAGTCCATACAGGCTTTACTCCAAGAGTGCTTCTGTAGTTATATAACAGGCTTCCTCAACCTTGGCCCGCCAGATGTTTTTGGCCTACAACTCCCATGATCCCTAGCTAGCAGGACCAGTGGTCAGGGATGATGGGAATTGTAGTCTCAAAACATCTGGAGGGCTGAGGTTGAGGAAGCCTGTTATATAAGGAAGGTTAGCTGCTCAGTGAGGGAAGTTCTTTTCTGGATGCATTTAGCACAGTTCTTGCAGTACTGTTCTATGTCTTTGGCCATCCTAGGACCATAGTAAGGGAAAATAGCATACTTGTTCTTTGTGACTAGACAGGCTCCATGGCAGCCAATTTGTGGTAGCTCCCATAGCAATTTCTCAGATTTCCAAATGTGCCCATGGTTTCAAGTGGTTAGTTTTATAGCACAAGTAGTTTAGCTAGAACTGTGAAGATCTAGTTATTCCCTCTAGCAGGAGATGATACAGTTAGGTGTTCAGGGATGATTGGAGTTGGAGAGCAGCAACATGTGGAGTGCCAAAGGTTCTGCAGCCCTGATCTAACATAATGACTACATTTTAGACATCATGATAAACCTTGATTTATTGTGGTGCAAAGGAGCAGAAGAGGATTGTGAAACTGACTTATTTCAACAAAAAGTGGTTAAGATTAACTATGTTCAGGGGTTGAACATAACACTAAAGTGCAGTTAATAAAAAATGGAAGTGAACACTTCCAATTTCTGACTGAGCCAGAGGAAAGCTGGTGACAGTAGCCTGAGGTTCACTGCAGCTCATTCTCATAGCAATGAAACAGTTTTTATTTCCTTCATTCTTGTTAGTATAAGAAAAATGAAACAGGCCAACTGTTGTGGGTTGACAGTTCTCTGGCTAATAGCTAGTTTCTCTGGTTTACTTTCAGATCATATAAATATTTAACCTTTTACAGAAGGTTGTATTTGATAGGTAGTTTCTTCCACAACAAAATTACTGATTGACAGTTTGTATTCAAAAGTTCATATTCGGCTGTAACATAAATGATTAGAAGAATTAGGCAAAAACATTGCTTCTTCGAGGCTCCCACATTGGGACTACTGAATTCAATGTCACCATCTCCATACTTTTGACACAATAGATTAGGAAGATGTCCTTTCACTTTAGCCTTGCTCAGACAATGGATTAATGTTAAATGAATCATCCTCAGATGTTAGAGCAGGAGTAGTCAACATAGTGCCCTATAGATGTTGTTGGATTCCAACTCCCATCAGTCCCATCCAGCATGGCAAGTTGTCAAGAATGATGGAAGTTATAATCCCAACAATTGGAGGGTCCCATATTGGCTATCCTGGCTTAAGGGAACAAACCAGCTTCAAATGATGGTTTAGAAGGTTGGCTTCTTTTACAAAGCCATAGTTTTATGATTAAGTACAACTTAGGGTTTATATGAACTAATTAATTGTGGTTAATTAAAAATGAAAATGGATGTTTCTGATCTCAGAGCCTGAGGATCATGCACACAATGCTAAGGCAGTCAATTGTATACTTCTGTTTTTTTAATATCACACCTAACTTCACTTTTAGGGTATCATATTAAAATTGAAGCTGATATTGTATACACGTTTATGATTTTCTTTAGTACTGTTTATTAGACACAAGTGAGTTACTGTCTTCCTTAATTTGAACATGTGATTGTTCTAGAGAAACTGGCTTAGAAATCCAGGTGTTAAAAGAAAGAAAAAGCCATTAATTATCTCACAAATTAAATGTTGATTATGTTTGAAGTGAATCATTTCTTGACATAAATATTTGGTAGAGAAAAGTGAGCAGAAGAGTACACACAGATATTTGGATATTCTCAGTGTATACTTGAGTCTCTTAAGGCCTGTTCAGCCACATGAAGGTTTGTGTAGCATTGCTGCCTAATTGCAGGGTGGCAAATTTGCCCGATTGCCCCGCCATTTTACCAGATATTGGAAGTGGTTCTTTGTTAATTACTATGACTCATTTGGGATGAGCACAGAATGTAAAAGAGGTATAATTTAATTAGTTCTTAAGCTAATCATAATATACGTGGGGGTGGCATTTTGGGAAGGACAGCTATAAACTGGGTCAGATTCAGCACCAAGGAAAGAATATGTAGAAAACATTGATATACCCAGTTTGTAAGTGCCTTTTGAAACTGCAACCATGGAGCAGAAGGGAAATCTCCGTTTCTTTGACTGTCGGGAGTGCTAAAACACTATATTTTCAACACAGTGGAAAACAGCAGTGAAGAATTAGCTCAGTCTGTTTCCTGCTGTTACCATTTCAGAATGTACCTATTTGATGTTGTTAAACATCCATAGGATTGTAGAGATGTAAGTACAGGGGACTTCTCACTAAATAGCAATCTATCCAGGTTGTATCCATTGAATGAACTACGTACAGGCCTGAGTTTTCAACTAAACGTTTTTAAAGCTTTTTGTCATCCAATAAAAGAACATGCTAATTTTATTATTTGTTTTATTGTCAGCTTCTTTGGAGCCATTTAACTGAAGGATTGTATGCAAATGTACAAACAGGCAGTGGCAAGCTGGGCAGTGAGCAAAGCTGCCTTGGAGACAGGAAGGGGTCCCTGCTCATGCTGCCTGCTCTGTTGCTGGGCCTGCTGGCACCATTGCCTTCTGCAGGGCTTCCCCCCTTGGTGAAGCCCACCCAAAGTGTCCCATGGCTGGTGGAAACAAGCATACACCACTAGAACAAGAAACACTCACTCTCTCTGCTGGGGACAGTAGGCAGGCCTGGCTTGTGGCTGAGGGTCAGTTTTTTTTAAATCTCCATGCTTATCCCAGGACAAAGCAGATTTCCTATGCGGTGATGAATGCATTGTCTGAAGTTCTTCACTCAGTCTTTATTCATCCGATGCCACTGAAGATATTTTTACACACACTTAGATTCTTTTTGATATCCACAGTGGTTTTATTGTTAAATTGAGATTGGCAAGAAACAACCAAACAAGGTTGGTTTTTTTGTGTTAGAAGGTATTTCCCCCCCCACTTTGTGATCCCTTTTGGGGGCGGGGAGCAGAAAGAAAAAGAGAGAGAGAAATGAGATGATGGTAGAAAGGGATAACAAAGGGGTGGCCCTGTCAATGTTTAATTGCCCCCTGGCCACTGCTTGTGGGTGGCCCTATATAGAAAAAGGGTTCTACACTTCTCTTTCAATGTAAAAACTTTTGTCAGTATCGGTATAAAAACATTCATGCCATAGGCTACTTGCAGTGTTTGTGACTGCTGTAAAAAGAATTGCTAAACACACAATAGGGTTGTTATGCGAAGATAAAAGTTCACCAGTTTGGTGTATTTCTCTTTGTTTCAGTGTTGAGATTAAAAATAAACCAGATTGCCACCCTCGTAGCACAGGTGTAGCAGTTACCTAAAGGCTGTGCCAATAATTCTTCACTGGGGTTGGGGCAAACTGGCTTTCAATCCAGGAGGTCTGCATTCTTATATGAAAGTGCTTTCAATATCCATGACAAAGACATGACTCATAGCAAAGAACAAACTGTGTGTGTGTGTGTGTGTGTAGGTATTTATGTATTGCTTTTCAAGCAGACCTCAAAAAACAGTCATAAGTTTATTACAACAATAAGCATTGATTTTAAAAAGTAGTAAAATAAAAAAGACACCCTGTTTAGAAGAAGCTATTACTTCTATTATCTAGTTACATAATCCTGAATCCATGGGATTAAAAGAAGATGCATTCCTGGCTCCAATCTTGACAGTACAAACTGATAAAAGTCTTGTAGAGTGGGATCCAATGTAATCGTGCAGGGAATGGAATTCATTTGTTTCCTTCTATAAACAGAAGATCCTTTCATTGATGGAGTGACTGTTGGATCACACTCATTTATCTTGACTACTATGAATACCTAGGGAATGATCGGGTATAGTTCCAAGTTGATAAAACACTTAGGAAGCAGCTGAGCTCCAGTTTCCCTTTCCGATTCATGGATAAGGCTGTGTTTAATCTCTTAGTCAAAAAGGCTCTTCTTTGTAGAAAAGCAGCAAATAGGTCCAGTTGTATTTATGAGACACTGCCTTTTCAATTGCAATTTCCTCTAAAATTAAAGAGGCAATTTTGTATATGTGGTGGAATTAAAATGTGTCCACCATGTTGGTGGTAATGTTACAATATACAAGGTTAATTCTATCATATGATAGCCCCCATGGGGTTATATCCAGATTTTGAGCACAGAGCGGCCAAACAATTAACAAAATAACTTTACAATTGTTAATCCTGTGTTGGTGTCTTTACTATGCTTTTTCCTTAACAGTTGAAAAGGTTATTGCACGAAAGAGATGTCACTCATAACTACTGGAAATTGCCAATGGAAAGCTTGTGACCCATTTGCTTAAACTCTTGGCACCACCATATTTGGGAACCTGCTTTCATGGAAAAGTTAACACACCAGATAAGATTGTCGAAAGGCTTGTCTGATACTTTCCAAATAAAATATTTGTTTGTTTTTGTAAATGGAAACCCTATTGCAGTGTAAATCTTGGGGACTGACCTGATTACTATAGATCATGATTTGCCCTAAGACTGTCATTGTTTAGAAGAGGTGTGGCTAAGCTGTGGCTCTTCAGATGTTGCTGAAATACAGGTCTCCTCCATCCCAGCTAGCATGGGGCAATGATCAGGGATGGTATGTGTTGTAGTTGCTGATTGATCACATTTAATAATGACTTCTGGGAAAGTAAAGTTCTACTTAACTATGAACTTTTATTCTAGATTGTGGCAATTTTTAATTTTGCTTGCTTTTACTCCTTGAATCAATGCATTTTGAGTCACAGGGATCTCCTGCTGTTTCTTTCTTTTCACTTGTACATAGCGAGTCTTCTCAAGGGGCAATGGTTTTGTTGAATGACTTCTGCTGGTGTTTCATTGATGTAATGGATTTAGGGGTTGCTCGTGCCTAGGTTACCTGGTTAACCCTTTCTGACTGAACAGCCTCCAGCATCGTGACTGTCTCAGTCGCTGGCAGAATCAGTCAGTGGGCGTTTCTTAAACCTTTTCCAGCATAAAAGTTGTTTGACGCCAAGTCTCCTCCTACTCTCCCTGCGCGGAAGTCTTCTGCGCAGGGTGTGGGCAGCGGAGTACCCGTACTCTCTCCGCTGGTCTCCAGTGAAGAGTCTTGGAGCCTCCTCCCCGATTCCCCCACCTGCCCCCCTTCTCCACTGGTGTTACGCTGATTTCCTTCCCCAGCAGATGGGCTGCCTCTCTCCCTACTGGGACCCTCTCCTGCATCCCTTTGGAGCCTTCCCTCCGCCTCTAGCTCCGATGGCAGTTCCCTGACAATTGACAACTTGGATTTTGCCCTTTAAAATATTTGAACCTGTATTGACATTTGTAAGTTTACCTCCATAGATTCTACCTTCTTTTTCACTGCTTGATTTGTAAATCAATTATTTTATTGAAATCGTTGACAGTGGGAAGCCTTTTGCCTTGTTTGGAAACTTGGCAACTGCAGCAGTGAATGGCACCTTACTGTTGACCAGTTAATTAAAAACCATTCATTATAAAATGCATTATAAACATTTGAATAAGTGTGATTTTAGAGGATAAAATCAGTTGGATGGAGGGGTCACAGTGAAGGTGTTGATGTCAAGCATCAGTTGAGAGAGAGCCTTAATGTTAAGATAACAGGTAGCTTTTAAATACAGCAGAGTGGCTGTAGTTGTAATCTGAAGACTGTGCATGGTGATTGGCACATGCATAGGGAATTTTCACTTCTTTCTTCGAAGTGCTCCTGAGACTATCCTTGAAGGCTTCTTCAAAGCATCACCCAATCATAGAATAATAGAACTTCTACCAGGAAGAAAACCCAGACAGCATTTGGTAAACACAACAAATCTGCATTCTGTGATTGGCATTTGGAATGCAGACATTTGGCTCACCCATGTTATATGGCACATAATATGCTATATACTGTGTATATTGCAGTGAATATATTATAATGTCTGCAACTTCAACTTCTATGCACATCTCTTCTACAGTAGTACGCTGGAAGAGAAGAAAAGTTTTTCTCTTGATCTTGCTTAACATTTTGTTGTTTGTTCCATTTCTGATCCAACAAGCTGCATGATGTATTTTCTCAGCAGCAATTCTGTTGGTGGTCCTAGGTGGTGCATTTTTTTCAGGAAAAAAGGCATCTCAGTTCCTTTGCCAGAAATTACACATACTGAACACCATCTTGCAGTTTGAAATGAACTCTTATTTTTTTTTAATGCATCTCCAGTTTTCCTTCCTTGTTTTAGTGGATCAGTTTTCCCTATGTGTAGGATATTGCCTTGGAGCTCCTTAACTTTTCTAACATGATAAAGATTCATAGTTCTGTTTCTGTTGAGGATGGAAATATATTGATCATTATAACAGGTATTCTTGGAATTATAATGGGACCTTGAGGTCTAACCGAAAATACTGTATTTACTCAAGTCTAATGTGCACTTCAATTTTCAGAACCTTGAAAGTATTTGCTGGCGAATGTAAATGTGCCTTCGAATCTAATGTGCACCTTAATTTTCACAACGTAATTTGGCCAAAAAAGGTGAGCATTAGACTCAAGTAAATACAATATTAATTTACACCCTTTTGTGTCCTGCTTTTCCTTGAAGGAGTTGAGGACAGCATAGATGGAATTAGATATTATTTTTAAAACAACTATGTAGGATTGTGTAGGTTTCAGGCCATGAATAATTTGGCCAAGGCTGCACAGCAGACTTTGTGGCTGATCAGATATTGATTCTCCCATGATCAATTGGGGCATCTCATTGTTTGGCTGGTATCCTCTCAGCTTTTTTAGAGGTCTTAATTCCTCTTTATTATCTCATGATGCAGCATAGTTTTAAAGCCATAGTTGTCGAACAGTTTTGCTTTCCAATCCTATCCAATTCAATCCAATGCCCTCTGCCATCCTAGATGGAAACAGACTCTGTATTTGTGGGCAAGCGCAGGCGGAAGACATCTTGCACTATTTACTATGTTGCCCACTATACATGGGACCCAGGAGGCAATTTCTCACCACCCATACATGAAAGATGTCTCCCCTGGCAGAAAAGTTCCTATGGCTTCTTAGCGATGTAAACACTTCAGTGACTCTTCAGTCACTTCAGTCGCCCTTTTTGCTTTGGTGGCCAAAAAGATCAGAAAGAAGACCCAGTGAACTGCAAGGGCGCCACAGATACCTAAATAGAGACCATTGCTTGTGGTGCAACACCCCTTTTGCTTGTATTTATTTTTTATTCAGATTTGTCATGACCAGTGGATAGTACAATAAAGTTATTGGGATCGGACTGCATTTCTTGAATTTGAATGCCAATTTTTCCAATCTCCTGTCTCAGCTTAGCTTTTCCAAGACAATTTTGGCACTGCATATTGTCAGTTTGTTGCCTGTGTTATTTTTGTGGTGTCTTTGCTTCTACAGTGGTACCTCGGGTTACATACACTTCAGCTTACATACGTTTCAGATTACACACTCCACTAAGCCAGAAATAGTGCTTCAGGTTAAGAACTTTGCTTCAGGATGAGAACAGAAATCATGCTCTTGCGTCATGGCGGCAGCAGGAGGCCCCATTAGCTAAAGTGGTGCTTCAGGTTAAGAACAGTTTCAGGTTAAGTACAGACCTCCAGAACAAATTAAGTACTTAACCTGAGGTACCACTGTATAGAAATGCTTCCTCGTGGTCAGCTTCCTGTATCTCAATTACAGTGTTTGAAAGCATCAATCACACTGTCATCTGGATTTATGGTGGGTACATCTCTCACCTATGTAAATAGCTTTGATGGAAATCATACAAGAAATCCACGTGATTTAAACTTTTACATATTACCAGTGGCTAGTTTTAGATATAACACTAAAACATGGTTTATTTAGATTGCTCTGTCTGGCTAGTTTGAATGTTCCTCAGCTAGCTAGCTATGGGTTTCAGTCTTATAAGTAAGCCTGCAAAGCTTTTTACTAGCCATGCTGGTTGCAGAAAAATGGAAGGCCAGGTAAACGTCAGGATATGTTGTACCTTCAAGAGACTTCACTTGGATCTTTATTTGCAAAGGCTCACTTCTATAAAGTCTGAGAATCTCTTGCTTACACACTTGTAATTGAAGGAGTTGTTGCACATACTTGGTTGCACAGCATTTTAAAAAAATGCACCATCACTTCCTCATTTTAACTCAACGCTTGCTAAACACCTAACAAGTTTAGGTGCGTAAGTAGCAGAGTTCCATCTTCATATGGAAAATTTTGAGAGTTCAGACTTCATTGTTCAGGTAAAGTCTTTTTTTGAAAAGCATTTAAGAACATTTGTCTGCAAAAAATTAAGTAGGAAATGTGTGTGTTTGTGTGTGTGGTGCAATTTGTTTTTTTGGGGGGGTGTTATCTCAAGCTGTAGAAAAATTGTGTTTCTTAATGAGAAATGTGGTTGACATCACAATTGTATGCATGTTCTGTTTTCTCAGCAGTAAGTCCCACTGTGTGTGTCTAGCTGCTTATTATTATTATTAAATTTGATTGATCACCTTCTAAACCACCATTTCAAGGCGATTTGCGTATTATTACTATTATTATATATTTATCCCTGGTGGGACTCAATTAAAATGAACAGTAAAAAAGCAAAAACAACCAGGTAAATGTGCATAGAACTGCATCCTAAGTGACACTGCTGACAAAAGACTGTCCCTCTATACAGAAAGCAGCCTAGCTGATCTCTCAAGGTGCATTCTTATACTATTGTTATGATACTTAAGAGATTGTCTTTGAAATGTATTTTTTTTTTACCAAGCTTCAAACCTTGTTCAGTAGTAATATAACTGTTCAACAGTAAATACACATGTCTTTTCTAATTATACTTTCATAATAAGTAACACAAATGCTGGGGCCCAGTTTAAAATTTTATTTAACTTTTCTGTTATGTATTGCATATTGTCTAAGGAAATTGTTTTCAGAAGTACAGTATATGATTTGTTTTCAAACAAAAATGTATCTGATTAGTTTATAACGTTATTGAAAAAGATTTTATGTCTTAAAGTAAACATCAGAAGTACTTCAAAAAAGTAAGTTTAAAATTTAGTATTCAAAATGAGTCAAGAGTTACAAAATGCTTTTGCTCCATCTAAAAATAAGTTGTACTTGTGCTATAATTCCTTAGCTGTCTCCGCTTTGGTGACAGGTATAATTTGCATACATTATGATTGAGAATTTGCTTGAAATCTGAATAGCTTTGAAAGAGTACTAGCATGAACTAGTGAAAAAAAGGGAAGAGATGATTCCAATTTATCCATTTTTTGGGGGGAGGAATGAGAGAACAATTTGGTTATTGAATTAGGGATATTGGGTATTATCTAACACTGTAGTTCTGCTGGCTCAGTGGACTTCTCTGCATACAACAGAGCTTCTTCTTCTCCTGTTCCCTCCAGCCACTTGTACACCCTCAAAATCAGCATTAGAGGGTTGGCGGAACCCAAGATTTGATTTTTGGGACATGCAGGGAAGGAAATGAAAGTCCCATTCCACCAGCAGAGGATTGGATGCAATCCATTGCGTAGTTGATTATCACTCTCATTAATAAAGATGATGGCCAGTGTTCAATACTGTTACTTCATAGGAACGTGTGTCTGTGTGTGATGCCAACTAATTGCAAACTAAGCCTAGAGGCTGGTATTGCTTGCATATAAATTTATTTTGTATTGCAAATTGTATTTGCCATTTTGGCTTTGTTCTTTCTGGAGCGTTAGATAAGAATAAGGTGATTAGTGCCTGCAACACAATGCATAGCTTTGCCAATTCCTGAGGCTTTCAAATAATTTTATTATTTGTACCCCCAAAATACTATGTAACAACCATGAGAGCTATATCCAATGACTGGCAATTTTTATTTTATTTTAGAAGGTAAATCTAAATTCTAGATTTTCTTCAAAGATGTGCTTTTCGTTGTTCAAAACCTGCTGAAAAATTGCCTTGCAACTTTTAAGAGAATTCGTATCTGATTGAAGACACTGGCTAGTAATTTCATTATTTATAAAAGAATTTCAACCATTCAGGAATGAGCAGTCCTGAATCATTTTGATCTGTATTTGTTTGAAGTAATATTTCTCAATGGGATATACTAAGGTGGCTGAGATGCAGTGCTAAACTGTGGTTTGACATTCTGTGAATGAGCCTTGTGCTTGCACTTTCCCATTTCTTCTTCTCTGCTGCTCTAGTTTGCCCACATACCAGGATTGTAAACCTGCAGCTTGTGAACTACGTTTGCAGGCAAACTATGGTTTGTATATACCAGGTGTGCCCAAACTTTTTTTCCAAGAGGGCCAGATTTGATGAAGTGAACATGCATGAGGGCTGATTGAAGTTGTTGAATTTTGGGGGGGATTTCCCCCCAGAGTTGTTGACCTTTGGGGGCCAGATTGGGACTTTGGACATGCCTGGTATATACCATATACAAACCATATTCCTGGTTCAGTTGTAATGGCAAACTGTAGTTTTCCTTCTAATTCAGAAGTGAATTGAGAGCATGAAGTGTGTAAGCACAGGGTTCATCTATGTAATAAGTCTAAACCAACAATGAATAATTCTGTGCATTGTCAATAAAATCAGTATCATCAGTGATCCCATTAGTGTTTGAAGCCCTAAATGACAAGCACAAGTATCAGAAAGGCCATTGCCTTTTGAGCAGACCCTCTTCAGTCTGAAGATGGTAGTTTCACTGCTTTTGGAGGTTTTGAGGGTGGCACCCCAGAAGAGAGCATTCTCTGCTGCAACCTCTGAGCTGTGGAAGTTCTTTTTCACAGAGGTGTGCCTGGCACTTGCGTTATGTCGTTTTCATTATCTAGTGAACACATTATCTAGTGTACACACCTCTCTACCCTAGCCTCTGAGATCTGAGATATACATTTTAGGAGTTTGTCTGTTCTGTTGATTGTAACTTGGTAAGGGGTAGATAAGAAAAATAATAATAAACATAATAATAAAACGGACATGGGAGAGTGGTGATTATTCAAATTTCCATCAGCCCTTTCCAGTAGGAATGATGGGAACTGTAGTAACCTTGTTTTAAAAAATACATTACTATACAGTATTTCTTCATGATCTGATATCTTTTGGGCAGTGTTTGAAAACTTCCTTGCTATAAATTTTGATTGACTGCTTAAATAGGTGTAGTTGCATGAACCTGGAATACATCCATGTAAGAGGTCAATGAATCATTTAAGGTGACTATGGACTAAATGATAAAATAATTTTAAAAATCAATTTTAAGTATCTAAGAAATGTAGTTTTTCTTTGCTTTCAATCATATTGGCCTAAGGTTTTCCTTTCCTTTAATGAATAAAAAAAATAGCTTTTGCTTTAATGAATAAACATTGAATTAGTCCAATTCTCCCCACTGAGTGAATTAGCCCCAGGCACGAAGATTCAGAGATGTTTCCTGTTGAACTTCTCTGAACTTTTGACTCATGGTGGGTGCAGCATTTCGTGCAAATGGTCAAATATCTTCAAATTACTCCCACAAAATTAAACTTGAAAATCTGCAGAGTTAATTTTATTTGATGTGCTGCAGCACCAGATTATACAGTATGTGTTGCATCTAACTAAATTCTACTTGGGGTAGGCCCGCAGAAATTAATGCATCTAAGTTAGTTGTGTCCATTAATTTCAGTGAGTCTGCTCGTGAGTATGACTAATACTGGATACAACCCACAAGTGTAATTTGAAAGATCTATGGGCAGAGCTGGTCAAAGGTTAGTTTCTATGGAGTCCCACTGAGAATGACAAAACTATGACATTAGAATGTTTAAAACTGTGTTTAAAACAAAATAACTAAATCATGTGTCTGGATAGGCTTGCTGAAACAGAAACATCTAAAAGTAACAGATATGCAAGAGGTAAACCACCAACCATACTACAAGGTATAAAACATCACAGAAGGACCAAGGAAATAGGAAAGTTCTTAAATTTAATGCTGGAAACACAATATGGACACCACAAAGCTTTCTAGGGAGAGCTTTCCATAACCAGGAAGGCAGCACCGGAAAGGCCCCTTCTCTCATGGTCATACTCTGGAATACTGAATGAAGGAGCATGAGGAAGTGCCTCTTTTGGTAACCTTAATGTATGGGTAGGTGCATTTCTTTAGGTAGTGAAGTTCTAAGAGCAGTAGTGGGGTCAAAAAGCAGGTGAAATTACCTGTGGTTCATAATTATGGTAATTTTAGGTGGAACTAACAGATGACTACTTGAATTTTTGCAGACGTTTTGAAGTACTGTACATGAAATTGCTCACACATACAGTGAAACTTAACCATTTTTATTACCCATTTATCAAAATGAAAGAGCTGAGCATGTGCTTAAAATTGTCCATAGTAGTAGATTGGATCAAAAAGTGCTTAAGTTGCCAGAAGTATATCCATAAGGTAGAACTGACTATGGAGATGACAGTTTTCTCCAAGTTTGTCACAGTGTGGTTTACAAAAAAAAAAAGACAGTATGAAGCAAAAAACACAACAAGCAAAAGCAAAATAAAGCATCATGAAATGTAGTTGATTTTGTCCAGACTCTGGGTGACTGTTGCGAATACAGGATTCCTTTATGTATACAATGAAACAGTTGCTATAAATGAACAAAAACCCTATTTTTATCACCTTAGAAAATTTTCTTTATGTTCTAACATCTCTAACCCTTATAAAAAATAAAAGAATGACGGGAGGAATTCACTGTAGTGCTAAGCAGATTGCTCCATCTGTGCCCTGAGCCAACTTTGGGGGAGGCAGGGGTGGAACACAGAAGGAAGAGAGGGTATCGTTAGTTGAATCCTTCCTACTAGCTTGCATTGTTAGCGGAGCAAGAAGAAAAAAGATTGTCTTTCTAATTTTAGAAGATATGAGGATGATGTGATTTTTTTTTTGGTCTAGAGCAACTGTAATGAATTTGAAGCACTTACGTAAGCATGTGAAATATAGATTATAAGGAAACTGTTCTAAGGAGATGTAGGATTTGTGTAAGGTGGCTCAACGGACTGAGATCAGGAATTGACTTCAAGGACAATTCAATTTATGAGTTGAATGTGCCTGCAGAGATATTATTTAAAATTTCCTTATGTTCTGTCAAAATTCTATCAAACTAGAGGCTGTGGCACCAAGGGTATGTACCACCATACAAAGTGGATGCAGTAGCAGGACACTGTGAGAGAGAAAGAAAGAAAGAAAGAAAGAAAGAGAGGGAATATGAAGCAAAATAAATGAAGAATGTGACATTTTTAAGAGAGAAGTGTTTACCGAACCGGCTAAACATAAAGCTACTTATTTTAAGAAGGCTAGGGATGGCATTAACAGATTACGTACTGAGCTATGTAAGGCACAAGCAAATGAGATGCTGCAATGTATATTTGGTACCTAAGGCAGATCAATATTAACAAAGACTCGGTTGTTTCATTTAACAAATCTGTTAAGTTATTCTTTAGATAATGGGCATGCATCCTTCTATCCACCCCCACCTCCCCCCAAAAGACAGAATGAGACAGAATGAAATAGAACCTAATATAGACTTTTTCACATGTTCAGAATGCAAGGGGCTTCATAATGGTTTGGGCTAAGTAATTATTAGAGATGTGAATAATCTTACTACTTACTACACATTGTATGGGGTGGTTCTCATAACAAGGAGTGTCTAATCCTATATATCCCTGCCTGCTTACTGAGGCTGTTGGGGGAAGTCCCTCTTTGCTGTGCTCTATGGTTTATAGCCACAAGGAGCCATGTGTTCAGTATTGTGGGCCCAATTTTATGGAACTCCCTTCCAGTTGAGATCAGAGTGACCCCATCATTGTTGAATTTATGGTGCCTACTGACAATTTCTTATTTCAGCAGGCATTTTAATTGACGTCTCATTTCATAGTTTTGATTGATTTTTACCTTTTCTGGTTTTTTTTTTGGTAAACTGCTTAGAAACTATGATAGTTAAGTTCTATATAAATTGCTATAATAAATAAACACTGTAGGTCAAACTGCGCCACAGCAAGATAGCACCAGTGGGTGGGCTGCCAATGAGAAGCATCAGCTGTTTTGTTCCACCTTGGTCTCTTTTACTGCTGTGCCATGCTGAGCTAAGCCAAGGTGTGGCCACTGTGACCTTATACCTGTATTATTGTAAAGCACTCTGTGTGGGGATTCCCTTGTTTAAGGCAAGCTTTTCCCTGAACTTGAACTTCTGATCTTATTGTTTTAACAGTTTTAAAAACTTTTTCATTGTCATGCTTTTTAACTGCCTTGATTCATTGTGTATTTTAATTAAGGATGCCTTAATGCTTCATATGTTTTATTTATTTCATAAAATTTATACACTGCTTGATTGTGTATTAAAAAAACCAACCCAAATAATTAAAAATACTAACACACATTAAAATTCACATCAGCATTTCTAAGCATCTAGGCTTCTAAGCATCTAGGCTTGGTGCATATATAAAGAAAGAAATAAAATTTACTTTAACGTATTTTTAAAATTAGTCTCTTTTATCCTATCAACCAATGGTAGCAAAAAACGAATAATGAGCAGCCAAATCTTTTCCAATAGTTTTAGATAAAGAGTCATGAATGGGACCTGCAACAACAAAGTGTATATCCTTGCCTCCTAGTAGGAGTTCTTGCTTTCAGGGAGTCAGCTAGCTGTTTTTCTTGAGAATATTTAAGCAGCAAGGAACTGAAGAAGTCCAATTCTCTGTCCCCTTCCACTTTTTCCTTTTTTTAAACATCTTACACAATATTCCTTGGCTTCTGGAGTGTTTAGACATTAGTGGGCTATTTCTTGGTGGGGGTGGGTGGGGATTGCTGCCTTTGGGTTTTAAAACATATATTCTACCTGCGTATTTTGAGGTTTAGCTGTACAGTACATGCTGAGGCCTCCCTCTAGTTTCCTAGAGGCTCTGCTTTAGCATCAGTCCTGCTAACACTCAAACTGCCCGAGTTTGCTATTAGAGGGAATGATATCACACACAGATGTATTATTGTAGGAAGAAACTAAGCTTGAAAAATCAGCACTGAAAAAAATGCAAAGTATGCATTCCAAGCTATATAATCTGTTACTAGATCCGATCTCTTAGAGAGAAAGCAATCATATGACCGAATGGAATAAAGTTCTAGGCATACGACTGGAAATATCATTGCAGGTTGGCCTCTACAGTATCCCCAACTTTGACTGAAAATAATTATAAAGTGACTTTCCTATGACATTTTATTTTTTATTTGTTTAATAGATGTTCATCCTGCTTTACTGTAAACATATAGTCAAAGTATATAGTTAACATTTGTCGAACTTTCAACATCAAGAGCCATAATAATCTGCAACATTCCAGTCTCATAGTAGCATCAGTTAACCGATCCATATGCATCGCTTTCAATAGTCATAAATCTGCTGAAACAGTTTCATGTGCCTATTCAAATGTCGGAATGGAAGGAACCCAACAGACCTCCCCAAGGATGCATCTGCCAAATGGTGAAGGGACACAGAGCAGGGCCTCTGAAGCCAAGCTGGTTCACAATGGAGTAAATATCCAGAGACTGGCAGCACATTTTGTGTGAAGGAAAACCTTTTTTTTTGCACTTAGTGGAGGTATCCTAGGATACTGCTGGGGAACCTTTTTTGCTGCCGAGGGCTGCATTCACCTGTGGGACCACATTTGGGCAGAACTGGAGGTGGCACGGGGCAAGGCATGGGTGCAACTCTCCTCTTGTTTGAAGATGGCTTGCATGCCATATATGCTTGGTGCTTGCTGTAGCCCCCTTCCAGCCACCCATCTTTCCATTAAGCTCAGTATTATAGTGTGAGGGCTGAGATTGATTTTGCTTGGCAAGCCTTGCTCTATCCACTGAAGCTGCTACTTGCAACTGGCTTCTAAATTCATCTGGCATGAAGGCAGATCTTCAGAAGAGAAAGTTTTGAGATACATAGTTGCAAAAATATGACATTTCCTAAAACTTTTTTTCTTGTCCAGTAGGCTCTTCTGGCCTTGTTTAGTCTTTCTGGTGGTGCATACTGGCCTTCAAATATGATAAGGCTACTCAACCTAATCATGCAACCTTCGGCATTCTTCAAGGCCTACCAGTGCTGTGAGTCACTTCTCTGGAGCAGACAGAAAGAGCTCTCCTTTTTCTTCTCCTTTCTGTACTATATATTTAACCTTTCTCTGATGGTTGTACCATTTTTAGAATAGCTGAGGAAAAGAGGTGATGCCTCATGTAATCTTTGCCAGTTAAATCTTTAAAGTGCTTGAAGTGACCTTTTGAGTTGGGGCACTCTTCTTAAAGCATAAGCGCTCCATCAAAAAAAAGAAAAGAAAAAGAAAAACATATTAAAGCTGGAATTAATACTGACCATGGTAATATTTGAATGCTCTTTACAATAAAGAAAGACTTAAGCAGGGACTGTAGTTCAGTGAAGCTTGCTATGAAGCACTTTTGAATCAGCTGAGCTAAGGAACCACAAATCATTATTAGCATAAGCCAAGGTTCATAAGTCAACAACAAACCATGGCTCTGTGTTGCATTGTTGCATGTAAACTAGGCAAATGAATTGACATAATAAAAAAGTAACTTGAATTGAGTCAATAACTGGAGTAGAAAATACCAGGCATAATCAAGTGCTTGTTGTAAAAACTGAGTTTAACGTAGAGCACCTACACACACTGTTCTAGTGCTGAAGATGTCTAGAAACTGTTTCTTATTCTTTGGATCCATTCTGAACTAGATGTCACAATGATTTCAAGTCCATTGGAGGTCCCTGTAGCACCATCTAGTTATAGCCTGACAGTCATTTCAGTTGTTGCAGCCTGAGGATAGACCATGGGTAGGCAAACTAAGGCCCGGGGGCCAGATCCGGCCCAATCGCCTTCTAAATCCGGCCCGCGGATGGTCCGGGAATAAGTGTGTTTTTACATGAGTAGAATGTGTGCCTTCATTTAAAATGCATCTCTGGGTTATTTGTGGGGCATAGGAATTCGTTCATCCCCCCCCCCCAATATATATAGTCGGGCCCCCCACAAGGTCTGAGGGACAGTGGACTGCCCCCCTGCTGAAAAAGTTTGCTGACCCCTGGGATAGACCCATGACAAGGACTTCTCAGTGGCAGTTCCCTATTTGTGGAATGTTCACTCCAGTGCAGTGTCTCCCTCACTCATTAACATTCAGGAATTTTTAAAAAAAAACTTCCCTTTTTACTCATCCACTTGCTGGCTGAAATAGACTGTAACCAGGCACCTTGAAATTACATAGCTGTGAGGATACGAACCCATTTTAATGTATTTTTAGATGCTCTTTAATTGTTTAAAAATATTTAAAATATGTTTTATTTTTAACTGTACTGTTTTACCACTTGGTGATTTGCTGTTCTAGGTTCCTTTAGTAGAAAGGGCAGGATATAAATTTAATAAAGAGCCATAACGACAGTAAGAATAAGTTTGTAGTCTTTGTTTTTTGCTGCTAAATGGCATATGAAACCTTTTCTGGCAGCCTTGGAACAGTCACATTATGCAGACTTGCTAAAAAAAGTCTTCAGTGCCAAATGATGTAAAAAGTGGCTAGTCAAGTCATCTTATTCAATGGAATTGTGAGTGCGGTGGCCAGCTGCTGCTTAAGCAGTGACACTTTTGCTTTATAACAAAAAGGCACCTGTCTGCATCACCATACTGGTTTGGCACGTTTAGCAGTTTTGGAAGGCTGCGAGGCTGGCAGAGATCCTAGAGGTGTAATATTACAAGGGGAAAACCTAATTGGAACTTTATTACATAGCTGCTTCACCCTAACATATTGTGTATGTCAGTATATGCAACTTAGTTCACAGCAGTCAACCATATATATTATTATATGTTGATGCTAAAGAAAATGTGATAATGCCTTGGCTGTATATTTTGGAAATCACATTTCTTCTCTTCCATGCTTTGCTTCTAGAAAGGCTTGTTATAGGGGAGGTTATTCTCATTTACTGAATTATTTTGCTCTTGCTTATTACATGTGTTATTTGCCCAAGGCAAAAGATCATATTTTCAAGATTGGTAGTAAGTTGCACTTTTGCAGTAAAATTGTAATTGCTGTACTTGGAGAAGCTGCACTTGGCCCTCTTTCCAATTAATTGCTCATATTCCCAACTGAATGCTCATGTTTCAAAATACAGGATGGAGGGAGATGAAGTGTGCAGTTTTATAACAAATCTTCAGAACCTGTATTGCATAATACAGTACTCAAATACAGTGGTACCTCGGGTTAAGTACATAATTCGTTCTGGAGGTCCGTTCTTAACCTGAAACTGTTCTTAACTTGGAGCCCCACTTTAGCTAATGGGGCCTCCCGCTGCTGCCGCGCTGCCGGAGCACAATTTCTGTTCTCATCCTGAAGCAAAGTTCTTAACCCGAGGTACTATTTCTGGGTTAGCTGAGTCTGTAACCTGAAGCGTATGTAACCTGAAGCGTATGTAACCCGAGGTACCACTGTATGTTGAATCAGTTACAGCTCTCATCGGCTATAGCCAGTGTGACTAGTGGTCATGGATGAAGAGGGTTGTAGTTAAAAGCATCTGGAGGGAACCAGGTTGGTTTAGGGCTGATTTAATGGATGATTATAACCATTCACAGTTCTAGCCCCAAATTTGTGAATTCTTTTCTTAATAGAACATAACACTACTCTATGCATGTCTGTATTATATTTAATTTTTAGGAAAAAGACGTGCTCAAGGCAGTGGAATGACACGGAATTGCTTTTCAATTGGGGATTTAAAAATGCTCAGCTAGCAGTATGTTCACTTTAAGATGGAATCTTTCAAAATAGTACTTTACTCTGTCTTACTGGAATTATAGCCACATTTTAGGGTTTTTTTTTAATAAAACAAAAACCTGATGAAGAACGCTGGTGAATTTTGAAGGTGAAGATGTTTAAAACTGGTATGGAAAAATCTTGAAAGTGTGATTGTGTTGGAACCGTCCAGAATTCATGGCATAAGAATACTTGTCAATTCTTAATGGAGACAACATGACAAACTTTCGGAGGAGAAAAATGTCTAAGTAGTAATTTGTAGCTATGGTGACAAATGTCTTGCTGCAAGTCAGCCAGATATATAAAATTACTTGTAAATTAGAACTTTATATCAGCTTTTTCCTTGAAAAATCAGTGACAGGGATAAGAGAATCTGTAAAGTGTACTTTTCAAGTAAAGAAAACTGTGTACTTGACAAGAAGGAAAAAAGATGCTACATACTGTTGTTATGACTGGTATATTTCAAGTTCTAAGGTTATGTACTGAACGATTGCTGGAAAATACACTAACAATTTTTTTCTATGCCCGTCCCAATTTAGCACTTTTAAATGACGTAATCAGCAAAGTAAATCAGTTGACATGAGATATTAATAACTCTTGATAATTTGTTTGGCTTGTGTGTGTGGATGACAGAGGATGCAAATTGGTGATGGGAGCAGGGCAGTAGAGGATTGCTATAGACACTTCCTGTCCTATTGTGTGTTGGAATCAAATCAACCCACAGCAGAAGGAGAGACAGAACTGTAGTCCTGGCCCTCTCCATCAGCTCAGCTGAGATCAGCAGTTTTGACTCCGGTACTCTGAACTCCTTGCATTCCAGCTGGTCATGATCATAACTCTGTAACTAAGAACTAGTCTGTGTGTTTGCTTTTTCATTTCCCCTCTCAATCTCTTTTCCTTTTGTGTTATGTCTTTTATGCTGTAAGTTTGGGAATAGGGATTGTCTTATCATTGACATTAGTAAGCTGCTCTTGGATAGTTCTTCTCAGTCAGTCCAGATATTTCCCCTGTAATCATTTCAGGAGTGGAGGTCAGCTGAGCTTTCTCCACCCTTGCGCTGGTCATCAGGGGTTTGAGTTGAGTCCAAGGAAAAAGGTGAATGCAAGAAGAGCCCTGCTGGCAGACCCATCTTGTCCAGCATCCTGTTCTCACAGTGACTAGCCAGATGCCTGTGCGAAGTCTACAAGCAGGCCCTGAGCGTAACAGCACCCGCCAGCTGAGGTTACCAGCAAGTTGTAGTCAGAGACATACTGCCTCAGATACTAGATAGCCTTATCCTTCATAAATTTGTGTCAGCTCCTTTTAAAGCCATCCAAATTGATGGCCATCATGTGTGTTAAAGTTTTTTCAGGTAGGTAGTTGTGTTGGTCTGACGCAGTTGAAATAAATAAAAAAATTGTCCAGTAGCACCTTAGAGACCAACTAAGTTTGTTCTGGGTATAAGCTTTCGTGTACATGCACACTTCTTCAGATACAGAAGTGTGCATGCACATGAAAGCTTAAACCCAGAACAAACTTAGTTGGTCTCTAAGGTGCAACTGGACAATTTTTTTGTAAAGTTATTTTTCTTTGTCCTGAATCACTCAGCATTCAGCTTCATTAAATGGCCCTTGCTTTTAGTATTATGAGAAAGGGTGAAACACTTCTCTATATCCATTTTCTCCATACCTTGCATACTTTTATACACCTCTATCATGTCCCCCATAGTGGGAGAGGTTTGCCAAAGCCTCTGTTCACACAAGAAGAAAGGGGAGGGGGATTTAAGAGTTCCTTGTGTCGTGAGTTGCATGGAAGTGACTAGTGGCCAAAAGCAACACAGCCTTTCAGTTCTTACTTAATTCAAAAGATGGTCTCTCTTAAAAATTAGCTGCTGATCAAAGCATTGCACCAATTGTTTTCCTCTCTCACATCTATTTTGATGTTTACAATCCGCATCACTAATTTGCAAGCTTGTCACTCTGCATTCCTTACTGCTAAATCAAGAAGTTGTTTAGCAACTGGCTGGCCTTACTTAAGATGAAATTATTTGCTTGTAACAGATGTGGAAACAAATGGTCATGATTGAATGTGGGTGTACACAGGCAAATAACAGTAAATCTAATTACCATTTTTACACATTAGCTTGCTCACCCCAGGCCATGATTCCATACACATTTCCATCTTGGTAGCATTTCTTGTTTTTGTTTTTTGGGTTTTTTTTTGTTTTGTTAAAAGTGAAGGCTGCTTCTAGTCATAGTTTCATTCCTTATTAAGATTGGCTTCTGAAGCTTTTTTTAAAAAACACGCCCTGTTCTGTATGTGTTGCATAATGTGGTGCCCTGGTTTGTGGGAACATTTCTCTGAGATCTGTTTTCTTTATTTTTTCTTTAAGTATCTTACATTGCATTTATGATTTCATTGCTGTTGAATATGGTTCTGATGAATTATAATGTGTTTCTAGCTCCTCTTCTCCCTGTGCTAAGCAGCTGTTGAGATTCCTGAATGCTAAATGAGTGGTAATCACATGAATGCTACTTTTGTTGTTCATTTTTTATAGCAGTTACTTTTTAAGAGAAGTTGTACAAGGGAAGTGATGAATGAATTAATATATCAAGAAGGTTTAAAAATATAATCTTTGTGACTTGTGACTAGGCCCGCACTATCAGTCTAATATTATAGATGGAGGCAGGGAGAGTACAAGACTGCTAAGACAATAGTGGGTTCCTTAATTAATGCCACAAAGTGGGTTTCTGGTGAAGGTAAGATTTGAATAGGACAGTGGGGAGGGAAGGAAGATCTCAACATATTCTTAAACTACTACAGCTCTTCAAGTGTTTAAATAAGGAATCCAAGCATTAGGTATAGTTTATGCCAAGTTTCTAAATAATTATAAGAGTTATATTAGGAAGGAAGGGGAAAACAGAAAATGTGTATCAGGATCTTGTGTGTGTATTGTTTTTTAAAAAGCATGTCAAAAATTTGGGAACAGAGTTACCGGTTCTATGAGAAAAGAAAAGGGCAGAGTTGTGAAATGGTAGATAAGTGGAACTTAAAAAGGTTCAGATAAGAGACAATTGAGCAATGAATTAAGATAAATAAGAGTGAGGACGAGCACTAAGAAAAATGTTTAGGAAAAAAATATTCTGAATTCTAACTGAAGCTGCTGAATAGAGGGAAGGAAACGTAAAAGAGGAAAGAGGTGAAACATAGTAAAAGACAAAAGCATAGACGTAAAGGTAAAGGACCCCTGGACGGTTAAGTCCAGTCAAAGGCTGCTATGGGGTGTGTTGCTCATCATGTTTCAGGTCGAGGGAGCCGGTGTTTGTCCACAGACAGCTTTCGCAGTCATGTGGTCAGCATGACTAAACTGCTTCTGGTGCAACTTGACCATGATGGAAACGCGTGTACCTTCTCGCTGCAGCAGTACCTATTTATCGACTTGCACTGGTATGCTTTCGAACTGCTAGGTTGGCAGAAGCTGGAACAGAGCAACGGGAGCTCACCACCATTGTGTGGATTCAAACAGTTGACCTTCTAATTGGCAAGCCTAAGAGGCATAGTGGTTTAGATCACAGCGCCACCCGCGTCATTCAATAGAGACAGACACTTAAAATGCAATCCTGCCCCTTTCTACCCAGAAGTCCCACTATGTTTAAAAAAGACTTACTCCGAGGACTTCAGGTAAAGGACTGCAGCCTAAATGTGGAGAACAGAAGACCATTAAATTCAATGTTAGTTTCTAGTTGGGTATTTTCCAAAGATATTATAAACTGATGTTCAGGTAGACAAGAATATTCTGTGTTGCTGATTAACTTTAAGCATGTTAAGCCTTTAAAAAACAGTGGACTGCCAGGTCACATTGCAAAATACAAGCCATGTTGTAATAAGTCTGCTATGCACTCAAAAAACATCTACTATGTGTCTGCTGCTAACTTATTGAATGAGGGCAGTTTAACGAGCAGAAAATCAGATTCTAATGAGCCATTGGATGAGTTTGATTGAGCAAATATGCAGCCTAATTCAGATATGATGCCTCAAGGCCCTTACTGATTAATGGAAAGAGGAATTACCAAAGGCCTCTGTCTACACATGTAGCAGAATATGGTGATAGGATGGACTGCACTACTTCACTCTTTGGGGAGGGAGAATTCTGTCTTTGAAAGCTCTCCTAAAGTTAAAACTCGTGAAAATTTTGTATCATATGTATTTGCAGGAATTTGTTTATTTTGTAGTATGGGGAAGCTTTAAATGTAGCATTCTCACTACTGTACTCAGAAGTTATACAGTCACCTTGCCCTATAACATTCTTTCACATGTAGAGATGCGGTATAATTGAAGACTGATAATACGCTACTATGCCTGTACACTATATGAAGAAGGTAGTAGAACTGGCTGAGAAAATAGAAGGCTGGTTGTATTTTGGAGTGAGAAATCATAATAAAACACTGAGATAAAATGTATGTGGTAGAAAAACAAGGATTTTAACTCTGCTTCCTTTTTATTTTGAGTCTCATAATACAAGTTTATTGCCTAAAAGCACCAGTTTATGCAATCATTATATGATGATTTTTATTTATTTTGCCACATAGAGATGTTCTTTAACAGGGTCATCTTTGCAGTTTCTTCATTATTATTTTTAAAGAGAAAACACAGGTTTTCAGAGATTATCTCTTTAATGGATCTCTTCAGTGCTGCTAGAGATCTAAAATGTTCTGCTTCAAGTACAGTGATTTCAGGGGTCCAACTTTTTGTGGCCTGCCAGGCTTTCTTCAAGGTATTCAACAGCCTGGAAAATTATATTTATATTAAATTATATTATATTTGTGTTCCTTGTTCCAGGTGTCACAAGATCTTCGTATCTTCAAGATCCACAACTTAGTCACTTGCCCCTTAGGGTAGGGTAGGGAAGTTTATACTACCTCTTTCCTCACTGGAATGTTAAGCTCTAGTGATATGGGTGTGTCATTATAAAACAGAACTAGAAGCCTGTTCCTTTACCAGCACTAGAATAATATTCTCTTGGGTAGAATTAGCGTGCTTATTTTAGAATGAAAGTCTGTTTTCAATATTTCATTCTTTTCAGTATAGGTTATTCAACTTTTAGCTTTCATTTGCTGGAAACTAATAAAAGTGAGACATACTATAGGTCAGCTGGAATGGAAGGATGAATAATTGTGTTGAAAGTAGAAAACATCTGTGCATCTCCTGAAGTACATTGAATTAGTTCTGTGTCTGATTTAAAGGTACAGATGCATGACCTTTGTGGGTTGAAAACAAATACCAAAATTCTACACAATGGAAACTCAGATTTTGTGCCAAGAAAAGCTGGGGTTTTTTTGACACACAATTCACTGAGAAAGCAATACTTGAGATAAATCTTAGGGAGAGGTCTGATCCCACTGGGTCTTACCCACTGGGTGGACAAGTTAAATACAGTTTGCAACTGTGAAGACTACAGATTTTCTATCTGCAGTAACTAATGAGTGAAGAAAATTCTTAAGAGCAAGTTCAGTATCTTGCCAGGGAGATTAAGAAATTTAAGTCATTTTATTCATTTGTTCATTTAGGTTTATTCAGATTTGCAGGAATTCATTTATTTCATCTCATTTTTTTCTGTTTTCAATATTTCATTTGACTATTTGTTTTAAACTATTTGTTCTGCTCTGCCAAAGAAATGCAGCATTTTGAGTTAGTTTATGTTGTAGTTTATTCGGGCTGGAGTTACCTTCTGTTAGTGTTACATTCATTCTGTTAATCTTTTACTTTGTGATGGTCTGATGACTAGATATAAATAAACCAATTCTGACGTGCACACATTATGCAGATTAAACTAATTTGCATATGTTTGCTGTTGGTGGTGGTGTTGCTTTGCTGAATGTGAAGTGGCTAATCACCTGAAGCTCTGCCTCACACACTTGCCAACATAGCCCAAGGTCTGAACTTCTCCTAAGGTGGAACTACCAGTGGTGACAGCAAATATACATTGCCAGACCTCACTTGGCCTGCCAACACAGAGTGTTTGTGTGTGCTTTCAGCAGAGAGGAGGAACATCCAGCCCATAGACCAATTGCTGCTCTCAGGGCTTCCCAATCTTGTCCTCCAGACTCTTCCCCATCCACCTTTTCCCTGCTGTTGGGCTGTTACCTATGGTTAGTTGAACAACGTTCAGAGAGCCTGGCCCATCAGATATTGTAGCTCAGCATTGGGGAAGAGGAAACATGGTTGAGTATGCACATTATGCAGTATGAAAACAACAACCCTTTCTGACCTCATGGAGCTGTTGAGAGAGAAGGAGATCACTCTCTTCCTCCACGAGCAGTTTGTTGTGAGAAAGGGAACCCTTTTCCATCAAGCAGCATGGAAGCCAAGAGAGCTGAATATAATGTGTGCGCGCGCACATACTGGTTCTGTCCACTTTGTGTTTCGGCACTGCCTACTATTGGTCCCTGCTCCTGCCCACCTAGCAGTTCGAAAGCACGTCAAAGTGCAAGTAGATAAATAGGTACTGCTTTGGCGGGAAGGTAAACGGCATTTCTGTGCGCTGCTCTGGTGCGCCAGAAGCAGCTTAGTCATGCTGGCCACATGACCCGGAAGCTGCACGCCAGCTCCCTCGGCCAGTAAAGCGAGATGAGCGGCGGCAGCCCCAGAGTCGCTTTACCCCAGAGTCAGGGGTCCCTTTACCTTTACCTTTTTTATTATTGGTATGTTGCTTACACCAAGGGAAGGTGGCCTTGGTGCAGGGCAAGTTTCCCTTCCATTGGCTTACAGGTTTCAAGCAGATCAGGGCATAAAGTTAGGGCAGTGTTCCTCAAACTTGGGTCCTTAGCTGATGTTGGACTACAACTCCCAGTATCCCTAGCTAGAAGGACCAGCGGTCAGGGATGATGGAAGTTGTAGTCCAACAACACTGAGTTAGGGTGGGATATCTTTATGTAGAAGCCTGCTGAGACTGAGAATATGTTTTTGCACTTTTTATGTTTTGTGGTTGTAACTATTTTATTTGTTTTATATGCACATATTTTATTGTTGTAACCAGCTCTGAGACCTTGTAGTACAGGGCGGGTAAGAAATCTAATACTGTAAATAAATAAACAACTTCATCAAACATGTTTCAAGCCACATTTAAATAGCGGAAAGGTGGGATAAAAATACATTAGTTTTAAAAAAATCCTAAATAATGAAACTTTCTGTACATCCGAAATTGAGGAGAAAGCTAGACTAGAATAGTTCACACTGATGTGCATATGGAGGGGCATTTAGCCCTGTGATTCCTCTGCCTGCAATCGAAGTGTTTCAGTTCAGGAACAGTTACCACCTCATTTGTTTGTGGGAACTAGGCCAAAGTCAGGCAGAATGTGAACAATTTTATGATCAAAGTATTTAACAAATATATTACAGTGTACTGTCCACCTGTGACAGTTCTGCTGAGTGACACTACTGGTACATCAGGGTGAAAAATAAAGCTATTCATTGCCATTACTTCCACATCACAGGACTCTATGGGTTATTTAGTCAGATTCCACTAGGATTTTCTGCCACTTGTATTCAAGATTTCAGCAATCTGGTAAACCAAGGAACCTGGTGTTTCCAAATCAGACGCTAAGAAATCACTATTCCACAATTAGCTTTCGTTCATGCGTTTGTTCATTTTTTCCTTTTTTGGTAAAAATATTTATTCTTCTCTTACGCCCCATAAACACTGGTAGGCTTATGTTCAGAGTACTTGCATTTGAGTAGACTGAGTAGAAGATTAAGACACAAGAGAGGAGCTCAACTAAAACAATGGATGTTTGGCAACAGTTGAATGAAGCTATGGTATAGGCTTGATGTAAAGTGATGGAACCTATCTATATCACTGTTGTTATTGTTTTAAAGAAAACTAGCTGCGTTTGTGTTAGAAATAAGGCTGCTGGTCACTGGTGTAGTGTAATCTAGGAAGAAATTGTAAGCAAACTCTACAAACTGTTCTGTTGAGGTATTTTATTCTTTCCTAATGAAAGGAAGTAAATTTAATTTGCTTGATGTTTCAATTTCCTGTTGGTTCATTTGATACGGCTGCTGTGTATATGCTTGTCTGATAGGTATTTCCTGTCCTGTGTGTGATGACATGACTAATTTATTGCCATGGGGCGAGATCTAGTTATGGAAGTGTGTGTTGGGAACAAAAACACTGAACGTGAAGAGAGTATGTCAAAGGAGAAGGGTCAGGAGTGGCACTTGAGCAAGTTTTTGTAATGGTCATGTGCCAACCTACTCTAATGCTTGAAAAACTCCTAGAAAAATAATTGTATCGCACACGCAAAAAAGTTTAAATCTTTTAGAAATCTAAACCAGTAATCTCTTAAAAATAACTGTATCTGATTGTTGTGCTGACGTAGGAGAGTAGCTGTGATTCTCAATTATGCATTCCTAAACACCATTTATTTATATTTAGGATATTTAAATGTATGTAAATATGTCCATTATTGCAGCTCATACCTTTTTAACAGGCAGTTAAATAAGAAGTTATTTGTTTCACTTGGATGATGCAGCACTTTATGTCAGGTGCAGGGAATCTTTGGCATGCCGGATGTTGCTGAACTACAACTACCATCATGGGATGGGAGTTGTAGTTCAGGAACATCTGGGAGACCAAAGGCTCCCCACCTCGGCTTTTTGTTATTCATTGTTATGTTTCTTTTAAAAATATATTCTTGTATTCTCAATCCGCTACTGTTTGGGGTATGTAAAAGATTCTCAAAGCGTACTGAAAAGCATTCACTCACCTAGCAACCAGTGTATGTAAATATATTTTGGTGTGAAAACATTATTTTATGTGCTATCTGGAGAATCCCCATAACCTTTACAATTGATGCTTCTGGAGAGAAAGGAAGGAACTTGTGTTAATAGGTTACTTGGAAACTAAGCAACTAAAGCCACTTCCCCTTGACCTCCATGAAGCCATCACTTTTTATTTTCTTCCTTTTCACTATTTGCCCTAACTTTATCTTACCACACTATGACACCATGTATAATGCTAGTATCATCTAAAACACTGTCTTAGTCTTCTCAGCCCCATCCAGAACTCTGCTGCCAGCTCATACTCTCTCTCTCATCTCTCAGTCCATACAATGCGCTTCCTTAAATATCTGCATTGGTTTCCCATACTATTTGCATCTATTCCCCACAGCCTTCCCCAAACTATCTTTTCATGTTTATTTATTGATATATCCCTACATTCCTCCAACTCTACCACTCACAGTCACCCAAGGGTCTTCTGCCCTCTGAAATGATTACATATCCCTTTTTTGCCCTTGAACCAGGACTCTCCACCCAGTACTGTTACATATTGCTATCTCTTTCAAAGCCCACCTTACCCATTAAGCATTTGGCTTTAATGGTTTAGTTGTCACCCCCAGTTACAACAAAGCTGTCATCCCCAGTTATATGTAACTGTGCTTGCTCACCTTCATCCCATATTATGCTTGCCTTGTACATTCTTCCTTTCATTCCTTGCCTCTCCCCCCCCCCCTTTTGTTTTTCTACAACTCTCAAAATTAGACTCTAAACTCTTTGAGGAAGCAACTCTTTACATTTGGTTTGCTCTGAAAGCATTCATGGTGCTGTAGAAGTAGTAGTAACAACAACAACAACAACAACAATATACAGTATGTGATAACAGGAATTATTGTTATTATCATTACTTCTTAATGTGTAGTGGGATAATTATGCATATGCTATTTTTATTTACCCATTTGTGGACTGACAATCATTTTAAACTTGGACTTGCCTTTAGTCTTTAATGTAACATTTTTCTTGCAGGTGACTTAAATTTATCTGTTTTTCTTACAGTTCTATCTTCAAGACACTAAGAGTAGCAATGGTACCTTTATAAATAGTCAGAGATTGAGCAGAGGATCTGAGGAAAGCCCACCATGTGAAATTCTGTCTGGTGATATCATTCAATTTGGCGTAGATGTGACGGAGAACACGCGGAAAGGTAAGGGTACGGATCACTTTCTTTCCTCTGTTTTTAAGTTGAGAATCTCAAGTATGTTCTATCCATAAGCAAGCTTTAAAGAAAAACAAAGTACTTAGTTTAGATTTGGTATTTTACAGTATCTTCTTAAAAGCATCTCTTCATGCATCCAGGCAGATATACCATCCTGATTGGTATTATGGTGCTGGTGGATATGCTTTTAACCCTTCCAGCTTTTGTCAGAACCATTTGTGCTGCTGTCCCAGTCAAGACTGCACCTCCCTTATGAGTGCTGATTAGAAGAACAACATACACAAATGCAAATACACATTTAAGAAACCATGTAGTGTGGCAGCGCCTTTACAGACCTATGGTATATTATTAGTTAGCCCTAATAGTTTTACTGAAGGGGAGCACAGAGGTCCTTTAAATAAAAGAAAACTGGTGGACCTGCATAATTTTCACATTTTATAAAATGTGATTTAAGGGAAGCAGTCTATCGGGAAACTTGATATGATTCCCAATTGTTTTAAAATGAAACCTGTAGCTTTTTCATCAGGATGACTGGCTCTTCATGGACATCTGAACATGTTTTAATCTCAACACTTCTTTTTGTACATTAGGTGTTGTATTTGATGATATTTATCTCTAAATACCCATCTTGTTTGTTTTTCTTATGTTAGTGCATTGCATGAGAGGGAGAAGTAGAATTCCGTGCCATAGAACTACTATGTGATACTTTATTTACTATTATTTATTTCCTGCCCCTTCTCCAAGATCAACATTTCAATGCAGGCTTCCAGCAGCCACAAGAAATTAGGATGGGAGAATATGATTTGTCCAAGACCACCCAGCATGCTTCATAGCTGAGCCCAGCACTCTATAGCACATTGGCAAAAAGCTCACTATTTAACACTTGTTTGTTTGTTTTTAAACTGGCTAGTCTGGAACATACAGTGTATGCTTTTCTTTTAGCTGGGTTAGATGTATTTCAAAATGTATTTACACATGAAAGTAGTGACCACCATTTGAACAAATTTGGCAGGTAATTCTCTTTTCAGCATTTAAATTCAAATCAATATATCACTTAGGATAAAAACTACCTTTTCTATTTAGCTTCCTTTTACCACGATGCATGAAGCCAGTGTGCTTATGCAAAAACTTGTTGTGCACAAGGAATTTACCTACATTTCAGTGGCATCTCCTCACATCTTATGGATTGATGCTCTAAAGAGGTTTCTATGACATTTGAGCTTGAGTCAGGAGGGCTGCTTTTGGAAGAGGAACCAAAAAACTATAAGTGTGTAAAATACTGTTCCTGGTGCTTCGGATCTCTTTTACCTGAGGTGGAAATGCTCTTCTCAAGCACATATTATCATGTATCTCTGACTATGGTTTTTACAGACTCCTCTAATTGTTGCAAAGTATTCTTTTTGTTCCCCAAATTAATTCATCAACATGCCTGAAATAGTATAGGGTTTCTTAGTCTTACTCTTTGTGATCTAAGGTTGGTCTTGCACACTTAGGCAACTGATCTAATTTTCATGTACTTGTTTTTGCATAACTTTTGAAAACTTGTGGTTTTCAAGCTTGTGGTTTTTTGTGATCCTCAAGAGTTGTCTGAAATGTTGCCCAGTCTTAAACAGTTTTCTGGTGTCTGCTGTCTGAACAATTCAGAATTGGATTGACATCACAGAGTGGCATGGGCCTTAAGTCTGTCTGAGCTTTTTGATACCAACACCCAATCATCCTCTGTTTAACTTTGCTTGTACACTTGACTGTTTTATTCTTTGTCAGACAGAATTACTTCAGTGTTATTGAATGTTTCGTTGTTTCCACTTTTCAGTGACTAATTTTATTGAATACTTACTTAGAACTTACAATGTTAATGTTCTTTCCAGTCACCCATGGATGCATTGTCTCAACAATAAAACTATTTCTCCCAGATGGTATGGAAGCTAGGCTACGGTCAGAGTAAGTGTAACTTTGCAGTTGTTCTAATATCAAACATGTTTCAGATGGTTAAGAATTTCTACATACCAGGACTAAAACTGCTGTCTAATACAATGACCTTAATATTGCAGAGCTAGGGACATCACCACCCGTTTTGGTATAAGACCCTAAGTGCTCATCTGTTTCGAGACATCCGATTTATTTATTTATTATTTATTTCACAAGATTTATATACTGCTTGTTTGTAATAAAGCCTCAAAGTGGCTTACATAAAGAAAGAACAATAAAATTACCAGTAAAAAAAAAAGTTTAAAAAAATCGGGAAAATAACTATATGAATCCCTGTGGACCCATGTGTGTGGGTGAACAACAAAAGAATCGTCTGGGTGCCTATATTCAAAAAGTGGGGCTAGTATACAGAGAACCCCAGTAGCAGAGTATTAAACTCATAAAAATAAGCGGCACATTAATGTTAGGAATATAGGATGTTAGACCTTTTTAACCCATTCAGCTGCACACAGCAACTGGCCTCTTTCTACCCCCCTTGCAATGAGCAGACCACGTGCCGTTAAGTTTAAAATGCTTTACTTACAGATTCAAAGTCTCAGTCATGCCTTATTCCATGCAGCAACAAAGATAATACAGGCAAAAACACATTTGCGTAGAAAATGCAGAATATGCTGTAAGCTTGGGAGCAAGCTTACACACATCCTCCTTAGTTGGTCACACAGTGCAGCAAGAAGGGGGAAGGAGGAAAGCAGCTTCACTTCTGCTCTGGGGGCGAGGGGGCATGACCTAACTGAGTCTATTTAGCAATGCAGCTCTGGTCCTTTACTCAGTCATGCACTAACTAGCACTCATGCATAGTTATGTTTGACTGTAATCTCCGACAAAAACAACTATTTAAAACTTTCAAAAAATAATTAACACCAATGATAAGCTAAAAACCAGATTAAAACACATGCCAGCCTTCTACATGTCCAGATAGGCTTGCCTAAACAAAATGTTTTTTAGCAGGTGCCGAAAAGAGTACCTGCCTGATGTCCATAGGCAGGGAGTTCCAAAGTGTGGGTGCTGCCACGCTAAAAGTTCATTAGCTTAAAAATGAGGGAAGTGTCTTATGTGGCACCTGTAACAATGCCAGTTCTGCAGATCGAAGTGGTTGAGTTGCTGGATGTGGCGTAAGGCGATCTCTCAATTAAACTGGTCTCATGCTGTTAAGGGCCTTATATACTGATAGTAAAGTGACACGCTGGCCTTGGCCCAGCAACAAATCAGCAGCCAGGGCAGGTCTGAGCAGAGGTGTTATATGCTGACAGGATCCGACTGCTGTCAGCAACTGTGCCTCAGCATTCTGCACTGCATGCCGTTTCCAGGCCAAGTGCAAGGGAACCCCACACAGAGTGCATTTCAATAATTCAGTCTGAAAGTAACCGATGCATGAATTACTGTGGCTGGGCTTTCCTGATCCAGGAGTGGTCCTAGCTGCCATACTAGTCTCAGGTGGCAAAAGACACTTCTAGCCACTAAGGCTACCAAAGCCTCCAGCGACAAAGCTGGATCCAGAAGCACCCACAGGTTGCAAATCTGCTCCTTCAGGGACAATGAAACCCTATTCAGGGTACAGAAGGATAATAATATTTTAAACGGTGATGTTTTTCTTCTACAGTGTCATCCATGCTCCCTTACCAAGTCCTGTTGATAAGGTAAGTCTTAGAACATTTCTTTACTTCTGACACATAGACGTGAAAACAACACTTTTAAAAAGAGCCAAGTGCTTTGAAAGACATATGAAGTGAATATTGATTCCTGAGTACATCTCCTCACCACCACCACCCCAATAACTTACAAACTGTTTGAAAGTGTGGGCGTCCTGCTTTGAGGATGCCAGTCAAAAAGTGGGATGCAGCAAATTGTTTTGAAGAAAGCGTTGAGACAGAAATGTGCCTGAGGACTGCACGCATTCCATTTTTTATATAAGCACAAATTTATGCCATCTCAAATTGCTTTTTAATTTTTGTTATGATAGTGAAAAATGTTACCTTTTAAGCCTTAAAAGCAATATAAGATAAATTCAACACAGCAAAACTTATGAGGGACATGTGTACAGACTTAGGAGGACACATACAGATCAGCAGTCTTAAATTGTTCTAGATAATAATAATAATAATAATAATAATAATATATTTATATCCCACCCTCCCCAGCCAAAGCTGGGCTCAGAGTGGCTAACAACAGTAAAAATAGCACAGTTTACATGAAATCACAATTAATTGAAATACATTCTAAAATCATCAGTACAAATCAATACATTCTAAAACCCATCTTTCGATAATTCCCGGCCCCTTGAATTGCTTTTTGAAAAATAAATCTTGTTTGTTTGTTTGTTTGTTTGTACCCCACCCATCTGATTGGATTGCCCCAGCCACTCTGGGCAGCTAAATGAGTCTTGTTATTCTTTATTAAATTTCCGTACCACCCTTCATCCAAGGATAGCAGGGCAGTTTACAATATAAAAACAAAAAATACATAACATAGTAACGAACAAAACCAAGAATATATTTTTAAAAGTTAATATGTGATTGTAGGAATTTGTGTACGGCATTTGTGTAGCTACATTTACAATGTACAAGAAGCCTGCACCTGCTTTGTTTCTCCCTTCTTATGCTGAGGCAAAACAGACATTCTGAACCAAAAATCATGGTTTGCTTTACTCCAAACAAACCATAGTGATAAGCCAAAGTTGTTTTTTGGCTATCCAGTTAGGGCTTGAAAGCTTTTTTTAACATAAGATTTCTCAGACAACCCAAATATAAAAGTCAGAGGTAGGAGGTTTAATACCATGAGTTTTTTATGTTTAGCCTCCAATACTGTGCTACAGTTGTATACAGTCCTAAAGGGTGCAGTACCCAACAATTTAATTATAGATATCCTTAATTAACTAATCTTGTTGTAAATATAGATTAAAGACCAGTGCTGACTGAAAAGCTGGCTTGTGCTTTACAGGTACATACATGTATTCTTTTACAATTGGCTGGGTGCATACGGTTTCTTGCACAATGGACATTCCAGTACCATGACTAATATCATATTAATATGCTCTATCAAGTTGCTAAGCAATTTACTAGCTTAATTTCTTCAACATAAGAAAGGTAACAGAAATCTAGAGAAATAAGACAAATATACATAAAACCAGCATGTCAAAAAATGAAAAGAAAGAAAATTGAATAAAACATCTTTAAAAAATGGGCAACTTAATTAGGCTTGGGTAGGCTTGCTGAAATATATATTTAAAAAAACCCAGCAGATTGCTTCATACTAACTGTTCTGTATACAAAAAATGGAATTCTATTTACCTTTCAAATAGTTTATAATTTGAGGGTGGCCAGCAAACAATGATAAAAAGAAAAAATAGGGGTAACTGTTAGCTCAAAATAAGGAAAATGTAAATGTATACATGTGTCCTTTTTTCTTTATTACAGTAGCTTGCATTTATGCTGATATTAAGGAAGTCCTTGCAAAAGTTTTAGAGGATACAAGCCTTTTTTTGTTGCAGTTTTGCTATTAACTTCATAAATCAAGTGAACTACTGATGACAGGCCTTCACTTGTTTGCATAAGTGTTTGAATGGATTAAGAAGAGAGTTAAACAACCAAAATAAGAAAAGAAGGGAATGTGTTGATTCGTTTTATTTTATATACATTAAAAGTATTATGGGTTTCAGAGAAATATGTTCTTCAATTTTACAGGTTGCTGCTAACACTCCCAGTATGTACTCTCAGGAACTGTTTCAGCTTTCTCAGTATCTACAGGTAACTTTTCTTTTGGGCATATGTATAATTCCTGTTCCTTTATATTGTATAGGTTTGACTGAGTGTTCTTCTACATAATCAGTTAGGAGCTTCTGTGTGGCAAATATATTAGGAGTAAGGCTGTGACTGGATCAGCTAGTGACATCATGCATATAATGGACTTTCTTGTTATAATGTTTGAAATTCTAGAAAGCAGTTCCAAGTGTTTTCCCTGCCATGCATGCACTATAGTCATAATTAGTATCCGTAGCATGCTAGTATTAACCTAATCTCAGCTCACTGTTATGATTAGCATTCCTAACTTCTGTCTCCCAAGTATGTATGGGGAAATGGTCTGGGGTGGGGGTTGGAGAGTAGATGGGACATGCAGCATCTTTCAGTCTTGCCCCCAAACTGCTGTAGCATCTCCCCAACCAGTCCCCCGATATCTGATACCCACTTTGGCAAGATACCCAATGAAATTTAAGGTAGATTGGAACACCAAGTTGCAGGAGTGAACATGTTTCCTGCAAGTCTCCTAAGCCCCATTCTCAGTTGGCATTTTCCCTTTGTATCCTAGTAAAATGTATCTCTGGGAAGTTCTAGTATACTTAACCTACAAGGAATAAAATTAAATGCACTTCAGATCTCCCAGAGGGGCTATCTGGCATTACCCCTTTTGTATTCCCTTTGATCCATTTCTTCCTGGACTGTGGACAAGAGTTAGCCATATAAATCTCTCTTTTCTCTTGGCCTACGTACACATTACCAGCTTAAAACATCTAGGTTTCAATTAGGATTGAAGCTGGCTTGGGGAATAATGCATCAAAATGCAGCATTTCATAAAAACAACCAGATAGTTATGGATTGAGACTAATGCATGTACACTGCTTCCAAAACCAGTGATGGGAATGCAATCAGTGCAGGGTTACACTCTGGAAGTTTCAACAGTTTTAATATTGACTTCTGGAAACTGCCTGTGTCAATTTTCAAACCTCTGATTATAGTAGTATTGTGTGCAAAATTATTAAGTGCAGCCAATTTTGGGGGTAGTGGTAAAGGAGTTGTATTTTGAGCTGATTAAGGAGAAGATATACAGGCACCCCCCCCCTTTTACACATGTTCAGTATGCGCATTACCATGTATATGCACGTTGTGCTGAACAGAGAAGTGAATTTAAAAATTGCTAAACTTGCCTCAGAAGAGCCAAGAAAGGTCAGGAAAAGGCGCAAAAACAGCACCTAGCAATCTCACAAGCCTTTGCAATTGCAGTCACGAGAGCCCTTGCACCAACCGTTGAGGCCTGTAGCGAGTTGGAGTTTGAGGAAGGAGGTTGAGAGGGAACGATTGTGGCGGAGTTTGGCAGAGTTTGGGGCGGAGTGTTCAAGCCATTCTTTGAGGCAGCACCTAAATGCAAGGCGCCATCACCTTCCTTTGGTGACGACAAACTGAAGAGGCAGCGAGTGGTGCCCACGCTGGAGGAGAAATTGCAAGTGCTGAACTGCTTCTGGGATTGCATGAGCGTGTGTGCTGTGGCATGCAAGTTTGGCAAGAATGAGCCCAGCATACGTGCCTTTAGGATATGGGAGAAGAAAATCCAGGCAGCGGAGCAGTGAGTACCTGTACACCTACAACTGCCAAGGTCCCAGCCAGGCGCGGGATGAGGCCCTGGTGAAGGCACATGAGGCCCTGGACCTGTGGCTAGATGACATGAACTGCCAGTGTATCCTTGTCGACAGATACACCTTGCACAAGAAGCCTCTCGGGTTGTATTCACACTCCTGTGAAGGAGCTCCAAGCCAGCTCCAGTTGGCTGGCCTGCTTCAAAGTCGCTTCAATTTAAAGAATGTTGGCCCCTGTGGTGACCAAGTGTGCCCTGACCAGCTGAAGAGACATAAGTACCAGCTGCCCATCACCATGTTCCTCTGCAAGACACCACCAGCCCTACCCAGTGAATCTGACCCACAGCCGAGCTCCTTGGGGTACTGGTCTACCCCACTTGTTTTTTGAAAATCGTCCTCTAGCAATGAGGAAGACTGAGTGCCACCATGACCACCATTTCTGCCCATCTTGTACTGGGCTGCTGGTTTTTCAAAGGATTTTTCTAGGGTTTCCAGAGTTTTAGAGGGTGTTTGCAGGCTTTTCCAATGGGTGCTCCTATTATACATGATTTCATGTACTGTATGTGCGTGTTTACTTGAAACACAACCCCTGTGTAATTGGGGATTGCCTGTATTCCTATTGACTACCAAGCCCTTTTAAAAAAGAAGGGTAAAGTATGCCACCTAGTGGTGTTCGGTAAAGATAACTTTGAACATTTTGATGAGAAATTGGCCTTGTTCTTTCAGTTTCTTTGAAGTTCGATAGCTGCTGAGCTGCTTTCTTTTCCTTGAAACAGAAGTAGTCCTTGAAGTGTTTTTGTCTTTAAAACTCATACAAAGCCAACAGTGAGATGGGCCTCAACATCTGTAAGAGGCCAGAGCACATTCTATGCATATATGGGAACTTGAGTTCATCGATGTCTCAACTCAGCCAAAATAATCGTATCTAGTTATAAACACTGAGGTACAAAAGACAGTGTGTTGAAATCTCTCACCCTTTTAAACCATTTAACTCTACTTTGTAAGTGCTGATATCTATTGCTACTGTGTGTTACTAATAGGATTTTTTTTGGTTCTTATTCAATGCAGGAAGCCTTACATAGGGAACAAATGTTGGAACAGAAATTGGCCACCTTGCAGCGATTGCTTGCTGTCACACAAGAGGCATCAGATACTAGTTGGCAGGTATTTTGTGTGATGTTGATTTTGGACCTTTTCAGATGGTGCACCTACTTATCTGTCATAACTATAGATTACTGTGAACTAATCTGAAGTGTAGTTAGCAATGCTGTAAAGCATGGCCAGTGGTTAGGGGCAATGAGAGTTGGAGTCAAACAACATCTGGAGGATACCACTTGGCTTCCCCGGTAGTATAGTATTGCATAAAACCCACGTTCTTATTAAATACTCACTGTGTGTTTTTACTGTATTAGATGCTAATTTATGAATGTGCTTGAATTTCTTTCTAACAGGCTTTGATAGATGAAGATAGACTACTATCAAGGTTAGAGGTTATGGGAAACCAACTACAAGCATGTTCAAAAGTAGGTAGTTTGCTTGGATTTAGAGTTTGAGAACTTGGAGTACTTGATAATATCAAAACATGTATTATTTGTTTAGCAAATATAAGAGGGAGCCTTTCTGGATCAGATCAAAGGTCCACCTAGGTCAACATCCTGTTTCTCACGGTGACCATGCACATGTTAACAGGAAGCCTACAAGCAGGGCAGGGAACCATTTGCTCCACTGTTGCCACCTCCCCTCATCACCTTTAAATTTAGTGACATACTTCCTTTAGACATGGAGGTTTCATGTAGCAATGATACCTAGAAGCCAGCGATAGGGGGGGAAACGAACTCTGTGTACTCAAGGAATTGTATGATTTTGGTGTTTGCTTTTATTGGGTCTATGACTGTATAATGAAATTTGTCCTGGTTGACATTTTAAAAGCATTCTAAGCCAGTGGCCATTTCCATTCAGTGTGGCAGTACCAGGATCATGTTAGTTCTGAAAAAATGTGTTTCGTCTTGCCACTCACTGTTCCTTCTGTTTTCGCGTTCAGTTTATTGTTTTCATGATGAAGCTTCATTTAAATGTAAGCCACCTTGAGGTGCTCATAAAACCAGAGTACATTGGTACCTTGGTTCTCAAACTCAATCCATTCTAGAAGTCCGTTTTGACTTCCAAAATGTTCACAAACTGGAACACTTACTTCTGGGTTTGTGGCGTTTGGGAGCCGATTTGTTTGTCAACTAAGCCGTTTGGGAACCAGGGTACCACTGTATCCATTATTTGGATAAATATTTAAATTATCCATCATTTAAAGTATTTAAATAAATATTTAAATTTAGTGTGCATTTTACTCTGATTAGATAAGTTATTTTAATCTTTGTTCCTCAAAAGCAGTGTTGACTGATTCACATTAAAACAATTCTAAATCATCATATAAATTATCAAGTCAAATGACTGCTTTATATGCAGACTTTATACTCTGCAATCTGTGCATGAAGTGTTATTTTCACTGCAGCCATGAGAGCAGGGGGAGCTTATCTGGGATAGTCATTCAGTGCTTTCTTAAAATAGCCAGAGCAGAGCAGTTTTTTATAATCAACGTGAGATAGCCAAAGATCTTGGGTGTCAACTAGTGGCTTAGCTGCGTGAGGCAGGATTTTATGAGCAGGCCTATCCAGAGACTTTGTACACCTTTCTGGTCCTCATTTGTATCCAAGAATTACCACAGATGAATGGGGAAAGAAAGAAAAAATGCAAAGGTATTAAGAGAGATGTAACCATTTCACAGAATCCTGTAACTCCATTGTTGCTTTCTGTGGTTTCACTGCATGTTTTCTCAAATTCTGCTTCACAGATCTGGGCTGCTGCAAATGTAGCATTGTCATCATCTTAACATTGGTTAAGAGATTGGGCACCTGCTATGATAGCATCTTCTCTTCCCCCTTCCTTCCTCGGGAGTGAATTACCTGCTTAATTTTGCCTTAAGAACTAAGTGAAACATAAGCATAGAGCTTTAGTATGGTTAATGTTAATATGATTCTTGTTTAATCAAGGTCTAAAATTACATTTTAATGCTTGATTTAAATCCTGATTAAGCTGGAGCCTTGGTTAGTGTTATCTGCAGTTGAGCAAACATCAGCAGACACCTTGCAGTTAAGGTCTCTGCTGATGTTTCTTTAACCATAGTTTACATATGCGTGTGTCTTTAATACAGTGGTGCCTCGCAAGACGAAATTAATCCGTTCCGCAAGAGTCTTCGTCTAGCGGTTTTTTCGTCTTGCGAAGCAAGCCCATTGACGGATTAGCGCTATTAGCGCTATCAGCTGTTTAGCGGCTATTAAAGGCTTAAAGGCTTAGGGGATTAGCTGCTAAAAGGCTATTAAAGGCTATTAAAGGCTTAGCAGATTAGATAAAGGGGGAAAAGCGAAAAAATCTCAAGACTCGCAAGGTATTTTCGTCTTGCGAAGCAAGCCCATAGGGGAATTCGTCCTGCGAAGCAACTTCAAAACGGAAAACCCTTTCGTCTAGCGGTTTTTCCGTCTTGCGAGGCATTCGTCTTGCGGGGCACCACTGTATAGTCAAACCTCGGTTGTCGAACATAATCCATTCCAGAAGGCCGTTCAGCTTCCGAAACATTCGAATCATGGCTTCCGATTGGTTGCAAGAGCTTCCTGCACTCAGCGGAAACTATGTCGGGCGTTCAGCTTCCAAAAAACGTTCGAAAACCAGAGCATTTACTTCCGGGGTTTTTGCATTCGGGAGCCGAATCATTTGAAAATGGAGCTGTTTGGGAGCCGAGGTTTGACTGTATTTCCTGAAAAGGAAGGGAATATACATTTCCAAAGTTAGCTCCTGGCTGTTAACTATGGTTAAGGAGTCAGTGTTATGCCTGCACCTCTCTCTTACATCCCTGAAACATTCCCCCTTTTCTTTTCTCTTTTTAATGAGGAAAAAACCTTAGAATTTTGCATAGCACAAGCATAGTAGCTTCAGTTTGAAATGGTATATTGACATGACTTCTCAGAAGTAAATCTGCCTTCAAGAATGGTAGACAATGTAGCATTTGAAAAAGGGTAAGAATGTTTCAGACATCATGAGGGACAAGGTGGGGAACTTTTAATGGAATACCAAATTTCCTAGGATAAAACCCTAGTGAAGTCCTAAAATGGATGACATATTTTCATAACTTAATGTAATACTGTTGTAAATGGTAATATGAGCATGTGGCTTTAAGATTTCCACCATGCTGCATTTCTGCTTACAGAATCAAACAGAAGATAGTTTGCGAAAGGAGCTTATAGCATTACAGGAAGACAAGCATAACTATGAGACAACTGCCAAAGAGTCCTTGAGGCGGGTCCTTCAGGAAAAAATTGAAGTGGTCAGAAAACTCTCTGAAGTGGAGGTATTTATCATTTGCATTTTAGCCATGTTCCTGAAACTGGGTTTTGCCACCATACCATGAAAATAAAACATCAATATGTCAACATTTTTATTATTATTTGCTGTTTTTTGCTTGTCTTGAGATTTATTTCCTGACTCTGAGATTTAACCCTTTTTAAAATAGGGTTTTATCTTGCAAAGTTAGGGAGGTATTTTCTCCCTGCTCAAACAACTCTTCTTTGGAATGTATGTATCTGACTTGTGCATTTTTCTCAGGTATGTGTTCAGGTTTTTGTTTTGTATGCTCGTACTAATGACTTGAACTGTCACTTTAATTTTTTTTTAAAAAATACACCATAAAATTGCATATGCCTAAAGATCATAAAATGGCGGGGCTATTTTGATTAAAGTTGAATTCACACTATGCACACCTCTGTTCAAAATTAAACTGTACTCAAACTGATTGCCCCTTGTATTTAGGATTAGAAGAGTAGGATTGAATCCAATGGAGACCCTGAGCTTGCACAATGTCTTCTGCTTATGCAACAGATATTCCCCGTGCATCACCCCTAGAACAGATTGGAGGGAATGCCGCAGGGATTGGGGAGTGGGCAAGGGCAGCATGCTTAGCAAAATAATGTTTTGAGTAATTTTATTTATTTATTTAGAGCACTTGTACTCCACTCTTCAGCCTAAAAGACTCCCAGAGCAGCTTACATGCAATCAAAGCAAATTCTAAAAAAAGCACGACACCCAAGGGGAAAGGGATAGGGAGGGAAGAAGGAAATGAAAATGAAAATGCAGGCACCAGTTTCTAAACAGTTGTTCCTATAATGACCAGCTGTGGAAGGAGGTTCCTGATGGAGCTGGCTTGCCATAGCAGAGCTGATGTAGTGAGCTCTGCTTCCCAGCTCCCCCACTTCTGGAATGGCTGTCCCCAGTTGAAGGAGAGGAAGCCTGATGGGGCTGGCCTGTCTCAGCAGAGCCATTGGAGTGATGTCTGGCACATTTCTCTGGGAAATGGTTGCTATAATTCTCATACATTGCGCAGTTATAATAAATCTTAAAAACAGAGTAACATAAAAGTTTCTGGTTTCAATAGATTTTTGGCTTCAATGTGCAATTTTTCTTCTCACAGCGAAGCTTAAGCAACACCGAAGATGAATGTACTCACTTGAAAGAAATGAACGAACGGACTCAGGAAGAATTGCGGGAATTGGCCAACAAATACAACGGAGCTGTAAATGAAATTAAAGATCTCACTGACAAACTAAAGGTACAGTCGGTCTTTCTAACCGCACGTTTTGGTTCCAGAACTAACATGACTTTTGCATTCATTCTTTTTCTGGAATCGCCATCCATAGGTACTGATCTGTGGCTTGTTTTTCATGGTGTTGAACAGGCAGCTGAAGGGAGACAAGAAGAAATCCAGCAAAAGGGACAGGCTGAGAAAAAGGAATTGCAGCACAAAATAGAAGAGATGGAAGAGAGAGAGCAAGAGCTTCAAGCAAAAATAGAGGCTTTGCAAGCAGATAATGACTTCACCAATGAACGGCTAACTGCTTTACAAGGTCAGTCCAGTAGTTCAAACATGTTTTTATCATCATTTTTTTTTCTTTAAAACTGTGAAATATATGTTTTTTTGGAATTCTGTTTGCAGTCCGGTTAGAACATCTTCAGGAGAAAGCTCTTAAAGAACACAACAGCTTAGGTAGGTCTGATGTTAAAGTATTTTGCTTAATGTTGAAATTTGATTATTAAATTGTACCCCTTTTGTGCAAAGCAGTTAAATGAGCTATAGAACACAGACTGTAAGAATGTTTGAAAATGATGCCTTTAGTTTTATTGTAGTTTATTTTCTAGATTATTGATAAACCGTGGTTTCAAGAAAATACCAGTAGAGGGCAATGTTTTTTAAAAGTCCCAACACAAAAGGTGAACTTGACTATTGCAACTTTTCAATTCTAGTGATGCAGTTAAGGAAGAATTATGACATCATTAACAATTATTTTTGGATGGTATATTGATTTTGGCACTTGTGATATGTGACAAATTCTGCTGCTCAAAGGAGGGAAATTGAGATTATTTCTTATTTTCCAGTAGCTTGAAGGATAAAGTATTAATAGAGGTTTCAGAAGTTTGGCCCATGTTTTGTGGAAGGTTCATGACTGAACTGGGTAGCAAAACTGAACTGCATTTTGTGAGAGGTGGGGCAAATAGCTCAGGGGGTGACCATAGCATATACTTTGCAAAAGGTCCTCAGAGAGTGACTGACAATCTGTGAAATTGACTGGCACTGGGCTGGATGGACAACTGGTTTCCTTTGGTAAAAGGCAGCTTCCTTTGTCCTGAATATCAAGGGCAGGGGGCCTGAAACTCGCCAGTGCTGCTCCCATGTTCTTGTAGCTACAGCCATGAAATGAAACACCCTAGAATACCCTCAGAATGAGTGTTATCCAAAGGAGCATTCAGGGGCATGATGAGTGGTGGCTGCCAGTGAGGAGGGCAAGGTTCTTTCATCAGATGCCCCTCACAATGGCACTCATTCTGAGGACATTCTGAGCAACTGAAAATGTTGGTCCATAAGGAGCTAGGGAAGACCTGGTGAGATTTGCAACCCCCATAATTTAACCCCTATAATAGCCCAAATGCCCAGCTCACTTTTGCCACCTGAAAATGGAGTGTCTCTGCTTCTAATCAGTCCTAAGCAATATAGAAAGTCAGCACCCATATCTACAGAATACTTTGCTTATTCAGAATTAATACCTTTGTTAATTCTAGGCATACAAGTTGATGACTTCATTCCTAAAATTAATGGGAGCGCTGAAAAAGGTAGAGTATCTTTAATGACTGCCTTTTTTGTGGTGGTGGTTTTAATTTTGAGCTTATTTTTGGTTATTTGCTTGTTTTGTGTTAATATTTTTTCTAATTTTTACAACAAAAAATAAGTTAATATATTACTGAAGAAACACTTGGTGTTGGCTTCTAAATTTTGTATTTTTAGACATGCCTTTGCATGGATACTCTACTATCAGCCGGAGCATGAAGTTTTCAATACTAGTGAGACTTTAGTAACAGAGTATATCAGTATAATATATCTATCCACTGTAGGAAAATAATTACAGTGATAAAAGCAGATACATCAACATGGCAGTTCAGGACAATAATGCCAATGGCTCTTCAAGTTTAACTCTGATGATGGTTGGAGACTTTAAAAAAAACCAAAAGACGTCAAATTTCTGCCTCAAGATAAATCAAAATGATGAAAACTTCAGTCGTCCTTTGCAGGGTACTGTTAATGTACTATGTTCCAAAATGGATAAGGGTGCCCAAGTTAATTTGCAGGGCAATCTTATACCTGCGTGTTCAAAAGGAATCCCACTGAGTTTAATCTGACTTACTCCCAGGTAAGCATGTATAGGATCGCAGCCCTAGAAATCTTTTGCTTTGCTTGCCAATTAACTCTAAAATGTTCCTGCCTTTCACATCTTAAGATGCTAAATTTGCAAGCACGATCACTTCCTAATTTATCCTTCAACATTAGTGCACACAATGTTCTCATTTCTTTTCAAATGCTTAACTTCCCTCATAGGATCTGAGGAATGCAGAGGACCCTTTTGGACACCTGTAGCTTTCTATGTAATTTACTCTGTTGCACTGCCACATCTAAAGAAGCAAGTCATGTTTAAAACAGACTAGAGGCTTGCCTCATCAGCTGTAGTGATCAGAACAAAACCCAGTTAGAACATAACACTGGAATCAAGATCAGGATTGGACTGCAGGCTTCCATTCCTCCTCTCTTCTTGCATGCAAATTCCCACTGCCTCCTTTTATCTAGTTTGGTCTTGTGTGACCAGTGTTAACCCTAGTTACAATTAATCCTGGTGTTTGACTCTACCCATTTTGAGAACCTGATTGAAAACAGGGACTCAAAATGAGTTTTGGAGCATACCTTGGTTTCATTTTAATCACAGTTGTCGAAAAGATAATATTAAATGTGGAACCCAGTTTGAAGAGGGTGGCTGGAATTTGCATTCAAAAGTGGGCGGGTGGTATTTTATGGCAATCCCCCAAACTCTGGTTCCTTTTACGTCCAAACCAGGCCAAAGTCATTGCTGTCACACATCACATTTATCATCTTGTACGATCTCTGTGGAGATATGTTTTACTTGGAATTGACAAGCAGTGACTCTTATTAACTATTCCTTTCGTGGAGCTTTCTTCCGCAGCTTTGTTGACCAAAAATCCACAGTCTCAGAAGGCAGGATGTTTAGTGAGTTACCAAGTGATAACGATCTGGTAATGTTTCTACTCACAAGGGCTCATTGCTTGCACATTTGCTCTTTAGGCCTTTCTCAGGCAGATCCACTTATTCTTTTACTTTCGTACTGGCAGCATTCCTTTCCCCACCTTTCCTCTCTTGTAGTTCCTAACTTTACTTGTCCCTAGACATCCATGTTTTTCTTCAGTTTGCTCAACAGAATCTCCTTCTGCCATATTGTTTCCTTGCTTCCTACAACAAGCTCAGTTTCCCTAACAAATTCTTTTCACTGTATCATATTTTCTTTATCTTTGGTAGCCTGAGTTTCAGAGCTTTCGTGAGAAAACAGATAAGACTACCATTCATCCATGAACACGGACCTGGGCTTGCCCAATCCAGTCTTCTCGTAGACCTGTAATAGTGCAGGGTCTTGTACCGTTACTCTTTTTCTGTGAACGGTGTGGGGCTTATTGCTTCTCAAAACTTCTCCCACTCTTCAGGTTCCACTTTTTGTAATCTGGCAGTTCCCTTGCGATTCTGCCCTAGGTAGCATGGATGATGCCATTCTCTTCTCAGTCATTTACACAACTTCTGCTCCCTGCACTGTGCATATCATCTTACATGGGAGCTTTGCCCCACTGTCAGGACAGATTCTTTGAAGGGCTGCTGCTTTGCTGTCACAGGGAAAGAGGGCCACCCCCATCACCAGAGTAAGCGATAATGGGGCCCCTTTGTGGGACACTGAGAGACCTGTTGTCCGATCCTAGATATGCAGTTGATAATGCTGTTCAAATGGACTCAGTTTTGTTTCAAAGCTTAAATGTGCAGAAGCAACATTTGTTTTGAAGTTTGCAAAAGCCTTTGACAATATACAGTGTGCATATACATTGAGGTCTGGATGGTGAAATGGCAACTACTTGATTTGGGCATGGGAAACCAGGCTAGAATCCTCACTCACTAATGAAAGTCTATGGTGGCGGGGGGGCATTAGATAAATAATTATTTCCGAACCAAACAAACTTGATGGTCTTATTTTTTCCTTTCTGACTAAAATGGCACTTTAACAGCTTCTTTGGAAAATGTATATAATACAGATTAAACTGATTAGAAATTTTAACCTGTTAGACTGGGGTGGCTAACATGTTTTGGCCCAAGGGACACATTCACCCATGGCCAGTCTTCCATGGGGCATACCACACTCTTGCATACAGATACTCATATGCGTGTGTGCACACATGCAGGCAGATATACACACAGGCACACAACCCCACTTCTCATTAAATGATTGATCTGATTACTAGAGATGATCAATTCCCATCCCCATCAGGACACTGGGCGCCACCCACCCTAGTGCACTACTTTATTTATTTATTTGTCCCTGATGCCATAGTCAGTGGGGTCAGGAAATTTTGCTTTGGGGACCATGTCAAGCCCCCAAAATGCGGGTTTGTCACTCCTGTGTTAGACATTAGTGAGATGAAAGCTATTTCAAGGAACTGTCTTGAAGCCTGAAAATATCCTTTTAACTACAACTCTTAAAACAACAGGTATAATCCTTTCCAGCTATTTACTTTAGCCATACCCAACTTCACAAATTAATATATGTTATGAATCAAGTCCAGCTGTTGAGACCTAGTAATTTGAAGGTAGTTTAAAATTGTGTCCAATTTCCGAGTTGGGTAACAATTTTAAAATGTTTAAAGGTATTTGTATTACAACAGAAAGTGCCTTGTTGATACATTCTGGATTTGGTATAGGTTAACTTTCACCGGTAGTAACGTACATTAATATAAATTGTGAGGCTTGTAAATTTTGAAGATGTAAACATGCAGATTACAAATGTGTATATTTACACCTTCAATATATTCTATAGTACGCTGGTGCTTTTCCTTTGGATTTGAGGGTGTGTGTCTCCCCTTTTCTTTCTTGTGCCTTTTGGTGAAAAATTCTCCTCCCTCCCCTGATGTCTGTGAGGCTTATACATTTTGTCATGAGCCCTCAAAAAGATGAAGATATGAACTTAAAAGGTGTTTCTTTCTTTACTAGAGCACTTTCTTTCAAAGAGTGGAGGGGACTGCACTTTTATTCATCAGTTCATAGAGTGCCAGAGTGAGTACAGAGCATTCATCACATTCACTAAAAAGTCTATAAAAACAGTATCATATATTCAGTACTAGGGTTGGGACAGTTATATTTTTGAAGTGCTCTGAAAAACAGAACAGAACTATAGTTGTTGCTATAGTATTATGGAAAGGTAGCCTGCAATCATGAGTAGAATGGGGAAATCCAGATGGGGACTTAACCTGAGCATAGTGAATCTAGTTGAAACAGCTGACTGCAAGCCTCAAGTGAATTTTCTCACTCAACTTATCAAGGGCAGACCAACTTCTACAATTCCAGTGTTACAGCTGGAGGAGATTTCATGCATCCCTCCATAGTGAGCTGGGCAAATAGAAGAGGGAGATCTCACATATGATCATAGGGGAGATGTGCAGGTTTCCCGTTTCAGTGTTTCACTAGAATTGTTCAAGGTAAATCAGCAAGTCTCCGGTGCCCAAATACCACAATGATTGGAGTGTATTAAAAGGATCCAAATTCTTCCTGTCACTGAGTTTCCAGGATAGCTTACAGGCAGCTTGGGGAAAGTGAGAAGGATATATTCCACTGGACGTCTTTAGGAGAGTGTTGTGGAAAAAGCAATATTTTAGGCGTAATAATAATAATAATAATAAATGTTCAGCATGCTCCAGAAAGGCAGTAGTTCAGTACAGTTTGTTGTGTACCTCATCCTTGTCTTCCTCAGTTTTCCAACTTTTTGCAATCATTCCAAAACTATTATCACGTTATGTATTCCATGAAGGCTTTTAAAAATTAAATATAGCATATTTGCTGGTAACAAAAATGTACTGGATTGGCATTAAAGGGTGAGGTAGAGTGGGGCAGGGGTGGAAGTAGCTTCCCCAATGTACTTACATCCTCAATTTCTTCACAGATTTCAGTGCTTATTTTTCTGCTTTCTTCATTTCTTCATTTTTCTCTTTGGGTTTGTGTTATTTAATCTTTCCCATATTGCATATGGGCAAAATGTTATTTAAATACAGTTTTTATCATTTGTAATCTTAATTTTTAAAATATATATTTATATAGTTCCTATAACCAAGACCATCGGTTTTAAAGTTGGTTTTGTTGAATTCACATCTTGTTTATTTTGCAAGATTGCTAAAGAGGGGTGGGGCACCTGTGGCCCTTAGCCTAATTTTATGTGGTTGGGGGAAGCCCAGAAGGAGAGGAGGAGGATAGGAAGGGAAAAAAGAAGAGGGAGACTCAAAGAGATGGAAGGAGGAAGGAACAAAGCTCTCTGCAAGGTATTGGTTTACCTCTGGCAAAAGCCACCTGCCCCTTCTCCAGCAGCTATTGGGGAGGGGGAGAGGGGGGGAGAAAGAAAAGCAGGAGGCTTTGAGTATTGCTTTTATTTATTTATTTTTTATTTATTTTATTTTGCTTGATAGTTTAGCTTTGCTGTAAGTCTGCTTGAGGCCATTTGTTTATTACAAGAGGATATATGTTAGAGGTGTGCATTGGATTTGGACAAACTCTGAGTCCCCAGAGCAGTGGGCTACCTCAAGTTTGGACCTGTCAGAGGCAAGGAGGGATCGGTTTTAAGGTGGCACAAGTTGAATCAGGAAGCTCTTGGTGATTCAGATGCCAAAAAAGTCCTGAATACAAGTGTCTCCTTAAAACACAAGCAATGTCTCTAGGTTAGAAATAACAGCAGTGTAGGGTGATGGGGAAAGGAGGAGAAGACAGAGAAAGACTACCATTGTGACTGACAGGTCAGCCATGTAACCAGAGGGAATTGTTTTACTTGGAAAGTGAATCCTTTTTTAGTTCTCCCCTCCCCATCCAGTGGGTTTCTTACCCAAGGGGACCTTTGTCATAGCTTCAGTTATTTGATAAATTGCCCACCAAACTCCAGGGACAATAAATTTCTTTTTTAACCCACCTTGGAACTGTAGAAGCTTTCGGTTTCTTCCTTGTGGCTTCACTGAAGGAAAAGAAGAGTGTAAGAATCCAAGGCCTGTTTACGTCATGCTAAGCCATAGTTTACGGTTTATGTGCAATGCCTTTGTGAGAAAACCATTTCAACTATTCAAATTCTGGCAGGATCTGAGGTTTCAGAAATGGTGACCCTGATTACAATTTTCATCTAATTATGCCCCCAATAAAATAGGTGTTGCACATTTCCTTAAAAATAAATGAATAATCACATTTGGCCTATTTGCCTGTAACTTGGCAGAGCTCATCCTCATCTGCCAACTGGCTTTTCGTTTTCTAGTACAGATGGTATGTGTATGAGCAAAGTGGGTTCAGAAAGATGCTCAAGCCAAACTTGGCAGCTCATGAAGCATCTGAGACTTAGGCAGACTGTTTTCCATAGTGTTGAATTGGGGTCTCAACTAACCCTTGTGGTTGGTGCACACCATATATATACTACGAGGCCTATCTAGTCCAGCATCCTGTTTCCCACAATGACCAGCCAGATACCTGTGGGGTGCCCACAAGCAGGATATGAGGGCAGAAGCACTCCTTCTGCTGTTCACCAGTATTTGGTAGTCAGAGCCCTGCTATCCTGAATCTCCCACCATTTACCTTCATTGGATGGCTGTATGTTCTAATATTATGGGAAAGAAAAGTTCTAATATTATAAGGGGGGGGGGAATTCACTCTTTAAGAACACTTCTAACTAAACACACCACGTCAGGAAAATAATATTTTGCTGAGTTATTTCAAGAAACTGCAGTCAGTAAGGCAGTAGATCTACCGTCAATATTTTTTAAAAAAATGTGTGGTCACGTTTTCAGCCCCTGGGGATCAGCCATCACTCAGATTAGACCAGAGACAATGGACTTTATCTGGAAGGTTGATCTGGTAATCTGAGATGGCTGACGTCATGGCTAAGGAACTGATTAATATGAATAATCTATATTAGGTTACAGCCAAACTGAAAAACAATGTATTGATCACAAGTTTACCAACTGGTCTTTCGGGAAAGAAGCACTACACAGTTAATGCTCACTATCTTGTTATGGTACAATAGGTTGAAATATGTATATATCAGAGGAAGATGGTCCCTGAAATTCTTTACCTGAAGTATTAAATGGTTACGCCCTGTCAGGTACATGTAAGAAAAGATAAGAGAGCTTTTGTTTTTTCAGTGGGAAGATGGTTACCTCTAAGTAGCATAGCATTTTTATATGGAAGTTTAGATAAAGTATAGGCCTCACAATTAGTGACCAATTTGTTCTGTAATCACGGAAGTCCTATATACGGTATTTATTAGCTGACCTATTTTGAGCAGATTTTATTTTCATAGAAAAGGCTTGTCAGTGATCCATGACATAAATCTCAAACATTTGTTTCTGTTTCCATAGTATGAAATGCAGTCTAGTTCTCATCAATCTGTCTGCTTATCTTAAAAGCCCTGAAACAGTCACCTCTTAAGTACATTCTGCTCTGGCATTACTCTCTCATCCATGAAAAAAGGCCTTTACTTTTATCTTGCTTAGTAGCACTGAGCAGGCTTCTTTTTATTATCAAGTTTATCAAGTAAAAATGCAGGTGGAGCTGCTTAGTGCCTGAGAAAATAATTGAGATTCATACCGGCATTTATAGCACTCAGATGTGTCTTACAGCTTGATTACGTGGTAATAAAGTTTCATCTAACAAACATGAACTATCTGAATTGAAAAAGTGTTTAAGGCTGAGTTGGTAGATGACATGAAAACCCTGAAATATGATTGCTAAAGATGGAGTATACATGATGTAATATTGCAGTCATGAAATGATGAAAATGAATAACATTTACTTAACCATAAAATAATCATTTGAAACCATTATTTCCTCAGCTCTCTAATGCCATTTTATTTTCCTACTTTTGTCCATTCAGAATAGTACAGAATGTGTGATCTCATTTTCTGCCACATCTGTCTTGTGCTACCTCTTCTTCTTTGACCCCTTAATTTGCCACTCTTCTTCCTATCCTTGTTCTCTCCACTGATATTTTCTTTTGGCCTCTTAGTCTGATTTTTCCACCTTGTCATGTTTACTTAATTTTATTTTCTTGCCTAGTCTGTGTTTGTGGTTCTCCCCCCACTTGCCTCATTATTTTGCTAACAAAGCATAAGCACTCATCCAATCTTCTTCTAGTTCCCACTTACAAGTCTTATTGGGGATTGTTACTGGAAAAACACCACCAGTCTAAATACTGGTGTGCTGTCAACCTACTAAGAAGGACTAATAAGAAGGACGCCTGATATATTCAATCCCTGCGCCTTCCCCAAAGTTCAGCAATGTAAAGCAATAGCTGGGTTGCAGGAAATGTGCACTAGAAGTATAAAACATTTCCAGAATTTCTCGTCTTTTCCCTCACTTCTGGACTCTGTTATAGCAAGAGTTGAGCACCAGCTTTCAAAACTATTATTCCTGTTAAAGGAATGTGACCACTATATAGTGTTAATAATGCGTATCTATGTTAGGCACAAAGAAAAAAGACCTCTGTACCAGAGGAGTATATTCCTGTAGGTGAATTCAGACATAGTGTTAACTTGTGTGGGTATAAGGTCACTCTCAGGCTCCATAGCAGAACCGCCCCCGCCCCCCCGGCAATATCAACTTAATTTTATATACTTTTCACTGCTTGCAAATTATATTTAATACCAGGTTTTAAAACACTTCTGTTGTAGAATTTATAAATGTCTTTATTAATTTCAAAATCAACTTTCAGTTCAGTAGATTGGGCTTGCTCAAATCTTTGGCAACATTTTCTTATTAATTTATCATCTTGTTTGTGCATAGATAATTAAGATTAAAATGAAAAAGTTCCATTGATTCCAGCACAGAGAAGTGTGAGGTAATGTTGCCATGTTTAAATTTGGTCATGGAATGTGTATTAGAGACGTGTACAAAGAAATGCTTGCATAGTTTGAGCTGGGATAGTAACCCTTATTTTGTTCACCAGACAAGCTCATAGACGAAGGACATCTTTCCCGAGTGGATGAAACAAAGATCCTGAAAGGTTAGACTTATTAACTTGCTTTTGAGGCATGTAGCAAATGTTTGAATCTGTGTTTAGGAATTTGTTTTGCAAGTGTGAGGAGTGTTTGAGGGATTATAATACACCAAGCCTTACTGCTTGGTGTATTATAAAAACTACTTCCAAGTAAATGAATATAACAATACCAGTTTTTGTATTAGAAAACAATATGAATAGAAAGAGTTTTGAAACATGCGCATTTGAGACTTAACTTGCATCTTATTACTTTTAACCTGGGAATTGTATTCAGTCCAGTTCAGAAAAAAAGGAAATTTAGTTACTTCAAAAGCATGGCTGTTACAACTTGTAATTAGTTGTGAAGTCATGGCATTTCTAAGATTTCCTGTGCAGTAAATTATTGATAAAATTTTCTGTGCAACATGAACTATATTCAAGGTTTTAAAACTTTGCTGTTGTGGATTTCCTCAAACTGTATATATCACTTTTCGATAATCAAAATTTACATAATTCAAAGTGTGTATCCTTTGATTTTTAAACTACCGTCTTTGAAAAATCACTGTTTTCAAATCCTCTATGCAATCGCCCTCCAGTGTGTTCTTGTTTTTCAAAGTGTAGGTAGCATGCCATATTTGGAAAAGAATGCAGACAATAAACACAAGTGTAACTTAATGCTTGCATGCCAGCATTATCTTGCTTAATGGAGTTATTTTTTCATTGATGTGTAATGCATTCTATTTTTTAAAAAAGATTCTGTCATGAAGTTTTAAATAACTTCATATAGTTTTAAAACGAGACGAAAACTATGCAAAGAAGAAAACTAGGTAAAGGAAAGCCATTCTGGTAAAACAAAGTGAGTGTGTCACTTAGAATCAATTTCATTTAAACGGAACTGATATAATAATATAATGCTATAAAAGTGAAGAGACTAATGCCTTTCCTATAGAGCAGGCATGTCCAACTCCCAAGAGACCGCGATCTACTCCCACTATTAAAATAACTGGCATTAATCCTCTCATTGGATTGACCAAAGTTGTTTAGCTTTTTGGGGGGAAGCCAAAGTTGTTGATCTGTTTTGGGGGAGGAAGACCCCATCTACTGGTTGGACATGCCTGCTATAGAGAGCAAATGATTTGTGTATAGAAGAGCCCAGGTTAAATCTCCTCTAGTGTAAAATGAAACAAAACAAGTAGCAGATAAAGATGACTATCTCTGACTGGAACCCTGCAGAGCTACCACCAATCTAATTAGATAGTGCTAGGCTACATAGATAAATAGCCAAGCCTAATATAAGCAGCTTCCTTTGATACTAAACTTAATATTGGACAATTGGTTATTGGACTGACTCCTTTCATACTGAAGTAGCAGGTAATAACTTTGAGAGAATTCTATGACAGTATCCTATAATGTAATCCATAACCTAGGTTTTTTTTAAAATATTCCATTACTTGGGAATGTGAAATATTTTGTGGAATGACTTTGAAAACTTAGAATAATCTAGAAAAATATTGCAAGGTAATCATAGGGTCTGAGATCTTGTGGCCATGGGTTTGCACCCAGGAGAGTGGCCTTGTTGAATTACCCCATGTCATACCACAAGCTGCTTAGCAGCTCCCATCGATTGCAGAATCCTTTGCTCTGCATCTTAAGGAGATGATGTTCAAGAAACAAAAATACAGTTCTCCTTGAGCATGTAGAGCCAGTTAAGTGGATCTTTGCATCCTTGTGCACATTTTTGGGTCCTTTGTCTTCAGCCTTTCCTGACATTTGGTATTGTTTATTTTATACTGACCCTTATAAAGTATATATTAAAAATAGTCTAAAATCAAGAATGAAACCCAGTGGCGGTAAACTGCTTTTTTAAATGCCTGTGTCTCAGATGACTCATCAAGATTTTGCACAGAGGATCCAGCTGTTTCTTCTATAACCATATAGGGAAATAATGAGTTGCATTCCTGCTGCTGCTGCAGAAAAAAAAATCACAATAGTGGGCTAGCAAGAAATTTATTAGGATTTCAACATACTATGTTGTAAAATAAGATTGACAGGTCTCTTTAGTACCTTTATAGTAAAGTATTTTCATTAGCACACCTGTATTAAGGCTGATGGTTGCTATATTTGTTTATAATTCCACCTTATCGTCTCTCAAGGTGACTTGGAATACCAAAATTAACATTAAAAAATAAAAACAATTTTAAATCAGAAAAATTGCACCAAAACAGTAAAGGAAGCCACCAAAACAATTTAAAATGGTGCAAGCCAGTAAAGAGCCATTTTTTACTCTTAAAAGCATTAAAGACAGGAGAGAGCAGGACAGACATTGTCTGGTGCTAGAAGATAGTAAAGACTCTGTACCAAGTGCAATGGCATAGTTCATTATCTGGGATTAACCTAATTTAATAATCTAGCTGTTACATTCTAACACCAGTTGTAGTATTTAAATGTTCTGCAAAGGGGATCCCATGCATAACATTAATTATCTAGACTGGATGTTACTAGATATACTAGATATATAATTGTGGTCAGGCCATCTGCACCAAGAAAGGAGATATAGCTGATGCCTCAGCTGAAACTAGTGAAAGATGTTGCATGGTATGACATCTGGCATCCAGCAACAAGGCTGGAGATCAAACGTGTACAAGGTTATAGATAGGTTTGTATGTAGGAGAATACCTCTTTCAAAACCAGTTTGATATCTCTTCCCTGACAGGCCAGTACCAACTGTACCATGGTGTTGTTTGGATTGTGTTTCAGTTTGTTAGCTTTTATCCAGCCCGTTACTTGGCTCCAGGCATCTGTTGTCCACAGCTGCACCTGGATCTGATAAAAAAGACAAGATAGCTGTGTGCCATGCCTAAATTGATTGCAGAACTTTGCACAACCTCTCCCAGCAACTTAATGTAGCTCTTGAACAACATGGGAACAAAATAGAGCCTTGTGGAACACCATAGCACAAGTACCATGGCACCAAATTGCAGCACTTCCTAGTCAGATGGGTGCTGAGCACAATGTCCCCAGTCCCCATCATGGCAAGTTGATCTAGAAGGATACTGTGATCAGTTATATCCAAACCAGCTGAAATATCCAGAAGAATCAATAAGCAACCCAATAGCAGTATAGAAAATGGACATTTTTCACAACTGAGCCCCCCAGCTTTTCCTTTCTGGCCCCAGCTTTTGGTCAGTCCTAGGGGCTTCAGACAACTTTTGAAGCTTCACTAGATATATAAATGTGTGAAAAGGACAGAAATTTCAAGGTTCACCAAGACTTCTTGGATGTAGAAACATAATGTTGTTTTTAAATTGTTACATAGTGGAGCTTTTTAAAAAGTCATACTACTGCTCTTTATGAAGCATCTTATTGTGCAAATGTTTTTCCTTACCCAGTGTAACTTGCTACAAAGCAGCGTTCATTCCTAACAGCTCTTTTCTTTCTACCGTGTCACAATATCTGTATTGTTCTGGAAATGGTTTTCTGAGTCTCTCTCTCCTGATTTGATCCCAGAATTAGTGAACAAAGCAACTAACTTTACACTGGGTTCCAGCTGGCCAGAGAACAACTTTCAAACAAAAGGCTGAACTACGCATGAGGCAACTGCATCCTGTGTTGGATTGTTTAGTATTAAATATGTGACCTGGGGATATTTAATCCAGTTGGGAACAGGAGTGCAAAGGCATAAGAAAACATAGGTTTTCAACGACTGTGATTTTTGTTTGTTTTCACCTCTGGGCTTTTATCAGGCAAAAATACAGCTTGAATTGGTGTGAAAATGTTTTTTTGAGATACGTGTATACTTTCATGTAAGCAAATTTTATTTTTATTTTACAGAAAATCAAGCAAAAGCTAAAGAAGCTGAACTATCAGATACTCTTAGCCCAAGCAAAGAGAAAAGCAGTGACGACACTACAGGTACATTTTGAGCATAAGTTTAAGTGTACTTTTATGTCAGTGAGTACTCAGAAGAGGATTTCTAAAAAAAAGGGGGGGCTATTTAAAGTTTAGATAAAACTGTTTACATACTTCATTTTGTTCAGATGAGTTTTTCTGTGTTGCTGCAATGTTGAATGACCTAGCTATTCAAGTAATTTTTTCTCAGAATGCTAAAATAACTTACTTTCTCATTTAGATGCTCAGATGGAGGACCATGAACTAAATGAACCCATTGCTAAAGTTGCCCTCTTAAAAGGTAAATTACTGTCTTCTTCATCTTTCAGATGGTATTTGTCAGGATTTTTTGTGTAATTTGCAAATATTTTAGTATTGGGTAACAATTTTGTTTACAGTCAATAATATTTTTTATTGCTCTTGCCGACGCCTCCACTGATGTATGTTCAACGCACAACTTTGAATCCTGTGCATGTTTTCCAGAAGTAAGCCCCGCTAAGTTCAGTGTGGCTTACTCCAGTGTAGCTGTGCATAGGACTGTAGCCTTAATGCATAGTTTAGAATTTATATATTCTTGGTTTGTAGATGAGCACATTTTCTCCTACAGTTGCTGAGATTAACTAGATTCCTTTTAGCGTCTCTGTAAAAATCTGCAGATTTTAGTTAATGCTATGAAGTCATTTCTACTTGGGAGGCATGCTTCAGAATTTTTCATTTTCTCATATCTTTGTCAACAAAACTGCCCATCAAGATGTCCTTTGGGGCACCAAATGAAATAATGAACTGCAAGACTTGATTCATTTAAAATAAACACCCAAGTGACTGTTAGTAATTTATGTATAAACCCGACATAGAATGAAAACACAGAAATCAGAAAAAGAAAACTTTCTTTTTGTTTCCTGTGTATCATGATGTATGGATGACTTTAATTCAAGGCAATTTTGTATCAGCAAGGGGAAAATATCAGTTTAAATAACATTTAAATCAGGTTTACCTTTTTGTACCGTTTCTGAACACCTACTCATTAAAATACAGTGACGAAAGAGCAGGCTCTGCCTAAGTTTGCAAGTGCTCCTCCTTGTCATCCACACACATACTGAAGAAACCACATTAATAGCTGCTCAGTTTTAGGATTCAGAAATTTGAAAGCATCAGGTGAATTCATACCTCTGTCTATCAGGAAAGAGCACCCTAAAACACTCTACTTGTTTACTTTTTTATAACGTGTAGCTAATCAAGTGGCAATGCTCAGAGGTCTGCACTGGTTGCCGATCTGCTACTGGTGTTACTATTAGTCATAGAATCATAGAATTGTAGAAAGGGACCCCGAGGGTCATCTAGTCCAACCCCCTGTAATACAGGAATCCTGCCCACAGCTGTCCCTGAGTGGGCTCGAACCACCAACCTTTTGGTTAAGAGCCAGACACACTGGCCCATTGTGGCATTGAATGTTGTCTATAAAGCGCTTAACAACTTGGGACCAGATTATCTATGATAATCTATTGATAATCAGGCAGGCACCTTCACTGTATTCTTTTCAGTACCTGCTGAAAACATCCTTATTTAGACAAGTCTCCCCAGATGTTTAGAAAGTTTCTATGAGTTTTCATCTGTTTTAGTCTTCTCTGTTGTGGTTTTAAATTATGCTATTCAGCTATGATTGAAAAGAAAATAAGCAATATTCCTGGATATGCCTTTGGGGTTCTTTCTGAACCTGTAATTTAGTGCATCCCGATTTCTCACCCCCAACTTTCTCCTTATCAAAGTTTGACACATTTTGTGTGTAAAGACTGGCTTTTCAGTAGAAGCCTTGGTGCTGGCAAGCAGCAATATCCAGGAGAGAAGTGTACACCTCAGATTGTAAAAGCTTTTGGCTAGGTCAGAATTATTTACTGCAGGTACCAGGACATTCTGGAAATGCATGAACGATGGGTGCAGTTTGGGCCAAGATGTCTCCTGACTTGACTACACCCCTCTCTCACAACTAAAAGATCTGGTGTGCCTAGGAGTTAGCGATTCCACCGCTTTCTGCCTATAGAAGGGTATTGAGTATAGAAGGGGAAGCCAAGGATATCCCCTCGGCCTTACTAAGCCTTGCCTTGTCTTCTAGTAGGTATTTGGTGTGCTGAATACGCCATTCTTCTAGAAAAAAATTAATAATGAAAGAATAAAATTAGCATCAGCAGTGAAATGCCAAACCGCTTTGAGTGTATTTATGAAGAGTTGCTCATATTTGAAATGTTGCCACAACAGAATATGTTGTGACTTGAATTGCCTGCCTACATTATTCATGCGGATTTAAACTTTATTCTTGCATGCAGGGCTAGAGTGTATTGATATTTGACTTCCTAACAATGTTTTAATTTATCGCCTAACCTTTCTCTAATGCAATGAGTAGCTGACTAATTTTGCATGACTCTTTTAAGATCCTGTCTTCGCAGGGTAACGGTAATTTGCTAGAACTGATACCTTAAAGAAAAATGTTCTTTTAGCAGATGAATTGCAGGGTGCACAATCTGAAACTGAGACTAAACAAGAAATTCAGCAGCTGCGCAAGGAACTGGTTGAAGCCCAAGAGCTAGCTAAAACAAGTAAACAAAAATGCTTTGAACTGCAAGGTGAGATGAAGATTCCTTTAAATCTGCAGAGTACCCAGGAAATCATATGCCCAAGTACTTTAGCAACCAAACAGATAGTTAAATCTGTTTAGTCTGACAATTGTTATTAAGATACATGGATAGGGCATTTTTATACTCTCCATATGATGAAAGGGTAAAAAATAACAGCACAATCATACACACATCTGCTCAGAAGTAAGTCCCATGGAGTTGCTTGAAGCTACACTCCTATACCTGGGAGTAAGTCCCACGGAACTCAATGGAGCCTACTTCTGAGTAAACATGTATAGGACTGAACTATAAATTTGAATGTTTAATTTAAGCAATGGAAATAAATAAGCCTTTTTTATTGTCCATTTCATTTTGTTCCATAACCTGGTAATATCATGGATGCATTGAAGGGAAGCATTTTTTTTAAAAAAGCTTCAATAAAATGTATTAACAGCTAGCAGTGTAACATGATTATTTAAATATTTTGATTTACTTACATGGACTCTGACATTATTTTAATGAGCTACTAAAAACTAATTTCTAATGTTTTCCAAATGGTAAGTATAATGGAGCAAAACTTCAGATCCTGTCATTATACTTACAGCAATGTTAGAAGAAGAGAGAAAAGCTTATCGATCGCAAGCTGAAGAATCCACCAAGCAAATCCAAGTTCTCCAAGGTATAACACCCTTATGCAAAAGATTTTGTAGAAAGATGCAGATGATGCATTTGAATATGGCAAGGACATTACCAGAGTTTTGTTTCACTTTTAAAGAACTCCAGTTAAGGATTACATTCAAACTTGTGGTTCTTGCCTGAAACTGATAAGTTTCGGGGATTCTCCACCTCTGCTTTAAACCAAAGTGCATTTGTTGCTGGTACAGAAAACATGACAAACCAACATTCAGGGAAAGTGAAACTAAATTCTGTTGAGATTATGAATACGTATCTCCACCCACCCCAGATTTAAACAGCATTTTTTAATATACTCCAGCAGTCACTTTTGATTAGTTGCAGGAGATGAGATCAGCTACTGCTGGAACAAACAAGGAACTACTGTTTTGGTTTTTTAAAAATAGCACTGTTAAGGAGCATGGGTTGGTGTAGGTTAAACAGCACCAATTCCTTTCTGAGAGTGGAGGTGAGAGGACGTTATAGCCTCTCCTTCCATCATTCTGTTGCCAGCAGGCTTTGGCTACCCAGTCCCTTCCTCAGAATTTCAAGCAGACTGTCCAGCAGTACAGTGGTACCTCAAGTTACAAACGCCTCAGGTTACAAATGCTTCAGGTTACAAACTCCTCTAACCTGGAAGACTTACCTCAAGTTGAGAACTTTGCCCCAGGATGAGAACAGTGGCACAGTGTTCTCATCAATGGCCGGTGGCACAGTGGCGAAAGCACACCTCTAGTTAAAGACAGTTTCAGGTTAAGAATGGACCTCTGATTAAGTTCATAACTAGAGGTACCACTGTACATCTTTAGCTGTATGGTCAAGAAGATAGATCTTAAAATGCAGACATTCCAGAATTAGAGCAATGCTAGGACAAATTGATGAACCAGGCAGGATGAGATCTGTCTGACAGCTTGCCCAATTCTGCATTGTGTGCCAAAAGAGTAATTGTCCTTGGTTTCCAATTTGTCTAAATACTTAAAACATAAAACTGAATCTAATCTAGGAATGGTGTTTTCATGAGATGATAGAAGTGTTGGAATTAAATCATTGGCCTGGTTTGCATATAACACTAAACTAGTCTATGTATTGAATTTATATACCGCCCTATGCCCACAGTTTATCACTGTGCGCATGAGCGAAAAGGAACCTGAGCAAAATCTCAGACTCACATGCTTGTCCTTCTCATCTGGGAGGATTTTGACTGAGTTCATTTACCTTTTGTCAAAACTTGGCTGCTTGTTACATACAAGCCAGAAATGCTGAATTAAAAACATTGTCTCTGATTCATATGACACAACAAACCAATGGAAAGTGGATCAAAAATTATGCCCAAATACTTTCCCCGGCCATGCATGTGGAGGAGAGGAAGGTGGTAGCACATGAGCCTGATGCTTTGCTCAGGCTCGTTCTTGTTTGTGCATGTAGCACTAAACCATGGCTTAGCGTCACACGTAAGCATAGCCAGTCTGTTTGCAGCCGGGTTCTTACACCCATCTTTCTTTTGTTTTCTTAACTTCTTTTTAAAAGTAAAGTGCTAAAGTTCAGTCAGCTTCCATTTATAGAGCTCCAAATGGCTGACATGAATTTGCCTACCCAACCTCCTTAAGAAAATCTGATTTCTTGTAAATGTTTACAGCTCAGCTGCATCAGCTGCAGGAAGATATTGAATGTCTTCGTGAGAAAAAGGAGAGTGAGATCTCCAGTACTCGAAATGAGTTGCTTAGTGCTCAGAGTGAGATGCTGTTACTGCAACAAGTGGCCGAGAAGGCTGCGTCTGAAAGGGAAACAGATGTTGCTGCTTTACAAGAAGAGCTACAGAAAGTAAGGGCTGAACTTGAGCGGTGGCGCAAAGAGGCTTCAGAATACGAGAAAGAAATCGTCAGTCTGCAAGCCAGTTTTCAACTACGATGTCAGCAGTGTGAGGATCAGCAGAAAGAGGAGGCCACCCGGTTGCAAGGTATGGCACTAGATGGACCTCATAGTTTGATCTAGGAAGAATATGCCTATAGTCCTTTGTCCTTTGCGCTTTAAATGGCACATATAAGTTTAGGGGCTTCTGCAGTCCACTGATGCAGCAAGATGAAGATATGTGACTGTAACAGAAATTAGTCTCTAGTAGGCTTTGGTTCAGCAGTGACCCGTGCGATCCGTCTGTACAGCTATTTCTATGCAGACACTTTATCTGGAATCCCTAAAAACATCTTAAAGGTTTGGCAAGCTACAGCAACAGGTTTGTATCGTAGTATATCATCCTTGAAATATCATCCTTGAAATATCATCCTTGAAATATCTTGAGTCCCAACTGCTGTTGGTTGGGTTGAACCATTGCAAGAAGTCAAAACTGATGAAATGCTGCTGAAACTTTATAATGGAATATTTGAAAACATGGCACCAGAGAACCAGGTTATACAATATATAGCACCTAACTGTGTTATGACATTGTGCTACAGTGTTAACGTTGCATGCGTATAAAGCTGCACCAACAAAATGGTCTATTGTTTTGTTCTAATTACTTACTGTGAGATTATTATTTTTTAACATAACCACGTCCAACTGGCCTCTCCAGAATTATTTCATTCATTCTGTGCTAATTGCACTGATGAGTGTTTTTCAAAATGTATTCAAGCTTCTAATTGTTTGCCTCGATCAAACAAATGCTATCTCTCAACTCAGAATGATCTGTTTCCATGACTACAATATTATACACAACCAGCTGTTTCTATCTATAATATCACTGATAAAATCCTTAAGATTTCTGCTAGCATGTGTACCTGCATTGTTGTAAAGTTTTATCTTTAGGGTGATTTTTTCATGTCCTCTGAAGTTAAATCATTATATTTTCTAGTAAATTGGTGTGATTATGATTCTACCATTTCTGAAACCATGGAGAGCTGCTGCCACTCAGTGTAGACAAATTTCTGAGCTAGTTGAATTCAGTATAAGGCAGTTTCTAGGTTCCTTTTTATTGTGGCATTTGGTAATTATTTAGCACCGTGACCTCTCTATCGGTAGTCCCTGAAACTGTGTGAATGGCTTTCAGTGGAAAATTAGTTTAGCATATAGTAGTGCTAATTTGGGTGGATCAGGTTTAAAGGAATTAAATGTGTGGCTGGCCTCAGTTTTTACCACAAACTGGGCATATAATTATTATGTCAAAGATATTTTAGAATAATTGCAGATGTTACTCGAACACCTTTGAAGATCCCAATTTTCAGTCCACTTTAATGGGTAACATAGCATTACTTGCTTGTAGGTGAACTTGAAAAGTTGAGAAAGGAGTGGACTGTTCTTGAAACCGAATGCCTTTCATTAAAGAAGGAGAACTCTTTGCTTGCATGTGAACTTCAGCGACAGGAGAAGGAGCTCCATAAGTAAGTGCTGCTGAATCTTATGGCGAAGTCCATAGATGTTGGATGGGTGAATCCCAGTCTTACCATATGGTGATAGTTCCTTAAAATTGGGCACTAATTTTGAAAATGTATTTTAAATGAAAATAAGACTCCCTCCTACAAGTGGCAGTATTCGCAATACCCTGTCCTGTTTCTTTTAGCAGATTTGGTCCAGAGTCATTTAGTACATCTGAAGCACTAGACAATTTTTGCTTAGGAATTCCCAGTGATTTGCCCTAATCTGAAAAGAAATAGAAAAGTGTACTATTGGTTTCAAGACCTTTCTCTCCAAGCCACCCCCCCAACTTCAAACAATTTAAAGCAGGCATGGGCAAACTCGGCCCTCCAGAAGTTTTGTAACTACAATTCCCATCATCCCTAGCTTACAGGACCAGTGGTCAGGGATGATGGGAATTGTAGTCCCAAAACATCTGGAGGGCCGAGTTTGCCTATGCACTGATAGCTAAGAGATTGGTCCTTCCACTATCAAAAGTCCTCACCATTCAATGAACTGAGCATTGAAAATGAAGAACCATTAGGACAGGCTGTGAAATAATAAAAAGCTTTCAGTGGACGCAGTGATTTCTGGAATTTTCTGAATGCTATACATTCCATGAGACTTTAATCAAGAATTTCCTAACTACCCTTGTGGTCAGGGTTGTTGTTGGGATTTATTTTTCTTCTCTCCCTTTTTGGAGGTTCTGGAAATTATTAGGTAAGATAATAACATAACGTGACAGGAGGGAATGTTGAAGGATAGAAGTTGAGTGGAAGCTAATATGTTTTAATTTTCATTTAAAACTTTTAAGTTTAAAATACTCATTAGTAGCAGGATTCAAAGATGTGTTTTGATTTTGGAAAATGCTGACTAAAATACATCTTAACAGATAAAATGGAATGCATTTGAATGCCAGTTTGCAAATAACGTGAAGGTCACTTTGTATAAATATTTTCCGTATGATTCCCCCCACCCCTCCCCGCTACATGACTTAAAGGTCATAGCATATGTAGCCTTGGCTACATTTTAGAGAATTGCCAGACTAATTCCATGCTTTGCAGTCTCCAGCTGCTGCACTGAATCAGAAGCGGGGTGGTCTTCCATTGCAAGCAAGACATCAAAAGTCCTACTGGGCATACAAGAAGCCCTTTACACAGCCTAAAGTAGTTTTTCTTGGTTGCTTCACTTGTGTTGCAGAGACCTCATATTCTTTACCATGACTTAATACTCTCTCTTTTTTAACATTGGAAGGATTGCCTTTGTTGTGGTATGTTTTCATTATCTAGCATTAAAATTTAGAAATAGTAGGCCCTGCAACAAAATACTGCAATGTAGCTTCACCTTCAAACAAGAGTACAGTGGTACCTCAGGTTACAAACACTTCGGGTTACAGACTCCGCTAACCCAGAAGTAGTACCTCGGGTTAAGAACTTTACCTCAGGATGTGAACAGAAATTGTGCGGCAGCGGGAGTCCCCATTAGCTAAAGTGGTACCTCAGGTTAAGAACGGTTTCAGGTTAAGAACGGACCTCCAGAACGAATTAAGTTCATAACCAGAGGTACCACTGTACTCTGTTCCATCCATTTAAACCAGGACATTCCACTTCCCTGTTTTTCTTTTTGAACTTGATGGTAAGCTTTCCATTGCTTCTGGACAGTTCTTGCTCATCTTCGCATTAGGCTATATTTTGGAAGGAAGGGGTCTTGTAGTTATGTAAACTGTGGTTATCCCAAGCATGTTGCTGCTCCCTTCCTTTTCCCAGCTACCCTTTGTTGGCAACATTCCTGTTGGCACTCACCACCTGTGTTTGCTATTAGAGGAAGTTATAATAATTTACGTGTTGCCGGGACACCTTCCAAATGTGGGTAATATATAAGGAAGATGATTGTAAAGAAAGGTTTTAGTTAAATAGGCAGGTGAATGCCTGCTCTGGTTTCTGTTCTCAGCTGGTTTAATTTTATTTAAACATTGGACTGCTTTGCACATAAACCCTAAACCATGGCTTAGCATGATGTGAACAAGCCTTGGATTCTTACACTCTTCTTTTCCTTCAGTGAAGCCACAAGGAAGAAACCGAAAGCTTCCACTTCCATTTTAGATTACTCACAAATTAATATGTAATCTAAACCGTAAAGTGTCATTAATCTTCGCTGTAGCTAATTGAAACAACTTAGCTTCATGAATTGTGGTTTAAAGTTGATTTGATTCAACTAACCACACTTAATATTAATCAGTTTGTCCAGATTCAGAAGGGCATTAAAATGTGTCTAATCTAAAACAGGAGCAGAACCTTCCGGATTCTTCCATATGGTAGCACTAGAGGAGCGGGGGGTGCATGAATCTGAGGCTCACTACAATTCATTCTCATAACACTAAACTATGGTTTAGCATAATGTCCAAAGCATTCCATTATCTATATTTTTATTTTGGTGTTGTGTCAATTAAAAAACATTTATTTTTCCTTCTTGAAACTTGAAGCTTGAAACTTCATTGTGCATTTGTTATGGAACTTTGTATGCAGTATGCCAGAGCACCAGTACTGTGTTCAGTTATAGGGATACTGTGGGTGCATAGTGCTGCACATGTTATAAAGTGCTTGATTCTGAGGAGGGGAAATAGATGACATGTTGATTAAAAGTATTTGTTTCTAAACATGTAGTTTTCCTTTGGGGTTTGCCCTTCTTTTCTTTCACAGCTCTCAACAGCAAAGTTTAGCGCTTAACAGTGACCTGAGTGTTCTTGAGCTGACTCGAAAGGAGCTTGAAAATAAAATGGGGTCTTTGAAAGAGCAACATCAGCGAGATGCAGCTAGTCTGAAAACCCTTCTTAATGAAGCAGAGAATCAAGCTAAGGATGCTCAAAATGAGGTAGATATCAAGAAATTCAAGTTCGTCTTTATCACTGCTTTGTATGTCTGAAAACAATTGTTCTGGATTCCATCCACCCTGTGGGGACCCTGACTGTCGTTCTCTCCTGCCCCCTCAACAGCATTCTCCCCTTAGCTGCATTTGGATGTAACACAAAGCTACAGTTTAGCTCTGGGTTCCTTCTCCTCTGTTCCTACTGCAAGGAAGGGACAGAAAGTTTTTGCATCCATTTTGATTATTCATAGTAACTCATTTCGCCCAAATTAAGAATTGTGGTTAGTGTGAACTGGTCTGGGTATACAAGCCAAGTTATACACCATGGTTTTAAGTTGGGTTCCCCTAAACCATAGTTAACACTAACCACAACGCAGACGTAACGCTAACTGTGGTGAGCTGGAAACGGAAGCAAAAGCCTCCGTTCTCCTCCTTGTGGCTGTTCCAGGGGAGAAGGGGGAAGTGGGGAGCACGCAAGCCCTGCAGCTCATGCAGGTATGAACAAGGCCTTTGGGAGACAGACAGATTTTGGAACTAACGAGATTTGAAAAGCAATGGGGCGGGAGTTGCCATTAGTGGGTGTGGATGGGGAATAGATAACGCAGCTGAGTTGATGTGAAATAATTCTGTATGCATTGTCTCTCAAAACTGTCTTGAGTTAAGCATGCTCTTCTGCTTGTTGAAATGTACTCCAATTATTTTCTTTCCTTTTTTAAAAAAGGTTTGTTAATGCTTATTCACTTGTCTTTATCTATCTAATCAATCCTGCCCTTCGGCAGCAAAAGGCTCCTAGAGTTGCTTACAACTCTACAAACTGGACCGACCCTGCCTTCAGACGTAAAGCCCTTGACTTTCTCCTTCTGTTAGGGCAAATATGAAGATGCACCTGTGAACCTAATTAGGGCTAAAGCTGTAAAGTGCTCATTGAGTTCAGTTCCTACAGTTACTTCATGAGATGATTTTTGCCTTTTCAGTTTCATATGAGAAGTGTCCACATTGATGATGTTTTATATTTACAGCATCAGGTTAAAGATTTGAGAATTGCCTGGTAGTGGTTGATGCCCTGTGTGGCAAAATCCATAATAAAAATGGCACACAGTTCACTTCACGATAACCGTGCCACATTCAAAACAAACCTGGGTACTGAGCCTCCTTCCGTTTCCAACTTTTGTAGAGAGTGAGTAGAGGAAAGTAGGAACAAATTCATATTATTCCTTTATTCTCTGCACTGAAGAGCTTAGGCACATTAGATCCTGAGGGAGGCTTTGAACTTTGTGATAGAAATTCAACTTTCTGTAAAGATTAAAGCGTTCAAATTGGTTTTGTAGTCAAGGCAATCATTTCCCTTAACAACTAGGAATGCACGTCTATTAAGGTTAGTGGGTTTTTTTGGTAGCATTTGAGCTTGCTAGAAAGCGCATAAAGTAAGCATTAAAAGCCTTCCAGAAAGTGCCTCATGCACAGACAATGGAGGTGATGAACCTTCAGTAGCTGTTTTGTTTCTTCATTAACATTACTAGGAAAGCATTGGTTGACCATTTCCATTGCACTTTTTGATCCCTTCCCTTGTTATCATTTCAGTTGCCATCTGAATGCCATTTTCATATTTATTTTGTAGTTGGGACTAATAGGACTGTATATTTTGCCAACATTTTGGCTTTCAAAATTCACTAATACAGTGGTGTTACTTAGTTGTAGTGGACACTATTTATGCTTTTGCAGAGAAAACTTTTGTTTCTACAGGGAATTCAGAACACTCTGTTTGTCTACTTTTTAAAACCTGGGTTGGTGTGCTATAATATATAATATGATCCATAATTTGGGGCCTTAGCACTACAATGAACTTTGGTGGATTTCACATACTTTCCATAAGGTTTCTTTAAAATGGGATTCTATACTGCTCTGGGCAAATCTGTTTTTGGCCACTGGAAAGAGAAATGCCTTTCCTGGTAGGAGGTTTTGGTCTCTTGGATTACATTTTGATGGAGAAGCTTGATTCCAAATTGTGTAGTACTTTATAAAGAAAACGACAGAACTTTGTGACATAAAAGACTTCTCTGAGTAGACCCGCAAAAATTAACAAACCTAGGCCTATTAGGCCTACTCAGGGTAAACCCAGTGAAGTTGATGGATAAGACTAATTATCCATATAAAAATTAACAAACCTAGGCCTATTAGGCCTACTCAGGGTAAACCCAGTGAAGTTGATGGATAAGACTAATTTAAGTTCATTAATTTTAACATGTCTACTCTGAGTAGGACTTAGTTGGGAACAGCCCTAAGCTTTTTTTTTTAAGTGTGGCATTCTCTTTCCATACATGGAAAACTTATCTCCTGCCCATGGCCCTCCTTCCATGACACTGTTCCTGTCTGATCTTCTCTTACTATGCTTATGGTCCTTAAAGGTAGACAGTTGTACTGAATTTGCTGATGTGCAAACTTTCTCTTATTTTTGAAAAAGTGTTGAAAACAAATAGTAAACACCTAACAGGCTTTCAATCTGATTAAAGTTTTGCAGATGGTGGAATTGATTTTGTGCCATACTTAAATTTACAACACAAGGCAGTTTATAAAACTCCCGATAAAAACATTTAAAAAGTTTGGGGACTGGGGAAAGGAAGTGCATTGTTACTTACTTTGTGACCATTCAGTGCATTCCATTCCCACAAGCCACAAATCCCAAAGCAGAGCCTGTGCTGGTCAGCTGCCCATCTGCATGGAAAAAAGGTGTGTTTATCCAAGGACTGAATGTTGAGCTAACGTGTGATACATGACCTAAGATGTGATGTTCGTGTAGTTACTGACCCACACTCCCATACTTCTTTTTTTGTTCCTGAGACAGAAGCAGTCTAACTCATCCTAACTTGTTTTTTGTAGTTGGTTGTAGACTTAGGGTTAGTGGCACATCAGTAAAGCAGGGCTGGGCAACCTTCTTGGCTCCATGGGCCAAATCTGTGGACCAAATTTGACTTGTGGGTGGGCCCATACCCTGCCAATTACATAATGCCATTATATCACATCACATGATTGCCAGATGGGCACCTCTGCCCACCTCTCGAAATCCTTTGCATGGGGTTTCCAAGTGCCTAACTTCCAACTGGGAAGCTGCAGCATCTTCAAAACACCTATAGTCTCAAATGGAAATTGGGGGTCTTTTAAAGCCCTTTGCAAAAACTCTCTTTGAAGCATCCCCATACACTTCCTTTAAGGGGGGGTGGGGCGGAGAGAAGAAGCTCCTCTTCCCTGCTGGCACCTGCATGCCTGTTTGCTTGAAGGGAAAACACTGAGCTGCTTCAAAGAATGCTTTTGCAAAGGGCTTTACCATTAGCTGATCAAATCTTGCTGCCTTGGCTGTGCAATCCTGTTTCCAGTTGGGAGCAGGTTGCGCAGCCAATGCAGGGTTAAATTCTTTCCTCTTGCCTGTTGGCTGACATCACCAGTGACATCAGCTGATGGGCAGGTGGGAGTAGTTTGGAGAGGATAGCCTCACAGATCAAAACTGGCCCGTGGGCTACCGGTTCACCATTCTGACAATATTTTTTGTAATACAATGGTGGGAATTTATCTGGAATAAGTTATAAACTTTTTCAGGTGAGCTGAAAAGCATCAGCTGGGGAAATGGTATTAATTGTCTCACTGGTTGTCTTCAGTTTTTTCTTTGAGCCAAAAATGTTGGGTGTGGCTGTATTTTTATCAAATTAGGCATGAAGTTTTCTCTGCTGGAAAGAATTTGGATGACATTTCTGGAAGGATGTCTAATAAAATGGAAAGACATGCAGCTTTTGATCTAGAATAAAACAAAATGTTGCACCATTTCTAAAGCCACATCCCAAAAGGAAATACATTTAAACCAAATGACATATGTTACGGTCTAGAATTTTCAGCAGAAAAGCATCATGAACAGCTAGATTTTATCTTTAGGGAATTTGAATAGTGTCTCACATCTTGATCAGGTGCTGTTATTAATTTCAAGCAATGTGAGAATTATTGTATAAAAAGCTTTAATCTAGATAAATGAATATTTTCTAGCATGGAATAACTTATGAAGTGCAAAATTAAATATGAAACAAAGGTTTATATAGAGAGTTGTAAGTATCTAGTGGAAAGGAGCAAAACTGTAATACAGGCACCATGCAGTTTTATTAAAGGAATCAACAGGATTCAGTATTGCAGCAAACCTGTAGCTGCCAAACCCTGTTCTCCTCTTCCATCTCCTGTCTCCCACACATAAAACAGATTACATGACATGATTGCATTCCCCCACTGCTGGGAGAGGAGCAGGAAATGCCGGGTCTAGTTCTGACATGAAGGATTTGTATTGTACTTTGACACTTTTCCTCTCACTTTTTAGCAAACAACAACAAAACACCAGTGATAACAAGATAAACCTTATTCTAAAATTACCGGGGGGGGGGGAGGTGTTATTGAGGGAATTAAATGAGGAAAGGAGAAAACCATGACAGCCACCTTGAGCTCCTTGGAAGAAAAGGGTGACTATAAATGCAATCAATCAATCAATCAATCAATCAGTCAATCTTAGTGCAGGGGAATGAACACGGACCAGTTTACTTTTTCCTGAACTTGATTCCAGTCTAGCAAAAACTAAATTGCTGCCCTGCCTAAAACATACATATTAATATCCATGCAATATTTTATTGAAAAGCATAGACACATCTCCCAAAGCTACTTTAACCTCTTAAATCTAGTTTAAATGGGTCTGTAGTATATGTGTTTTCTTTGCCTTTAGTATGAAAAGACACAGACCATACTCTCAGAGCTGAAGTCGAAGTTTGAAATCACTGAGCAGGAAAAGCAATCAATCACAGATGAACTCAAACAGTGTAAAGACAACCTGAAGCTGCTACAAGAAAAAGGAAATCATGTAAGTCTGTATAACACGTGTGCCAGGTTTTTGTTATTTTATTTCCACCGCGAGATTACTAGCCATGCCTGATGAAGGTTTGGAAAAAGCATTTTGCTAAGTTGCAGGAATTTCATGAAATCAGTGGCCCATAAACTTCTCCGGCCCAATACAATCTAACGGAGCAACTCTAATATTGGGGGTGGGGTGATACATTCCATAGGGGAAAACTGACCTGGAAATACTTTCCCCATTCAGATTTGAATGTGAAGGGGAGAATAATTCTGAGGCTTTATTGAGTCCCAAATTTCTTTTCTGAGCCTGGATCTGAAGAGCCTTTGCCAAAATCTCTATTCATTTCCTCCTTTGAAATATTCAACCCTTACAAAACTAGCAATTTGGCCAGTGGAGATATTCCATTATTCAAGCATCTTGCTTCAGAAAACCTTTGTTAATCAGGGCACGATATCTAACACAAAATGAAGCAGAGACTGAGAGAACAGCATTTTCCATCCGCCAGCCATACTTCAGCGAATGGCTTCTTGAATGGCAGTTTCTGCTTCTCGTGCGAATAAAGGAGTGTCATTCAGACTTCTGTTGACTTTGAGGGGAGCAGAGCTTAGATCTACATAGTATTCTCTACAGCAACTAGAATGATTTTTAAATAAAATTATCCTAATATAACCCAATCTAAAGGATCTTGATTATTATAACCCAATCTGCTATAACAGATCAGTGATATGTGAAGTCTTTCCACTGCAACAGTTACAGAATCAACCTCGTTGTCGCTTGCTATGGGCCTGAGTATATCTAGTAGAACTATAGGGAAAGAACTTGGATGGCCTGTTAATCTGCAGTTTGATGAATATTTCTTGGTAGCAGTGCTTATTGTCTTTCTAGTAAAATGCATTTTCAAATCAACTTAAATATTTATATTTTTAAAAGTTCTATAAAGACACCTGAGAATACATTAAAGACCAATAGAATACAATAAGTGTATCAACAACTAAAAGAAACTTCATCTGCTATCTTCATCTTCCACTTTTGTCTTAAAATGTTTTCATATGTAGAGGAATAAATGTGAAAAATATTGTGCTGATATGTTGGAATGCAGAATCTGAGTAGAGTTAGTCTCTTACTCATGGATTTTCACCACAGAATCAACATGAATTTTACTTTCAGTAATAAACATGTTTTGCCTGATTCAGTCAAATGAGAAGATTGAGTGGGTGTGAACATTCCAAATAATGTTCTGTTGCTGGGAGATTCCAGAACATTCTGATGGCAGCTCTTGCTCACCCTTTTTGAGTAGAAAAATATCTATCCAACTTGGCAATATACAAAGGCTTTGAAATAATAATAAAACAGTACTGACTGCCCTATTCCCTAATCACTAAATTATTAGGCATAGGGACTGAGAAGAGTTATGTATGCAGGTGGTTGGTGATTAAGATACGGGGTGAGTGAGGAGTTGATATTCTTTTACTTTACTGGAGAACCTCATACCCAAATGGATTTACTGTTATTTTTCAACCTTGCAGGTTGACAAAGGTGTTCTCCTGTTAGTTTCCCCTTGAGATGTTTTATTATTTATTAAATGTATAAACTGTCCTTCATCCTAAGATCACAGGGCAATTCACAGCAAAAAGAAACAGAAAGAAAGAGAAAAAGAAAGAAAGAATGAGAAAAGGAAAACAAAATACATATTATAACAACAACAAAAACCAATAATCATCCTCCCACAGACACATTTAAAAGGGTATCATTTGTTTTATCAGCCAAAGGCCTGATTATAGAGGAACATTTTGTCTCGTGCCTAAAGATACGTAGTGAAGGCACCAGGTGAGCCTCCTTGGGGAGAGCATTCCACAAACGGAAGCCACCACAGAAAAGGCTCATTCTTATGTTGCCACCCTCTGGACCTCTCACGGAGGAGGCACACAAAGAAGGGCCTCAGATAATGATCACAGGGCCTGGGTTGGTTCATATGGGGGGAGGTGGTGCTTGACGTATTGCAGTCCTGCGCTATTTAAGGCTTCATAGGTTAAAACCAGCACTTGTTTTTGTTTTTGCTATGCTGCCCCCTTTCCGCTTCATAGGCCATCTTTCTTTTCTTTTTTATTTCACTCATTACTTCTTTTCTTGGCAAGCAAGCAAGTTTGATGTATTGGCTTCAAAGTGTAGTAATATTAAATCAATAAAATAATTAAAAGCAAAAAACCAACAACAAACCCAGCACTTTGAATTGGGCTTGGATGTGCTCTCTAAAGCTGAAGTAAGAAACCTTTTTTGGGATCAAGGGCTGTCTTACCCTGGAGGAAATTTGAATTTCTATAAATAAGCTTGTTTTATGTTAATCCTGATAGGGGAAATAATAGTTGCCATAAAATAAACAATAAGATAATACCGTGCTTCCAACAGTCTCTAATACTAAAATTCTAGCATATGGAAAACCTTCCTGTCGCACTGTCCTTAGGCAAGGGGTTGAACAGCTGGGTCTCCACCTTGTCTTTTTCATAAGATTTGGATGGACCATATATGGAGAGATAGCCAGGTGTTCCCTATTTTGCATCCTTTGGACCTTGTAACATTCATTCTCTGCCGACAAGAGATAGGTTGCAGTGCATATTGATTATTTTGCCCTAAAATATTTCATTCTGTAAGATTAAAAAGAGCTTCCTTAAGAGAAGAAATGCTTTGTTGTTCAATATCCATGTTTACTTTGTACAGTGGTGTACTAACTTTGTATACCAGACTAGCTGTGTCTTCTTGTTAGATGTCTTTAGTGTTTCAGTTGAAACAAAACTTGATCTTTGAGCTCTCCCCCTATCTAAATCATCTTTACCTATTTGATTATTTTATAGCACAAAAATGATTTTAATATCCCTTCCCTTCCCTTTAGCCTTCCATATTACCACCCGTCCCAGCCGTATTCATCGGCCTAATCCTGGCTTTCCTGTTTTGGTGTTACAACCCATTGTGGTAGAGAAAGGTACTACAAGCACTATTCAGTCCATGTATGTTCGTCCCTCTCACCTGTTTGTGCCATTTTTGTAAGATAGTGCATGGTGAAAAACAGGTATTGGTTTACCTGATGCAAATCCTTCATTTAATAAGTCATTGTGTGTGGTATTGGCAAACCAAAAAACAAACAAACTAATCATTTAACATCTGTCTTGTTTTCCTTGTGCTAGTGCTAACAGTGTCCTGTTGTAACCTACTTGTTTCTGACTATGCTTCTTCTAACACACATTTGTCTTTTGTAAAATGCCACAGAGTTAGGGCCTGGAAGAAAACCTAACTGCTTAATGACACTAAACAAATGAGGAGTTTGCATATTTGAATCTGGTCCCTTATTTCCTTTTTACCCTCCACTAATTCAGAAATTTCTCTCTGGATTTGAATGCCTTTCACTTTTCTCACTGTTGTGGTGAAGAAGATGCTGGGTGGTTGGGGATTGAATGGACAAGGTATGGGCAACACGTGGTGGTTTTGCATTTCCAGTTCTTGCAGTGATGGATACTACTTTCCCAAATGCATCCTTTAAGACTTACCACCCTCCGTGTGGAATTATATTCTTCAGAATGGTCATAATTTAAGGTGGGATGAAGAATATACACGTTAAGATTAACACTGCTACATTTCAGAACTGCTTTAAACCTAGGCAAGAAAAGTTTAATGTGTTGTTAATTGTTAACTGATGAACTTCTGCTGATGCTTTGTACAATGTTCTGGAGGAGGTCTAACAGCTCATAATTTGGCATGGCATGCATTTATCTTGGCACAAGCATCAAATGCAGTTATCAGATTAAAAAATTCAGAAAGGTTCAATAGGAAGCATTCAGTTAAGGGATGAAGTTATGCATCTGCTAAAGCTAATGATGTCACTTCTTGGAGACTTAATATCCATTGAAATTCCTTCACTTAGATGAACTTTGTTTAACCCCTTGATGCCCAGTCAAAAAAAATCCAAACCACGAACAGATGGGAAAACCTAGGGACTTCCAGGAACTTGAAGGGGTTAACTAATTAGTGTTCACTGAAACAAATGAGATATTGATTATTTTCCTTTTTTTTTCTCCCTACACAGAGACAATGGCCTTGGATGCCTGTGATGGCAGCTTTGGTAGCTGTGACAGCCATGGTGCTGTACCCAGGCCTAACCAGAGCTTCTCCATGAGAACTGTTGTTGAATCCATACACCGTCCTCCCTTTAGAAGCTGGCATCATTCACATACTGGGGGAAAGACAGATTCATCACGTTCCTTTTTTTTACCTCTTAGTACCGCAGAGTTTGGCTTCAGAGCAGCAGTAGGGTCATTGCTTTAAACTGTACAAAATGTATCTGTCTATAAAGAGGGAATAAAATTATGACTTCATTCTGTCGTGAGCAATATTGCTCACAACTTCATGTAATTCTTAAGATAGTATGTTGGAGTTCTAAATACTGTTATGGTGGCCTAAAGTAGGCTTCTTGGTACCAAATTATTTATGATGGTTAGGTGTGTGGATATTTTACTTAAGAATCTGATTGCCAGATTGAAAGCAATGCATTTCTCGCCCCAACCCCTCCCCAATTTGGACACCCATGCCAAATATCCTTTAATACTTGGAAGCAGATGCAGTGTGCTCAGTGCCTTTCAGTTTGACTTTATTTGTACATGAACATACCATTATTATTTTTTACTTGCTGTGAGTCACTGAGCTATTGGGAACAATTTTATTTTTTCCAAGTCTTCTGACAGAAACAAGTATTTTTCTTCAGTAAAGGTCCTATTTTATTGATGACTTGGGAACTGGTATAATTCATTGTCAGCCTTAAAGAGCTCTAGAAGAAACTGAACGGACATCATCGGTCTAGAATGTTTTTGTGTGCAGGTGTGTGCATGTGTGTGCCTGAGTGAACTAAGGTTTTTCTGGGAGCAAAATCTTGATTTTTCTGATGGACATAGTGCAGTGATCCAATTTTTAGTTTGAATGTAATTTATTAAATCTCATGTATATAGACACTATAAAGCGCAACATATTTTCGCACATATCACATTATAGAAATGATTTTTCCAGTCACTTATTATCAAAACCAAGCTGGGGAAGTAATATTTGTCTCTTTAAACTGTGTTTTCATTGGCATAATTTCATTATTATGTGAAGTGCTCAAGTGCTTCTATTGTTAGGGGAAGGAAGAAGACAAAATCTGAAATGGGCAATCCTTCTGGAAGGTAGAATAATCTAATTGGTCCTCTATGCAACAACTTAAGATGAAAGAATGTGCTATCAATGATTAGCAGCTTTATGTCACACTTTATATGGCCTTAATATTAATGTTTCCAGTAAGCATTGACTTACGAATAGGGGTATGTAATTAAAACCTGAATAAAGTGCTAGCTTGCACTGCTCAACAGCTCTGTCAATTAAGGTCTGTATTAATATAAAAATAATGGCACAGTGAAATGTTTCAGCTGATTCATAGGAAGACTTTTCTCAGCAAAAAAATTAGTTGGTTCAAAGGATTTAATGGCAATCAGCAGATCTAGTTAAATATTTAAATAGAGTTTTTAGTTAATAATTTGCCTTTGAGGTGTTGAGGGTCACTTTACTTTAAAGGTTCTGTCTTAAACTATTTGGGATTTGTTAATGGGAGGATCATTTAGAATTAAGGGAATGTTAGTCCACAGACTCTTAGAAAATGTTGTTTTTGTTCATTTCATTCTTTTCATTTGCAGGAAACTGTAACACCCACCCAAACACCCACCCACACGCACACACACATGCCAGTGGTACTCAGTACCTCTTGTATATAGGTTATTGCAAATATTATTCTGAAAATGCTTAACTTCAGAATTACATTTTTAAAAGTAAATAATTGTTTTAAATCTATTTTGTAAAGATATAAAAAAAACAATAGAATTTCTGGAGTACAGATTGAACTATTTGCACTAACACACATGATGTGCATGATTTAATAAAATAACTTTACTCTCCCTATAAATGTTTGTGTTGAATCTCATTTGACATCCATAGAATTTTGATAAGTTTGTTGTGCACTAGAGAGTGATGAAATCCTTTTATGAGCAATGATCACATTATATCTGGTAGCCGTGAATATGAAAAATGCATTATCCTTTGCTGCATTAGCTTAATGCCTGTTTCTAAGATTGAAAATAAATGCTTCTGGTGGGGTATACATACAGATTACTGGCATATCACAAAGCCATGAGGTTGCATCAGCATCACAACAGTGTTTTGTTGATATTATAGTTATTTGCTGCTGATGTAAAGGAAGATACCAGACATCTCGGGGTATCCACTGTCCTTGTCCTTCTGTAGCCCTAAGCAACAGGCAACTTTATATGGTTACAAAGACGGTGCTGCCAGACATGGCAGCCCTGTATTGAGTCTTCTACTATCTCCAGTCTGCCATGTCTTGTACAACTTACCCCATTCCCTGATGCTATTACAATGTGTATTTCACCACATCACACCTATCTGTAGATATGCTTGTATGAGCTAATATTGAGGCAAAGCTGTGATAGGCATAACACCTTGTTCATCCAGTTTCTGCAGTTGTATTTGCACTCTTAAGCACACAGAACTTCACCCAGATTGTTAAGCAGTCTTCTGGACAAGTATGGAAGTTGGAATACACCATCTCAATAAAAGACTATATGGAACTTATATACACCTTTTGGGTGTTTCTGAAAATAGAGTTTGACAGGCTGTTCTTGCAATTCTCTTTGCAAATGTACACTGAAAAAAGCAAGAATTTCCAGAAGCTTTAAAAAAAGTGTGTAGACACTGAAACTGTCCTGAATTGCAGTTGCTCTTTGGATGGTATTCTGTTGGACCACAGTGTTTTTGAATAACCTGGGATTGAGTTTCTGTTGCACTGCCCAGTTTACTACAGATAAATTGGTGTGACCTACAATGATACAAAGGACTGCGCCCCAAAATTGAATGCTTCTATTTATTCAGGATTTCTTTTACAATTCGGCCAAAATACTGGTGCTTATGTTCAAAGGCTTGATTCATCAGCATATATGTAAGAGGGAACCTTGTGAATAAGTAGGACCACAGTATCATTCTTGCTCATCTTGTTTCTCATTCAAGACTGTCCCTGGATTAAGTTTGTGTGTTTATCATTCCCTGAGATAATATGGGTCCAACCAGCTCTGTAGCAAGATCTGTTTTGTATTAATGGCATCTCAAATTGTATTCAGCTTAATTAAAACAAAACAGAACAAAACACTGAGCCATCTGAAGACCTTTGATCAAAACTGCGGTATTGACACCTGCACAAAATGGGAGCCTTGGGTGGCAATGATATGGGAAAGGGGGAGTGGGAGAGGGACCCAGTGGATCTGTGTAACTAGGGTTGCACATCCCTATATTGACTTACCCCTTTTCTCCACATCTTCAGCCTTTGTTGGTCAAAAACGGAATACATAAAAGTGAACAACTAATGAGAGAGCATGCAATATTAATTGTTAAGAGAATTTAACCCCTGAAGAGGGTTGCAGTCTGCCGAATATTGGGGTGGGGTTGTACCCTGTTTTCCTTCCCTCTGTATGTGTGTGTAGGCTCAGTTGTAATCAGGGCTTTTTTTCAACTGGAAATCGCCGGAACTTAGTTCCGGCACCTCAGATGGGCACCGTTGCCATTATTAGAGAACAAGGGAGGTGTTCATGGTAAGTTCCAGCACTTCTTTTTGTAGAGAAATAGAACTGGTTGTAATCAACCTTCCTCATGTATTCCTGTCTGATAGTTTTTGATCTCACACATTTTTGGGCACTGTGCTCTTGCATGAGAGCATGGTCTCTGAAAACAGGAAGCCCTGGTCAGTTGACAGGTATGTGCTATGGACCCCCTGGGTGGGTTACCAATTGGGAACCACTGGCTTATAGGATAGCACCTGGCATAACATTGGTGTTATATAAATGCTCAATAGTAATAATCCTACTATAAAATACTTGTACAAAAATATATGTTACAATGAGTCAGTGTATCAATTCCTCTGATATCTTTGGGAATATTTATATATATATATATATGTAAAATGCTATCACATCATACTTGCCAGTGTTAGCATGACCATTTGCAGAGGTGCTAATGTTTTCTTTTCATTGCTGAAACTTCAGATTCTGCTAGTTGGGCTCATTTACTTTGTCACAATGGTCATCATATTCATATTCATTTTCATTCACACAGTTCAGTTAATCTTTTCCCCTGCATGCTGGCATAAGGGTTTCTGGAAGGAGTTGCTCCTTTAAAAGAAAGAACTGGCAAATACTAGAGAAGACAGTTGAATTAGTCATCTTAAATTCATATCCTTCTTTGATCATGAAAGCCAAGCAGTGCGACACACAAGGATGGATGGCTACTTGTATTGAAATTTGTATTTTGTGTGAAATCGTCCGGTAGCTGTGCTTCAAAGCTGTGATTCTACCCCTTCTGAGCAAAATCTGAGGCAAGTGAGGCTACATAGGAATGAGAATGCTTCTTTCATGTTGGTTATTGTAATGAGTATGGGTTGCTCGTGTGTAAGTTGCCGCCTCTCCTGGCTTTGTTGCTTTGTTAAACCTTTCAGTCTGGGCAGCCCTTCACTTCGTGGCTGCCTCAGTCGCTAGCAGAATCCGTCAGTGGGCGTTTCTTAAACCTTTTCCAACATAAAAGTTGTTTGACACCCAGTCTCCTCCTACTCTCTCTGCGCGGAAGTCTTCTGCGCAGGGAGGGCGTGGGTAGCGGAGGACCCGTGCTCTCCCGCTGGTGTCCGGTGAAGAGTCTGGGAGCCCTCTCGCCGATTCCCCCATCTGCCCCTCTTTATTCCTGGTGTTGCGCTGAATTGCTTCCCCATCTGCTGAGCTGCCTCTCTCCCTGCTGGGCCCTTCTCCAGCATCATTTGAGAGCCTTCCCTCCGCCTCTAGCTCCGATGTCAGTTCCCTGACATCCACCTCCCCCCCAGGACCCCCGCCACCCCCGGCCCAACCAGTTGATACCAAGTCGTCCCATTCCGCGGCCGACGCAGCGGGGAACCCCCCGAAGGGGCGGGCGTCATCCACTGAGGATTCCAAACCCGCATACCACCCGTTCTGATCCCTTCCCTCGGGTGGGCCTCCCAGTCTGATTCTTCTTCCTCCGAAGCCTCTTCTCCCTCCCCTTCGGAGGCAGAAAAACCCACAAAAT